GAGAGTGGAGAAGGGAGAGTGGAGAGAGTGGAGAGGGGAGAGTGGAGAAGGGAGAGTGGAGAAGGGAGAGTGGAGAAGGGAGAGTGGAGAGAGTGGAGAAGGGAGAGTGGAGAGTGGAGAAGGGAGAGTGGAGAAGGGAGAGTGGAGAGTGGAGAGAGTGGAGAAGGGAGAGTGGAGAGAGTGGAGAAGGGAGAGTGGAGAAGGGAGAGAGTGGAGAGAGTGGAGAAGGGAGAGTGGAGAGTTTGGAGAGTGGAGAGAGTGGAGAAGGGAGAGTGGAGAGAGTGGAGAGTGGAGAGAGTGGAGAAGGGAGAGTGGAGAGGGGAGAGAGTGGAGAAGGGAGAGTGGAGAGAGTGGAGAGAGTGGAGAGTGGAGAAGGGAGAGAGTGGAGAGAGTGGAGAAGAGAGAGTGGAGTGGAGAAGGGAGAGAGTGGAGAAGGGAGAGAGTGGAGAGAGTGGACAGTGGAGAGAGTGGAGAGAGTGGAGAAGGGAGAGAGTGGAGAAGGGAGAGTGGAGAGTGGAGAAGGGAGAGTGGAGAGGGGAGAGTGGAGAGAGTGGAGAGAGTGGAGAGTGGAGAAGGGAGAGAGTGGAGAGAGTGGAGAAGAGAGAGTGGAGAGTGGAGAAGGGAGAGTGGAGAGAGTAGAGAGAGTGCAGAGTGGAGAGAGTGGAGAGTGGAGAAGGGAGAGAGTGGAGAGAGTGGAGAAGAGAGAGTGGAGAGTGGAGAAGGGAGAGTGGAGAAGGGAGAGTGGAGAGAGTGGAGAGAGTGGAGAAGGGAGAGAGTGGAGAAGGGAGAGTGGAGAGAGTGGAGAGGGGAGAGTGGAGAAGGGAGAGTGGAGAGGGGAGAGTGGAGAGAGTGGAGAGTGGAGAGAGTGGAGAGTGGAGTGGAGAAGGGAGAGAGTGGAGAGTGGAGAAGGGAGAGTGGAGAGAGTGGAGAGAGTGGAGAAGGGAGAGTGGAGAGGGGAGAGTGGAGTGGAGAGAGTGGAGAGAGTGGAGAGTGGAGAGGGGAGAGGGGAGAGTGGAGAAGGGGGAGAGTGGAGAGGGGAGAGTGGAGAAGGGAGAGAGTGGAGAAGGGAGAGTGGAGAGTGGAGTGGAGAAGGGAGAGAGTCGAGAAGGGAGAGTGGAGAGTGGAGAAGGGAGAGTGGAGAGAGTGGAGAGTGGAGAAGGGAGAGTGGAGAGAGTGGAGAAGAGAGAGTGGAGAGTGGAGTGGAGAAGGGAGAGAGTGGAGAGTGGAGAAGGGAGAGTGGAGAGAGTGGAGAGAGTGGAGAGAGTGGAGAGGGAAGAGTGGAGAGGGGAGAGTGGAGAGGGGAGACTGGAGAGTGGAGAAGGGAGAGTGGAGAGTGAAGAGTGGAGAGTGGAGAGTGAAGGGAGAGTGGAGAGTGAAGAGAGTGGAGAGTGGAGAGTGAAGAGAGTGGAGAGTGGAGAGTGAAGAGAGTGGAGAGTGAAGAGTGGAGAGAGTGGAGAAGGGAGAGTGAAGAGTGGAGAGAGTGAAGAGTGGAGAGTGGAGAGAGTGAAGAGAGTGTGAAGAGTGGAGAGAGTGGAGAGTGAAGAGAGTGAAGAGTGGAGCGGGGTTATTGCAGCTGGCGTTGAGAGCGGGGTGGCGAGTGGAGACGGTCTCTCGCCGCGTCTCTGGGACTGCGTCGTGACGTCAGCATGCCGCCCGCTTGCGTGCTTCACTTGGCGGGCGGCCGCAGCTGCGCGGAAGAAGTCGATTTCGACGCCCGAACAGCAACAACGACGACGACGACGACAACAACGACACTAACGACAATAGCAACAACAACAATAGCAACAACAACAATAGCAACAACAACAATAGCAACAATAGCAACAACGACGACGACAACGACGACAATGGCAACAACAATAATGACGACGACGCTGACGACAGCAACGACAACAACAATAACGGCACTGACGACAACAACAACGATAACAACAATGACAACAACAATAACCACAACGACAAAAAACGACGACAACAAAAACAACCACGGTGGCCACGGTGACCACGGTGGCCACGGTGACCGCGGCCACGTCCGGCTCGGGTTTGCCCGGCGCGAAACGAAGCGAAACGGAGAGAAACGGAGAGAAACGAGTTAACGAGTGAACGAGTTAACGAGTTTTTTTTAACGGAGTTTAAGTGGAGAGGGAAAGTGTGATCGCTGCGAGTCACGACCACAATGACGACGACGATGAATGGCGACGCTGACGACGATGACGACGACGATGCACCGAGTCCACCGCTGAGCGGGATTTGAACCCCTGACCTCGCGATAGCGAGTCGGCATGGACGGACGGGCGGGCAAACGGGCGGACGGGCGCCGCATGTTTACCCAACGGAGAGAGCCCCGCAGTTCGCCCAGTGACGCGTAAACACACATCACACACATACATCACACATGCACACATTACATACATCATGCACATCACACACACACATCACATACATCACGCACATCCATCATGCACATCACATACATCATGCACATCACACACATACACATCACACACACATCACACACGCACATCACACACGTCACACACACACACATCACACACACACACATCACATACATCATGAACATCAAACAAACATCACACATCACACACATCACGCACATCACACACATCACACACACACATCACGTACATCACGCACATCACACACACATCACATCACACATACACACCACATACATCACGCACATCACATAAATCACGCACATCACACACACACATACACATCAGGCACATCAAACACACGCACATCACAGATAACATACATCACGCACATCACAAGCACAACGCGCACACACACACACACAGAGAAACCGTGGTGCGCACAGCCACGACACAGAAAAAAAAATCTTCACTGAGTGACCTCCACCTCACCACCAGGACCCCCCTGCAGCCCGTCCACCCCAAACAAACCCCGGTTTAATTTTGACTTAAAACTTTCGTGACTGCAGGGATTCATATTCTTGGTTCTTTCGGTGAAGTAACATAGATAGAAAATAATAATAAAATACAATTTTAGCTTTAAATTTTAATTGTAAATAATTAAAAAAAAATTCTACGTGACTTACCAAAAGAACCAAGCATATGAACCCCGGTTTCCCAACTCTGCCACTCAGGGGGTGGAAGTGTGTGTGCGTGTATGCGCGTGTGTGCGCGTGTGTGCGTGCGCATGTGTGCATGCGCGTGTGTGCGTGTGTGTGCGTGTGTGTGGCGATAGTGCAGCGGTTATTGCACTTGCCCCCAACAGTCTGTTCAGGCTATACAGGGGATCTTTGCCTTTGTACGTGCCGAGTCGACCTAGGGGAGGCTCAGGTTCCCGTTCAGGGTAATCCGTCGCTGGCGTTGGCCGTGAGCGGGAATCCAACTCGGGTGCCGGGGTCGTGGCGCAGGGCAGCGCCGACGGCTACACTGAGCCGACTAGGCCTCAAACGCGTACCCCGGTGCGGCGTGTACAAACCATCAGCGACGGGACGACAAAGGCGGTCAAGGCAGCCGCTGGGGTGTTGGCCTCCCACGCCACTCGGCGGCAGCTAGTCTCCCCGTGTCTCCCCGTGTCTCCGCGAGTCTCTGCGTGTCTCCCCGTGTCTCTCCGTGTCTCCCCGAGTCTCTCGGTATCTCCCCGAGTATCCCCGTGTCTCCCCCGAGTATTCCTGTGTCTCCCCGTGTCTCTCCGTGTCTCTCCGTGTCTCCCCGAGTCTCCCCCGAGTCTCCCCGAGTCTCCCCGTGTCTCCCCGTGTCTCTCCGTGTCTCTCCGTGTCTCCCCCGAGTCTCCCCCGAGTCTCCCCGAGTCTCCCCGTGTCTCTCCGTGTCTCTCCATGTCTCCCCGAGTCTCTCCATGTCTCTCCGTGTCTCTCCGTGTCTCTCTGTCACCACGTGTCTCCCCGAGTCTCTCCGTGTCTCTCCGTGTCTCTCTGTCACCACGTATCTCTCCATATCTCCCCCAGTCTCTCCGTGTCTCCCCCGAGTCTCTCCGTGTCTCTCTGTCACCACGTGTCTCTCCGTGTCTCCCCGTGTCTCCCCCGAGTCTCCCTGAGTATCCCCGTGTCTCCCCCGAGTATTCCTGTGTCTCCCCGTGTCTCTCCGTGTCTCTCTGTGTCTCCCCGAGTCTCCCCCGAGTCTCCCCGAGTCTCCCCGTGTCTCCCCGTGTCTCTCCGTGTCTCCCCCGAGTCTCCCCTGAGTCTCCCCGAGTCTCCCCGTGTCTCTCCGTGCCTCTCCATGTCTCCCCGAGTCTCTCCATGTCTCTCCGTGTCTCTCCGTGTCTGTCACCACGTGTCTCCCCGAGTCTCTCCGTGTCTCTCCGTGTCTCTCTGTCACCACGTATCTCTCCGTGTCTCCCCCAGTCTCTCCATGTCTCCCCCGAGTCTCTCCGTGTCTCTCTGTCACCACGTGTCTCTCCGTGTCTCCCCGTGTCTCCCCCGAGTCTCCCCGAGTCTCCACGTGTCTCTCCGTGTCTCTCTGTCACCACGTGTCTCTCCGTGTCTCTCCGTGTCTCCCCCGAGTCTCCCCCGAGTCTCCCCGAGTCTCCCCATGTCTCTCCGTGTCTCTCCATGTCTCCCCGAGTCTCTCCATGTCTTTCCGTGTCTCTCCGTGTCTCCCCCCAGTCTCTCCGTGTCTCCCCCAGTCTCTCCGTGTCTCCCCCGAGTCTCTCCGTGTCTCTCTGTCACCACGTGTCTCTCCGTGTCTCCCCGAGTCTCCCCCTGTCTCTCCGTGTCTCCCCGTGTCTCTCCGAGTCTCCGTGTCACTCCGTGTCTCCCGGAGTCTCACCGAGTCACTCCGTGTCTCTCCGAGTCTCTCCGTGTCTCCCCCGAGTCTCTCCGTGTCTCTCCGTGTCTCTCCGAGTCTCCCCCGTGTCTCCCCCGAGTCTCCCCCTGTCTCCCCGAGTCTCCCCGTGTCTCCCCCGAGTCTCCCCCCCCCGTCTCTCCGCGCAGAACTTGCCCCCGCGGTGTGTGGCAGGCCACACGGGGGGGGGACCTGTTGCCTTCGTACCTCGATGGACTTGATGACGCTCTGGCGGTTGTCGTGGGAGCGCAGGTCCTTGGGGAGGTAGAGACGCACGCTGCTCAGCGCGGTGATGAGGCCCAGCGTGATCGGCACCACCTGCCATCGCCGGCGACAAACAAACGGGACGCACGCCATCATCAGCCGCCGTCATCGTCGGCCACGGTCGATCCACTGCTGGATGAAGGCCCCTCGCCAAGCCGCCACCGCCGCCGCCGCCGCTACCTCCCGCGATCCGGCGACGCGACACTCCGCACGGCACCGCCTGCACGCGAAACGAATTTCATCGGGCGCCACGGTGGCCAGGAGATGTTAACCATCTCGCCCTTATGCAGGAGGTTGTTGGGTTTTCGATCCCGACCCTGACGACGCCTGCTGCTGCTGTATATATTTGGAGTTTGCGTGTCTCTCTCATCATCATCACGGTGACTAAGAGATGTTAACTACCTCGCCTGGTTTCCAAGAGGTCGGTGGGTTCGATGCCGACCCTGACGATGCCTGCTGTATATTTTGAGTCGGCGTGCGTCTCTCATCATCATCATCATCACGGTGGCTAGGAGATGTTAACTACCTCGCCTGGCATGCAGGAGGTCGTTGGGTTAGATCCCGACCCTGACACCTGCTGCTGTATGATTGGAGTTTGCGCGTCTCTCTCCCTCTCCCTGTGGGCGCGTGGATTTTTCACCGGGTCCTCTGGTTTTTCCTTCACACATTTAGAATCATCGTGTGCGTTCACAGCATTTGGCACCTGCTATAAATTTCCACGTGATCATAAGCCACTTCTGTCGAGCTATCATTTGGGACAGCCAGGTCACAAACAATAGCTCCATAGCTCAGTGTGGGCCCTTACCTGGTAAAGTAAAAATAGTAAATCGTCGTAAAATAATCATCCCTCCGTCTTCGCGACGGACGTGTTCTCTCTCTGTCTCTGAACGCGTTCAAATTCCGCGTCCTGTTCGCTCCGTTGCTAGTCCCGACCGTCGGCCGTCACCGTCCTGTCTGGCCGTGCCGCGTGCTGCCGGCCACTCGCTTTTTAGTTAGCGGCCTTCACCCCTCCCCCGCAACGACGTCGTCGTGAACCTGCCGTGGGTTCTCCAATTCCGCGTCCCGTCGACGCAACGGCTCTCGACGCAATTCAAAGCGCGCGGGCTCTCCCTCCTCCCGCGCTTTCTTCGCGACCTTCTCAGGTATTTTTAGCTCTGCGTTTCGCCCCCCCCGCCCCCACCCCCCGCCCCCCACTACCCGCTAACGGCCCCGCTCGCCGCACTTTCTTTTCTTGCTGCCGTCGTCGTCGTCGCAGTCGTTTCGGATCCGTCCGAAAAACGACAAGAAGCGCCGCCACGGGCAAATGCCGCCGCACAGGAAATGACGTCACCGACATGGCCGCCACGTCTCCGCCCTCGCCCCCCAACGCCACGTGACGTCGGGCGCCGCCCGCTTTGGTTCGCAGCGGAAAATCTCTCGCTCGACGATTACGGAACGCTAAAGAGACCCCGCAAGGCAGAGGCACGCGGATGTGCGCTGCTCCGCAAACCAGCGGCCCGACGCCCACGATGCCTTGCACGCATGTCACGTGACCACCACACTTGCATGTTCAAGGCGAGCTCAAAAACGTCTTGTCGTACCGTGGCAACCCGCTCTGCGGAAACGGAGTTACGAAAAGGCTCCGAAATCGTTCCTTTGGAATCCAGAATGGGAAAAACGTTGAATCCGAAACTCATCGCCAGAAGCCAGCAGCGAGAGGCCGCCACCGCCGCCGCCCACTGCCGGATTACCCTCATAGCAAAAGCAGCGACAACATATGTAGCAGCTACAACATATGTAGCAGCTACAACATATGTAGCAGCTACAATATATGTAGTAGCTACAACATATGTAGTAGCTACAACATATGTAGCAGCTACAACATATGTAGTAGCTACATATGTAGTAGTAGCTATGGGCCCCGCACTTTCAAGGGCCCCACACTTTCAAGCGCCCCGCGCTAAACGCTTTCAAGCTATCAATTCCGGTTCAGTGACTCTGCACTTTCTCTATTACCGTAGTACTACACCGCCTTCAACTTTTTTTACGAACGACCGAGTATTTAAGGTCAGCGATTTGTCGTGTGTTATCTGGCTGTATAGCGTAATGAAAAAAAAAAACATACAATAACTTTACTGTGCAAGTAAAAAATAAATAAATTGTATTTTCACATTTTATGCGTTTGATTTTTTTTAAAATTTACGGCCCCTTCATAACATAATGCTGCAGGCCCCCACGCTAGCTTCATCCGGCACCGCCGCTGCAGATGCAGGGAAACTCGACACCGCACGAAGCAGCGCTGCGAAGGGGAAGCGAGAGCTAAGCTCTCCGCTGCGGGAGGCACCGGGACGGGGGGGGGGGGAAGCTGAGTAGATGGGGGGGGGGGGGAGATAGGGGGTGGGCCAGGGAAGGAAAGTTTGAACAAAACAAGGATGAGACTGAACAAAGGGCTGCTTGGGGGGTGAGTAGGGGGGGGGGGGGTTGTGGATAGAGTTGGGGGCTGCCCCCACCCACCCCCCCCTCCTGGCAGCGGAGGCCGGGGCAAGAGAAGGAGGAGGTGTTCCACGGGCGAGGAGAGAGGTGGGGGAGACGGTGGGAGACGCGCGGACACACGGGGAGACATTGGGAGAGACGGAGAGATACGGATGGACACCGGGAGACGAAGAGAGACACTGAGAGACACTGGGAGACACTGGGAGAGACACTGGGAGACACTGGGAGAGACGGAGAGACAGGGAGAGACACGGAGAGACACGGAGAGACACGGAGAGACACTGGGAGAGACACAGAGAGACACGGAGAGACACTGGGAGAGACACGGAGAGACACTGGGAGAGATGTTGGGAGAGACGGAGAGACACGGAGAGACACGGAGAGACACGGAGAGATACGGAGAGACACGGAGAGACGGAGAGAGACGGAGAGACAGAGACACTGGGAGAGACACGGAGAGACACTGGGTGAGACAGAGAAACAGGGAGCGACACTGGGGGACACCGAGAGACACACGGGGACACCGAGAGACACACGGGGACACCGAGAGACACACGGGGACATGCTGCTCAGACGACCGTTCTGGCACGGCACCGCGGGGTGGCGAGGCCTGCGGGCCGCCGTGCGGGGCCCTCGCCAGGCGGCGTTTGTTTTTGCTGGGCCCTGTTTGTTTGTTCTACGCCACGGAGCCTGCGGAGAGGAATCCAGAGCCCAGTAGTTCCTGCCCAGACGGGGGGGGGGGGGGGGGGGGGGAGAGGGCCACGTGGCCGAGAAGCGCAGCGGCCACGGCCGCACCACTCACCAGCCGGCGTGGACCGCGCCGAAGTTTCGGCAGCCGGCTGAACCGGGTAAACCGCGCGACCCGAGTGCACGTTTCGAAAATAAAAACGTGGAAGCGATCGTCGGCTCGTCACGCCGTCAAAGCGGGATTGTCTGACCAGCGATTGGTGGAACGCAACACGCGGTGACCGATAAGCCCTGCTGCTGCTGCTGCAGCCACACCACTCACTTCTTTCTGCCCCCTTCTCTCTAAAGTCTCCCTCACCCATCCCTTGCACTCGCATTTCAAAACGCATCTCGCCACGGCAGAGGTCGTGGGTTCGATCCTGACCCCGACGCTTGCTGTATATTTTGGAGTTGACGTATCTCTCATCATCATCACGGTGGCTAGGAGATGTTAACTACCTCGCCTGGTAGGCAGGAGGTCTGGGTTTCTCTCCCCGTGGTCACGTGGAATGTTTCTCCGGGTCCTTCGCGTTTAAGAGTATTTGGCTGCTATGAATTGCCACATGATGAGGAGCCAAGTGATGATGAGCCAGCATTTGTGATGGGCAAATGGCTTCTGAAAAAAAAACTACATAACTCAGTGGGGCCTTACCTGGTAAAATAAAAATAGTTTGGCTTAGTTGCTCCCCTCTGCCCTCTCTCTCCCTTCTGTCCCTCTCACCGGCACCCCTGCCCCTCTCTCTCTCTCTCCGCTTCTCTCCCCCTCTCCCGTCCCTCTCACCTGCATCTCCCCCTTGTCCCCGGGCCGCGGGGGCTTGGAGGCCTCGGTGTGGGGGAGCCGTGCGCTCTCCCGGGAGCAGCACAGCAGCGCCTCCACCACGTACAGCGCCTCCTGCTCCGCACTGGCGATGATCTGCGCGGCACCACCATCCAAGTTGGCACGGGGAACACGCAAAGTCACTCCACGAGTCTCCGTGCAACTCTGTGGCCCTCTGTGTAACTCTACGGATCTCCGTATGTAACTCTATGGCTCTCCCTATGTAACTCTATAATTCTCCCTATGTAACTCTATAACTCTCCCTATGTAACTGTATGGATCTCTGTGTAGCTCTAAAACTCTATGGGCCTCTGGCTAACTATGACTCTCTATGAATATCTATGTAACTCTATGGCTCTCCCTATGTAACTATGGATCTCCGTGCAACTCTATGGATCTCTGTGTAACTCTATGGGTCTCTATGTAACTCCATAACTCTATGGGTTTTTGGCTAACTCTATTAATCTCTATGTAACTCTATGGCTCTCCCTATGTAACTCTATGACTATCTCGATGTAACTCTGTGGATCCCTGCGTAACTCGATGGATCTCTGCGTAAATCCACGACTCTATGGGTCTCTGACTAACTCGATGAATCTCTACGTGACTCTATGGATCTCGGCGCAACTCTATGGATCTCCGTGTAACTCTATGGGTCTCTATGTAACTCCATAACTCTATGGGTCTTTGGCTAACTCTATTAATCTCTATGCAACTCTATGACTATCCCGATGGAACTCTATGGATCCCTGCGTAACTCCACGACTCTATGGGTCTCTGACTAACTCGATGAATCTCTACGTGACTCTATGGATCTCCGTGCAACTCTATGGATCTCTGTGTAACTCTATGGGTCTCTATGTAACTCCATAACTCTATGGGTCTTTGGATAACTCTATTAATCTCCATGTAACTCTATGGCTCTCCCTATGTAACTCTATGACTATCTCGATGTAACTCTGGATCCCTGCGTAACTGGTTGGATCTCTGCGTAACTCCACGACTCTATGGGTCTCTGACTAACTCGATGAATCTCTACGTGACTCTATGGATCTCGGCGCAACTCTATGGGTCTCTCTGTGTGCGTGTGTGTGCGCGTGTGTCATCACCTTCGTGTTGGTCTTCTTGTGAAAGTTGACGACGACGCCCCAGCCAAAGTCGTCCTCTTCATTCTTAACCTGCTGGCGAAACGGCAGACAATGACCACCACCACCACCACCCACCACCACCACCACCACCGCCCACCACCACCACCACCCACCACCGCCATCTTCTCCGCCAAAGGAAAAATAAAGAACGGCTAGTTTAACACGTAACAGTAGTAGCAGCTGTAGGGCTTCTCGCGACCAACGTTATCCGTAACAGTTTTCTTGGTTGGGCTGATGGGGTGAGATCGCGTAAGTGCGAACGTGTCGTTGAACCCCGCACACCACCGCCCGGACACGGGATTGCAAGGGGACTTTCACGTGAACAAAACGTGGCCAATCCGTCGCTCGTTCGGAAGCTCGCCGCTCGTGCGTTGCAGGGTAAACCCACAGCGGCGTTTGCAATTCCGAGCACCTGCGTGACGTTTCGCCGGCAATTACAACAGCAGCAACCGGCATCGTCAGGCGACAGCCACAAGAGATGTGGAGCAATCCTCCTCCCCTTGCCATCTCGGTCTTAAGTAGACGATAAACGTGATGCCGTCACTTGTAAATGCGGCGGCGGGTTCACCCTCCAACGCACAACCGGTGTGGTGCTGTACTAGTATACTACACTGTATACTACACTATACACTACACTACATACTAGTGCTGTAGTAGTATACTACACTGTATACTACACTATACACTACACTACGTACTAGTGCTGTACTAGTATACTACACTATACACTACACTATACTACATACTAGTGCTGTACTAGTATACTACACTGTATACTACACTATACACTACACTACATACTAGTGCTGTAGTAGTATACTACACTGTATACTACACTATACACTACGTACAAGTGCTGTACTAGTATACTACACTATACACTACATACTAGTGCTGTACTAGTATACTACACTATACACTACACTACATACTAGTGCTGTACTAGTATACTACACTATACACTACACTATACACTACACAATACACTACACTATATACTCGTGCTGTAATAGAATACTACACTATACACTACACTATACTATACACTGCACTATACACTACACTATATACTCGTGCTGTACTAGTATACTACACTATACACTACACTATACACTAGTGCTGTACTAGTAAACTACACTATATATTACACTATACACTACACTATACACTAGTGCTGTACTAGTAACGAATTGGCCACGTTTTAAATTTTGATTTAAAGCTTTCGTGACTGCAATGATTCATCTTCTTTGGTTCTTTCGGTAAAGTCACGTAGAATGAGAATAAAATAATAAATTGATAAAATGAAATAACACAATAATATTCTCACGACGTTTCGGCCGCTTGTGTTGTGGCCGAAACGTCGTGAGAATATTATTGTGTTATTTTATTTTATCAATTTATTATTTTATTCTCATTCTACGTGACTTTACCGAAAGAACCAAAGATGGCCACGTTCTGTTTACGTGACAAACCCCTTACTCATCGGCCGTGTCGGGTGGCGGCGGGTTTAACGACACATTTATTTATACTCATGCGATCTGAACCCAACAAAAAAACTCCATTATGGACAAAGAACAGCCGTTTGCCCCATCATTTTGGCTATGAAAACAAGGGTTGCGTTACGACGTTCAAACATAAAAATCCAGGTGGTCCTCTACTTACGATGGAGATGCATTACGACGACCCCATCGTAAGTCAACAACATCGTAAGTCGAAGATGGCCTGGCCTACCCAGGAGTCTTAAAGAATGGTGATAATTTAGCAAAACAGGGCAATTTACAGTGCCGTACTGTATAAACTATATACTGTATGTATTTATTAATTACGATACTGTATTGCACAGTACAATTTAAAGTAAAAAAACAAGGTACATTCTTAGCCTACCTATATGAACTGCAATTTAATAGAAAGTTTTTTTTCAGGAAACAATCCTATCTGCTATATAAAAAAAAAAGTTTTAACATGCAATGAACGTATCTTATCTTGGTAACCCTAAAATGAAATCGCTAAAATATTTAACAATGTTGTCGTTTCGCCATCGTAAGATCGAAATATCGTGAGTCGGACCACCGTAACTCGGGGACTGTCTGTAGATATCTTTAACCAACTGTGCTCTGGTCTGAACACCGGTGGTGACACTAGGCCATCAACAAGTAGTCTCTGGTATAGGCCAATCAGTTTGACAGACAATGCGTACATTATTATTATTATTACCACAAGCACGTGTGGTTGATGCAGACTTGCTTCCTTACAAAAGGTATCGTGTATACTCGCCGTTTGATTTCCATGGAAGGGTAAAACCTATTCTTATTTTTCGCTCTTTGATACTGGCCACAAAAAAAACGGGTCCCATGACACCACCTCCAACACAACGACAACAGCGGCACGCCAACGAGCGGCTCTCCCGCGCTCGGAAAGGTGGCGACGTTCAAATCCGGGTCGTTGTGCGGGGGTCGACTCGGCCCATCATCCCCCTCCCTCCGCGGTGGATAAAGCAGGCGTGCCGCTTCGTGGGGAGGAAAGTTCGACGGCGGTTGTCCAATGGACTGAGCGGGGTTGGCGGGGGGGGGGGGCGGTGGCACGAGAGGCAGAGGCCTCGACGCTTCGGTGGAAAAAAATAAATAAATTCCATCCTTCGGTTGATTCCACGGCAGGGCCCTCTGCTCGCAATCTCAAAATAAAAGCAGCCGTTTCCATATTTATTAACTTTTTCCTTAGCTTTTGACATTTCATGAAATGCTCCCCCATCTCTCTCTCTCACTGGCCCCCCGTATCAAACGCATCGTTGAGAAAGAAAATAAAAACCCCACAACGCTGGCTGGAATCATCCGGTTTCGCCAAAAACGCAATAAACACTACAAACTCTGGGTGGATTTCTCTGATCCGAGCGATGCCGGGGCAACCGGTGACATTTATCGTTTCCTTGCGCGCGGGGCTTAAGGGGAGGCTCGTGGCCCCGTCGCGAGCCCACGCACGTGCGCAGCGAACAAAGGGGAACTCAGTTGCCACCGCATCGCACATCCCCCCTGAATGTCACGTTCACGATTACCCCACAAATACCACATTCACTGCTACCCGTCGCCGCCGCCAGAGACGCACGTGCGTACGTGCGTACGTACAAACGCGCGGTCGCACGACGACCGGCAGAGCGTCATCAAGTCCATCGAAGAGCTCCCCCCGGGCCCCCCCCCCGCCCCGCCCCGCTTAGCCTTTAACAGACGGTCGGAGCAAGCGCTGCTAAGAGAGTAAGAGCGTACGAAGGCCAGGCACTGTGGCACGCAAAACAGGATGGTGGGTGGGTGGTCAGCACCACGCCCGGCCTGCCTTTGTCTCCACAGTGGCGAAGATTTTTACACAACCGCACCATCAGGTAACTCATTTGAGGCCGAGTCTACCGTCGAAAGGCTCAGATAATCGTCGCCGGTGTCTGTGGCCGCCGAACGGGACTCGAACTCGGGTCGCCGGGTTGGCGGTGCGCTGACCACTCCACACAACTGCTCGTGTGCCTTGCCGGCCTTCATCGCTGCTACTCGCGAACCCGCAGTTGCCTCAACCGTCTGTTAAAGGTTGTGGGGTGGGGGCATCTTTCTCTTCGTTTGTGCCTCAATGCCCCCGCGCGTGCACGGATGCCTGCCGCTCTGCGGAGAGGCCGTGCCCTGCGCCAAAACGAACGCGAACCACCGGGGGAATTTGCCAAACCGACGAGCTCAAAGGGAACGAGCGAGCGCGGACGGTCGTGGCCAATGTGGCTACGGTTAACGGTAAAACACATCACTCAGCTGCCCCCCCCCCCCCCCGGGGGGGCCGCGCAACGCTCCGAGCCACCGCATCAATCCGGCGTCGGCGCGGCAAAGACGGATCGCCAAGGTGCTGTTAGCGAGCGCCTATTGAGCCTGGCTCGGTCCCCTTGGGACCCCCGGCCCCCCCTCGCCCAGCGGGGCGGCGGCCATCGTGTGAGTTACGTGGCCAATATCACGGCGCTAATGGAAGGCAGATTCCCGGGGAACACGGAGGGCGACGGGTAGCAGCGGGAGGGGGGGGGAAAGAATCGAATTGACCAAGTGCTCACGCACAAGCTGGTGCACGCAGACACGAGTGCGCGCACGCTCGCACACACGCTCGCGCACACGCTCGCGCACACGCTCGCGCACACGCTCGCACACACGCTCGCACACACGTAAGCAGATGTGCGCAACACAACAAACAGCCCACTGACGGGAGCATGTCTGGATCTTTCTAAGGATTCGCGAGCTCCTCGGCACAATCCAGCCCGGGTGAAACCCAGCATGGATCGTAGTCAAGCACGTGTAGCCTTCACAGACTGTAGGGGCAAGTGCTGTTAGCGAGCAGCACCTACGAAGGCCGGCACGGCACACACGAGGGGGTGGGATGCCAGTGCCACGCCCGACTGCCTTTTTCTCCCTAGTGGCGATGTTTACTACACACCGCACCAGGTACTCTGGTTTGCCGGGTTCGTAGCACGGCGCGCTAACCCCTACACTATCGCTTTCCACATGCGGACACACGTACACACACTCGGCCGCTCACTCGCTCACCCTCTCACTCGCCCGCTCACTCGCCCTCCCTCTCGCTCGCCCACTCACTCACTCTCCCTCTCGTTCACTCGCTCACCCTCTCACTCGTTCACTCGCTCACCCTCTCACTCGGTCACTCGCTCACCCTCTCACTCGGTCACTCGCTCACCCTCTCACTCGCTCACTCGCTCACCCTCTCACCCTCTCACTCGCTCACTCGCTCACCCTCTCACTCGCTCACCCTCCCTCTCACTCGCTCACCTTCCCTCTCACTCGCTCACTCGCTCACCCTGTCACTCGCTCACTCGCTCACCCTCTCACTCTCTCACACGCTCACCCGCTCACTCGCTCACCCTCTCACTCGCTCACCCTGTCACTCGCTCACCCTCTCACTCGCTCACCCTGTCACTCGCTCGATCACCCTCTCACTCGCTCACTCGCCCTCCCTCTCCCACCGGCGCGCACCTTGACCATGCGGCCCGGCTGCAGGAAGGGGATGCAGTACTTGGGGCGGCGGACAAACTCCTCGACGTCACGGGCGAGGCGCGCCAGCTGCTGCCGGATCTTGTAGTAGGCGCAGACGCTCTCCTCCTCGGGCACCTGCGTGCCGTTGTACATCTGCTCCAACGTCTTCAGCTCTGCGGCGGGATGGGAGAAGCGGGGGCATTCTCCGTCACGGACGGCCACGGCGCTCTCGGGCCGAGATTCCGAGCGTCGTTGGTTTGACGCATCCTCACCGCACCCCCCCGCCCCCCCGATTCGCACGGTCGGCTACGTGCCGCCCGAAGGAAGTTCCACGCACGCACGCGAGGCGAGGGACGCGCTCGAGGGAGGCCGGGACGAGCCTCGTTCGCTCGAGCGACCGGGGGTGACCGCCGCTGCGCCCAACGCAACCGAGAGAAATCGGACATCGCTCGCCGGCAGCCGAATGACCGAGCAGCCTTGTGCCGCACGGGGACGGCTGCCGCTGGGGGGTGCCGCCCCCCTCAAATCTGTCGAGCGGCGAGAAGCGCCCCCCCCAACCGGGCGCAGAGGAGGGTGGCTCCATGAGAAGCAAGCTCAGCGTCATGACGGTTTACCATCAGCATCATGGTTAGCAGCAGCATCATCATCAGACTATAATAATAGGGTTTTTCCTCTTTTTTCTGGCAACAAAACTGAAACCTTTTTACAAGGATTCATGTCTGCATTAACCACAATATCTAAACTGATTGGTCGACACCATCAGTTTCAAGGACAATGCATATATTATCAGTGTGTTTTTTCGTTAGCATTTTGGCTGCAGATATTGTGGTTAATGCAGACATGAATCCTCGTAAAAATGGTTCAGTTTTGTAGGCAGAAAAAAGGGGAAACCCCTATTATTATATTTTGGTACTGGCAAAGGAAGTCTAATTATGTAGATATCATCAAACTACTATTCTTTATTATACCAGGTAAGGCCCACTGAGCTACGTAGCTCTTTTTCAGAAGTGACCTGGCCACAAATAATAGCTCAACGAAGTGGGTCATCACGTGGAAATTCATCACAGCAAAATACTTTAAAAGCACGTTTCTCAATGTGGAGGAAAGAAACGGGAGGATCCGGAGAAAAATCCACACGACCACGCAAACTCCAAATAAACAGCAAGCGTCAGGGTCGGGATCAAACCCACGACCCTCCTGTTTACCAGGCGAGGTGGTTAACATCTCCTAGCCACCGTGATGATGATGAGAGAGAGAGACACGCAAACTCCAAATAAACAGCAAGCGTCAGGGTCGGGATCAAACCCACGACCCTCCTGTGTACCAGGCGAGGTGGTTAACATCTCCTAGCCACCGTGATGATGATGAGAGAGAGAGAGACGCAAACTCCAAATATACAGCAGCAGGCATTGTCCGGGTCAGGATCGAATCCATACCCTCCTGTATACCGGGCGAGATGGTCAACATCTCCTAGCCACTGTGATGATGATGATGAGAGAGAGAGAGACGCAAACTCCAAATATACAGCAGCAGGCATTGTCCGGGTCAGGATCGAATCCATGCCCTCCTGTATACCGGGCGAGGTGGTCAACATCTCCTAGCCACCGTGATGATGATGATGAGAGAGAGAGAGATGCAGACTCAAAATATACAGCAGCAGCAGGCATTGTCCGGGTCAGGATCGAATCCATGCCCTCCTGTATACCGGGCGAGGTGGTCAACATCTCCTAGCCACCGTGATGATGATGATGAGAGAGAGAGAGATGCAGACTCAAAATATACAGCAGCAGCAGGCATTGTCCGGGTCAGGATCGAATCCATGCCCTCCTGTATACCGGGCGAGGTGGTCAACATCTCCTAGCCACCGTGATGATGATGATGAGAGAGAGAGAGACGCAGACTCAAAATATACAGCAGCAGCAGGCATTGTCCGGGTCAGGATCGGATCCATGCCCTCCTGTATACCGGGCGAGGTGGTCAACTTCCCGCCACCGTGGCGCTCATCATGGTCAGCAGCAGCATTGCAAACGCGGCACAGGATATGACGCGGCCTGGCGGTGGCGCGCTCGCCACTTTGTGGCAGAGGCTCGTGGTTCGAGCCCGACGACAGCCCTGGTTAACACTGCGAGTGCGACAGCAGTAGTTGACAAGGGCCCGTGCGTGCCGGCGACACGGCACGAATGCTCTTGCACAACAATTGGAACCGTACGCACGCTGAACTTGTCTTGCGCCGTACGTGCCGAATTCGTGGCCACGGCCGACCGCGCGTCAACGCGGCGCCCCCTAACCTGGCACAACCACGGGCTCGTCTCGCCGGGCAGGGCACGCGAGCTCGCGTTGGCGACAGCCCGCAGCGAGGGATGATCCACCGCCGCTCGGGTGACGCGGCCGGCCCCGGCGGGCACGGCGATTGGCGCGGCGCGGGCGACGCAACGGGCGCGGGCAATTACCGCCGTCGTCAACCACCCGGCGGTGGTCACTTAGGGGGCGGCCGCGTTTCCACGTGACCCCAGCCGCCCCGTCCCCCGCCCCCCCCCCCCTGCTTTAGGGTGACCGGTGGAACGCGGCGGTTAGAGAGAGAGAGAGAGAGGGGACCCCGTGCCCGCACGCCCGTTGCCGGCGTTGCCGGCGCGGTCATCTCCGTTACACCGACGCCGTCGCCTCCCCCCCCCCCCCCACCGCCTCCAGCCCGCCCGACCGCTGCTGTGAATGCGCCGCTTTGAGTTCGGCAACAATGGAAGATCGCCGCGTGCGTCTGTCTCCAATTGTCACTTCCAACGACACCGCGCGCGCCCCCCCCACCTCCTCCCCCTCCGTGTCACCCCACGTACCCTTCAACCTCGTGACCCTGGGGGGGGGGCGGCGGCTGGAGTTGTTGTTACTGCACGAGACCCAGCGAGTCACGGCTGCCCCTCCAGCACGCAGAACGCTCGGCGATAACGAAGAGCGAGGAGCGAGGGAAAAAAATCGTGACAACCCCTGCCGCCCCCCCCCCCCATCATGATTGAGAGGAGCGGCTCTCTTTGCGCCAGTGCCAAGTTGGTTTTGAGAATAAACAGAACGCGCTCGCCCGCTCTGGGATCCGCCACGACCCCCGCCCGCTCGCTCGCCCGCCCCGCTCGCTCGCCCGCCCCGCTCGCTCGCCCGCCCCGCTCGCCCGCCCCGCCCGCTCGCCCCGCTCGCCCGACCGCGCAGGGGTCCACCACGGCCCCCGCGCTCGCACGGCGGCCCCGATACCCACGCAGAGCCACGCGACGCGGACAAAGATCCCCCAGGTAGCCGCTCGCGCACTGCTGGGGGCAAGTGCTTCGACGGCGCGGCCACGAGAGGCCGCTGTGGCCAGGCACGAGTGGAGCGAGGTGAGAGGGGGAGAGGGATGGTAGAGTGCGTGGAGGAGGGGGGCCAGGTGAGTAGGGAGTCGGGCCAGGTGAGAGGTGAGTTTGGCCGGGTGAGTGGGGAGTGTGGCCAGGTGAGAGGGGAGTGTGGCCAGGTGAGTGGGGAGTGTGGCCAGGTGAGAGGGGAGTGTGGCCAGGTGAGTGGGGAGAGGGGCCAGGTGAGTGGGGAGTCGGGCCAGGTGAGTGGGGAGTCGGGCCAGGTGAGTGAGGAGTGTGGCCAGGTGAGTGTGGCCAGGTGAGTGTGGCCAGGTGAGTGAGGAGTGTGGCCAGGTGAGTGAGGAGAGGGGCCAGGTGAGAGGGGCCAGGTGAGAGGGGAGTGTGGCCAGGTGAGTGAGGAGTGTGGCCAGGTGAGTGTGGCCAGGTGAGTGTGGCCAGGTGAGTGTGGCCAGGTGAGTGGGGAGTGTGGCCAGGTGAGTGGGGAGAGGGGCCAGGTGAGTGGGGAGAGGGGCCAGGTGAGTGGGGAGTGTGGCCAGGTGAGAGGGGAGTGTGGCCAGGTGAGTGTGGCCAGGTGAGTGAGGAGTGTGACCAGGTGAGTGGGGAGAGGGGCCAGGTGAGTGTGGCCAGGTGAGTGTGGCCAGGTGAGTGAGGAGTGTGGCCAGGTGAGTGGGGAGTGTGGCCAGGTGAGAGGTGAGTGTGGCCAGGTGAGTGAGGAGTGTGGCCAGGTGAGTGGGGCCAGGTGAGAGGTGAGTGTGGCCAGGTGAGTGGGGAGTGTGGCCAGGTGAGAGGTGAGTGTGGCCAGGTGAGAGGTGAGTGTGGCCAGGTGAGTGGGGAGTGTGGCCAGGTGAGTGGGGAGTGTGGCCAGGTGAGTGTGGCCAGGTGAGTGGGGAGTGTGGCCAGGTGAGAGGTGAGTGTGGCCAGGTGAGTGGGGAGTGTGGCCAGGTGAGTGGGGAGTGTGGCCAGGTGAGTGTGGCCAGGTGAGTGGGGAGTGTGGCCAGGTGAGAGGTGAGTGTGGCCAGGTGAGTGGGGCCAGGCGCTGCCGTGGGCCACCAGACCCTTGGCGGAAATCTTTTTGCGAGAGGGGTGGGTAGGGGGGGGATAAAAACCCCGCAGTCAGCATTTCTCCGGCGGTTAATAAACACGAGGCGACTTTAAACAGCAGCAGGAAGGAAAATAAACAGGGGCCTAAACAAGTGTGTTTGACAAGGATCTCCCCGAATGTTTTCAGCGTCTTGATAGGGGGGGGTGGGGCGGTCACGGCGTGTCCATGGCGAGCTGTGGTGTGCGAGCGGTGGTGTGGCGGTGAGCGCTTCGCCGCGCTACGAAGCCGGCGACCCGGTTCGATTCCCGCTGACGGCAAATGCCCGGTGATGATTATCTGAACCCGGTCCTGGGCCTCCCCGCTAGGTCGGTCGACTCGGCCTCAAATGAGTACCCGGTGCGGTGTGTAAACATCGCCACTGGGGAGACAAAGGCGGCCGGGCGTGGTATTGGCCACCCACCCCCTAATGTGCCGTGCGGGCCTTCGTAGGTGCTCGCTGACAGCACTTGCCCCAACAGGCTGTTACAGGCGACACGGGGGGATCTTTGTCTTTGTTAGTCACCGCAGCACCGCTCGCCAAATACACACAAACACGCTTCATATGCATACGCACACCAAGGCACACAACAACTCACAGACACAAAGACACCAAACAATATAAACACATGTTCTTTGGGCCTTTCGGTAAAATCACGTTGATAGGTTCAAAGAAAATTAAGTCGTCGCTTTTTTGTTCTTTTCTTTGAACCTATCTAAAGTCACCGAAAGACCCAAAGAACGTGCATTCCTGCAGTCACGAAAACTTTAAGTCAAAATATAAACACACACATAAACACGCAAACCCACACCATATGCACACACTATACACACAGCCTCAAGTACTTCACATTATTCATTAATAAACGCGTAACTCTTGTAACCTGGGTTCTCACGAGTGTGCAATGTTCCTGAACCCTAACCCTCCTACGCAAAGATCCCCCGTGTAGCCTGTAACAGACTGTAGGGGAAAGTGCTGTTAGCGAGCACCTACGAAGGCCGGCACGGCACACGAGGGGGTGGGTGGCCAGCACCACGCCCGACCGCCTTTGTCTCCCCAGTGGCGATGTATACACACGGCACCAGGTACCCATTTGAGGACGAGTCGACCTAGGGGAGGCCCAAGCCCGGTTCAGATAATCGTCACCGGTGATGGCCGTGAGCGGGAATTGAACTCGGGTCGCCAGATCGCTACACCACCCCTCCACGCACGCTCACTACACATTCTCTATACAGTCACTACACACTCACATGCTCAACTCGACATACACTCCAAAGACACACGCACACTCACACACATTCATTCACTCGCACGCACACACACACACACAGAACTCCAGGCCAAGAGAATGATGATGATCATGACGGCGGCGGCTGCTTCAGTCCGTGCGGGCGAAGTCAACTTGCCCTTGGAGAAGCGCGAGAGTTTGGGGGGAGCGTGGTGGAGGGGGTGTGTGGTGGGTGGGTGGGTGGGGGACGTAACGGAACCGCGGGGCAATTGTTGTTGTTGCCGCAGCCACCACCGTGAGGGGGGGGGGGGGGGGGCTGCAGCCGGAACTTTTTATGCCGAAACCGAGAAACGGAAACGACTCGCCCCCCCCCCGTAGCGAGGAATCTGAGCCGGCGAGCCGAGCGGTGGCGGGACCGAGCTACGCGAGCGGCGGCCGGCGCTGGCGAGCGGTGCCCCCTGCTGGGCGGAGAACAGAATCGCCCCAGTCGCTCGCTCGCTCGCCGCCACCACCACGCAGACCCCGACCAACGCCGCACCGCCCGCAGCCCGGATCAAAGCGACGGGGAGGAACATAGCGTTTGCTGTCGGGCGCCATCTCGTCACCTCGAGCGGGGGGTGGGCTCGGGGACGGCGTTCGTACAGCGTGCGAGCGGGGCGGTGCGCGCGGACGCGGCTGCCGGCGGTAGCGGGGAAGCACGGAGGAGCTCGCCGATAGGGCCGAGCGTGGCACGCAGGGCCCACCCCACGAGGGCTCGACGCGCCGAGGGGACGGCAGCGGCGGATGATCGACCTTCGCCACCCGGGCACCGCGGTGGATGAGATGTTTATTACCTCGTCTCTCTCTCTCTCCCTCTCCCCGTGGTGGTCGCGTGTTTTTCCCTCCACGTTTAGAATCGACGTCACGCGTTCAAAGGACTGCTGCTGCTGCTGCCGCGTGACGTCATTTATTTAAAGGCCACCGTCTCATGCTCACGTTGCATCGCGGCTCTCTTTTTAACAAATTCGAAACAATATGCCTCTTGTTGATGTTTTGGTTGCCTACCCCCTGGTTTAGAGTTTTTTGGCTGCCGTTATAAAATTTCCACATGATGACGATGATGACGATGACGACGATGACGACGATGACGACGATGACGACGATGACGACGATGACGACGATGACGACGATGACGACGATGACGACGATGACGACGATGACGACGATGACGACGAGCCCACTTCGTTGAGCGATCATTTGCGACGACCAGGTCGTTTCCAAACAAACAAAATAAACACCCAAGTAGCCCAGCGGGCTCTTACCCGGTAAAATAGAAAATAGTTTTGGTCAGCGGTTGTGGGGGTTAGCGGTGGTGGCGGCAGCCGTGGCCTTCTCTGGATGCCCAGAAATCACAGAGCAATCGGCCATCTCACCTGTCCAGAGAGGTACGCTCGACCGATGCTGCGTCTGAATCTCCACGCGCAGGGGGGAGGAGGAAGAGGAGGCGGGTGGCGGGGGGGTGGAGGAGGAGGATAGGGGGAGGAGGGGGGGTGAAGGAGGAAGAGGGGGGTGGAGGAGGAGGGGGGGTGGTGGAGGAGGATGAGGGGGGGGGGAGGAGGAGGAGGAGGAGGGGAGGAAGGAGGGGGGGTGGAGGAGGGGTGAAGGAGGAAGAGGGGGGTGGAGGAGGAGGGGGGGGGTGATGGAGGAGGATGAGGGGAGGAAGGAGGGGGGTGGAGGAGGAGGGGGGGTGGAGAAGGAGGATGAGGAGGGGGGAAGGAGGGGGGGGGGGAGGAGGAGGGGGGGTGGAGAAGGAGGATGAGGAGGGGGGGAGGAGGGGGGGGGAGGAGGAGGAAGGGGGGTGGAGGAGGGGGTTGGAGGGGGAGAGGAGTGGAGGAAGAGAGGAGTGGAGGAGGAGGAGGGGGGGGGGTTGAGGAGCGGGGGTGGAGGAGGAGTGGGGGTGGAGGATGAGGAGGGGGGGAGGAGGGGGGGGGAGGAGGGGGGGTGGAGAAGGAGGGGGGAGGAGGAGGAAGGGGGCTGGAGGAGGGGGTTGGAGGAGGGGGGGAGAGGAGGGGTGGAGGAAGAGGGGGGTGGTGGTGGTGGTGGAGGAGGAGGAGGGGGGTGGGTTGAGGAGCGGGGGTGGAGGAACGAGCCAACTCACTGGTAATCATGTCGGGCAGGGCCTTGTACTGCTGGAACTGGCAGAAGGACTTCTCCAGCATGTACTCGGGGTTGATCTCCTCGACGCGCAGCAGGTTCAGCACCATGTTGTACGTCAGGTGGAAGGCGCTGTTCAGGGGGTCCGGCAACCCCTGGGGGAGCGGGGGCACAGATGATCGGGGGGGGGGGGCGGTGGTGGTGGGGAGGAGGAGGAGGCGGCAAGCAAAGCCGGTCGTCAAGAACGAGACATTTTACAGATTTACTTCTCCAGGAGAGGCCACGGCGAGTCGTAAGGGCTCCCTTTTAAGGAGGGTGCCTGTCGCTGCTGCACAAGCGGCTTGCGGTTCGCAGACACGGCAGGCTGCGGTTCGCAGACACGGCAGGCTGCGGTTAGCAGACACGCAGGCTTGCGAAAGAACCAAAGAAGGCTTGCGGTAGTTTTGCAGTCGGGAGGCGATGCCTGCTCAGAGTTCCACCACCGGAACAAATTTGCAGGTATTTTTTAAAAAAGTATTTTACTTAGGTGAATTTGGACCGCGGCGCCGGCACACACGGCCTACACCGACGATGACCAAGCGTGGAATGGAGGTGGTCAGAGAGAGAAGCCCGGCTCTGCGCTTCTTTTGCCTAAACTCCAGCACGCATGGCAGAGCGGGTGGGAGAAGTGCCGCCCGTTCTGCTGGGATGTCACGGGTAGCTCCGTGATATCCTCTTCCGGGGGCCGTTCTCAAACACCAAGGGTGGCGCAGCACTCTACGAGAGAGGTGAATGGATTCTTTGTTTGGGTCTCACGGGGGGGGGGGGGGGGGGGGGAATCCAGAGATCTTATGAATCTTCGTGCTATCTGCCAACCCCACGCCTCCTAAAAAATGATTTGCACCCTCACCACCATGACCATCACTACACCACTACCCCCTGCCATCACCACTACCGCCATCACCGCCACCACCCCCGCCACAACCACCACCGCCTCCACCACCGCCTCCACCACCGCCATCACCGCCATCACCGCCACCACCCCCACCACCGCCATCACTACCCCCCGCCACCGCCACCCGCTTCGCCCCACCTTGAGCAAGGACTTGCCGATGGCCGGGTTGAGTTTCTCGTCCACCATGAGGATGACAATGCCGCGATCGTCCATCCCGCGGCGTCCCGCTCGCCCCGACATCTGGATATACTCGCCCGAAGATATCTGCCGTGAGAAGATGGTGGGGGGAGGGGCGGGGGGAGGGGCGGGGGAAGGTGGGGGTTGAGCGAGGCACACGTGCACAAACGCACGTTCGGAAAAATCACGGCACTCTCCGAATGACGGCGGCGACGACGACGACCGTGCCGTGTCCCCAGAAGCTCTCGGGGCTATCGGTATCAGAATCAAATTATTGATAACTGCAGGAGGAATATTCTTTGGCTCTTTCGCTAAAGTCGCGCAGATAGGTTCAGAGAAGGACAACAAAAAGCGGCGACGTTTCGATGGCAACACAAGCGGTCGCCATCGACTGATCATCAAATGACGACGAACGAGCGTGTGGCGCTCGAAACGTCGTAGCTTTTTTGTTATTTTTTCTTTGAACCTATCTACGTGCGTGACTTTCACCGAAAGACCCAAAGAATCTGAATTCCTGCAGTCACGAAAGCCTTAAGTGCAGGAGGAATCCGATGCGCTATAAAGCTCTCGTTTTCACGGATGTCCAGTAGGGGCACGGGGTCAGAACGTTCCAAACAACAAACAGTACACAAACCGCAACAGCAGCGCAAAGTACGAGAAAGTTAAACAAATCACCCAGACACATACAAATACAACAACTTAACCATCGCTGCCCTACCCAGGCAAAGCCCCGTCACCGAGGTTATTAACTTGTTTTCCCGAAGCGACCTGCCCATCACAAATGATGATGGCCGCTCAACAAAGCAGGGCCCCCCCCCCCACGTCGTTTGGACATTTACAGGAGCAAAATGATCAATATCGTCTCAACGCGCACGTTTACTCAATGTTGGAGGGGACAAAAAACCGGCGGGGTGGCTCGGTGGGTTGTAGAGAGCGTGGCGTCGCCTGCGGACAAGCCGTGCTAACCCGTACGGCTACACCAGGGGTGGGTAACGTTCGGCCCGTGGGCTGTATGAGGCCCGCAAAATCATTTGTGTCTCTGGCCCTGTCAAGGCAACCGCAGGCGGGACTCGAAATTTAAGAAATCTAGGAGAGCAAACCTAGAAAAGCAGTTTGCGAGTAGCAGCAACATCGTCAACACCAGCTAACATCTTCACACGCCTCGCCAAAGAGAAAGCAGTTCCAGCCATCGCATTAGGGGCGAGTTAATTAAATGTTTAAGTTGATAATTTTGTATGGCCCGCGAGTTATGTTATAAATATCCAAATGGCCCTTGGCAGAAAAAAGGTTCCCCACCCCTGGGCTACAACGCAATTCCTTGTACGGGGAAATTGAGTTTTCCAGGTCTAGCTGTTTCAATACGGGCGGCAAACGTAAAACACAAATTGTGTCAATTTGTTTGCGTTTCTCCCCGGTGATGGGACTTTGCCGGATAAGGGCACGGAGGTGACCAATAAGGTCTGAACTGGTCTGTCATAAGGTAGGGCACTGGTAAGGAGTTTACAGGTATGTAGTGGTGTATAGTAGTGCATAGTGTAGTGTATAGTGTAGTGTTTAATAGTGTAGTGTATAGTAGCGTACCTGTCGACCCATACGGTTTAGCCGTATTCTTATACGGGTAAACAAAATGTGGCTCTGTGTTTGTGTTTCTCCCTTGTGATGGGACTTTGTAGGATGAACGTTGAGATTTAGGCGACCAATAAGGTCTGATTTCGGTCTGTAACAAGGTAGGCACTGATAAGGGATTGACAGGTATGAAGTGGTGAGTGTACTAGTGGTTGAGTGTAGTGCTGGTGAGTGTACTATTGGTGAGTGTACTAGTGGTGAGTGTACTAGTGGCGAGTGTACTAGTGGCGAGTGTACTAGTGGCGAGTGTACTAGTGTTGTCTATTTGTTTGTTGAGATTTATAAGGGCACGGGGTGGCCAATAAGGTCTTTAACAAGGTAGGCCACTGATAAGGGGTTGACCGGTATGCCTTCACTGCCGGCAGGAAAGAGTTTAGCGCGAAGGGACCGCACCATGCGTTTCACTGGCACGGGGGGTCCCCCCCAAACAGCAGCGCACAACTTCACGCTGAAATCCCCTTCTTCCTCGTAGCGATGGCATCTCGACGAGAGTCGTCGCGTCGTCCGCACCTCCCGATGAGCACGGTTGGCTACGTACGGTGCTAAAGAAGTTCGCCATACGTACGCACGTAGAGTCACGCCCCACCTCCCCCCACGGATCAACACGCGAGGGGACTGACGGGCAGAGCCGATGCATAAAAACGCTTCCCCCGCCTCAAATCAGAAAGCACGAGATGCACCATCATAACACAACGGGAACACCAGCGACCTACGTATCCGGGAAGCCGGTCCATCGACTCGCCATCAGCGGAGGGTTTTCGACCCCCCCTTACGGTAAAAGAGGGCGAGCGAGAAGGCGAGTGAGCGAGCGAGCGAGCGGGCCGCTTTTGGAGGGCACTCTCGACGTGCCGCTCGACCTGCCATCCGCCGGCTGATTGGCGCTGCCTCGCTTCTCAAATCGAGTTAAAGCCCCCACGCGGCGAGGAAACCGCTCGTTTACTCATTAGGGGGGGGGGGGGTGATGATTGGGGAGGAAATTGATCGTTTCGACTCGGGAAGGGGATAGGTGGGGAGAGTAGGGGGCAATTGCCCCACGCACGCCTTATTTTTTTATTTAAACTAACCATCGATTAGGCAAGACGACAAAACGGCCATTCAGCTGGACACGATTAGCAACGGGCAGCGAGACGGCAAGGGGCTCGCTTCACCGCGAGGGCTTTCTCAACCACTGTCGACTCGCAACGCCGCCGTTGCCGCGCGGGGGGGTTCAGCTCGCTCGCGAACAAGTCGAGGGCCGCCAACACGGCCGCGCTCCGAGAAGCACAGATTAATCATCTCGGCGGCCGTAACCGCTCCCCCCCCCCACCCCACCCCCTGGGGCCCACCCGGCCGCCCCACACGCACCGTCAAACCGTCAAACTGAGCGTGAAAGGCACCCACACCATGGGCGCAGGCCCGAACCAGGGTAAATAATCGCCAGCTCGACGTGAAAATATTATCTTGTTAAACAAGTGAGGAACTGACGCTTTCCCCCCCACCACTCTCTCTCCCTCCCTCCCTCCGAAAAGGTGTTAATAAAACGCAAACAGTCGCGCGGAAAATATCCTTCACCCGCGGCGGCCGCGTAGTTCCCCTATCCACGGCCGCACGCTCCGCCGACCACCGCGACTCAGGTGACCTCTCTCGGGGGGTCGTCTCCCTCGCTGCCGCCGGCCCCCCCGTCACCGCCGTTTTATAATTGAGAGGAATTCCAGAACGCGTAGCGGTGCGGTGCGAGGGAAGAAGGAGAAGTGTGGGGGAGCTGCGGGGATTTTGGTGGTGGGGAAGTCCAACTCTCCGGAGCGGTGTCAGAATCCAGAGAATAACGCAGCTGCCGCCTACCACCACCACCACCGTCGCCACCGCTAGACCGCACGACCAGCAACTTAAACCATTTTTTAGTTTACCGAGTTGAGGCCCACTGAGCTGTATAGAGGCTCTATTTTTTTCAGAAGCGACCCACCCAAAACGCAAATGACAGCTCAACGAAGTGTCGTGGAAAAAGCACAGCGGCAGCAGCCAAATGCTCCAAAACGCGTGGCGATGTCGATTCTAAATGTGCAGGGGAGAAAGCGGAGGGGGCCCGGATAAAAATCCACGCGACCACGGGGAGAGAGGCGCTGCGCAAACTCCAAAATGTACAGCAGGCGTCGTCAGGGTCGGGATCTTAACCCGCAAACACCGGGCGAGGTAGTTCACGTCTCGCCAATGTGCCACCCACTGCCACAGCCCCACCTACCCAGCGGAAGTCTTTGCCGTCGAACTTGCGCGCGTTGGTGAAGAGCACGGTGCGCGCCGGCATGTTGATCCCCATGGCGAACGTCTCCGTGGCAAACAGCGCCTGTTGGGGCAAGTGCTGTTGGTGAGTAGCAACTATGAAGACCGGCACGGCACACGAGGGGGTGGGTGGCCAGGGGATTTGAACAGCGAGCTCACGCCGGTTATTGTTTGTGCGTTAATAGTTCACCTGCTCGCGTGGCCGCGTTTTTTGTTATTCGTTTTTGTTTAGAATGCGGTTTCTTTCATTGCTGCGCTTTGTGTTTTGATTTTCAGTGAGCCAGAGGTCAACTCCTGCGAATGAGACGCCTACATCCTGGGCTCTAGAGTTCCCACCTGCAGGTTAAATAAAATAAACTTGAACTCACTTGCTCACTCACAACTTCTAACTCAATCATTCACCCACTCACCCACCATCTTGCCCACCCACCCATTCATCCACTCACCCACTCACCCATTCATCCACTCACCCATCCACCCATTCATCCACTCACCACCCACCCATTCATCCACTCACCACCCACCCATTCATCCACTCACCCACCTACACATTCATCCAGTCACACACCCACCCATTCATCCACTCACTCACCCACCCACACACTCAATCACCCACGGAACCCTTGCGAATGAGACTCGCACCTCCGATCAGCACGGTTGGCTACATACGGTGCGAAACAAGCTCAAACATGCACGTACACACATACATGCAGACTCCTATATCCTGGTCTCTTTGAGCTCTCACCCAGGTCCAACAAATTCCCCGTGAGCTTGCCGCGGGCTCGTCTCACCTTGATGAGGCCCTCCGAGAAGAGGATCTCGATGGTCTCCTTGAGGATGGGCAGCAGGCCTCCGTGGTGGATGCCGATGCCTCTCCTGAGCAGGGGCAGCACGTGCTCCACCTGCGACGGGCACCGACAGGAGACGCGCACGGCACGCACGGCACGCACGGGACACACAGATGTTTGTACATACGTAGAACTTCTTTCGCACCGTACGTAGCCATCAGTGCTAATCGGAGTGCTGCTTGTTGCCTGTACTCGCAACAAGCATGCCAATAAAAGTTTGAGGAAGTGAAACCCACACGGAGCTCCCTCGCTCTCCCTCGCTCTCTCTCTCAAGTCTCTCACCTGCGGCAGTTTCTTGTCCTCGTCGGACAGGCAGTCGATGGCGTTGGTGAACACCTCATCCACCAGCTTCTTCTCATCGTCTGCACCCGACACGGCGGGGGCAGGATGTGGCGGTGAGCAACGGTCGAGCGGCGGTTTCACAAGCAACAGCGAGAAACACCGCGATCGCGGTCGGGGTTAGGTGGAGGGCGGGAACCAACACCAGCGGCGAGACGACTCGCGGCCACGTCCGTCGGCTCAGGCCGCCCCCGTGAACCACACGACTTCTGTCTGTCTGTGTGTCTTTGTCTTTTTTGTGTGTGTGGCCACCCCCTCTCCTTTCCCCGCCCACTGTGAGGACAGACGCCGCCCCGTGCAGCGGCGGCGAGGCCCTCGTGCGGGCCTCTCCGTCCGCAGCCTCAACTCTCCTGACCGCTGCGCTCCCGGTCTCTCCGTTCCTTCTCCGCCCTTTTCCATCTCGCTTTCCCCCGCTCCGTCGCTTCTCTCTTCGCCGCCTGCCGTTCCCTTTCTCTCCATCCTCGATTCCACCACACCTCCCCGTGGCGCGGACCAAAAAGGTACGAAGCTTGCTAACCGCCACGCGGTAGCGTGGCGGTTAGCAAGCTGCGTTAGAAACCCGGCGACATTCTCGCTCACGGCCAACACCCAGTGATGATAATTTGAACCGGTGCTGGGCTTCCCCGAGGCCGACTCGGCCTCAATTGAATACCCGGTGCGGTGTGTAAAAAACATCAGCACTGGGGAGACAAAGGCTTGCCACCTTACCCCCTCGCGTGCTGTTCCGGCATTCATAGGAGCAACTCGCTAAAAACAGCACTTGCACCCCAACAGCCTCTTAAGGCTACGTGGGGGATCTTTGCCTGTGCATGTGTGTGTGTGTGTGGATTTAAAACGCGGCCGCACCCGTGTTGAAATCCAGCTTGGTCATCTGCATGGCGTAGGCCTCGCAGTCCTTCTTGCTGAAGCTGAAGATGATGACCGGCTGGAAGTTCCTCTCCATGATCATCTTGACGATCTTGAACACGTTGCAGGGGCCTGCTCTCGGTGTGGGGGGAGGGGGGGGGCGGGGGAGGAACGACGGGGGGGGGGATGACGACGATCGTGGGAGCTCTCTTCCGGGACGGCGCGCGATGGCGTCGTTGCTTGTGGCGGAAGCACGGAATGCGACGATACCGTGACGTTTCCGAGAATAAAAACGACGGTTCCGCATTCCGGCGGCCGCGAAATCGAACTCGGGTCGCCGGGTTCGTCGCGCGGCTCGCGAAGCGACTCACCCTTCGTGCCCCCCTTTCGCCCCTTCTGGTCGCCCTTGGCCAGGTCCCCCACGTCCCGCAGAACCTGCATGGCCGAGCTGAAATTGTCCTCGCGGAATTCACCCTTGGCGGCGGTGGGTGGGGGGGGGGAGAGAGACGGCAGGCACAGAGACACAAGTCGGCGTGAGAGTGAATTGTCACTCGCACGAGAGCCGAGCCGGTGGTGGAAATTCTCCATCCCTACGGCGGCGACGGTGGAAATTCTCCATCCCTACGGCGGGGGTGGGGGGCGGGGCGGGGCGAACCAGAGGACGACACGGACCGAATCTTTACTCAGGAGTTGAGGCCTACGTCGAAATCTCCCACAAGGCAGCACACATCGTCGGGGCTCGGAAGCGGAGCAGGGCTGAGTCTGGATCGTGCGCGAATGGGCACCCACCACGAGTCGTTGTACCGTACTCCCGTTCTCCCACGCCTTTGCTCTCCGCTTTAACCAATCCACTTTATCCACTCCGAGTAGCGAAGCGTGCAACGTTCGCCATCGGCGTGGGACGGACGGCACTCCCATCCAGGAGCGGTTTGGGCAAGCAGTCTGGATACAGGATCAGATTCCGTGTAGCTTGGAGCAAGGATTCATTTCAGTTCAGACCCAAGATATTTATGATCCGTCCCGGAAAAACCAACACAGCCTGGAAAAATGCTGGGCTATCATTTGTGGCCAGGTCGCTTCTGAAAAATAAGTTAATACCTCAGTGGGCTTTACCTGGTAGGATCGGGGATGGTTTAGTTGTTGTATTTGTCTGCGTTTTGGTGATTTGTTAAACTTTCTTGTACTTTGCACGACTGTCGTGGTTTTGTAACTGTTTGTTGTTGTAACGTTCTTACCCCGTGCTCCTACTGGACATCTGTAAAAAAGATCTTAACAGCTCATCGGATTCCTCCTGCTGTTATATATAAATTGATTCTGACAATGACCAATTACATCGATTGACTTCCATCTCTATGGAAAAGCGTTAGTCTCCCCCCGCCCCCACCGCCTTGCTCGCATTAACCTTTCTCCGGGAACAACCCCCCCCCCCAATCCGGGACCCAAAAGTCCTCGCAAATCCCGATCCGGTGCTGCCCCATCACCACCGAGCCGCCCACAATCCGGACACGGGTGTCCACCAACGCAGTACGGCGACGGCGGCGGCGGCGTCACGCATGGGTGTGGCCGGAGTTTACAGCGCGCGCTCACGTTCTCGTCCAAGACGAGGTGGAGGCCGTCCCCGCCCGCCGGGAAGATGTAGTGCTGCAGCGGGGTGGGGCGGTAGTCCGTGTAGACCACGTGGCACGGCTGCACGGGGGGAGCGCGGGGAGGAAGAGGAGAGAGACACGGGGAGGAGGAGGATGAGCAGGAGAGTGAGAGAAACACACACGGGGAGGAGGAGAGACACACGTGGAGGTGGAGACACGTGGTGGAGGAGGACAGAGAGAGACGGGGAGGGAGAAGGGTGGGGGGGAGCTAGAGACGAGCCAGGTGATAGCGACCTCGACGCCCTCTGGTGGGAAGAGAGTGCACCCATCCTGGCACAAGCGCTGCGGTGATGTCACGCCGACCTAGTGATGAATGGTGGCTGCTGCTGTGCGTGTGTACGTGCGTGCGTGGAGAGCAGCAGAGGAGGGCGAGCAGGAGGAAGGAGGAGGAGGGGGGGGGAGAGGTCAGCCAGGTGAGTGTCGCTCACCTGGACGTGGAGGTGACAGATCCACTCGGCGAACTGGCGAGCGTTGGGGATGGTGGCGGACAGGAACACGTAGTGCACGTTGTTCGGCAGCAAGATGATCGTCTCCTCCCACACCACGCCGCGTTCTACACCAGGAACAAAGATCCCCCATAGAGCCTCAAGCAGACTGTTGGGGCAAGGGCCGTCAGCGAGCGCCTGCGTACCGTGTCGGCCTTCGTGAGCGGGCGGCTGGTCAACGCCACACCCGGCCACCTTTGTCTCCCCAGTGTACACAGCACAACGATCAACCATGTGGCCTATGCACAGGCTGCTGGGGCAAGTACTATTTGCGGCACAGCTCCTAGGCTCATAAGGCCGCACGCTCGTGACCTCCGGGTCAACGCAGCCACACGCGAGCGGCCTCCGGACTAATGGGTCACCGGCTGTACCTGCGTCCCTCATGTAGTGGATTTCGTCAAAGATGACCCAGGCCATCTCTCGCATGACCTCCGACCCCCTGTAGAGCATGCTTCGCAGAATCTGCGGAGAGACGGTGGGGACGGGGAGGTGGAGCGGAGCGTCGGTCACCAACGCCAACGGCTTTCGTTTCTTCGGCAAGGCCTCGGCGGAGCCTCGAGGGATCCCTTCCCGAGAGGGTCATCACGCTTGCGACGGCGTTTGGCCAATTCGTTATCGGGGAGGAAAATTGGAGCACCTGGGTGGGGGGTCAGCCCTTGGGTCTGCGCTCGTGGGCTCGTGCTGTGGTCAGGGTTAGATAACGTCGGGCTCAGGGTTAGAGGCCGTTCAAGCGTTGCTGCTCGTTCTAAGGGTTAGCGTTAATGCTAGGCGCAGGCTTAGCCGGGGTATGCTTATGCCCAGGCACCAGCGCCGCCCGCGGCTGCTCATGACGAGGCCAGAGTTTGTGGAAGGATTTGGGCGAGGCTCGGGGCTGGGGGGGGGGGAGTGGAGAGGTTAGAGGGAGGGGACATCGCGACGGCTGCCGCGCTCACCTCGGTGGTCATGATGAGGCAGGAGGCCGTGGGGTTGATGGTGACGTCGCCGGTCATGAGGCCCACGTCGCGGAACTCCTCCGACATCTCGCGGTACTTCTGGTTGCTCAGCGCCTTGATGGGGCTCGTGAAGATCACGCGCTGCTTCTCGCGCAGCGCCAGCGCGATCGCGTACCTGCGCCGGGGAGCGGCGGGGCGGGGAGGTGCAGGAGGAGGGCGCTTTGTCGCACACTTCCGACTGCATGGCAAGCCGTCGCCGAAAGCGCGGCGGTGTCCGTCCCGTCCCGGCCGGGAACGCTCTCCGCGCGACGCGGAATGCTCTCGTCGCGCTGTTTTTGCATTGTTTGCTTGTCGTCGGAACGTTCGGATCCCCCGTGGCCCCGACCGGACAAGTGTGGGGAAAGTAAAGAGCTTCACGGCTCATCGGATTGCTCCGGTATAAATACTCCGATTGTGTCAATTCCTTGAGCCGCGCGGGCCAAGCGCGGAATGATACGGCGACGGTTGGGGCGTACCCTCAATTACTTGTCCTGCCGTCTTACTGCGTCGTAGTAGTAGCACATCCCATCTCGCAAAAACTTTACCGTGACCATTCGTGGGGGAAATGTTTTCACTCGAAGCGTTTTTTTTTCGCTGAACGCAACACTTTTTGAGGAACGCATCTGCCGCTTCAAAACGAGGACTCGCCATGCTTATTCCTCCGCGTGCGTCCTGCCGAGCCGCACACTGGGCTCTCGTTGTAAACGCGTCGTCGGCAAATGAACGACGAGCTGCTGTTTGCCGACACACTCGTCGTTGTACGTCGAGATCCACACGCGGAGGAGGTGGTTGCTAAAAGAAAAACTATTATTTTTTTTTAACTTACCAGGTAAGGCCCACTGAGCTGTACAGCTCATTATTCAGAAGCGGCCTGGCTATCGCTAATGATAGCTCAACGAAGTTGGCTGATCACGTGGTGATTTATAGCAGCGGCCAAATGCTCTAAACGCGTGGTGACGTTGACTCTAAATGTGGAGGGGAAAACCCGAGGGGAAAATCCACGCGACCACGGGGAGAGAGAGAGAAAGACGTGCAAACTCAAAATATACAGCAGCAGCAGGCGTCAGGGTCAGGGGATCCAACCCACGACCTCCTGTATACCAGGCGAGGTAGTTAACATTGCCTAGCCACTGCGATGATGATGATGAGAGAGACGCAGACTCCAAATACACAGTAGGCATCGTCAGGGTTAGGGTCAAACCCACGACCTCCTGCATACCAGGCGAGGTAGTTAACATTGCCTAGACACTGCGATGATGATGATGATGAGAGAGACGCAGACTCCAAATAAACAGTAGGCATCGTCAGGGTTAGGGTCAAACCCACGACCTCCTGCATACCAGGCAAGGTAGTTAACATTGCCTAGACACTGCGATGATGATGATGATGAGAGAGACGCAGACTCCAAATAAACAGTAGGCATCGTCAGGGTTAGGGTCAAACCCACGACCCTCCTGCATACCCAAGGAAGCGGCTAACCGTCATAACGTGGAAAAACGACAGCAGCAGCGAAATACTGCTGCTGTACGAACGCAGGAGGGGGGAAAAAAACGGAGGACCCGGGAGGTTAAATGGATCGGCGCGCGCTCCACCGAGCCCATCTGCGAGGAGCGTGCGCCGGCGGCGCCGGGGGAAGACGTACTCGGCACACACGGTCTTGCCGGCCGACGTGTGCGCCGACACGAGTACCGAGTGGCCGTTGTCGAGACACGCGATGGCCTCGCGCTGGAATGGGTCCAGCACGAAGGGGTACTCCTGCACGCGGGGGAAGGTGGGGGGGGGGAGCAACAGTGGGGGGTGAGACGGTACAAGCGCAAGCGACGAGGGTTTGTTTGTATCTCCACCCCCCCACCCACCCGGTCCGTCCTCTACGGCGAGCGCCGGTCAAAGCCGGCGCGGCGCGCAAACGGGTGGCCGCCACCACCGCGCCCGCACGCACACGTGTGTATACACGTGTGGGACGAAGAAGGCGTAATGAGGAAGGGCCATTGCCCGGAACGTCGTCTATTACATCTATTTGTTATGAATGCGTCGAGCGTGTTCGTCATTAGTGCTTGTGAGCAGCAGCAGCAGCAGCGCTTCATAATGTGTCACAGCCTGGTGAGGGCGAGCACGGCAGGTGCGGCATCTGTGTCGGCCGACGTTGAACTTCTTTCGCGCCGTACGTAGCCACCCGTGCTAATCTGTGCGGCAGGGGGTGGGGGGTGTGGCTGACGCACCACGCCCGGCCACCTTTGTCTCTCCGGCGGCGATTTACACCCCCCCCGCGCTCCCGCACACAGTACTAATTTTAAAAGGCCGAGTTGTCCGAGAGGAGAGGCCCGGGACCGGTTCAGATAATAATCGCCGCTGACGTTGGTCGGACAAATCTCACTCGGGGTCACCGGGGGGACGTAGCTCAGTGCAACGCTTTTAGGGTGTCAAAGTGGCAAGATGTTAACTACCTCGCCTGGTATACAGGAGGTTGCGAGTTCGATCCCAAAACTCGAGCCTGCTCTGTAATTAAGTGGAGTTTATATTCTTGATTCTTTCGGTAAAGTCACGTAGAAGGGAAACAATAAAATAATAAAAATATGAAACAATAAAATTTTCACGACGTTTCGACTGCAACACAAGCAATCATCATCAGGTGTGAAAACCACAGCAATAAAATTTGAAAAAAGTGGCGGGTTTTTTAACGTCAAAATAGATGGACGAGTCCATCTAAATAGATGGGATTCATATTCTTGGTTCTTTATTCTACGTGACTTTACCGAAAGAACCAAGAATATGAGTCCCTGCAGTCACGAAAGCTTTAAATCAAAAATTTAAGTGGAGTTTGCGTGCGATTCTCTCTCCCCGTGGGCTCGTGGATTTTTCTCTGGGTTCTCTGGTTTGTACCCTCCACACTGAGAAACAAGCGTTGAAATTATTTGGCTACTGCTATGAATTTCCAAGTGACGATAAGCCACTTTTTGTTGAGCTATCATTTACCGGCCAGGTCGCTTCTGAAAAAAAAAGACTACGTAGCTCAGTGGGTCTTACCTGGTAAAATAAAAAAACAAAAAATTTAGTTTAGTTCGGCGAACCACGAGGCAACCGCAGGTGGGGGGGGGGGGCGAGGGCTTACCTTGGCGGGAGGACCGACGCGGGGCTTCAGGGGCGTGTACTCCTCGCTGGACGGAAGGGCCACCTGCGACGACGGGCAGCGGAGAGAGTTGCGTTTCAAGCGCGTCGCACGCCCTCCGTCAAATCCGCCGACGGAATCCCGCGGCGGGCGTTCACGGAGGCCTTCCCCCGCTTTGCGGTTTGTGCGATTTTTTTGTTTTGTTTGGAACGCACCGAACTACTACGACTACCCTGTGGACGGATGAACCTTCGCCATGGGAACGTGGAATTTCCGCCACTGGACTGCCAGTGGCGACGAGGGACCATCGCATGGCCGCTTGAGCGCCAAGACACTGTTGTGTTTGTGATAGCTGCGATTTGCAGTCACCGTTCACTCTCGCAGGGATGGGGAATTCAGAAGCGCGGGGACACACTCCAGACACGTGGGAGGGCAGCCAGAACCGGCGCCAAAACAATTGGCCAAACTCCGTGGCCAATTACTGGGATGTTTGGTCAATTCCGTGAATGAGCGTTTAATCACGACCGCGTAAGAGGGAGTTTGTTTCGAGATTAAGAATGTTCTCTCTTAAGGAGACCTGGGTGATCAAAATGTATTTATCGCAAAGTTAGCAAAAATAGTTGTGCATCGTGCCAGAAAAAAAAACTGCTTCTACGGGACAAGATTACAACAGAGTTGAACATCATGTTGGCAAACAGGCTTAAAGCACAGCAAATGAAACCAGCCACCGGAACACCACGAGGTCATAGAGCGCGACCAATGAACCCTTTCCCGGTTCCGACGGCGTACCTTTATGTCATCAGTTTTTCTTCCGATTCCGTACTCGATTTGTTTACGTCATCGAATCGATTTCGAACGGAATCGCAAGCAACGGGCCAATCGAGAGGGAGCGCGGGATGAGCGTACGAAGCGAGACGATTGGCTTGCGGAACCACAATGCCGGCCCAAGCACCCAGGCACCCGCCCGTAAGTGGCCCCCACGATCCACGCACCTCGTGCAAGCAGCCCTCCAGCGTCTCCACTTGCACCGTCTTCACCTTGGGCATGAGGTCTGAAATGCTGTGGGGCATGGGGGGGTCAAAGGTCAGGTGTGTATCCCTCCAGAGACCCGGGGGGGGGGGGGGGGAAGCCTCACTTGGCGAGAGCGACTGACCCGTGTGGCCAAGATGACATCGGCAAAACAAGCCGAGCAATGTACAGAGAAGAAAAGAGAATTGAAGAGAGAGAGAGAGGCGAGGAGACACGGAGACACAGCCGCGGTGACTCGGAACCAAGGGGTGTGAAGATACAGAAAGACGGGAGACGTGCGAGGCATGGCACACATTGGCGTTACTCTTGCACGTGACGTCAAGGGATCTTTAACGTCCACTTCGAGTCGCCAACCGTGCTACGTACGGTGCGAAAGAAGTCCATCACACATACATTGAGCGAAACAGGTTGGCGCGTAGCATTATTACGGTTAATACGACGCCCCGCGGTAATAATCAAAGTGGCCGATGGATTCAAACCTCTGCAACATGCGACAGAATATCTTCTCTCTCCCCAAACGGCTCGCCATCTCAAGCACAATCAACCCACCCATCCCTCTCTACGTCCGTCCGTCCATCTAGATTATATGACTCTATTTCCACGTGATGATAAGCCACTTCGTTGAGATATCATTTGTGGCCAAGTCACTTCCGAAAAAGAAATAGCTCAGTGGCCCTGCCCTGGCAAAATAAAAAGTTGAGTTTAAAGTTAATTAATTCTAGATTTGAAGCTTTCGTGACTTTACCGAATAGAACCAAAGAGTATTAAAGTTAATTAATTGTACTCCTGATGATGATTGCTTGTGTTGCAATCGAAACGTCGTATATTATTTTAATTATTATTTCTTTCTACGTGACTTTACCGAAAGAACCAAAGAGTAACTCCTATCGTGTTTTTTTGTATTGTTTGGTGTCGTAACTTTCTGACCCACCCTGACTGGACATGTGAAAAAGAGCTTTATAGCTCATCGGATTTCTCCAGGATAAATATTCTGATTCTGCTATAGCTCACGTGGAATCCCTCCCTCTCCTACCCTCCCTCCCCTCCCACCCCCCCTCACATCCATCTCATCTATCTGTCTCATCCCTCTATCCACCATCTATCTTTCAGATGGTGGATGGTCGGTTGAAAACAAATTTCTTTAGAACTGCTTTTTGCTGCGTTCAGTTTCTTGTCCTTCCCCCGCACCTCCGATGAGCACGGTCGGCTACGTACGGCGGTGCGAAAGACGTCCAACACACGGTACTTACACAGAGACCCACAGACTCGCACAGAAACCCATAGACTCGTCACACAGAGACCCATGGACTCGCACAGTTCGACACACACAACATCACACGCATTCAGAAACCGAATCCTTCCAATCCATCCATCCATTCACATCCACCCCTCTCCGCGGCATCAATCAAATCTCTCCACCCGAGACCCTCGGGGGTGGGGCACACCAGGCCCCACGGTGCGCTCACTTGGAATCCTCCGAGAGCTTGATCTTCTTGCCGAGCGGGGCATTGTCCACCACCGCCGTCGGCTCGTCCTCCTCCACCTCGCGCTTGCCTCGCTCCGCTCTGCCGCTCGTCCCGGCTTTCGAGCCGCGGCCATTCCTCCTGGCAGGGGAGAAAACGCGGGCGAAGTTTGGTGATCGCCGAGAGTTACGTCCGAACGCCAAACCCCCCCAAGGCTGGGCGCCACGGTGGCAAGGAGATGTTATGACTACCTCGCCTGGTATACAGGAGGTCGTGGGTTCAATCCAGACCCTGAAGGCGTGCTGTATATTTGGAGTCTGCGTCGCTCTCTCTTATCATCATCACGGCGGCTAGGAGATGTTATGACTACCTCGCCTGGTTTACAGGAGGTCGTGGGTTCAATCCAGACCCTGAAGGCCTGCTGTATATTTGGAGTCTGCGTCGCTCTCTCTTATCATCATCACGGTAACGAGGAAATGTTATGACTACCTTGCCTGGTATACAGGAGGTCGTGGGTTCCATCCAGACCCTGAAGGCGTGCTGTATATTTGGAGTCTGCGTCGCTCTCTCTTATCATCATCACGGCGGCTAGGAGATGTTATGACTACCTCGCCTGGTATACAGGAGGTCGTGGGTTCAATCCAGACCCTGAAGGCCTGCTGTATATTTGGAGTCTGCGTCGCTCTCTCTTATCATCATCACGGCGGCTAGGAGATGTTATGACTACCTCGCCTGGTATACAGGAGGTCGTGGGTTCAATCCAGACCCTGAAGGCCTGCTGTAGATTTGGAGTCTGCGTCGCTCTCTGTTATCATCATCACGGCGACGAGGAGATGTTATGACTACCTCGCCTGGTATACAGGAGGTCGTGGGTTGAATCCAGACCCTGAAGGCCTGCTGTATATTTGGAGTCTGCGTCGCTCTCTCTTATCATCATCACGGCGGCTAGATGTTATGACTACCTCGCCTGGTATACAGGAGGTCGTGGGTTCAATCCAGACCCTGAAGGCCTGCTGTAGATTTGGAGTCTGCGTCGCTCTCTCTTATCATCATCACGGCGGCTAGGGGATGTTATGACTACCTCGCCTGGTATACAGGAGGTCGTGGGTTCAATCCAGACCCTGAAGGCCTGCTGTATATTTGGAGTCTGCGTCGCTCTCTGTTATCATCATCACGGTGACGAGGAGATGTCATGACTACCTCGCCTGGTATACAGGAGGTCGTGGGTTCAATCCAGACCCTGAAGGCCTGCTGTATATTTGGAGTCTGCGTCGCTCTCTCTTATCATCATCACGGCGGCTAGGAGATGTTATGACTACCTCGCCTGGTATACAGGAGGTCGTGGGTTCAATCCAGACCCTGAAGGCCTGCTGTATATTTGGAGTCTGCGTCGCTCTCTCTGATCATCATCACGGCGGCTAGGAGATGTTATGACTACCTCGCCTGGTATACAGGAGGTCGTGGGTTCAATCCAGACCCTGAAGGCCTGCTGTATATTTGGAGTCTGCGTCGCTCTCTGTTATCATCATCACGGCGGCTAGGAGATGTTATGACTACCTCGCCTGGTATACAGGAGGTCGTGGGTTCAATCCAGACCCTGAAGGCGTGCTGTATATTTGGAGTCTGCATCGCTCTCTCTTATCATCATCATGGCGGCTAGGAGATGTTATGACTACCTCGCCTGGTATATAGGAGGTCGTGGGTTCAATCCAGACCCTGAAGGCCTGCTGTATATTTGGAGTCTGCGTCGCTCTCTGTTATCATCATCACGGTGACGAGGAGATGTTATGACTACCTCGCCTGGTATACAGGAGGTCGTGGGTTGAATCCAGACCCTGAAGGCGTGCTGTATATTTGGAGTCTGCGTCGCTCTCTCTTATCATCATCATGGCGGCTAGGAGATGTTATGACTACCTCGCGTGGTATACAGGAGGTCGTGGGTTCAATCCAGACCCTGAAGGCGTGCTGTATATTTGGAGTCTGCGTCGCTCTCTCTGATCATCATCACGGCGGCTAGGAGATGTTATGACTACCTCGCCTGGTATACAGGAGGTCGTGGGTTCCATCCAGACCCTGAAGGCCTGCTGTAGATTTGGAGTCTGCGTCGCTCTCTCTTATCATCATTACGGCGGCTAGGAGATGTTATGACTACCTCGCCTGGTATACAGGAGGTCGTGGGTTCAATCCAGACCCTGAAGGCCTGCTGTAGATTGGAGTCTGCGTCGCTCTCTCTTATCATCATCACGGTGATGAGGAGATGTTATGACTACCTCGCCTGGTATACAGGAGGTCGTGGGTTCAATCCAGACCCTGAAGTCGTGCTGTATATTTGGAGTCTGCGTCGCTCTCCTCTTATCATCATCATGGCGGCTAGGAGATGTTATGACTACCTCGCCTGGTATACAGGAGGTCGTGGGTTCAATCCAGACCCTGAAGGCCTGCTGTATATTTGGAGTCTGCGTCGCTCTCTGTTATCATCATCACGGTGACGAGGAGATGTTATGACTACCTCGCCTGGTATACAGGAGGTCGTGGGTTGAATCCAGACCCTGAAGGCGTGCTGTATATTTGGAGTCTGCGTCGCTCTCTCTTATCATCATCATGGTGGCTAGGAGATGTTATGACTACCTCGCGTGGTATACAGGAGGTCGTGGGTTCAATCCAGACCCTGAAGGCGTGCTGTATATTTGGAGTCTGCGTCGCTCTCTCTGATCATCATCACGGCGGCTAGGAGATGTTATGACTACCTCGCCTGGTATACAGGAGGTCGTGGGTTCAATCCAGACCCTGAAGGCCTGCTGTAGATTTGGAGTCTGCGTCGCTCTCTCTTATCATCATCACGGCGGCTAGGAGATGTTTATGACTACCTCGCCTGGTATACAGGAGGTCGTGGGTTCAATCCAGACCCTGAAGGCCTGCTGTAGATTTGGAGTCTGCGTCGCTCTCTCTTATCATCATCACGGTGATGAGGAGATGTTATGACTACCTCGCCTGGTATACAGGAAATCGTGGGTTGAATCCAGACCCTGAAGGCGTGCTGTATATTTGGAGTCTGCGTCGCTCTCTCTTATCATCATCATGGTGGCTAGGAGATGTTATGACTACCTCGCGTGGTATACAGGAGGTCGTGGGTTCAATCCAGACCCTGAAGGCGTGCTGTATATTTGGAGTCTGCGTCGCTCTCTCCGATCATCATCACGGCGGCTAGGAGATGTTATGACTACCTCGCCTGGTATACAGGAGGTCGTGGGTTCCATCCAGACCCTGAAGGCCTGCTGTAGATTTGGAGTCTGCGTCGCTCTCTCTTATCATCATCACGGCGGCTAGGAGATGTTATGACTACCTCGCCTGGTATACAGGAGGTCGTGGGTTCAATCCAGACCCTGAAGGCCTGCTGTAGATTTGGAGTCTGCGTCGCTCTCTCTTATCATCATCACGGTGATGAGGAGATGTTATGACTACCTCGCCTGGTATACAGGAAATCGTGGGTTCAATCCAGACCCTGAAGGCGTGCTGTATATTTGGAGTCTGCGTCGCTCTCTCTTATCATCATCATGGCGGCTAGGAGATGTTATGACTACCTCGCCTGGTATACAGGAGGTCGTGGGTTCAATCCAGACCCTGAAGGCCTGCTGTATATTTGGAGTCTGCGTCGCTCTCTGTTATCATCATCACGGTGACGAGGAGATGTTATGACTACCTCGCCTGGTATACAGGAGGTCGTGGGTTGAATCCAGACCCTGAAGGCGTGCTGTATATTTGGAGTCTGCGTCGCTCTCTCTTATCATCATCATGGTGGCTAGGAGATGTTATGACTACCTCGCGTGGTATACAGGAGGTCGTGGGTTCAATCCAGACCCTGAAGGCGTGCTGTATATTTGGAGTCTGCGTCGCTCTCTCTGATCATCATCACGGCGGCTAGGAGATGTTATGACTACCTCGCCTGGTATACAGGAGGTCGTGGGTTCCATCCAGACCCTGAAGGCCTGCTGTAGATTTGGAGTCTGCGTCGCTCTCTCTTATCATCATCACGGCGGCTAGGAGATGTTATGACTACCTCGCCTGGTATACAGGAGGTCGTGGGTTCAATCCAGACCCTGAAGGCCTGCTGTAGATTTGGAGTCTGCGTCGCTCTCTCTTATCATCATCACGGTGATGAGGAGATGTTATGACTACCTCGCCTGGTATACAGGAAATCGTGGGTTCAATCCAGACCCTGAAGTCGTGCTGTATATTTGGAGTCTGCGTCGCTCTCTCTTATCATCATCATGGCGGCTAGGAGATGTTATGACTACCTCGCCTGGTATACAGGAGGTCGTGGGTTCAATCCAGACCCTGAAGGCCTGCTGTATATTTGGAGTCTGCGTCGCTCTCTGTTATCATCATCACGGTGACGAGGAGATGTTATGACTACCTCGCCTGGTATACAGGAGGTCGTGGGTTGAATCCAGACCCTGAAGGCGTGCTGTATATTTGGAGTCTGCGTCGCTCTCTCTTATCATCATCATGGTGGCTAGGAGATGTTATGACTACCTCGCGTGGTATACAGGAGGTCATGGGTTCAATCCAGACCCTGAAGGCGTGCTGTATATTTGGAGTCTGCGTCGCTCTCTCTGATCATCATCACGGCGGCTAGGAGATGTTATGACTACCTCGCCTGGTATACAGGAGGTCGTGGGTTCCATCCAGACCCTGAAGGCCTGCTGTAGATTTGGAGTCTGCGTCGCTCTCTCTTATCATCATCACGGCGGCTAGGAGATGTTATGACTACCTCGCCTGGTATACAGGAGGTCGTGGGTTCAATCCAGACCCTGAAGGCCTGCTGTAGATTTGGAGTCTGCGTCGCTCTCTCTTATCATCATCACGGTGATGAGGAGATGTTATGACTACCTCGCCTGGTATACAGGAGGTCGTGGGTTCAATCCAGACCCTGAAGTCGTGCTGTATATTTGGAGTCTGCGTCGCTCTCTCTTATCATCATCATGGCGGCTAGGAGATGTTATGACTACCTCGCCTGGTATACAGGAGGTCGTGGGTTCAATCCAGACCCTGAAGGCCTGCTGTATATTTGGAGTCTGCGTCGCTCTCTGTTATCATCATCACGGTGACGAGGAGATGTTATGACTACCTCGCCTGGTATACAGGAGGTCGTGGGTTGAATCCAGACCCTGAAGGCGTGCTGTATATTTGGAGTCTGCGTCGCTCTCTCTTATCATCATCATGGCGGCTAGGAGATGTTATGACTACCTCGCCTGGTATACAGGAGGTCGTGGGTTCAATCCAGACCCTGAAGGCGTGCTGTATATTTGGAGTCTGCGGCGCTCTCTCTGATCATCATCACGGCGGCTAGGAGATGTTATGACTACCTCGCCTGGTATACAGGAGGTCGTGGGTTCCATCCAGACCCTGAAGGCCTGCTGTAGATTTGGAGTCTGCGTCGCTCTCTCTTATCATCATCACGGCGGCTAGGAGATGTTATGACTACCTCGCCTGGTATACAAGAGGTCGTGGGTTCAATCCAGACCCTGAAGGCCTGCTGTAGATTTGGAGTCTGCGTCGCTCTCTCTTATCATCATCACGGTGACGAGGAGATGTTATGACTACCTCGCCTGGTATACAGGATGTCGTGGGTTCGATCCTGACCCTGACGCCTGTTGTGAAATTAACACTGGGCAAAGGTCCGGTTGATACCCACTTGCTGTAACTTCCATCTCGGCCAAGCAACCACTCAACTAAAAACTGAACTTTTTACTTTGCCAGGTAAGGCCCACTGAGCTACATAGCTCTTTTTCAGAAGCGACCTGGCCACAAATGATTGCTCAGCGAAGTGGCTCATCGTCATGTGGACATTTATAGCAGCCAAATACTCTAAAACGCGTGACTCTAAATGTGGAGGGGAAAAATCGTAACCCAGGAGAAAAATCCACGCGACCACGGAGAGAGAGAGAGAGAGACACGCAAACTCAAAATATACAGCAGCAGCAGGCGTCAGGGTCAGGATCGAACCCACGATCTCCTGCACACCAGGTGAGGGAGTTAACATCTCCTAGCCACCGTGATTATGACAGAGAGACGGAAACTCTAAATATACAGCAGCAGGCATCGTGAGGGTCGGGATCGAACCCACAACCTCCTGTATACCAGACGAGGTAGTTAACATCTCCTAGCCACCATGATGATGATGACGAAAGAGACGCAGACTCCAAATGTACAGCAGCAGCAGGCATCAGGGTCGGGATCGAACCCACGGCCTCCTGCACACCAGGCGAAGGAGTAAACATCTCCCTAGCCACCGCGGCGTGCCCACGTTGGTTGCCTCTGGGTTCTCCCGTTTCTTCCCACACGAACTCGAAAGAACACATCCATTATCTCGGACTATAAGACGCACCACCCCCCCCCCCAGCCCCACTCTAGTTTCAAGCAAAATGTTTGGGGTGGGTGCGTCTTATAATCCGGTAAACGTGTGCTCATGTGAGACGGGATCCTAGATAACCGTACTGGCGCCGGGCACAGGTTGGGGTGCGAACGTCTTACTCTACCCGGAGCGTCTTACTCTACTCGGAGCGTCTTACTCTACTCGGAGCGTCTTACTCTACCCGGAGCGTCTTACTCTCAGCAGCGTCTTACTCTCAGTAGCGTCTTACTCTCAGCAGCGTCTTACTCTACTCGGAGCGTCTTGTGATCCGAAGCATCTTGCGATCCGGAGCGTCTTACTCTACCCGGAGCGTCTTACTCTACCCGGAGCGTCTTGTGATCCGAAACATCTTGCGATCCGGAGCGTCTTACTCTACCCGGAGCGTCTTACTCTACCCGGAGCGTCTTGTGATCCGGAGCGTCTTACTCTACCCGGAGCGCCTTACTCTACCCGGAGCGTCTTACTCTACCCGGAGCGTCTTACTCTACCCGGAGCGTCTTACTCTACCCGCAGCGTCTTACGATCCGGAGCGTCTTACTCTACCCGGAGCGTCTTACTCTACCCGGAGCGTCTTACTCTACCCGGAGCGTCTTACTCTGCCCGGAGCGTCTTACTCTACCCAGAGCGTCTTACTCTACCCGGAGCGTCTTACTCTACCCGGAGCGTCTTACTCTGCCCGGAGCGTCTTACTCTGCCCGGAGCGTCTTACTCTACCCGGAGCGTCTTACTCTACCCAGAGCGTCTTACTCTACCCGCAGCGTCTTACGATCCGGAGCGTCTTACTCTACCCGGAGCGTCTTACTCTACCCGGAGCGTCTTACTCTACCCGGAGCGTCTTACTCTACTCGGAGCGTCTTACTCTACCCGGAGCGTCTTACTCTACCCAGAGCGTCTTACTCTACCCGGAGCGTCTTACTCTACCCGGAGCGTCTTACTCTAACCGGAGCGTCTTACTCTACCCGGAGCGTCTTACTCTCAGCAGCGTCTTACTCTACCTGGAGCGTCTTACTCTACTCGGAGCGTCTTACTCTACCTGGAGCGTCTTACTCTCAGCAGCGTTTTACTCTACCTGGAGCGTCTTACTCTAACCGGAGCGTCTTACTCTACCTGGAGCGTCTTACTCTCAGCAGCGTCTTACTCTACCCGGAGCGTCTTACTCTACCCGGAGCGTCTTACTCTACCCGGAGCGTCTTACTCTACTCGGAGCGTCTTACTCTACCCGCAGCGTCTTACTCTACCCGGAGCGTCTTACTCTAACCGGAGCGTCTTACTCTACCCGCAGCGTCTTACTCTACCCGGAACGTCTTACTCTACCCGGAGCGTCTTACTCTACCCGGAGCGTCTTACTCTACCAGCAGCGTCTTACTCTACCCGGAGCGTCTTGTGATCCGGAGCGTCTTACTCTACCCGGAGCGTCTTACCCTACCCGGAGCGTCTTACTCTACCAGGAGCGTCTTACTCTACCCGGAGCGTCTTACTCTACCCGCAGCGTCTTGTGATCCGGAGCGTCTTACTCTACCAGCAGCATCTTACTCTACCCGCAGCGTCTTACTCTACCTGCAGCATCTTACTCTCAGCAACGTCTTACTCTACCCGGAGCGTCTTACTCTCAGCAGCGTCTTACTCTACCAGCAGCGTCTTACTCTACCTGCAGCATCTTACTCTCAGCAGCGTCTTACTGTACCAGCAGTGTCTTACTCTACCCGGAGCGTCTTACTATCAGCAGCGTCTTACTCTACCAGCAGCGTCTTACTCTCAGCAGCGTCCTACTCTACCCGCAGCGTCTTACTCTACCCGCAGCGTCTTACTCTACCAGCAACGTCTTACTCTCAGCAACGTCTTACTCTCAGCAACGTCTTACTCTACCAGCAGCGTCTTACTCTACCAGCAGCGTCTTACTCTCAGCAGCGTCTTACTCTACCAGCAGCGTCTTACTCTCAGCAACGTCTTACTCTACCAGCAGCGTCTTACTGTACCAGCAGCGTCTTACTCTACCAGCAGCGTCTTACTCTCAGCAACGTCTTACTCTACCAGCAGCGTCTTACTGTACCAGCAGCGTCTTACTCTACCAGCAGCGTCTTACTCTCAGCAGCGTCTTACTGTACCAGCAGCGTCTTACTCTACCAGCAGCGTCTTACTCTCAGCAGCGTCTTACTCTCATCAGCGTCTTACTCTACCAGCAGCGTCTTACTCTCAGCAGCGTCTTACTGTACCAGCAACGTCTTACTCTACCAGCAACGTCTTACTCTACCAGCAGCGTCTTACTCTCAGCAGCGTCTTACTATCAGCAGCGTCTTACTCTACCAGCAGCGTCTTACTCTACCAGCAACGTCTTACTATCAGCAACGTCTTACTATCAGCAGCGTCTTACTATCAGCAGCGTCTTACTCTACCAGCAGCGTCTTACTCTCATCAGCGTCTTACTCTCAGCAGCGTCTTACTCTCAGCAGCGTCTTACTCTCAGCAGCGTCTTACTCTACCAGCAGCGTCTTACTCTCAGCAGCGTCTTACTCTCAGCAGCGTCTTACTCTACCAGCGTCTTACTCTACCTGCAGCGTCTTACTATCAGCAGCGTCTTACTATCAGCAGCGTCTTACTATCATCAGCGTCTTACTCTCAGCGGCGTCTTACTATCAGCAGCGTCTTACTCTCCGGACTAAATGCGGCACACTTGAACCGGCTCGAGCGGGTTTACCCTCCGCCGCCGCCGGCAACCGCCCCGTGCCAGGCTAGGTGCACGCCGAGCACGCGTGGCAAGTGCAGTTACCCACCCAAGCCCACGTGGTCACGTGTACGCACTGTACACATGGATATAACTGTACGCGTGCGTGAGAGAGAGAGGCTGAGAGGCTGCAGTCGCGACTCAACTCTGCTCGGGCGCCGCCGCCGCCTCCTCTGCCTCCTCCTCTGCCTCCTGCCGCTCCCGGGAGTCGCTGCGGGGACTCCGCCGCCTCGAAAACGGCGAAGAGGTCCTCGGAGAAGTCGGCCATGGCGACCAGGGCCCACACAACGGGTTCGCACGCGGGCACCCCGGCGCACGTGCTCGCCTATTGGTCGGCGCGCGGTCACGTGCTCCCTCTCTCCCCCTCCCTCTTTCCACCCTCCCACTCCCTCTTCTCCCACTCTCCCACTCTCACTCCCCCTCCCTCTCTCCTCCCTCTCCCCTCCCTCTTCCCCCTCTCCCCTCCCTCTCTCCCTCTCTCTCCCCTCCCCCCTCTCCCCTCCCCTCTCCCCCCTCTCTCTCCCCCCTCCCTCTCCCCCCTCTCCCCTCCCCTCTCCCCCCTCCCTCTCTCCCTCTCTCTCCCCTCCCTCTCCTCCCTCTCCCCCCTCTCCCCTCCTCCCTCTCCCCCCTCTCCCCTCCCTCTCTCCCTCTCTCTACCCTCCCTCTCCCCCCTCGCTCTCCCCCCTCCCTCTCCCCCCTCCCTCTCTTCCCCCTCTCCCCCCTCCCTCTCTCCCTCTCTACCCCCCTCTCTCTCCCCTCCCTCTCCCCCCTCCCTCTCCCGCTCCCTCTCTCCCCTCTCCCCTCCTCCCTCTCCCCCCTCCCTCTCTCCCCCCTCTCCCCCCTCCCTCTTTCCCCCCACTCTCCTTTTTACGATCAGAGGAAACAAGAAGATTCTCTTTTGATTTAAAGCTTTCGTGACTGCAGTAATTCATATTCTTAGCTCTTTCGGTAAAGTCACGTTGAAGGGAAACAATAAAATAATAAAATATATATAAAACAATAAAAATTCTCACGACGTTTCGACCGTTTGTGTTATGGTCGAAACGTCGTGAGAATGTTTTATTGTTTTATATATATTTTATTATTTTATTGTTTCCCTTCAACGTGACTTTACCGAAAGAGCTAAGAATATGAATAAGAAGATGCTCGTTGTAGTCGGCACTTTGCTCCGTTCATCATTTCGTTTTTTATGCTTTGCTTTATGTAATACCCTCGCCCCCCCCTTTTAAATGAAAGACCCAACAAAATATATTTTTTTATTTTTTCTGCTCTCCTTACCCCTTTCCTCTCTCTATACCCCCCTCTCTGCCCTCCTCTCTCTCTGCCCCCTCTCTCTGCCTCTCCTCTCTCTCTACCCCCTCTCCGCCCCCCCTCTCTCTCTGCCCCCTCTCTTCCTACTCCATTTGGCTCTCTCTCGCTCTCTTTTTTCTTTATAACTACGACAAGTGCTGCATCTGCACGCAGCCCTTCCCACAGTCAAACGGCCTCCGACGGGTAGCTTAGATCTGCATGCACAGAGCTCTCTACCGTCATCTGCCACCGAGCACACGGCCTCCTCCAGCGCCCACTGCTCCTTGAAGGCCGGCACGGCGTGGGTCAGCCGCTCTTCCTCCGCCTCTCCCCCCTCCCTCCCCTTCTCTCCCCCCTCTCTCCCACCCCCTCCTTCCCCCTTTCTCCCCCGTCTCCCCCCTCTCTCCCTATCCCCCCTCTCTCCCACCCCCTCCCTCTCCCCCCTCCCTCCTCTCTTCCTCCCCCTTTCCCCCCTCCCTCCCTCCCTGTCTCCCCCCTCCCTCCCAGTCTCCCCCCTCCCTCTCTCCCCCCTCCCTCTCTCTCCCCTCCCTCTCCTCCCTCTCCCCCCTCTCCCCTCCTCCCTCTCCCCCCTCCCTCTCCCCCCTCTCCCCTCCCTCTCTCCCTCTCTCTACCCTCCCTCTCCCCCCTCGCTCTCCCCCCTCCCTCTCCCCCCTCCCTCTCTTCCCCCTCTCCCCCCTCCCTCTCTCCCTCTCTACCCCCCTCTCTCTCCCCTCCCTCTCCCCCCTCCCTCTCCCCGCTCCCTCTCTCCCCTCTCCCCTCCTCCCTCTCCCCCCTCCCTCTCTCCCCCCTCTCCCCCCTCCCTCTCTCCCCCCTCTCCCCCCTCCCTCTCCCCCCACTCTCCTTTTTTTACGATCAGAGGAAACAAGAAGATTCTCTTTTGATTTAAAGCTTTCGTGACTGCAGTAATTCATATCCTTTGCTCTTTCGGTAAAGTCACGTTGAAGGGAAACAATAAAATAATAAAATATATATAAAACAATAAAAATTCTCACGACGTTTCGACCGTTTGTGTTATGGTCGAAACGTCGTGAGAATTTTTTTTATTGTTTTATATATTTTTTATTGTCTCCCTTCAATGTGACTTTACCGAAAGAGCTAAGAATATGAATAAGAAGATGCTCGTTGTAGTCGGCACTTTGCTCCGTTCATCATTTCGTTTTTTTATGCTTTGCTTTATGTAATACCCCCGCCCCCCCCCCCCTTTTAAATGAAAGACCCAACAAAATATATTTTTTTTATTTTTTCTGCTCTCCTTACCCCTTTCCTCTCTCTATACCCCCCTCTCTGCCCCTCCTCTCTCTCTGCCCCCTCTCTCTGCCTTTCCTCTCTCTCTACCCCCTCTCCGCCCCCCCTCTCTCTCTGCCCCCTCTCTTCCTACTCCATTTGGCTCTCTCTCGCTCTCTCTTTTTTCTTTATAACTACGACAAGTGCTGCATCTGCACGCAGCCCTTCCCACAGTCAAACGGCCTCCGACGGGTAGCTTAGATCTGCATGCACAGAGCTCTCTACCGTCATCTGCCACCGAGCACACGGCCTCCTCCAGCGCCCACTGCTCCTTGAAGGCCGGCACGGCGTGGGTCAGCCGCTCTTCCTCCGCCTCTCCCCCCCCTCTCTCTCACCCTCTCCCCCTCTCTCCCCCGTCTCCCCCCTCTCTCCCTCTCTACCTCCCCCTTTCCCCCTTCCCTCCCTCTCCCCCCTCCCTCTCCCCCTCTCTCCCACCCCTCCCCCTCTCTCCCACCCCTCCCCCTCTCTCCCACCCCTCCCTCTCCCCCCTCTCCCCTCCCTCCTCTCTTCCTCCGCCTCTCCCCCCTCCCACCCCCTCCCTCTCCCCCTTTCTCCCCCGTCTCCCCCCTCCTCTCTTCTTCCCCCTTTCCCCCCTCCCTCCCTCTCCCCCCTCCCTCTCCCCCCTCCCCTCTGCCCCTATCGTTACGATATCACGATAAGTGGAATTGCAATACAAAATGTAAAAACAAATCGCGATACAACCGTGTTCACGAAAATACACCGCGATGTAACGAAATACGAACCGCGATTCGTCGATTATCGCGATGTACGATGGCATTATCGCGATATGCTCACGGCAACGATAATCGCGATGTACAATGGCATCACGATGTGACGTCAAAATCGCGATATGCGTTTCAAGTTTCAGGGTTTTTTTTATCCATTTATTAGGTATAGCCCTGTGAGCCATGCGGCTCTTAAGCTCGGGTCCAAGCGCAACAAACAACATTTGAACACAGAACATCTTAAAGCGACAACAATGGGGCGGTGACTTTACAGGGGAAGGGAGGCCCGGAGGAACTTTTTGCGAATCTTCTGACATGGAGCATCGAGGGCCGGTGGGTTTTGCGGGGGCCTCCGGTGGAGGAGGGCATCGTCCGACCTCGTGGCATGGAAGAACGCGGTGGCATGGAAGAACGCGGTGCCCTGTGCCCTGGGGTGAAGAGGAGGAGGCAGCCGGCTCAGACTGTGAGCAGCACTCCCGGTCGTACAAAGGGTAAGGGCCTCTCCCAGTAGCCTTGCTCGGGAATCCGGAGCAGTAGCCAGAGGGAGGAGGAGGAGTGGCGTTCTCAGGTGCAGGCATGGTGGTGCCCGCGGTGGTAACAGGATGCCTGTGTCTTCGCCTCTGCTCACAGCTCTCAGGCATGAAGGAGGGCCTCTGCTCTTGCCCGACACACCAGGAAGCAGCAGATGTCCCCACGCCTGTCCCCGGGACCTCCAGGGAGACCGCTGCAGCGAGGATGTGGCCCGCACAGCGCCTGCTCACCCGTGTGGGGAGAACATCATCGCGAAGTCCAGAAGGTCATTCAGCTCCTTGTCACCGGACATGAACCCCCGTGTGCCGATTCATTTTGCATCCTCCACTTGCCTGCGCCTGGGCTGTCCAGCCACCAAAAAAAGCGTGGCTCCAGTTTTGTCCTCCATGGGGGGTCTCCACACAGGTTCCAGGTCCCCGGGCCCAGGTCCCTGTGTCCCTGTCCCCGTCCCCAGGGCCCCAGGGCCCCTGTGCCTCAGATCTCCAGGTACCAGGTTCCCGTGCTCGCGTCCCAGATGACACGAGTTTTTCGGTCGCGGGTCCCCGTACCCAGGTCCTTGTGTCCTCGGCTCCAGGTCTCCGTTCTCTGGACCACGTGCCTGAGGGCTCAGCTCAAAACTTCCAGGACCTGGTCTCTTCATCCAGAGCCTTCGTATCTCCGGCACACGCAACAAGCCTGCTGACCTCAACGTTGTATTTCCGCTCCCGGGGTTCCCGGGTTTTTCTGAACAAACTCTTCTTGTTTGAGGTCGTCCCTCTCGCCACCAAGGTCGTATGCCAGGTCCACTTTTAGTAAAGTCCCACGCGCTCTGGCATGATCTCAACGTCCCACCACCAAAGTGCCCCTTTCCGGCCGAGAGCACGGGTTCCGGGCTTTCGCGCCCGTGCTTTGCAGGTAGCCGGGTCTCGCCGTCTTCACCTCCACGGTCTCCTCGCTCAGGTCCCACAGGGCACCGATGCCAGGGCCTCGTGATTCGAACCACAGAACTCCTATCCCCGAGACCACAAATTGCACTCCCAAGCTCTTGCCCCGCTCCTCTCCCGTCAGCCTTGAGGCCTCAGGTTCCCTCAACCTCAGAACTGGGGTCTCTTCTTCACGCAGTGTGCCGCCCGCCGTGAAACTCCAGGTCCTCTGTATCTCCTCACACCCTGATATTGTAGGTTCCCCTGGAACCTTACAGTGCCCCCCCCCCCCACGCTCCAGGTCCCCACTCTCCAAGTCCCCACTCTCCAGGTCCCCGCTTTCCAAGTCCCCACTCTCCAGGTCCCCACTCTCCAGGTCCCCACCCTCCAGGTCCCCACCCTCCAGGTCCCCACCCTCCAGGTCCCCACTCTCCAGGTCCCCACTCTCCAGGTCCCCTCTCCAGGTCCCCACGCTCCAGGTCCCCACACTCCAGGTCCCCACCCTCCAGGTCCCCACCCTCCAGGTCCCCACTCTCCAGGTCCCCTCTCCAGGTCCCCACCCTCCAGGTCCCCACTCTCCAGGTCCCCACCCTCCAGGTCCCCAGTCTCCAGGTCCCCACTCTCCAGGTCCCCACTCTCCAGGTCCCCACCCTCCAGGTCCCCACTCTCCAGGTCCCAACTCTCCAGGTCCCCACCCTCCAGGTCCCCACCCTCCAGGTCCCCACTCTCCAGGTCCCCTCTCCAGGTCCCCACCCTCCAGGTCCCCAAGTCCCCACTCTCCAGGTCTCCACTGTCCAGGTCCCCACCCTCCAGGTCCCCACCCTCCAGGTCCCCAAGTCCCCACGCTCCAAGTCCCCACTCTCCAGGTCCCCACCCTCCAGGTCCCCACTCTCCAAGTCCCCACTCGCCAGGTCCCCACTCTCCAGGTCCCCACTCTCCAGGTCCCCACTCTCCAGGTCCCCACTCTCCAGGTCCCCGCTTTCCAAGTCCCCACTCTCCAGGTCCCCACGCTCCAGGTCCCCACTCTCCAGGTCCCCACTCTCCAGGTCCCCAAGTCCCCACTCTCCAGGTCCCCGCTTTCTAAGTCCCCACTCTCCAGGTCCCCACTCTCCAGGTCCCCACCCTCCAGGTCCCCAAGTCCCCACGCTCCAAGTCCCCACTCTCCAGGTCCCCACCCTCCAGGTCCCCACTCTCCAGGTCCCCACTCTCCAGGTCCCCGCTTTCCAAGTCCCCACTCTCCAGGTCCCCACTCTCCAGGTCCCCTCTCCAGGTCCCCACGCTCCAAGTCCCCACTCTCCAGGTCCCCACTCTCCAGGTCCCCTCTCCAGGTCCCCACTCTCCAGGTCCCCACTCTCCAGGTCCCCACTCTCCAGGTCCCCAAGTCCCCACTCTCCAGGTCCCCACTCTCCAGGTCCCCGCTTTCCAAGTCCCCACTCTCCAGGTCCCCACTCTGCAGGTCCCCAAGTCCCCGCTTTCCAAGTCCCCACTCTCCAGGTCCCCACGCTCCAGGTCCCCACTCTCCAGGTCCCCACTCTCATCGCGATATCGCGATACGATCATCGCGATATCTGCTACCTCAACATTTCTTATCACGTCAGCCGTCTTGTGATCCAGTATTGCGTGACGCCTCACTAAAGAGGGATCCTGTAAGAACAATACACTATGGAACACGATTTTTATTTCTGGGTACTAAGTGTGATTTCCTAATTGCCCATGCCTCAAAAGTGCAAAAAATGTCTATTATTCCCCAACAATTTCGATCTCGACCCTGACGCCTGCTGTATATTTGGAGTTTGCTTCTCCCTCTGTCTCGTGATCACGGTGGCTAGGCGATGTTAACTACCTCGCCCGGTGTACAGGAGGTCGTGGGTTCGATCCCCACCCTGACAATGCCTTCTGCTGCTGTATTTGCAGTTTGGAGTGTCTCTCTCCCCTCGGTCGTGTGGATTTTCCTCTGGGTCTTTCTAAATGTTTTGGAAACATGCTTTTAGAGTATTTTGGCAGCTGCTATGAATTTCCACACTTTGTTGAGCTATCATATGTGGCAAAGTCGCTTTCTGAAAAAAGGCTACATAGCTCAGTGGGCCTTACCTGGTAAAATAAAAAAAAAGTTTAATTTCGAATATGAAACGGTGTGCTCCTTTCAGTCCACACAGCCAGACAGCAGCCACTCCCGCTCCATTCAGGGCATTTTAATAAAATAATACGGTAACATACAAATTACACGCATGCATATAACATTGCTCAGAGACGCACGTGCATGATTACATCTGCCACACCGACGCCTGTAGCGGCTGCAGCAGTCGGCGGAATCCGCCACCCAAAGTCAGATGCCTGCAGGCCCCACACCTCAAGCCTTGCAGCAGCAGCAGCATCATAGGCAGCATGCTTACACTCACTGATGGCCAGAGGTCGTCTTGCCAGGCCATTGTCCTTCACTTCCATGGCTCGCGGGCCACTGGGTGGCCGCTGGTGGCCTTTAGTGCGGCCCCTGACTTACGCCCCCCCCCCCCCCCGCCCCCCCCCCCCAGTAATACACAAAGAGTGAAAACAGCCCCCCATAATCATCGTGCTGCTGTCAAAGCCAACCGAACGGTTTCAAACGTTGTGGCGGCCCTCACCACACTGATGATGCCTTATCGGCGAAAGTGCCCCCCCTCCCCCTGCCGCCACCCCCGCCTCTGAAAACACCTCACTATGAGGAAAGAGGTGAGAGCAAGGCTGAGCCTTCCCTGCAAGCTCCTCACTGGCTCAGGCACGAAGTGAGGCCCAGCACACAATGCCGGAGGTTGCCAAAGTGTCCAGGGTGCTTCAAAACCCAAATTGAAAAAAAGAAACGAATAATACGCCGTAACGTGATAACAAATCTTGATTTGAAGCTTTCGTGACTGCAGGAATCCATTCTCTTTGGGCTCTTTCGGTAAAGTCACGAAGGTAGAAAAATGCATAATGGATCACGACGTTTCGATCGCCACGCAAGCGGTCGTCCTCGCGTGGGAGGCCGACCGCCTGTGTGGCGATCAACACGTCGTGATCTGTTACACATCTTTCTTCTACGCGACTTCAGCGAAAGAACCCAAAGAGTAGCGATAACAAATGCCCGTTCGTAGCCTCAAAGAGTCTCCACTTGTTCGCCATCGCTGTCAACACGTTGCCTGGAATCTTCGCCAGGTGGTTCCCCAAGAGCCCGGAGGCAGCAGCACGTGTCACGCGGTGTTTGTCGCAAAATCCTCGCGGGCGTTAACGCTTTTTTTCGAAGCACCCTGTACATCACCTCCCTTCTTACTCTCGCCACCGCCTCCGCTCCCCTCCGCTCAGTTTCCCTCCGGGACCGGGTCGCCGCACCAGGCCGCGAAACCATCTACGTCGAACTCGGCGCGCGGCGGCGGGCGGTGCCCTCCGGAGTCGGCGTCTCCTCTTGGGCCCGCGCCCTGCCCCGGTCGCCGCGTCCACGATGGGGGTGAGCGCGTGCGCGAGACGTGCCCGCGCACCACCCCCCACGCCTCGCTCCCATGGTGCATTGCAGCGGCCTTGGCGTCCCAAAAGCTTGTGCTTCGTGACCCAACGAATATTATTCTTTTGCTACCGGTGTGTGGGGAGGCGGGGCGGCGGCGGGGGGGGAAACGCGAGAATGTTGCCTCGTAGGAGCTCCGCGATCCGTGGCCGTTAACGATGCGATTCGTGCGCGTAAGGGACGCTCCTTTAAAAAAAAAAGCGAAAAAAAGTCACCCGCCGGCGCCGAGCGTGGGTGATCGACGGCGGTTATCAGAAACCCGCCGGCGAAGGCGCCGATGCTCCACGCACTCTCACCTCCGACTGGCGCCTTTGGCTACGTACGGCGCGAAAGAAGAAGTTTTACGCACGCACACAGCCTCGTGCCGCACGCGCTCCGTGAACCTCGGTCGGGAGGGGGGCGGTGGGGTGGGGGAGCGACTGACCGCTCCCGCTTCTGCGACGTCTTACTGGAGACGCGCAGAGGGAATGACATCGGTTACAAAGTGCATATCTTCCATGATTCCTCCCGGCGAGATGGTGACAGAGGGGGGTGGGGGAGGGGTGGGTGGGGTGGGGAGGGTGGGGGGCGGACGGCAACGACGCGACCGCCGACCGTTGCAGAGAAGTTCGCGGTTCGATGCCAGCAGCCGCCCCTGGTTATTACTGCGGTGTGCGTAAGGATCTCCCTGGACGTCACGTGCAAGAGCAGGGCCGCCGTGTACCGGCGTCACGGTCCAAATTTGCGAAATTGGGCAAAGAAAAAAAGATCGCACCGCAAACTGCTCGATTGGGATCGCGCGCGCGTTACACACACACGCACACACACACACGCACACACGCAGCGCGGCGATTATCGCCACCCGCTGCTGGCGGCAGGCTCACGCCTCCCCGCCTCCCCCCCCCCCCCAGGGCGCTCTCGCGAACGAGACTCATCCCGGTCCTCCTTCGGTTCTCACCCGGGATTTAAAAAAAAAAATCTCAGCTTGTGAGCGTCACTCGAAAAAATTTCTTTAAAAAAAAAGAAACGTGGAGCGCCGTACGCGGCGGGGTCGACGGCGCGGCAACGGCCCTTGGACGCTTCCCCCTCGACAGCGGCCGACGCGTCGCACCGCCCAGCCGTCGCCGCCGCCGCCGCCGGCACAGCAGCGGCGGCGGCGCGGCGGCGGTGGCGCGTAGCGGACGGACGTACGGACGGACGCTTCTCCCTTCAGGCGCGGTCCAACTTCGCCGCAGAGCGACTCTCCGGCTTCACGACGAATTTTCGCCTTCTTGTACCTCCGGCAGGTCAGGGGCCACCGCGATGGCGTCTCCGCTGTTCTGCTTCCTGCGCGCGGACGCACGCACGCGCGTGGGCGGACGACGCACGCGCGCGTCAGTGACACGGCCCACGCACCGCCAGCCACCCTTGGCGGCGGCCGTTGTGTCTGTCGCCCGGTAGCGGCGCCGGCCGGTCGCTAACGCGGCGTCTAAAGAGAAGCCGCTTGCTGCGTACGACGTTGACGGCCCTAGCGCCCGGGCGCTCCGAGCCTGAAGCGGAGTGGCCACCGATCGCGGCTCCGTGGGCGTCGGCAGCCGGACAGAACTGTCACGTGTGTGTGTGTGCACGTGCGTCGTTTTTGAACTTCTTTTTCACGCGTGCAATTTTTTTTATCGTTGTTCATCTGTTCGTTGTTTTTTTTGTTTGTTTGCTAGGTAGTGGGATTTCGTGATTGTATTTTCTGTGCACGGAACTGGATAATTGATGTGCGGCGTTGTGGGATGCAATTGCATGAATGACGTTTTATAAATGAATAAATAAATATTATTATTATTACATCTAGCAAACCGTGCTCATCGGAGTTTTCAACGTAGATGATTTAAAAGTGCGTATAGCTCCAAGTGGCTTCCTAATGTCGGAAGGAAGAACGTTCCAGACGGCTGTAGAAGCGCATCTGAAAGCGCGCGGATGCAGTGTGTGAGTCCATGGGTCTCCGTGTGATGAGTCTATGGGTTTCTGTGAGTCTATGGGTCTTTGTGTATGTACGGTACGTTGAACTTCTTTCGCACCGTACGTAGCCAACCGTGCTTATCGGAGGTTGCGGTAGAAGGACAACAAATTAAACACAACAAGCAGTTCTAAACAAATGAGTTTTCAATCTAGGGGACCAGGACCCAAATCTTCCAAGTTGTGTGCGGAGTGGTAAGTAGTGGTAAGCGCTACGCTGCGCTACGAACATGGCGACCCGAGTTCGATTCCCGCGCACGGCCACCAAAACACCACAGTGACGATTATCTGAACCGGTCCTGGGCCTCCGCTAGGTCGACACAGCCTTAAATGAGGACCTGGTGCGGTGCGTTAACATCGCCACTCGGGAGACAAAGGCGGCCGGGCTTGGTATTGGCCACCCACCTCCTCATGTGCCTTCGTAGGTGCTCGCGAACAGCACTTGCCCCAAAAGCCTGTTAAGGCTATAGGGGGGATTTTTGCGCGTGTGCGTTGGGAGCCGGCCGTGATCGCAGCCGGAGCAAAGGAGGGGGGGGCGGGGGGGGCTGTAAACCGCGCAGTGGACGCATGGCTAAACGGCGTGCGCCGCTCTGTCGCCCGCCACGGTTACCTTAGAGATGGGTGCAGTTTGTGAAATGAGAGTTGGCGGTCCCTGTCGGCATGCAGACAAGAGATGCAGAGCAAGGAAGAGGAAAGGGAGAGAGTGTACACGTGGCGGAGTTATAACACAACGGGGAAGATGGCGCCGGTGGCGATGGCGATTGCGCCGGCGACGGCAGTGCGCGCGGTCGCAATGGGCAGAGCGCGAGGTCGTCACATCCTAGGCTACGGTCCCTCGACTTCCTCCGCCAACCCCTACTCCGATGGCTTCCCGCCATCACCTCCCTCCGCCCTCTCCTCCCATGGCGTCCCACCATCGCCTCCCTCCGCTCTCTCCTCCGATGGCTTCCCACCATCACCTCCCTCCGCTGTCTCCTCCGATGGCTTCCCACCATCGCCTCCCTCCGCTCTCTCCTCCGATGGCTTCCCACCATCACCTCCCTCCGCTCTCTCCTCCGATGGCTTCCCACCATCACCTCCCTCCGCTCTCTCCTCCGATGGCTTCCCACCATCACCTCCCTCCGCTGTCTCCTCCGATGGCTTCCCACCATCACCTCCCTCCGCTCTCTCCTCCGATGGCTTCCCACCATCACCTCCCTCCGCTGTCTCCTCCGATGGCTTCCCACCATCACCAGCAGGGTCAGCTGCCTGCACCGCAACCATCGCTCTTCTCTCGGCTGTCACCGTATCTCTGTTGGCTCCTGCCCGGGTTCGATTCCCGACTCTGTGTGGAGTTTGTGCATCCACCCCCCCTCTCTCTCTCTCTCCGCCCGTTCTGCGTGCGTTTGCCCCGCGTGTAAATGGCATTGACCAAACATTCCAATGCTAAATAATGACCCGCAAATGACTCAGTTGGGATTGTACGCATGTGTGCATGATGAACTTCTTTCGCACCGTACGTAGCCAACTGTGCTGATCGTAGTTGCGGGGGGAAGGAGAAAAAAACTCGGCACGTAAATTAGTTCTAAAGAAATTAGTTTGTCAATCTAGACGGTGATGTTAAAGTGCGTAGCTCCAGTGGCTTCCTAATAATCGGAGGGAAGAGCATTCCAGACGGCCGCAGAAGGGCGTCTGAAAGCGACGCGGCAGCCAAAAGCCGCTGCTGCTGCTGCGACGACCGGAGTTCGCGTGACGATGGTTTACGCACAGCAGCAATATCGCCCCCCTACCTCGTGCGAAAGACTTGGCAGGACCACCTCCTCAATAACAAGTTGACAATCTGAGTCATTCTCCGTCTCCGTCTCTGTCTCCCTCTCTCTCTCTGCCTGCGAAAAATGCGTTACAAACTCTAAACGATTAGGTTTCGGCTCGGAGCAACGGTGCAAAATCCTCGAGCGACGGAAATGGCCTCACGCTGATCCGCAATAGCGGAAGGGGAGCAGTTGCACAAATGGATAAAACAGCAAAAGCGCCGATGCATGAAATGTGGCTGAAAGCGACCGGGACAGCACAGGCAGGCGAAAAGGGGGGAAGGTGTGAGCGTGGGTGCCGGGCCTTGCAACGCTAGGCCCGAGTCCTGGGCCGGCTCGGGCCTTGAAACGGGTACCCGTGTCGAAGGCGGCCGAGCCAGGCCGGGCCGGGATGTGGCGCTAGCCACGCCGCCCCTCCGGGTGCCGCGCCGGCCCCTAATAGGTGCTCGCTAACAGCCCCCCAATAGTTTGCAGCAGGTTCCGTTGCGCGTTTCGAGTCAATAATTTTGTTGGGTTTTTTTCCGCTCTGCTCAGTCGGCACGTTCCCTCCCCTTCCCGCCCTGCGGTGTCCTGAAACTGCCGCCACTGCCGGCGGCCTCGGGCCAGAGCTTGCTGACCTCGACGTGGCACCGCCCTGCCGGGGAGCGACAAACCCTGGGGTCTACGGGGGGGCAAGCCCGCGGCGGCGTCGTTGGCGCGGTGGGGGGGGGGGAGGGGGCGGGGAGCGGTGGGGGTCGGGTAAGGAGGGGGGTGTTACCCCCGACTCACATGAGCAGGTTGCCCGGAGCCGACATGCTGCGCTCCTCCTTGCGGCTGCCCGCCTCGAAGGGGTTGCTGAAGGAGCGCTTGCGCAGCATCTGCTTGGCCATGATCTGCGCGGAAGAGGGGGCGAGACAAACGGAGACGACCGACCGACCGGGCCGGCCGGCCGGACCCGGCCGGGGGCCAGTTGCCGGGTCACCGGCCGCCGCCGCCGCTTCGCTCGAGAGAATTCTCCCCGCCGACGCGGCGGCGTCGGCGGGAGCCGGCCGCTCCCGCCGACGCCGCGGGGGCGGCAGTAAGCAGCGACCGTCGAGACGGCGCGCCGCCGCCACCGGGGGGAATGCAGTGCTCGCGGCGCCCGGCGTGGCTTACCAGCGTCGCCAGGCTGACGACGTGGCGCACAGAGTCCCGCACCTCGTCGCACGTCACCTCCACGGGGGCGCAGTGCAGCGGGGGCAGCGGGTCCGTGCCGCCCAGGGTCACCCAGCCGTGACACTGCGAGGGCAACAAATGGTCGCCCGTGTGGTAGCCCTAGCGGACTGTCGGGGCAGAGCGCCGGAGCGGTGGCGGGGCCGGCGAGTCTGGCGCGTACCGAGCTACGTACGGCGCGAAAGAAGTTCAACGTGCGTAGGTAGCGGGTAGCGTTTACGAAGGCCGGCACCTCCTAAAATTCCCCCCCCCCCTCCGCCGCCACCCTCCAGGCCTACGCAACGGCCCAGGCCCCACGCCTTCCTGCTGCACCTTCTACGTCACGGCGATTGGTTTGTTTATTGAGAAACGGGGCGGGGGAACGTTTCCGTGCCGCCGCCGCCGCCGCGCGGCGGGGGGGGGGGGTTGAGGGCGCCGCGCCGTGACGTCGAACCTTCATCTGGGGCACCGTGATGCGGCTCTCCGGCCGCTTGTCCAGCATGGCCAGCAGCAGCTCCTTGAGCGGCTCGCCGATCGCGGGCCTGCCGGGGCGCAGCGGACAATACAGTAGATGAATAAAATGTTAAAAAGCGTCGCTCGCCGGCGTCGCCCTCCGGCTTCGCCCGCCGGCGTCGCCCGCCGGCTTTTCCGGTTTTCCGGAAAACGAATGCCTCGTGATGAGGCCGCAAATGAACTTCGGTGGCACCGGTGGCACCATGCCGATCTCGCCCAAGGGCCGCAAACCATCAGGTCCGCAGACGGAAAAGGGCAGCGATTGGCCGCGCTCGCTGCACCGCCCGCCCCCGGCGAGCCGGGGGGCCCACGTTGGGACAAGGGGAGTTTCCCGAGGGTTTTTGTTAGCGCGGCGCCGATCCGCCGACCCTCGGTTCGTCTCGTTTGCGCAAAAGTGGCCTGGCGGCGGGTGGGGGTGGTCGGGGGGCGGGGCGAGGGATGTCGCAGGTTCCCCCCGGCGGGGAAATGCCACGGCAACATCGCCCGCCCCCGCCACCGCGAAGCCATTGCGGACCACGCCGAGCGGTGGAGGTTTTGGACCCCAACGCCTCTCCGTCTCGTCGTGCCGAAATTCAACGCGGACACGCGACCTCCTCTCGGGGGGTCTTCTCTTCCACACCCCCCCCCAACCCCCCCCCCGTGTCGCGGGGCCCGGGGAGACACGAGCCGTTGCGCGTGTGCAGCTGGGCGATTCAATACAACAACAAAAAATAAAATAATAAAACACAATAAAATAAAATTCTCACGACGTTTCGGCCACAACGCAAGCAGCCGTCCTCAGGTGAAGAACAGAGCTCTCTCAAAACACCGGTGTGTTCTGTTCTGATGTCCCCCCAACACCTGGAATTCCATCGCTTCAAAACATTCCTTGGTTATTCTGCCACCTACGTCACAATGTGTTGCCAAGCTATCAAGTCTTCATGTAGGTCGGAACTTCTTTCGCACCGTACATTAGGCCGTTGTCTTTATTAGACATTAGGACGCTGTCTTTCCAACAGCTCTGTTCTTCACCTGATGACGGCTGCTTGCGTTGTGGCCGAAACGTCGTGAGAATTGTATTTTATTGTGTTTTATTATTATTTCATTGTTTCCCTTCTACGTGGTGACTTTACCGAAAGAACCAAGAATATGAATCCCTGCAGTCACGGAAAGCTTTAAATCGAAGCAACAAAAACACTCACCGCTCCGGGAAGGTGACGGCTTGCGTCTTGATCTGGTTGTGCAGGGCGAGGATGTGCTCGTCCCTGAACGGGCACTGGGGATGGCGGAGAGAGGGGGGGAACGCGAGCGCGGAGCGAGCGGTGAGAGGCGCGCGCGCGCGCGTGGAGCACGTCCGGTGACGCCACGGAGACAAAGGTCTCCCGCGTCGCCTGCAACGGGCTGTTCGGGGGAGCAAGTGGTGGAGCGGGCGAGTGCGGTTGTGCGTGGGCGAGTGCGGTTGTGCGTGCACTCGTCCCCGCCTGTGTACTCACGATTCCGAACACGAAGCAGTGCAGAGTCACTCCCATGGCCCACACGTCGAGTGCCTGCACGGGGGGGGGGGGGGGGGGCGGGGGGCACACGTGGTCATCCTTCCAAGTTTCCCGGGTTTCCAGGTGTTTCTGTTCATCCGCGCCGAGGACTCGACAAGAGGCCGGGGATGGGGGTCTCGTTCGCGAGGCCGCTTGGCGGTGGTGGCGGTGGTGGTGGTGGTGGCGGTGGTGGTGGTGGGGGAGGGGGGGGGGCGGTGCGTGACGCGCACCTTCCCGGTGAAGCGCGTGCGCGCGTGCGTCAGCGTCTCGGGGGCGCAGAACGCCGGCGTGCCGGCCGAGCCGCGGAGGACGGCGTCGTCGCCGTGGAAGCGGTCGCTCACGCCGAAGTCCGAGATCTTGATGTGGCCGTCGTCGCCCAGCAGGAGGTTGGAGGGCTTCACGTCACGGTGCACGATGCCCTGGTGGTGCACTGGGTGCCGGGCGGGGGGCGGTGAAGGCCGTGTTTCAGTTGCAGTTTCATTTATTTGTTATGGCCCTGTGAGCCATGCGGCTCTTGACTCGGGAGCAACCGCAACGAAACGCGAACAAGAAACGTCTTAAAGTGACTACGCGCAACAGAAAAATCCAGGGGAAAAAACAGCAAAAGTCTTCCAGAGAAAGCGCCGCATTTCAACGCCGTGTGCAGAAGTCCCAGGGGGATGCAAGTCAAACAATAACAACCATATTCTTGGTTCTTTCGGTAAAGGCACCACGTAGAAGGGAAACAATAAAATAATAAAAATATAAAACAATAAAAATTCTCACGACGTTTCGACTGCAACATAAGCAATCAACCACAGCAAGAAAATTTGAAAAAGTGGCGTTTTTTTAAAATAACTTTTATTGTTTTATATTTGTATTATTTCATTGCTTCCCTTCCACGTGGTGACTTCACCGAAAGAACCAATAATATGAATCCCTGCAGTCACGAAAGCTTTAAATCAAAATAACAACCATGAGACAATTCAGATGAGAGTTATCAGGCTAACGTAGCAGCCGGACCAGCGAGGCCACAACAGGCAGCGAGCGACACACACTCGCTCCGACATTAGGAAGCCACAATAGGGGTAAGGTCGTTTTTCTCTCTCGGTTACATCACGTAAAATATTAATGCGTCGTTAAACCCGCCGCCGCCGCCACCCGACACGACCAGCAGTTGGTGAGGTTTGCCACGTAAACAAACCGTGCCAATTCGTCGCTAGTTCAGCGCACCGGTGCGTTGGGAGAGTAAACCCACCACAGCATTAACGATTGGAGTAGCGTGACGCTTCGCCGGTAATTGCGAACGGCGCCATCAGGCGGGAAGCCACCGTTCGCGACGAACACGCTCCGACATTGTGCAGCCGCTAGGGGCTGCGCACTTTTGCATCCCCTGGATTGAAAACTCATTTCCTCAGAACTGCTTTTTGCGTTTACCGCTTGTTGCCCTTCCCCACCCCCGTCCCACCGCACCTCCTCCGATGAGCACGGTCGGCTACGTACGGTGCGAAAGAAGTTCAACGCAACGATTTCGGCCAATCACGCGCGAGCGCGACGCGGGGCGCGCATGCGTGCGTATGTGTGTGCGCGCGTGTGTGCTTGCGTGTGTGCGTGTGCGTGCGTACGTGCGTGTGTGCGTGCGTACGGTATTCGATCCCCATAAGGATGTCGCGGAAGTACTGACGAGACTGCTCCTCTGAGAAGGGACACTCGGAGGGAACCTCCATCACGGGCCTTAGCACACGCACACACACACACGCACGCACACACGCACACACACGCACACGCACGCACACACACGCACACACACGCAAAGGCAAAGATCCCCCGTGTAGCCTGTAACAGACTGTTGGGGAAAGTGCTGTTAGTGAGCACCTTACGAAGGCCGGCAAGGTTGGCGCACGAGGTGGTGGGTAGCCAGCACCACGCCCGACCGCCTTTGTCTCCCCAGTGCTGATGTTTACACACCGCACGAGGTACTCATTTAATTGATGCTGAGTCGACCTAGGGGAGGCCCAGGACCGGTTGAGATAGACGTCACTGTGGTGTTGGCCGTGAGCAGGAATCAAACTCGGGTCGCCGGGTTCGTAGTGCAGCGTAGCGCTAACCGCTCCACCACCGCTCCCCACACACACAAAGACAAAGATCCCCCATATAGCCTGTAAGAGACTGTAGGGGCAAGTGCTGTTAGCGAGCACCTATGAAGGCCGGAACGGTACACGAGGAGGTGGGTGGCCAGCACCACGCCCGACCGCCTTTGTCTCCCTAGTGGCAAAGTTTACACACCGTACCAGGTACTCATTTGAGGCTGAGTCGACCGAGGGGAGGCCCGGGACCTGTTCAGATAATCGTCACTGGTGTTGGCCGTGAGCGGGAATCGAACCCGGGTCGCCAGGTTCATAGCGCAGCGTAGCGCTAACCGCTCCACCACCGCTCCCCACACACACACATACACACAGACGATCGACGGGGCGTTGCAAGAAGTGGCGGACACTCACCCCCTGCGCACCAGCTCGAACACTGCGGCAAAATGGGGTGGGTGGGTGGGGGGGAGAGAGACACAAGAGTCGTGACGTCAGAGTCTAGCGGGGACACGTGGAGGAGACCCCGCTTTAGGCCCACTCCCCTTCCTCCGTCTCCCTCTCGTCCCGTCCCTTCAACTCCCTCGTCCACAGCCGTGACGGCACGCAGCACAACACGATCTGATTCTAAACTAATGTACGTAGTTTTATACTGTGTAGGAACCTCCTGGTTACTACACCACCACCAGCCCACAGGGGATTATTGTGTCCGTCCGTCCGTCGTGCATCCAAAAATGGGAGGGGTGGGGCTGGGTGCAGAGGGGAGGGTGGGGAGGGAGGGGCTGGGTGGGGAGGGAGGGGCTTGGTGGGGAGGGAGGGGCTGGGTGGGGAGGGGAGGGTGGGGAGGGGCTGGGTGGGGAGGGGAGGGTGGGGAGGGGCTGGGTGGGGAGGGTGGGGCTGGGTGGGGAGGGGCTGGGTGGGGAGGGTGGGGAGGGGCTGGGTGGGTAGGGTGGGGCTGGGTGGGGAGGGTGGGGAGGGGCTGGGTGGGTAGGGTGGGGCTGGGTGGGGGGTGGGAGGGAGGGGTGGGGCTGGGTGGGGAGGGGCTGGTCACCCCGTGGTGCCCTTATAAAACTCAATGTTAAACCTACTCACGCCGGCTTGTGCCCGCCCTCACAGTCCGGCATATTTGCGGAATACACCACGTGGTGCCGCCGTTGACCCTGGCCATTGACCGAGCAACCCAACGTTCCTACCAGCTCCCTCCGCAAGAATGTGTTACGCAGATCGCCGTCACTCAAGGCTCCCTGATGGCATCGCTGTCAAGATGGTCACGCAGAAAGGGGGAGTGATTTGGTATGGCAGGGGCGACGCTACGGGGATTGAGGAGCGAGCGACAGCGACCGAGGGGTACCGGCGGATCACAAAGGGGGGAGGGACGGGGAGGAGTGGAGTGGCGAGGGGAGGGAAGGGAAGGGAGGTGGCCACGATCTGGGGATCCCAATTCGGTTTAAAGCGCAGGAGGCTTTCGCCACCAATACGGAGGTTTTTGCCGGGTTACATCGCTTGAATATAATAATGTGTCGTTAAACCCACCGCCACCCGTGACGGCCGACCCGCAACGTTTGTCACTTCACACCGCACGACTCGCTGAGCACATGACGCAACAGCGCTGACCCGTCACGCTAGACGGCGCTGACCGACGGGATAGCTGGCCAACTATCCAGTGGCGACGACGTCGGGCGGTGACGAGGACGACTCCCGCGGCGAGACGACCCCGCACTCCCACGGAGCTCTCTCTCTCTCTCTCGCCCCCGCTTTTATGCTTCCAGCGGGGGGCCGGCCCCGCCCTGGCCACGCCCCCCTTCTCGAAACTTCCAGCTGGTTCTGAGAGCCCAAAGATGGATCCCTTCCATGACCCTTGCCCCAGTTATTCCTCCCCTTGTGGACTCTCCCCTCCGGTGGGTGCACTCGCAATTGATACTTCTGGCCGCCGGTCGGCGCTGCTACACTGCACTAGTACAGCACACCGGTTGTGTGTTGGAGCAGGGGTCCCCAATCCCCCGGGCCGCGGTACCGGTCCGTGGCCTGTTAGGAACCGGGCCGCACAGCAGCAGGAGGTGAGAGCTGTGAGTCCGCACGTGGCCCGCCCCATTATTTTATTATTTACCACTTCCGTCCGCGCCTCTTTCCCGCACTGCGCACTCGTCTCAGTCACGTGGTGCTGGTAAGCCCACAAGCTAACCCCTAGTAGCCACAATGAGTAACAAAACAAACGTTGCTGGAGAGCTTCTTTGAAAAGGGGAAAAGACTCAATGATGAACCCCCCCCCCCACCCCGGTCCGTGAAGAATTTGTCTTCCACGAAACCGGTCCCTGGTGCCAAAAAAGGTTGGGGACCGCTGAGCTGGAGAGTAAACCCAACCCACAACATTCACGAAATGGCTCTGTCGGGTGGTGGCGGAGTATAACGACACACGTTTACGTGACCTAACCTAAAAACCTCTATTTTCATGGAAAATATTGGTCACGAAAGCCTACGTGTCAAACCAGTTAGTGAGGTTTGTGTCACAAAAACGAAACGTGCCAATTCGTTATGAGTACGGCGAGTAAACCCCACTACAAACATTTCGCCAGTAATTACAACCGGCATCGTCAGGCGGCAGCCAGAGTTGTGGAGTATTCCTCTTCCCCCTGTTTCGGTCTTAAACATCCCAATTTCTGAAAACGCAGCCCACGTATTGCTCGACTGAAGCCTTGGCAGGGCCCTCCTGGATCGCAATCGTGAGACTCGGTGGGGCCCTGGGCTCCTCTGCACGTTGAAGATGCTTTCAGCCGCGAATTAACGGGCGTTGGTGTTCGCGTGGTCAGCATACCCACGACGTGGGTAATTGGGGTCGCTTACCCATGTACAAGTTGTCTTCGCCGGCGTCATCCATCACCTGCGCACACACACAAAAAAAGACAAAGATCCCCCGTATAGCCTTAAAAAGGCTGTTGGGGCAAGTGCTGTTAGCGAGCACCTACGAAGGCCGGCTCGGCACACGACAGGGTGGGTGTCCAGCACCACGCCCGGCCGCCTTTGTCTCCCCAGTGGCGATGTTTTTACACACCGTGCCAGGTACTCATTTGAGGCTGAGTGGACTTAGGGGAGGCCCAGAAACCGGTGCAGATAATCGTCACCGGGTCTTGGCCGTGAGCGGGAATCGAACTCGGGTCACCAGGTTCGTAGCGCAGCGCGCTAACCACTACACTGCCGCTCCCCTGACACACACACGTGCACACACACACACACAGCGTGGACGATTACCCGGTGCTACGTATATCGGAACGGCGATCGTTACCTCCGCGGGCAAGAGAGCCAATAATCGTTTCCGTGCGACGCAACAATTCTCCGGCTGGGAGTGGCGATTGCGCCGATTATCGGCCAATCAATGAGTTTTTACATCAAGCGTCACGCATGGCAATCATCGCGCGCTCCCCCTCGCTCCCCCCCCCTGCCCCTCCGGCCTACTGCGAAAACTTGAGTGCCATGTGACTCGGCGAGGCCTCGCTGGGTGAAGGAGCGGAGTAGCAGTCGTCGTAGTAAGTGCGAGCGTGCGCGCACGAGACACGCGCGTTTAGTTCGTTGTCCTTCCCCGGTTGGCTACGTACGGTGGGAAAGAAGTTCAACATACGTAGGGTTGGATCGCGCAAAGTATAAATGTGCCGTTGAACCCGTCGCCGCCGCCGCCGCCACCACCCGACACAGCCAATTTAGTCAGGTTTGCCACGTGAACAAAACGTGGCAATTCGTTACTAGTTCGGCACACACCGGTGTGTTGGAGAGCAAAGCCACTCCGTCTCGCCGGCGACTACAACAGCCAGCATCATCAGGCGACAGCCAGAGCCTACGTGTTAAACATACGTACATACGCGTGCGTGCGGGTGGGTCGGCGCGCGGTTGTGTGTGCGCGTCACCTCGACTAGCCGCACCACGTTGGGATGGTCCAGCTTTCTCAGGATGGCGATCTCCTGGTAGACTCGGTCCAGGGGGCTCCGGACCGCCGTTGCCGCCGCCGCCGCCGCCGCCGTGGCGGCCGCTCCGGCCGCTCCGCCGCGCGGGGGAGGCCGACCTTGTGCGGGAAACGACGCGTGGGGCACAAAGACAAAGGTTCCCCCCGCCGCCGTACAGCCTCGCTGGCGGCACGGGGCGAGTGCTCGCTGGCGGGAGCGGCACGGGCGCGCGGGCGGGGTGGGTGGTCAGTGCCACGGCACGTGCCCGGGCCGCCTTTGTCTCCCCCATCACCCGCAGTTCCGAATTCTTTTTACGGACTGCGCCAGGCGACCGAGGGAGAGGCCCAGCGAATGGGGGGGGGGGCGGGTCAGAGATGTTCGTCGGCGGATGTTGTGTGGCCGCGAGCGGGGAATCGGTGAACTCGGGTCGCCGGGTTCGCATTGCTGCTGGGCACTAACCGCCGCTGCGCCGCCGCCGCTCCCCAACGCGTGCACGGAGGCCCACGTGCGGAGGCCCACGCACGGAGGCCCACGCACGGAGGCCCACGCACGGAGGCCCACACGCGAAGGCCCACGCACGGAGGCCCACGCACGGAGGCAGTGTTCCTGGGGGTTGGAATCGACCCGAAAGGTTTGGCCCACACGCAACATGTGAGACCGTCCGAAAAGTGGGACATTTTTGGGAGCTGCACGGGAACATGACGACGCCGGGAAGCGACGTCCCCGCCACCGGTGGCGTGACACGGCATCGAGGTGCCGAGCGCACAGGGTGAATCGCTACGCGGCGCGGCTGATGGTAAAATCCAAATGATGTGCGCGTGTGCGCGCGCAGAGCGGTGGTGTAGCGATTAGCGAGGTACCTATTTGAGGCTGAGTCGACCTAGGGGAGGCGCAGGACCGGTTCAGATAATCGGCCGTGAGCGGGAATCGAACTCGGGTCGACTATGAGTACCTCGTGCGGTGTATAAACATCGCTGCTAGGGAGACAAAGGCGGCCGGGCGTGGTACTGGACACCCACCCTACCGTGCTGGCCTTCATGAGTGCCACTCGCTAAGAGGACTTGCCCCAACAGTCTGTTAAGGCTACACGGGGGAATCTTTGTCTTTTTGTGCGCCGTGTGTGTACCGTGTGTGCGCCGTGTGTGCGCCGTGTGTGCGCCGTGTGTGCGCCGTGTGTGTGCCGTGTGTGTGCCGTGTGTGCGTGCGCCGTGTGTGCGTGCGACCGCAGCAACGCAACTCACGCGGGAAGCCGGCTTGCTTCACCAGGCGCTTCTTAGACATCACCTTCATGGCCTGGAAAATACCGACCGTCGGTCAGCGGCCGGACGGCCGTCGGGCGTCGTGCGAGCTCGCGGATTCCTAAGCGCGCCCGCCCGCCCAACCACCACCACCACTGCCTTCTCTGGCGGCGGCAGCGGCAGGAATGGATCCTCCACAGTCAGTCCACCGGGGTGGGGAGGCCGCGTGATGCGGGCGGGGCAAAGTGTGGGTAACGCCCGCCCGCGTCCAACAGACCAAATTGTCTTCTTTGGTTCTTTCAGTAAAGTCACGTAGAATGAGAATAAAATAATAAAATAACACAATAAAATTCTCGCGACGTTCCGGCCACAACGCAAGCGGCCGTCTTCAGGTGAAAGGTACAGACCTGTCGGGACGACCTTTCACCTGAAGACGGCCGCTTGCGTTGTGGCCGAAACGTCGTGAGAATTTTATTGTGTTATTATTATTTTATTCTCATTCTACGTGGTGACTTTACCGAAAGAACCAAAGAAGATGAATCCTTGCAGTCACGAAAACTTTAAATCGAAATTTAGACCAAATTGTCGTTGCAGAGATTTCCCCGTTCGGCCGAGTGGCGACGACACGGCCCCCGGCGGTGTGGCGCGCGAGCCGACCGTCGGGCAAAGTTCGGGGGGCTTCGAGCCCAGTGGCCGCCCCAGTTAATAGCCACGCGCCGCGGCAGACGTCGGCAGCCCGGCGAGCGAGCGAGCGGGCGGGCGGTCTGGGTGCGTGCCAGCGTCGCGGTCCGCATTTGCCAAGCGTGAAAAATTGCGGGACGGGAAAAATGTACCCAGTTACTCGGCAGGACCCTCCTGAACAAAGCCAAAGGAGCCTTGAGACTCGTCCGAGGCTCTCTCGAGGTGCACACGCTTGGTGAAGTGTCAAGAGGCTCGCAAGACCTCGCTGTCCGCCGTGAAGGCGACCCGGTCAAAACGGCCGATACGGTAGCAGGCAAGCTACACGGGAAGAGTGAACGGTGTTCCGGGGTTGCATGGAATTTGTTGGCATCCCCGTGTCCTACCCACTCCTATCCCCCCCCCCCCCACCACCTCCTCCAAATAGTCCTTGGCCTAGAACCGAACTCATCGCCACCCACGCTGGCAAAACTTGCGTCGTACCGATTTATCTACGCGGCCATTTGAGAGAGAACTGTGACAACCAGACTCGTACCAAACGGGTCTCGCGTAAGCCGCTGCCATTGGGCCACGCAAGAGAAAATCGGAACGAGCAAGGCGATGGCACTCCCGGGTGGTGCCGACAACCACAGTGGATCTCTCAACGCATCCATCGATTGTTGAGTCTTCTTGTTCGTTGTGCTCGTACGCCGCCACTGCCAATACCAAAGCCCGCCGATCGCCACTGGGCAACGGCGTCAGGTGTTGTAGAGGGCAGACGTGGATCCCCGTGTCCTACCCACTCCTGCCCCCCCCCACCCCCCCCCCCCGCAACTTCATCCTCCTCCTCCATTTAGTCCCTGGGGCCAGAGCAGAACTGAGTAGCACCTAAGGGTAGCAAGCATTTGAGTGATACCGATTCATTCGTACAGCCATTGAGAGAGAACTGTTTCACATGGGTCTCGCGTCATTCACGTAATTCACGGCCGGGCAAACGACGATGACGACGACAACGACGATGACGATGACAACGACGATGACGACAATGACGATGACGACAACGACGATGACGATGACAACGACGATGATGACAACAACAACGATGACGACAACGACGATGATGACAACGACGATGACGACGACGATGACGACAACGACGATGACGACGACGATGATGACAACAACAACGATGATGACAACAACGATGACGACAACAACAACGATGACGACAACGACGATGATGACAACGACGATGACGACGACGATGACGACGACAACGACGATGACGACAACAACGACGATGACGACGACAACGACGATGACGACAACAACTATGACGACAACAACAACGATGATGACAACAACAACGATGACGACGACAACGACGATGACGACAACAACAACGATGACGACAACAACGACGATGACGACAACGAAGATGACGACGACAACGACTATGACGACAACAACAACAACGATGATGACAACAACAACAATGACAACAACAACAACGATGACGACGACAACGACGATGATGACAATGACGACTATGACGACAACAACAACGATGATGACAACAACAACGATGACGACGACAACGACGAAGACGACAACAAGGACGATGACGACAACAGCAACAACTATGACGACAACAACAATGACGACAACAACGATGACAATGACGATAGCAACAACAACGATGACGACGACTAAGACAAGGACGACAACAACAACAACGATGACGACGACAACGACGATGACGACAACAACAACGATGACGACAACAACAACAACGATGATGACAACAACAACGATGATGACAACAACAACGATGACGACAACAACAATGATGACGACAACAACAACAACGATGATGACAACAACAACGATGACGATGATGACAACAACAACAACAACAACAATGGCGACAACAACAATGACGACAACAACGATGACGACAACAACAACGATGACGACAACAACAACGATGACGATGATGACAACAACAACAACAATGGCGACAACAACAATGACGAGAACAACGATGACAATGACGATAGCAACAACAACGATGACGACGACGACTAAGACGAGGACGGCGGTGGCGTTGACGTCACGTACGTAGTGGACGTTGTCCTCCTGGTTGTACGCCAGCCGGACCACTCCATAGGACCCCTGCCAGACAAACGCTCCGTCACCGATAAACAATAGAACATACGACGTTTCGATTGCAACACAAGCAACCGTCATCAGGTGTGAATGAATGCAAGCTCGGAGAGAGACACAGAGAGAGAAAGAGACACACAGAGAGAGAGAGACACCCACAGAGACACGGAGAGAGACACATATAGAGAGAGACACACAGAGACACGGAGAGAGACACATACACACAGAGAGAGACGCATATATAGAGACACGGAGAGAGACACATACACAGAGAGAGATACACAGAGAGAGATACATATACAGAGAGAGAGAGAGACGCACAGAGAGAGAGACATAAAACAGAGAGAGAGACACAGAGAGACACATATACAGTGAGAGAAAAAAGTATTTGATCCCCAGCTGATTTTGTACGTTTGCCCACTGACAAAGAAATGATCAATCTATCTTTTAATGGTCGGTTTATTTGAACAGTGAGAGACAGAATAACAACAAGAAAATCCAGAAAAACGCATATCAAAAATTTTATAAATTGATTTGCATTTTAATGAGGGAAATAAGTATTTGACCCCCTCTCAATCAGAAAGATTTCTGGCTCCCAGGTGTCTTTTATACAGGTAACGAGCTGAGATTAGGAGCACACTCTTAAAGGGAGTGCTCCTAATCTCAGCTTGTTACCTATATAAAAGACACCTGTCCACACAAGCAATCAATCAATCAGATTCCAAACTCTCCACCATGGCCAAGACCAAAGAGCTCTCCAAGGATGTCAGGGACAAGATTGTAGACCTACACAAGGCTGGAATGGGCTACAAGACCATTGCCAAGCAGCTTGGTGAGAAGGTGACAACAGTTGGTGCGATTATTCGCAAATGGAAGAAACACAAAAGAACTGTCAATCTCCCTCGGCTTGGGGCTCCATGCAAGATCTCACCTCGTGGAGTTGCAATGATCATGAGAACGGTGAGGAATCAGCCCAGAACTACACGGGAGGATCTTGTCAATGATCTTAAGGCAGCTTGGACCATAGTCACCAAGAAAACAATTGGTAACACACTACGCCGTGAAGGACTGAAGTCCTGCAGCGTCCGCAAGGTCCTCCTGCTCAAGAAAGCACATATACATGCCCGTCTAAAGTTTGCCAATGAACAACTGAATGATTCAGAGGACAACCGGGTGAAAGTGTTGTGGTCAGATGAGACCAAAATGGAGCTCTTTGTCATCAACTCAACTCGCCGTGTTTGGAGGAGGAATGCTGCCTATGACCCCAAGAACACCATCCCCACCGTCAAACATGGAGGTGGAAACATTATGCTTTGGGGGTGTTTTTCTGCTAAGGGGACAGGACAACTTCACCGCATCAAAGGGACGATGGACGGGGCCATGTACCGTCAAATCTTGGGTGAGAACCTCCTTCCCTCAGCCAGGGCATTGAAAATGGGTCGTGGATGGGTATTCCAGCATGACAATGACCCAAAGCACACGGCCAAGGAAACAAAGGAGTGGCTCAAGAAGAAGCACATTAAGGTCCTGGAGTGGCCTAGCCAGTCTCCATAGAAAATCTGTGGAGGGAGCTGAAGGTTCGAGTTGCCAAACGTCAGCCTCGAAACCGTAATAACTTGGAGAAGATCTGCAAAGAGGAGTGGGACAAAATCCCTCCTGAGATGTGTGCAAACCTGGTGGCCAACTACAAGAAACGTCTGACCTCTGTGATTGCCAACAAGGGTTTTGCCACCAAGTACTAAGTCATGTTTTGCAGAGGGGTCAAATACTTATTTCCCTCATTAAAATGCAAATCAATTTATACCATTTTTGACATGCGTTTTTCTGGATTTTGTTGTTGTTATTCTGTCTCTCACTGTTCAAATAAACCTACCATTCAAATTATAGACTGATCATTTCTTTGTCAGTGGGCAAACTTACACAATCAGCAGGGGATCAAATACTCTGTGTCTCTCCCCCATGTGTGTCTCTCTCTGTGTGTTTGTCTCTCTCTCTGTGTCTCTCTGTCTGTGTATCTCTCTGTGTCTCTCCCCCATGTGCGTGTTTCTCTCTCTCTCTGTGTTTGTCTCTCTCTCTGTGTGTCTCTCTCTGTGTTTGTCTCTCTCTCTCTGTGTTCGTCTCTCTGCGTGTCTCTCCCCCATGTGTGTGTCTCTCTCTCTCTCTGTGTTTGTCTCTCTCTCTGTGTTCGTCTCTCTCTGTGTGTCTCTCCCCCATGTGTGTCTCTCTCTCTCTCTCTGTGTTTGTCTCTCTCTCTGTGTTCGTCTCTCTCTGTGTGTCTCTCCCCCATGTGTGTGTGTCTCTCTCTCTGTGTTTGTCTCTCTCTCTCTGTGTGTTCGTCTCTCTCTGTGTGTCTCTCTGTGTGTCTCTCTCTGTGTTTGTCTCTCTCTCTCTCTCTGTGTGTTCGTCTCTCTCTGTGTGTCTCTCTGTGTGTGTCTCTCTCTCTCTGTGTTTGTCTCTCTCTCTGTGTTCGTCTCTCTCTCTGTGTGTCTCTCTGTGTGTCTCTCCCCCATGTGTGTGTCTCATTCACACCTGATGACGGTTGCTTGTGTTGCAATAGAAACGTCGTGTATTCTATTATTTATGTTATTTTATATTCTACGTGAGTTTACCAAAAGAACCAAATAGTAATTCCTGCGGTCACGAAAGCTTCAAATCAAATCCGGAACTCATTTATCAAGTAGTGGCAACCGCAGAAGCAGCAGCATGAGCCAGCGACGCTCCGTGAGAGAGGGAAACCGTGAGCTTCTGAAAGGAAAAATGGAATTCCCGACGAAGCCCGTGATACGCGGGGCAAAACGTCGGACATCGCGGCGATCTCGCGGTGAGAGCAAAGTCACGGGCGACGCGAACCTACCTTTCCAATCTCGCCCAGCACCTTGTACTGGTTTAACTGAATGCAGTCCTGCACGCACACACACACGCACAACAGAAGGATCCCCCGTGTAGCCTTCAACAGACTTCATGGGGCGAGTGCCGTTAGCGTAGCGGCAGCACCTGTGGAGGCCGACACGGCACACGAGGGGGTGGGTGGGTGGGCCAGCACCACGCCCGGCCGACTTTTGTCTCCCCAGTGCTAGCGATGTTCATACCACCGCACCAGGTGCTGTGGAGAACTGGGGGAGGCCCAGGGCCGGTGTGGATCCTCGCCACTGATATTCGTCGCGACGAGCGGGGGAACTGAACTCGGGTCCGCCGGGTTCGCAGTGCGGTGCGCCAACCACGACGGGCGCTGCGCTCACCGCCCTCTGCAGTCGCCTCGGACAAATGGCACGCTCGCCGCTGTCGGCACGACCGCCGTGCGGACATCCACGTGGATTGTCGCTCGCAATTCCCCGCATTCGAAGGCGCGCCCTTTGCATCCCCCCTGCGTTTTCGGGAAAATGTTGGGCGGTGCGCCTGCGTGTCTAATAGTAATTCGGACAGCGGCCTGCTTGTGCGTCTGATCATACGGACAGGCGCCCGCGTGTGCGGCAAGTCGGTTTTGCACAACTCTATCGCCGCTGCACATCCACGTCCACTGCTACCGTATTCTCTGGATCAGAAGCTGGGCTCTTCCCCCCCCCCACGCCCGGCCCCACCCCAGTGTCCACGCTACGTCGCCGTGAAGTTTAAAGTTCACCGATTTCGAATTAAATACATTTTACATATATATGTGTTTTTAATGACCCCCAACCTTCGGGGCGCATCTTTCCTTTCCGGAGCCTCTCGGGGCCCGGTCCACGCCCGGGCGATCCCGGCACGCAACCGAAATCGCCGTCGCGCAACTCAGCGGAGGAGCAGCTGCGCGAAACGAGGACGCCAAATGGGGCGCGTTGGCGATCGCCGCGGGGACCGCCGCTGCCCGCCGGACAGACCGACAGCGTGAAATTCGAGCCTCGTCCCACTCAGAAACCCGGTCGCGGAGATGCCCGCACGGAGGCGATGGGGGGGGGTGGGGTGGGGGGTTTGGTCGTCTCTCTCACCTGCAGGTCCGTGATGGACACGCGGTGAGACTGCACGGTGCGCCGGCAGCCCGGCCGGGAGGGCGCCCCGCGGGGGGAGCCACCGGGCGAGACGGCGGCTTGGGGGCCGCCCCCGGAGCGGCCGAGCCCCGGGCGACGGGGCGAGGGCTCGGGCGGCGGAGCGGAAGGCGCGGCGGCAGCGGGGCGGCCGTGCCCCCTCTCGGCCGCGGGCGCCGAGGAGGAGCAGGCCGCGCCGTCGGCGCGCGCTTTGTCGGCGGCCGCCGTTCCGGCCCGGATCGCCAACGCCGCCAGGGGCTCCGCGAGCTCCCCCGGACCCCCGCGGGCGCTCGGCTGCGAGGGCTCCGCTCCCCCGCCGGCTCCCGCGGCCCCGGGCTGCGGCCCTTCCATGGCGCCGGCTGCCTGCGCGGCGCGAGAGGGCGCGTCAGGGCGGGCGAGGCCTCCCTCCGTTCGTTTGCCGCGTTTTCGTTCGGCGACGCCGGTGCAAAAGCGCGCGGGCGTACGCGGCGCGTCGTCGGAACGGAACCCGAAGAAGAAAACCGATGACGTGCACGCGCACGTCATCGTCGGAAATGGGAAAGGGAGAAATGTTCTTGTTATTTTGCGCATCATTCCGCTCGTCGCCGCTGCTGCCGCCGCCGTCGCCGCCGCCGCCGCCGCGCGCAAGACGGCAACGGAGGAGATATGCGACGTCATTTTTTTTTTGCTTTCACAATTCGGCGGAGCGGCGGCGCCGGCGCTCTCGGCGTCGACTGCAGGCGAAGGAAGGCCGCGGTTCAGTCGCCGTAGCCGTCGGAGCGGCGGCATCCACACTGCCGCGGCGTCGAACGGGTGTGCGGCCGCGCGGGAATTCGAACGGAGCGGCGAGCTCGCCGCTCCGTCGCCGCCGTTCTGAGCGCTCTCGACGCCGGCCCCGGCCCCGGCCCCGACCCTCGGCGCGCTTCGCGTGGAGTCTCCGACCTGCGAAATCTGTCGCTCGCCCCGCGCGGTCTCGCCCGCTCTCCCATAATGACGCGGCAGCGATCGCGTTCTTGGAAGGACGCGCCACCTCGTTGTGGGCAACTGGCGTTGTAATGAATAATATTGAGGAGAGGGGTAAAGCACGGCGCGCAGGCCAAACAGAGACCGAGGTTTGCGCGTGGGTAGCAGCTTGCGAGCAGCGAGGTTCTCCATTATCGAGGTTTTTTGGGGTTAGATCACGACAGCCAGACAGATCTGGCTGTCGCCTGATGAAGCTGGTTGTAATTACTGGAGAAACGTCGTACTCAGATTGTAAATGTTGTGGCTTGGCTCTCCAACACACCGGTGTAGTGCTGTACTAGTATACTACACTATACACTACACTATACACTGCACTATACACTGCACTATACACTACACTAAACACTACACTATACACTACACTATACACTACACTACACTACATACTAGTGCTGTACTAGTATACTACACTATACACTACACTATACACTACATACTAGTACTGTACTAGTATACTACACTATACACTACACTATACACTACACTAAACACTACACTACACTATACACTACACTGCATACTAGTGCTGTACTAGTATACTACACTATACACTACACTACATACTAGTGCTCTACTAGTATACTACACTATACACTACACTATACACTACACTATACACTACTATATACTGCACTATACACTACACTAAACACTACACTATACACTACACTATACACTACAATATATACTAGTGCTGTACTAGTGACGAATTGGCCACGTTCTGTTTACATGACAAACCCCTTGCTAGTTGGCTGTGTCGGGTGGTGGTGGGTTTTAACGACACATTTATACATTTTATGTGATCTAACCCAAAAAAACCTCTATTATGGATGATATTGGTCGCGAAAGCCAACGTGTTAAACTCAGGTTCTGTCACGTGGCGGTGGTAGTCGTTGCCTTCCTGATGAATGCCGCGTAAATGGGAAAAAAAAAAAATCGCGCTATAATAAATAATCAATAATATAGTGGGCGGAGCACAGTCGGCGATAACTCGCGCGATGCGTACGCAGGCCGAACAGAGACCGAGGTTGAGCGCGGGTAGCAGCATCTGTACAGCATCCAGCAGCATCCCGATGGCTCGTGCGATGACGCCGACGCCGCTACGCCGGGGCAGCCGTACAAGCCGCTCGTTCCCGCTCGCGCGACGTCGTTCCGCTCGCCCCATCGCGTTGTATCCCAATTCGCGTTCCGCGTCACGACAAAATGTGTTCCCACGTACATCCGTCACGTTACTTATATTTCAAATTCGCGTCGTGAAAACCACGCGTTATCGGAGGACGGGCCGTACCTCCACCTGCGTCGGTGACTTAGGCGATGAATTTAAAATTACAAAATTATTTTTTACGTCACCAGGCAAGAGCCCACTAAGCTACGTAGCTCATGTTCAGAAGCGAGCTGTCCATCACAAATGATAGCCCAACAAAGTGGCTTGTTGTCACGTGGACATTGATAGCAGTCAAATACCCTGAATGCGTGACGTTGACTCTAAATGTGGAGGGAAAAACCGGCGTCCACGGCGCGGGAAGACACGCAAACTCCAAATATACAGCAGCAGCAGGCGTCAGAGTCGGGGATTGAACCCACGACCTCCTGTATACCAGGTGAGGTGGTTAACATCTCCTCGCCACCGTGATGGTGATGAAAGAGAGACACAGAATCCATATGCAGCCGGCATCGTCAGGGCCGGGATGGAACCCACGACCTCCTGTATACCAGGCGAGGGAGTTAACATCTCCTAGCCACCGTGATGTTGATGATTGACGCAGACTCAAAATGTGCAGCCGGCATCATCAGGGCCGGGATGGAACCCACGACCTCCTGTATACCAGGCGAGGGAGTTAACATCTCCTTGCCACCGTGATGTTGATGATTGACGCAGACTCAAAATCTGCAGCCGGCATCGTCAGGGCCGGGATGGAACCCACGACCTCCTGTACACCAGGCGAGGGAGTTAACATCTCCTAGCCACCGTGATGTTGATGATTGACGCAGACTCAAAATGTGCAGCCGGCATCGTCAGGGCCGGGATGGAACCCACGACCTCCTGTACACCAGGCGAGGGAGTTAACATCTCCTAGCCACCGTGATGTTGATGATTGACGCAGACTCAAAATGTGCAGCCGGCATCGTCAGGGCCGGGATGGAACCCACGACCTCCTGTACACCAGGCGAGGGAGTCAACATCTCATAGCCACCGCAGCACGACAGGCCGGCACGGCGGCCGCAGTGCCGGCTGCATTGGGGTTTTGCCTGCAGCGACGGTTCTCCGCGCGGATCCCCCCCTGGCAATCGTCGAGAGAGAAAAAAAACAAACCCCGCCATCCAATATTGATGCCGCATTGTTCGGGGAGGCCCGAGCGGAATCCGTGGGGGACGTGAAAGCCGCGGCGCTCGAGAGCGAGCACGTCCGCGGAACGCTGCTCCCCTCGGGGGTTCCCGCCGGTGCCACGCATCCAGAGTCAATTTTCGTTTTCTACTGCTGCTGCTGCTGATGCTCAAACAAGCGCCGGGGCATCGGTGCCCGTATCCCCGTTTGCAGCCCCGCCAGAGCCGGCGGTGGGAAATTCCACATTCACGTGGCGGGTGGCGGGGTGGTGGGGTGAGTTTCACCGCTCATTTGATCGCCGCCTCCGAATGGCGGCGACGGTGGGGCCCGGGTCGACCCGGGGTTTTGAAAGGTCGAGCTTCCGCTCGCTCGGCCGCTGAGCAGCCAATTGGCCGGCTAATTATTCTGCTGCCGCTGCTTCCACCGCTGTCGCTGCACTGCAGCGGGCAGACGGCGGGCGCACGCGTCTGACACGTTCGCCGGAGCGACAAAACACAAACGTCGGGTAACGCCCGCGTGCATCTCTCCCCGTGGAGCTCACGCGGGCCCCGCGCGGGGCCCTCATTTGTATTCGGTGAGCGGACGCCGGGCCTGGCGACGCCGAGGAGACGCCGAGGAGATGCCGATGCATGCCGCGCCCGCGCGCCACGCGAGCGCGGCATCGGCGTCCCGTCCGCACCTCCGCGCGTCCCGGGCGGCACCTCCGGACCAGTATTCGCGGATCACAAGGTGGCGCGTTCGAATCCTGGTCCGGGAACGGTCGACTCGGCCCACAATCCTCTCTTTCTTTCCGTGGCACCGCGTTGTGCGGAGGGCGAAAACGGTGGTGGTGCTTGTTTTTTTTTACGGAGGCTTTTGCCCCCCTGCCAGCTATGAAAAATGCGAAATTCCAGACGGTGTGAAGTGACGTGTACACGCAAAGGGGGTCGTTTAGGACTTGCGCTGCTACCGCTGAGCTCCGTACAGATTCTCTCCGTCTCGCGACGCGACGCCGATGGCGCAAGATAAGAAATGACTTCCACCGTCAACGAGAACCGGAATTTGTGAGAAATCTTATCATCTTCAAATAATGCAGATAGCGCCTTGTTCAAGGCACTTTACACGGAATTAACGACGGCAGAGCGCATGAACGGTGGCGGATGAAGCGAATTACAGAGATGAGAGGAAGCAATGCGGGCGAATCCGCGATGACGCGTGAATTCGGTGAGGGCGAAGCCGATGACAGTGAATGATGACGAGCGGGTTGAATGAACGTGGTTAATGAGTGACAGCCGTGTGATGAGAATGTGGAGAGGGAACAGTCACGGTGGTGGTTACGAGGGGGGAAATTTAAGGGAGGGGGGGGGGTCGTGGGGTGAGCTCAGGAACAAGAAGTGAGCTCTGAGTGCCGAGCGGAAACTTTAGTGAGCGAAGGCGACCGCCTAATGTGGAGGAGGGAAGTCTGTTCCATTGAAGGGGGTGGTCGAGATGAGAGAGGCGGGGGGGGGGAAGCGTGGATTGAGCACAAGGAGAATGAGGAGGAGCAGAGAGAGACGGCAAAGTCTGGGAACGCAGAGGGCAAAAAGGCCACGGGGGGATTTGTTGAGCAGGGTGAGGAATTCGAACGGGCGGTGGGAGGGCTCGTAAGAAGCTGGGATTCGTGACGGCTGCGTGCAGACGCGCTGCAGAGCAGCGCGCCGGTGCCACAACCGGAGATTGTGCGTGAATTCACCGGTGAGATTAGCTCTTCCCGTGGCCTAGCCATGGCTTCTCGAGAGACAGTAGTACGGTATCAGCATTAGGTATTACAGCATTTCAACATCGGGAGCTGAGGGATTTAGACAATCCATACAGAGGAGAGTTGCGGTAACCGAGGTTTTCAGCGTCTCAGCGGTACCGGTGACCTTACACGTAGAGGCCCAGGTAGCTAAAGGGGCCCTGGACCCATGAACTGAAAGGGTTTTGCTATTTGAACTCCAAGAATGTTTTTACGAAAGCTCACGATTCTCACTCCACGGCTAAAGAATCATTGTAAATCAGTCAATATCTTGATTTGAAGCTTTCGTGACTGCAGGAATCCATACTCTTCGGTTCTTTCGGTAAAGTCACGTAGGTAGGTAGTAGAAAAATAAAATAAATCACGACGTTCCGGGCGCAACACAAGCGTCCATCGTCAGGTGGGTAAATCAGTCAATATCCTTCATTATTTCCGACGATGGCAATAGCATTGATATACGCGGCTTGCCCAGCGTACGGGCGATGCTTGCAGTTTAACACGTAGGCTTGTGCAGCTTAACACGTAGGTGTTTGCAGTTGCGCGACGCGCCGCGGGATTATTCTCCGGTGCTCTGGATACGGGAACGACGGCGGAAGAGCGACATCACAAAACGAGCCGTCGCGACGGCTACTTTTCCGTCGGCTGGCACCACTTTGGTTCCGCGTGAAGGCTCGCGTGCCACGAGTCCACGGGGCGCGCGCACGGTGCCAGCGTCCGTTAGTTCGCGAGAAGAATTCCATCCGAAATGTTTGCTTGAATTAAAAAAAAAACCCTATTATAATAACGATCTTTAAAATATCCAGGAATCAGGATTTTTTGCAGAATCTGGCACTCAACCCGAGAGCGGTGCTCTGCGACCGGTGTGCTGTTGCGGCAGACTGGCGATGCCACCGCGTCGTGAAAACCACGCGCTATCGGAGGACGGGCCGTACCTCCACCTGCGTCGGTGACTTAGGCGACGCATTTAAAATTACAAAATTATTCTTTACGTCACCAGGCAAGAGCCCACTAAGCTACGTAGCTCATGTTCAGAAGCGAGCTGTCCATCACAAATGATAGCCCAACAAAGTGGCTTGTTGTCACGTGGACATTGATAGCAGTCAAATACCCTGAATGCGTGACGTGGACTCTAAATGTGGAGGGAAAAACCGGCGTCCACGGCGCGGAAAGACACGCAAACTCCAAATATATAGCAGCAGCAGCAGGCGTCAGAGTCGGGGATCGAACCCGCGACCTCCTGTATACCAGGTGAGGTGGTTAACATCTCCTCGCCACCGTGATGTTGATGAAAGAGAGACGCAGAATCAATATGCAGCCGGCATCGTCAGGGCCGGGATGGAACCCACGACCTCCTGTATACCAGGCGAGGTGGTTAACATCTCCTCGCCACCATGATGTTGATGAAAGAGAGACGCAGAATCAATATGCAGCCGGCATCGTCAGGGTCGGGATCGAACCCACGACCTCAGACTGGCGATGCCACCGCAGCGGTATCCCAGCGCGGGTGCCGCTGCCGGCGCACGGTGTCTTTCGCAATCGCAGTCCGTTCTCACGACGCCAATCGGATGCGCAACGCGACGACGAATGCGTTGGGGAACGCGCCGTTTGTCGTGACGCGGAATGCGGATTGGGAATACAACGCGATGGGGCGAGCGGGAACGAGCGGCTTGTACGGCGGCCCCGGCGTAGCGGCGTCGTCGTCGCACGGGCCGTCGGGATGCTGCTGGATGCTTTCCAGATGCCGCTACCCGCGCGCAACCTCGGTCTCTGTTCGGCCTGCGTACGCATCGCGCGAGTTATCGCCGACGGTGCTCCGCCCACTATATTATTGATTATTTATTACAACGCGAATTTTTTTATTACAACGCGATTTTTCTTCTTCCCATAACACGGCGTTCTTCAAGAACGCAATTACCACCACCGCCACGCGATAGGGGAACCTCACTGCTCTCAAGCCGAGGCAGACAAACTCTCCCTCCGTGCCGTTCAGTGGCCGATCCGGCGCCCCCCACCCCTCCCCGCCACTACGGCCCACCCCCCCCCATCTCCCGCCCTCCCGTCTCCATTGGTCGCGCACGCGCAGAACGATGACCGGCAGTTGACGGCCGCCGTCGGCCCCCCACCCCCGGCCCTGTCACATAGCCCGGTGGCCACGCATGCCCAGCTGGGCGTCGTTGTGTTATCTTTGTTCGGTTCGGTGAAGTGAGAGCGGTTGCCGTCGAGTGAACATCGGCCGAAACTGAAATGCGCCGCCACAGAGGCCTGCCACGATGGCCTCCCTACCTTGCCGACTCGAAATGGAGGGGAGTTCCCTTCTCACGGCAACGTGGAATTTCCGCCGCGCTTCGGGAGCAATGCCTCGACGCTCGTTTGAGGAGCGCGAAGCCACCTTGGACCGTTATCAGCTTTGGTAACCCTGGCGACCCCTTGGAGACCCGGCCCTCTGCTGCGCCCAGCAACAGTCCGGGCACGGCGCCAAGGCTGGCACCCGCCACTTCACGGGAGGCTTCGGGGGGGAAGCCGGTCACCTTAGGGCGATTACGTTGAAGCGTTAGCGCTCGGAGGGCGGCTCAGAGTTCCCTGAACAGCACGTCCCGTGCCACGGAATTCGGATCGATCGCTCTCCCTAGCGTATGGCAAGCGCGTGCGACAGCGACAGGAGCAGCGCGACTTATACCCATCAGTCCCGCCGGAGAGCGGGCGTAGGGCGCGGGTGTTCGCAATGTGGTCAATTGTCTGGTTCGGGTGGCCGCAGTCACACCGTGGGGTTGTCTTTGATTCTCCACTTGTGGAGGTGGTGAGCGCGGCGACCTGTTGCTGTCCTGAAACGGTTGTGAGGACCAAAACGCGCCCCTTCGACGTGTGGGGCTCACGGGCAATGCATACCCAGCATCTGTGTTGCCGTGATGGCAACGCCGCGCGGGGTCGTTATGTTTGCATTCACAACAGTGACTGCACACACGCTCATAACGCACACGGCAGCCTCGAAGTGCCGGCTAACACACCCACTGAAGTACATTCCCCCCAAGCCCCTGCTAAATTCAGTGTCAATAACGGGAGATTGTATTTACTGCGTTTGATGCAACTGAGTACACAGCACGTAAGGCAACCACACGGCAACAACCGGTACCACGGACAGCAACCACACAGCACAACCAGCACAACGGACAGCAACCACACAGCACAACCGGTACCACGGACAGCAACCACACAGCACAACCGGTACCACGGACAGCAACCACACAACACAACCGGTACCACGGACAGCAACCACACAACACAACCGGTACCACGGACAGCAACCACACAGCACAACCGGTACCACGGAAAGCAACCACACAGCACAACCGGTACCACGGACAGCAACCACACAGCACAACCGGTACCACAGACAGCAACCACACAGCACAACCGGTACCACGGACAGCAACCACACAGCACAACCGGTACCACTGACAGCAACTACACAGCGCAAACCGGTACCACGCACAGCAACCACACAGCACAACCGGTACCACGGACAGCAACCACACAACACAACCGGTACCACGGACAGCAAACCACACAGCACAACCAGCACAACGGACAGCAACCACACAGCACAACCGGTACCACTGACAATAACCACACAGCACAACCGGTACCACGCACAGCAACCATCCAGCACCATCGGCACACAACGCCTCTGCACCTTCCGTGTCGCCTTGCGCGGCTCTCTCGCTGCTCTCCTCCGTGTCTCCTCGTCACTGTCCCGCAGCTTCCCTGCCTCTTGCGTCTCTCTCTGACTCCCCCCGTCTCTCTCCCCGTCTCTCTGCGACTCTCCCCCGTCTCTCTCCCAGTCTCTCTCTCTCTTTAACTCTCTCCGTCTCTCTCTCTCCCGTCTCAGACCGCTTCCGGCCACGTGACTGGCGGATCAGCCCGGGGGAGGGGGCCCCCCACCCACCCCATCCCCGCCCACAGTCCCCCCCGCCCACCCAACCCCGTCCCCCCCACCCCGTCAACGCCCACCCACCCCGTCCCCGATTGGTCGACACCGATGTGTGGGGGGGGGGGCCTCGCCATAAATGGGGCGCGTGGCGTCATGCCGCGTCCGGCTGCTCCACCACCACCACCACGTGCGCGCGTGTCGTTGGTGCGGCGAGGAATAGGCGCCGGGGGAGACAAAGGCGGCCGCGCGTGGTTGTTGGCACACGGCCGATGCCTCGCGTGCCGTTTGCGCAAGGAGTGTGGTTTGTGTCGGAAGTGTGGTCCGTTCGGCGAGTGAATTGTGCAGGGCATGTGGTGTGGAGGGCATGTTGTGTGTATAGGGGCCGTCCATAAATGACGTCACGCCCCTGGGGGGGTCAGACATTTGTGACGAGGCGGGGGCTGTTGGAGAAATGTGACGTCACATCAAAATGCGCAACTTTAAATAAATATAAACACGTTCTACTTAAATTTTGATTTAAAGCTTTGATTTAAAGCTTCCAACGGCACGAAACTTTTGTTTGGTTTTCACACCTGATGATGACTGTATTACAGTCGAAACGTCGTGAGAATTTTATTGTTTTATAGATATTTTATTGTTTCCCTTCAACGTGACTTTACCGAAAGAACCAAGAATACGTTCTACTTAATTAAATAGACTTCATGCATTTTCTCCAGAGTGCAGCGCCACATTTAATGCGCACTACAATGACGATAGTTTAAAGCAGGGGTGGGCAAATTTTTTGACTCGCGGGCCACAATGGGTTCTAAAATTTGACAGAGGGGCCGGGACAGGAACAGATGGAGTGTTTGTGTAAACAAATATAAATGACATGTAAAAATCATTACATGGAAGGATTTGGGCTCTAACAGGTAGCAAAGCATTTATTTGCAAGGCAATTTAACAATTTGCACGAATATGAACAATACAGAAACATATTCTTAGCTCTTTCGGTAAAGTCACGTTGAAGGGAAACAATAAAATATATAAAACAATAAAAATTCTTGCCGTTTTATTATTTTGTTGTTTCCCTTCAACGTGACTTTACCGAAAGAGCTAAGAATATGAATTACTGCAGTCACGAAAGCTTTCAATCAAAATTTAATACAGAAACAGGTCGTAACTCCCGGTCAAAGTGCGCCATCTAATGGGGAAATGGGGGCATTACAGGAGAAAGGTAAAATTTAATTTAATAATAATATTTGTACAAGTTCAGCGGGACGGATTAAAAAGCCCAACGGGCCGTACTTTGCCCATGTCTGGTTTAAAGCGATTTGAAACATGTTTTTTTTGGGGGGGGGAGGGGGCAGAGCTTTGACGTCATATTTGAGGGGGGGGGGGTCTGATTTTTTGTGACGCCGTGTGATGAAGGGGGGGAGGGGGTCAGTGTGCAGGACATATTGCGCGTGTGGCGTTTACGTGCAGGCAGTGAACATGAACCACACCAAATTCTGCAGAACCAAATTACAAAAGTACACGTTTATTATTTCATCACAGCACTCCACGGTATTTACAGACCTTAAATACAAACGAACTGAACGAAACCTGCTCCTGCAGCTCATTCAGCTTCATTGAAACATTATTTATTCTCTAAAATTTTTTTTACAAACCACCATCTAAAAATAACAGAGGATGGTTGGGCGGCACGGTGGTGGTGGGGGGGGGGCAGGCGACTTCCCCTTTTGCCTCCCTCTCCCCCCCCCCCGTTGCTGCAACGTGGCGGGCAGAGTGGACGGCGTTCTGCGGTGCCGAGCCGCCCTCTACAGCACAACCTCGAGGGAGTCGCACACCTGGGGAGGGAGGGGGGGGGGGAGAAAAACCACAACAAAAAAACGGCGCGAGAATCTTCCGCGCCTGCCGTCCGTTCTCTGGATCATCCGGAGTAAGAAAGTACGAGACTGTCCACGCCCTCCCACCCCCCCCAGCTAAACGCACGCGCGGTTTCGATAAAGTTTCACAAGTATGGGTCTCGCACACAACACGTACACCCAGCTGCCGGATTATAATACGCACTCGCACCAAAAAACTTTCGCTTTAAACTAGAGGAGGGGCGTGGGAGGTAGGGAGGGGGGGGGCAGAGACCGGTGTGCATCTTAAACCGGGCGAAATACGGCCGATGCCACGCCGAGAAGGTACAGGTATCGTAGGTCGGGGTGTCAAATATTTTGGAGCGACCTCGACCCATTTCCATCCGAGACGTCTGCCAGGGGTGGTGGGTGTCCCCGTTCACCGCCGGACCTCGGAAACGCGCGCGAGCGGCTCAGCGTCGTTGTGTAAGGGGAGGCGTGGCAGCAGCGTTGTTGTTTTTTCGACGTCGCGACTCGCACCGCAGCGAACCATGGCGGCACGACTGCCGCACCCTGCCATAGCCGGCGCCAAAAACCGCGCCACGCGCCCTCCCCGCGTGGCCTCGCGGTAGAGACTCGGTACCGGTAAAGTTAATTCTGCCACCCCTGTGTTGCTCCGTGGATGCTGCTGCTCGTGTTTCCTCATCTTGCTCGTTGTGCGACGACCGCGGGAGAGCTCGTGGTGGACCCAGGGGGGTGAACGGTGGGTGCCCACACCAAGGATTGGGGCACATACACCAGTAGTGGGCATCGAAAAGTCAAAGCGATTTCACAGCCCTGCAGAGCCGGCGGTGCAGCTTGCGCCTTCCTGTGGCGGGGGACGAGTGTCCATCCAAACAAACAACCGCCACCGACTTCCCCACAAAGTGTTTCCAAATTTTATCGACCCTGGGACAGATAATAGGCCGGGTCAACACCCCCCCCCCCCGACCAGGATTATAAGCGGCGGGCCTTCCGACTAAGAGCCGCTCGCTCCATGCCGCCCGTGCCCGATGCTCTGCCACCCCCCACCACCGCTGATCGCGCGTGTCCCGTGCGTCTTACGGGCGTACCTGGCAGAACGCCAGCAGCGTGTTGTCCATCTGCTGGAAGCTGGGCCGACACCCGCACACCCGGCCGTGCGTGTGCATCACGGCGCACAGGCGTGCTCGCAGCTCCGGCGCGCTGGCCTGAACCCCACGGAAACACGGGCACAATACAACACAAGTCGGCAACACGCACACAAGAAAGATTTTTAGTCCATGAGACCAGACCAGATATTTCACTCGTGTGGTGACGCCGCTGCTGCTGCTGCTGCGATAGCAGTGCACCTGGCCTGGCACAGGCGCCGCGGTGACGTCACCGTTACCGAGTGGCGGGCATTGGTATTGGCAGTGGCGTATGAGCACAACGGACAAGAAGACTCGACAAAACAATCGATGGATGCGTTGAGAGATCCACCGCGGTTGTCGGCACCACCCGGGAGTGCCATCGGCTTGCTCGTTCCGATTTTCTCTTGCGTGGCCCAATGGCAGCGGCTTGCGCGAGACCCGTTTGGTACGAGTCTGGTTGTCAGAGTTCTCTCTCAAATGGCCGCGTAGATAAATCGGTACGACGCAAGTTTTGCCAGCGTGGGTGGCGATGAATCTGGCTTTAGGCCAGGGACTATTTGGAGGAGGAGGTGGGGGGGGAGACACCAGGATCCACGTTTGATGCGTTTCAGAACTCGCGTTGTAGGCCCCGGTCTGCCAACAAGTTCCATGCAAGACCTGTAAAAGCCTCCCTCTTCCCATGTAACTTGCCTTCTACCGTAACAGCTGTGTTGGGATGAATCGCCACAAAAAACAGGGCTCATGAGCTGAATGGGGATTACCCGATATAAACAGACTGACTGGGATCAGCTTTGGAGAGCGTTGCATTTATTGCATTGTTTATTTCAGGCGCGGGCAAATCTGGCGGCAACTCCTGCTTTCAGTCACCGCAAGAACGTCGCCCGCAGGAGACACCGAGGCCTCGTCAAACTCTTGACATTTCACCAAACGCGTGCACCTCAAAAGATATTTAAATGTTTATCTCCATTAACGTTCGTTTAGCCGGGAAAGCCTCGCCCGAGACTCTTTTTCAGGAGGGTCCTGCCAAGCGTTTCACAGCCGTGGGAGCTATGTCGCTGCTGCACTCGATCCCAATCGAGTAATTTTTAAGGTAATTCTGCAGCACTTGGGATATTGTGGCCCATGCATTGTACGAGCTTGAATAATTGGCGCGTTGTTTACGTGTCAAACCTTACTGGCTGTGTCGGGTGGTGGGAGGGTTACGATATATTTACACTTGCGCGATGTAACCCAATATTCATAATAAACCTTTATTATGAATATCGGTCTCGAAAGCCCACGTGTTAAAATGAATTCAGAATTCTTCCAGATTGTTGACCGTACCTGTGTTTCCCGACTCTGGCGCCGATGACTGTCAACGAGATTTAAAATACTTTCGATTCACACCCACTCGGTGCGACAACAGGGCGCAAGAGGCGTCAAATATAACGACGGTGGCAAGGGTGACCGCATTACCCGAGTGCGGAGGTCCAAGCCACACGGACACGTCAAGCGAGCTTCTCCCTGCTGCACGTAACCCCTGAAACGACAGAAATGCGCCGTGTATGCCTTAAACAGACTTGAGGGCAAGGGCTGTGAGCAAGCACCTATGAAGGCCGGCATGGCGCACAAGGGGACTGGTGGCCAGCACCACGCCTCGGCCGCCTTTTTTCCCCCTCCGCAGTGCCGATGTGTTTGCACACCGCACCAGGTGCTCATTTTGAGGGCGAGTCAAGTTTTGGTGGCGACGTCACTCGCTCGAGCCTCCGCCCGCGGCCTCTCTCCGCCTGCGTGCGTTCCTCGCATTACGAACCGGGCACGCGCGCGTGCGGCACCGGCGGCGCCACGAAGTGTGCCGACAGGTGCCAGGGCGTTACCGGGCACACGCGGGGCACAGGAGGTCGCCCTCGTGGTCGTGCAGCCGCCCCACCGCCTCGTGCAGCATCTCTTCATCCAGGCGGCGCAGCTCCTCCAGCTCGTACGACAGTGCTGCCAAAAACGGGGACCAAACAAGAGACGAACATTGCCCGCGACGCCTGCACAGGTCGGCGAGGCGAGCGCTCTTTAACGAGCACCGAGGAAGGTCGGAGCGGCCCGCATAAGGTGGGTGGGGGCGGCCAGCACCGCTCCCGGCCGCCCTTGTCTCTCAAGCGCTGCTGTTTACACGCAGCACCAGGTGCTTGGGCCGAGCAAGCCTAGGAAAGGCCCAGGACTATTTCGGTCAGATATTCGTCACGGATGTTGCCCGCGAGTGGGAATTGAACTCGGGGGACCCACCAGGTTTTTTCGTCGTGCAGCGTGCACCCACCGCTGCCCGCACACGGACAACTCCGCGGAGACGCACAACACACCCGTACACACCGCGACGCAAACGTTTTTACACACCTGCCCGCACCGATACTGCGCCAATGTTGACAGAAATTATTGAGGAAGAACGGCAATTCCCAGAAACGTCGCCGATTATATGTATTTTTTTCCTTTTAAGGCCGCAGTGCCATCGCCGAATGTGTCGAGTTTGTTGTTGTTGTTTGTGCTCGTGCACTACAGCAGCAGCAGCGTCAAATAATTTGTAAAAAACAAATGGTTTTGCCATTGCGTACGGCCTTCTTTCGTCACCTTCGGATAGCAGCTCTTGACGAAGTTCTTCCACGAACGCCGCATCCTCCGGTTCTGGAAAGCCCTGAAAATCGGAGAACCCGGGGAGGGTAAACACACGACACGGGCAGCCATCGTCACTGCGTCAGTACGAGTTGGGTCCGGTCATCGCCGCAGACAATCAATGAATCGCTTGTGTTCGTGTGTGTGTGTGTGTATGTATATGTGTTGGCAAAGTGGGGTGTACAGGTGATGCATCTGCCGGTCATCTCAGTCAGGAGACTCATAACGCCTCGGTCCGTCCCGTGACCCTCAGTCCCGTGCCCCAGGTCACAAGACTTTATCCTGGTCTTTTGGGTTAAAACTACAGTAAAACCTTGGATTGCGAGCAGAATTCGTTCCGGAAAAGTGTTTGTAATCCGAAGCACTCGCATATCAAAGCACTCGTACATCAGTTGTGATCACGTGACGCTCGGCAGACAAAGCGTACATGTACTACTCGTATTGCAAGACCTCACTCGTTTATCAAATTAATATTTACGTAAAATGTTCGCTCGTCTTGCAAAACACTCGCAGACCAAGTTACTCGCAATCCAAGGTTTTACTGTACATCAAACGGACACTTACGCTGCTATACGAGCTCTGCAGAGCTTCCCACTCTTCCTGCAGCACGGCATTCACCATCGCCAAAGCAACTCCTCCATCTCGGCCAGCATCAGCGCAAACCGGGCTCCCTGCAGCAACACACATCGCCATAATTGTGTCGGCGAGGAGCGGCGTGTGCGCGCGGGTCAGTGTGGCGAACGGCGGTTGTTGTTGTTGTCGTCAGTAAAGTGGGGGAACGGTGGCGCAGCGGTAAGCGCACTGCACTGCAAACCCAGCGGCCCAAGTCCGATTCCAACTTACGACCAACAACGGCAGGCGAATATTCACAGCGGTCTTAGGTCGACTCGGCATGAATAAATTAGCACGTGGCACGCGCGGTGTGTAAACACATCAGTCAAGGAGCAGAAACCATCGCGCAAACGCCGGTCATCCTCGCAGCGGCATTTGGCTGGCCATCGAACAAAGACTGCGGTCACCGCATCGCCCGGCACGTTCAGATGCGCTTCTGCGGCCGCCTGGAACGCTCTTCCTTCCGATATTAGGAAGCCACTGGAAGCTGCGCACTTTTAAACCTAAATTGAAAACTCATCTCATTAAAAGTGCTTTTTGTGTTTAGTTTGTTGTCCTTCCCCCGCACCTCCGATTAGCACGGTTGGCTACGTACGGTGCAAAAGAAGTTCAACGTGCACGTATAAATCGGTAGACACACAGGCAGCCGCCGGGCGTGATTCTGGCCAGCCACACCCTCGTGTGCCGTGCCGGCCTTCATTAGGCGCTACACGCTGACCAAGAGCACTTGCCCCACGAGTTTGTGAGCTTGTGTTGTCAGTGAGGGCCTGGAGAGGGCCAGAGAGGGCCGGTGAGGGCCGGTGTTGGTGGGAAGATGCCAGAGCTGTATGGGGGACCTGTGCCGCTGCACGTGGGGAGATGTTGTTGATCTTGTTCGGGGTGTGGAGCGAGGTGGCGGAAGCGTGACAACAGATCGTAGCGCGACTCCCTGAAGCGAGTCACACAGCGCTGCACAGACCACACACACACACGCGTCCGCTCGTCAGTGTCGCATTATACTAATAATTCGCAATTACGTATTCACCCGGGAAAGCCTCACCCGAGTAGTAACACTTTTCAGGAGGGTCATGCCACACCGAGTTTACATTTCAAGATCTTTCCAGACAATAACGAGCATTTATCTGCATTATTTTCCACTACGTGCAGGAGAAAAACCGGAAGACCCGGAGAAACCCAACACGCACGAGGGGGCAACGCTCTATCCCCGTACAGATGGATACAGTCGGGAGATGGGTCAATTTGCTGTAACCACCTTAGGGGCCATCCATTTAGTACGTACGCATGGAGGGGGGAGGGGGGTTAACCCAAATGCATACTCTTGCATATGGGGGGTCTACTGACAATGCACTTACGCATAAAGAAACGGGGGGGGGGGGGGGGTGAAGCCTCGATAATAATTTGTCTACATTGGCCTTCAAATGAGCCACGGTTCAGTTTCTTCAGCTGTCAGACAACAAGCACTACCACCGGGAGTGGTAGGACTGTGGGAGAGGTGTCGCTTGTATGCCACCGTACCCCCGACTGCTGGCTATCACGCAGCTCGGCAGCGAGTCTGACACAGTCTGGCGGCCTGCCCCACACCATGGATTTCCACACATCCTGCAATCTGGCCTCACTGCAAAACTGCCGCTGGCTCAAGATTTCAGCTGCCGCGGTGCTCTCTGTTCGTGCTGCTGCTGCCCCTCCCACGGACTTCAGTACTAACACTCGTCTGTGCATCGGTCGACTGTTTAAGCAGATGTTCAGTGGACGCACTTTATATAGAGACGAGTTCACCGAGTTTTAATTGTGCTTTAAGACTGTAATAAACGTGTTCTTGAATAACCGGTCAGGATGGATAACACGGTCAAGTATAATTGTGTTGTACAAAGTCAGACCCCCCCCCCCTCAAATGACGTCACAAAGCTCTGCCCCCCCCCTAAAAAAACACATGCTTCAAATTGTTTTAAGCTACGGTCATTGTAGTGCGTATTTAACATTTAGTAAAAAAAAGTCTATTTAATTAAGTAGAACGTGTTGTCTGTATTGATTTAAAGTTGCGCATTTTGATGTGACGTCACATTTTTCAAACCACCCCCCACTCGTCACACATAGTCACAAATGTCTGACCCCCCCCCCAGGTGCGTGACGTCATTTATGGACGGCCTCCAAAGCTGTGTGTAAAGCTAGCCCGATATACTGGTAGGACCCTCCTGGTTACACCAGCCCACAGGGGATTATTGTGTCCGTCCATCGTGCATCAAAACATTGGAGAGGTGGGGCTGGGTGGAGAGGGAGGGGAGGGTGGGGAGAGGCTGGGTGGGGAGGGGGAGGAATGGGGCTGGGTGGGGAGGGGCTGGTCACCCCGTGGTGCCCTTATAAAACTCAACGTGTAACCTACTGACGCCGGCTTGTGCCCGCCCTCACAGTCGGGCATATTTGCGGAACACACCACGTGGTGCCGCCGTTGTTGACCCTGGCCAGTGACCGAGCAACCCAACGTTCCTACCAGCTCCCTCCGCAGGAATGAGTTTTAATCTGCGTGGATTTAATATCGGCCGTTCTATAGGATTCGGGGGGGGGGCGCGTCAAGCGAACGTACGGGGGGGGGGGGGGGGGTTCAAGTTGGGTCAGTTTTTTGGCCAACTACTCAATGGATGGCCCCTCAACCCCGGCGTTGCCAGGGTGTGACATCAACAACGCTCTATTTGAGACCGAAAGAGGATGGCTTCGGCACAATCCTGGCAAATCGGCCGATTGCGCCGCTTGTAATTACCAGCGAAACGTCGGACTCGAATTGTAAATGTCGTGAGTTTGCTCTCCCAACACACAACCGGTGCATCCTGAACCAGTCACCCGATCGGCCACGTTTTGTCTCCGTGTAAACCCCCCCCCCCCCATAATTGTCCGTGTCAGTGTGGCGGTATTGTGGGGGGCACATTTACATTTACGCGACCTAACACCAATAACACCTAAGTAATATTTAAAAAAAGAAATTTAAAGACGCTTTTATGAAATGTACTAGTAATGGCAGAACTCCACGACTCCAGGAAGTGGCCCCGAAGCTTGCCACAACGTAAGGGGACCATGGCCAATTACAGCCAACGTGAGTTGACCGTGGACATTTAGACCCAAGCCGAAACACAACATATTAAAAATAATGTTGAGAAAAAAAGACATTTTTTTTATGATAGAACATAGTATTGTCATCAGCATGACATAAGTATGCAAGTTTGCAGTCGATACCACATTTGGGAAGTGGGTTAACATTGAGTTGCAAGATTTGAGGATAGAACAACGACAACAACAATAGACAGAGCGAGTTAAATGAAAGCGTTCAACAACAAACAAAAAGCAACCCCCTTTATTACGGACGGGGTTGCGAGGTGGAAGGGGGTGGTAGTGGTGGTGGTGGTAGTGGTGGTGGCTGATCCTCGTCTCGGGCTCTCCTGCCCCCCCCCCCCCCCCCTGGGTTCCCGTGGTGAGGTTCCTGCGACGGCCACGGATCCCACACCACCACCATACCACCACACACCACACCACCACCATACCACCACCCCCACCAAACCACCACCCCCACCACCACCCCCGCCACACCACCACCCCATACCACCACACCACCACCACCCCACCACACACCACCACACTCCACCCCTCCACTACACCACGAGGTCTGTCTCCGTACCTCGCGGAGCTGCTGCTTCCAGGCCGGGGCGAGGCAGCGCTTGTAGCGGGCACGGAGCTCCGTCTGGCGGCAGCCTCGCGCCTCCATCGCCAAGACGGGGACTCGTCAGGGGGGGGGGGGGGGGGGGGGGGGGAGACCCAGGCGGAGACCCCCACACACACACCACACACCCCCACACACACCACCACACACACTACACACACAACCCCACACCCCACACACCCCCACACACACCACACACACCCCCACACACTACACACACCACACACACACTACACACACGGCTCAGGGAGGAGACGAAGAGAGTCCGAATGAGGGCCCCCCAACTGAAGGACAAAGGACACCGCCTCGGAGACGCCCCCGGCCCCCAACCCCCAACCCAACTCAGCGACCTGAGAGAGACCCCCCTACCCAGGGAAACCCCCGGACAAGGGGATACGAGACTCGGACCCAGGGACCCCCCCGGACAAGAGGATCAGAGACCTCGACCCAGGGACCCCCGACAAGGGGATCAGAGACCTCGACCCAGGGACCCCCCGACACGGGGATCAGAGACCTCGACCCAGGGACCCCCCGACAAGGGGATCAGGAACTCGACCCAGGGACCCCCCGACAAGGGGATCAGAGACCTCGACCCAGAGACCCCCGACAAGGGGATCAGAGACCTCGACCCAGGGACCCCCCGACAAGGGGATCAGGAACTCGACCCAGGGACCCCCCGACAAGGGGATCAGAGACCTCGACCCAGGGACCCCCGACAAGGGGATCAGAGACCCCCGACTCTGCCGCCTCCTCCTGCTGCTGCTGCTGCACCCCCTGAGCGGTTCCGCCGGTTCCTTCCGGACCCGGTTCCCGGCGGCCCCGCCGGTTCTTGTAGAGCCCCGCCGCGGTGACGTCACGCGTAACGGGGGGCGGGGCGAGGGGCGGTGTCTCCGTGGCCCGTGACGTCACTCCACGGAGGCCATCAGAGAACTTTTAACACAGAATACAAATGTATTTATAACTGCGGGAAGAATCCGATGAGCTAGTAGTAGTAAAGCTATTTTACACGGATGTCCAGCAAGGACGGGGAGTGGGGCACAGCTGGGTCAGAACGTTACAACAACAAACAGTACAAAAACAATTTTGATTTGAAGCGAGGCAGGATAGGAGCGCAGAGTATTCGGAAAGGTGAACAAATCGCTTAAAAGTATACAAATAAAACTAAACAAATGTTTTTTTTGTATCTTACCAGGATTCCTCCCGCATAAATACAGTATTGTATTCATTATATGACGTCACCGAGTCGGTACTTATCACGTCATCGCACTCTTCTGACGACGACTAGGGTTACATGACGTCACGCAGTAGTGGGGGTGTAGTGACGACATTGCCGCCTATCTAAGGGTGGCGATGGGCGGGAGAGGCGTGGGGGGGGGGCGTTCATCGGTCGCCACAATGGCGAATGACGTCAATATCTAAAAACGTCATCGCGCTCGTCTGACGACCATACAGAGATTGGTTACATGACGTCCTTCCGTGGTGGGTGTGTAGTGACGACATCGCCGCATATATAAAAGCGGCGATGGGCGGGTCATAGGTCACCACAATGGCCGCTACCGGCAGTGGGAAGAAGGCTGAGCAGGAGCAGCAGCAGGAGGAGAAGGAGGAGGAGGAGAAGGAGGAGGAGAAGAAGGAGGAGGAGAAGGGCACAGCCGGCGAGGAGACGGAGCGCGGCGAGGTCCAGCTGCGAGCGCAGCTCGCCCGCCTGCAGGCCGACAATATCCTCGTCGAAGGCTGTGGCGTTCGTGGAGTGCTGTTGTGTGTGTTGTGTGTCGCGTGGTGCTTGCTCGCCGGCCCTCATAAGCGCTGCTCGCTGACAGCACTTGTCCCAGCAGTCTGCCGAGGCTATCCAGGGCTTTGGGGGGGCGGGGGGGGGGGGTGCTCTTTGTCGTGTGTCGGCAAAGTAGGGGAGTGGTGGGGGGGCGTAGCTGATGCATCTCCCAACCATCTCGTTCGGCCAACCCATGGCACGACCCTGGGGGTCTGTTCCCCCGTGACCTCTCGTCAAGCAGCGAGCCTTCGACGCGTCGCTGTGGCCCTCAAAGTGCACCTAGCCTGGCACAGGCGCCGGTGGCGGCGTCACCGTCCGCTTCGTAGCGAATTGCGACTGTTGCTATTTTGGGTTTGGCGTCTTGCTCGTCGGCTCGCGGGCACCAAAAAACGCCCGGTGACGATTGTCTGAAACCGGTCGTGGGCCTCCGCAAGGTCCACTCGGCATCAATTGAGTACCTGGTGTGGTGCGGTGTGTAGTAAACATCGCTGCTAGGGAGACAAAGGCGGCCGGGCGTGGTGCTGGCCACCCACCCCCTCGTGTGCCACAGTGCCGGCCTTCACAGGTGCTGTTGCTTGCTATAACAGCACTTGCCCCCGCAATCTGTTAAGGCTACACGGGGGATCTTTGTATTTGTTGTTGCTGCTGCTGCCACCTTCGACACTTGAACGTGCACCTAGCGTGGCACGAGCGCCGTGGTGACGTTGCCACCACTGAGTGCTGAACGGCTGTCACGTGGTGTGTGGTGTGGCACAGGCGGCGCGTCTCCCCCGGTTTACTGCTCGGTTTGACAAACAACAACAAATCCCTACTCTAACGTACGTCAATAACAACAACACGGCGTGTGTATGTGTGGCCTTGTGTTCACAACAACGAGCGGAGCGCCGGGCGGATAAAATATAGCAAGTTGGCACAGTCGGGGGTACGGCTGGTAGTGCATCTACCGGTCATCTCAGTCGGCCAACCCATGGCACTACCTGGGTCTGTCCCGTGACCACCTGCACCTAGCCTGGCACAGTAGGGGTTACAGCTGGTGGGTGCATCTGCCGGTCATCTGAGTCAGCCAACCCATGGCACCTGCAGGATCTGTCCCATGACCTCCTGCACCTAGCCTGGCACAGTAGGGGTTACAGCTGGTGGGTGCATCTACCGGTCATCTGAGTCAGCCAACCCATGGCACCTGCAGGGTCTGTCCCAAGACCTGTCAGCGAGCGTGGCAGACGCAAAGTGCACCTAGCCTGGCACAGGCGCTGTGGTGACGTCATCGTCACTTAGCGGCGAATGGCGGATATTTGAATTGGCCTTACTAGGGAACGTATATAATAGGTGACGTTTCGGGCAAGATGCCTTATGAAATTAAACAACATGTGCATTTAATGAGGGCAATTTCCCTAAACGTTGCCTAATATATTGCTCCATGTAAGGCCACGCTGTTTTTGATGAGCGTTTTGTGTTTTAAACTTGATTTGAAGCTTTCGTAACTGCAGGAATTACTCTGGTTCTTTTGTTAAAGTCACTTTGAAAGAAAATAAATTAAATACTAGAATCCGACGTTTCGATTGCAACACAAGCAATCGTCATCAGGTAGAAAACAAACCTCGTGAACTTAGAAATACAATGCAATCCGACACAGTCGACTAACACAACAATCAGCACCTTACCTGGTTGATTACGTTGTTTTAAAGATTGCTAAATTTGTTCTCTATTATTGAATGTATTTTCTTTATACGTGACTTTACCGACAGAACCAAAGAGTTTTGTGTTTTGTTGTTAAATGTTCGACGCTATATTTTGCGATGCTGTAATAGTATAGTGCACCACTGGCAATGCAGCATCATCATCATTACGTAACTGGCTCGCATGAGGCATGTAATCCATGGGCCAGAGCAGAAAGTGGCACCACTTAAGGTAGCAAACACTGCAGCAATACCCCACCGATATATATATTTACACGGCCAACGGGAGTCAATCATACTCTTTGGTTCTTTCGGTAAAGTCACGTAGGTATAAAATAAATGAAAATTATTTGTGATTTATTTTCTACCCGCGTGACTTTACCGAAGAACCAAAGAGTATGGATTCCTGCAGTCACGAAAGCTTCAAATCTAGGGAGTCAACCGCTTGACAACCCCCACTCATTTACAGCGGCCGTTACAGAATTCATTCTTGTTGGTCACTCAAAGAAATCGAAACCAGTAAACTTCCACTTCAGGTGGTACCAAACACTCTTGAAATGTCCCGCCTGTGCTCATTGACTAATGAGTGTTTTGCAGCCCTGAGCCCAGTGGTAGGCAGTCCACATTCCTACGGCAGGGGCGAGAATATCCTGTACGTACAGAGCACAATTTTTGTTGACTTGATCACAAAGTAGTATTGCTTTTATTGACCCCTTACGGATGATGGGCTGAGTATCCCATCAACCAGGATTTTAACTCCCACTCCCCCTCAGCCCGTATACCCCTTAACATCTGATAATTAAGGTGTTTTTTGGGGGTTTTATTGCATTAATATTAATGTGTCGTTAAACCCCCCACCACCTGAAACAGCCCATTAGTTTCAGTTTTTTCAGTTTCATTTATTTGGTATAGCCCTGTGAGCCATTCGGCTCTTGAATCGGGTGCAACCGCAACAAACAAAAAACAAAAACGTGAACAAGAAAACATCTTATAGTGACTATGTGACTGTGCAAACAGAAAATCCAAGAAAAGACAGCAAAATATTGAAGAAAAAGCACCGTACACCAACGCTGTGTGCAAAAAATCTCAGTGGGATGCAAGTCAAACAACAACAACAACTACAAGACAACTTAGATTAGTAAGGTTTGTCACGTAAACAAAACGTGCCAATTAACGACTACTTCAGGGACACCGGGTGTGTTGGAGAGTAAACGCACAATATTTACAAGTTTAGTACGACGTTTCGCTGGTGATTACAACCAGCTTCGTCAGGCGATTTGTCAGAACACCTGCATCTGCCTCTTAACATGCCAGCCGCCAGCAGCGAGTCTTTTGACACTTCGCGTGATGACCTCAAAGTGCACCTAGCCTGACACGGGCACTGTGGTGACATCACCGCCACTGGCGGCCGCTGTTGGTGGTTCATGTTGTGTGTGTGTCTGTTATATCTTTTATGTTTTGGTTTCGCGACAATCCTTGACACCAGTCGCAAATGATCAGCTGCGGAGGCAGGTGCAGCTACTGCAGCAGAGCAGGTGAGTGCCATCCATTTGACATGTATCCTTGTCCGTTTACATATTATTATTATTACGATGGTCGACTTGCGTTTAAGAGTTTGAAATTCTCGCGGGACAAAACTGATTTTGATTTGCTTAATTCGTGTGTTTTTTTGGGGGATTTTGGTGACGCAAGGTCACTCTTGTCAATGAGACTCATCCTGGTCTGTCGAGCTCTCGCCTGGTTAAACGAAATCACCTTCCCTTGTTCAATCTTGATTTGAAGTTTTCGTGACTTCAGGGATCCATACTCTTTGGTCCTTTCGGTAAAGTCACGTAGGTAGAAAATAAAATGAAATCAATTAAATCACGACGTTTCGGGTGCAACACAAGCATCCGTTATCAGGTGGGACAACCAGAGCAAGAAACAATTGCTGTTCAACCTTCTTATCTGTTACCGTATTCTCTGGAGTTTAAGATGCACTTTTTCCCTCTGCATTTTTGGTCACCCAAGGTCACTCTTGTCAATGAAACTCGTGCTGGTCTCTCGAGCTCTCGGTTGGTCCAACGAAATCCGCTCCACTTGCGCACCTACTTATGTGTGAACCGTATTCTCTGGATTGTGAGACGCATTTTTCCCCTCTGCATTTTTAAAGCAAAAGTTGGGGGGAGGGGGGTTGCATCTCATAAAACGATAGGTGTGTGTGTGTGTGCGCAACCAGATTTCTACAACTTTATTGAAACCGGACGCAGGTTTGGGGTGTGTCTTACTTTCCGGAGAATACGTTTGCCCTGTGTTGAACACGTCAGATGTTACAGTTCATTAATTTCGACACGAGAGATGTAGCCGTTTGGTGGTGCAGTTCACGTGGACTCCGACCACTCTGGTGCCTCGCTTCAGGACCGAATTGCGCGCGGCAAGACTGGCGAGGCCCGCTGGAGGCGATGTGACTGGTGCACGCGCGTGTGTGACGTGTGTCACCTGCATGTGTGCGCGCGTTTGTTTGGCCCAGCGATCTGTTGATCCCAGATCCGGTGAAGGATGGCCCTTTCCTGCACGTCCTCTACATGGACGGCACGCGCAGCACGTGAGTGGTGACCTCGGTGCCGCGCGGCGTCACAAACTCTGCATTACGTTAAGGACTTGGTGCGCGGGCAGTTGCAAAGCTCCGGATACGTACGTACGTTGAACTTCTTTCGCACCTTACGTAGCCAACCGTGCTAATCGGAGGTTGCGGGGGAAGGGCAACGGATGCTGCTTCTTTTTGTTGGTGGGTCGAGCCGTTGGCGAGATGGTGATCGTTTTAATGGATCGGCGCTCTCTCGCGTGGTGGTGGCTGTGTTCAGGTACTGCCAAGCTGAGCTGGAGGGGATCCTTCTGCAACTGATGCAACAGAGTGGAGGGGAGCGGGATCCCATTCCATCGCAGGTTAGGCGTTGTGGAATGCGAGTCGTTTGTGTGTCGGTGCGCGTGTGGTACCAGCGGGGAGCGCGGCAATCCGATTTCGATTCCTGCTCACGGCGAACACTGTGAACAGGAATTTAACTCCGGTCCTGGGACTCCCCTAGGTTGACTCAGCCTAAAATGAGGACCTGGTGCGCCCACTCGGGAGACAAAGGCGGCTGGGGGTGGTGCTGGCCATCCACCCCCTCTTGCGCCTTGTCGGCGTTCATAGGTTCTCGCTAAAAACACTTGTCCCAACAGTCTGTTATAGGCGATACAGGGCATCTACGTCTTTGTGGTACCAGTGCCACTGTTTTTGCATGTATGATGATGCCTTTAATGCTCACACGTGAAATCAATCAGAAGCTGGGTGAGGTGAGATGATCATTCTGGCTTCCTGGAGTTTGTGGATCTTATCCTTAAGAAGTTGGACACCAAAGTTTCAAGCCGAGCGCCGCGTATCTAATTGGTGCCAAATTTGGTTGAAACTATAACAATTCACGCGTGGTTAAACGCTTGCACACGTGACAATTTAATTTGTTTGGTCAGGTCGGTTAGTGGAAAAACTTAAGGCTAGACATTTGGCCAAATCGTTGTGCGGCCTAACCCAGCTATCTCTTATGAATTGCGAAAATAAATAATCACATTGCCTCCGAAGAGATCGTTTACGTTAATCGCGAGTGGATTTGTCTGTGCCTGTGTATGCGGTTCTCTGGGCCCTCTCTCCCAGCCCTCCAGCGTGGTCCTGGGGAATCGGACCAAGGGGAAAGATACAGGCGCCTGCATCAAGGTGAGCGCGTGGGCGGACGGGCGGTCGGGCACGCGAACGCAACGACGCGCCGATGCCGCACGGATCGCACGAGCACGGGGAACGCCGCCAGCAATAGCAACACGCCACGGTGTGGCTTGCACGCCACGCGACCACCGCGCGGGACGTACAATGCTCTTGTCAGCCTCTTCTAGACCACCAGCTAGATAGAGATGAATGTGCGGCCATGTTGATGCTGCCTGAAGGGACGGCCACATTAAAGAAAAAAGTAAGTTGGCAGTTGTTGTAATAATACGCCCACGTGCACCTATTGAGCTGGTGTTCTTGACAAGGCTGAGAAATGTGTACGTGCACTGTGGTGGTCACATGGTGTTTCGTGCAAGGCATGGATGGGGAGCCAGAAAACATTCCCGCACCTACTGTGTTAGCAGCGGCAGCACACCTTTGCTGCCATTTCCATTTAGTTACCGGCCTGCATGAAGCTTTTCTCCTGGTTTGATGGGGTCTCTCCGTTATTTACAAGGTAACGTTGGGTTTTCAGGGACACCGCTGCGCTCGAGGCTTCACGAAACGTGAAATGCACAATCGACACGCGCGTGAGAATCGTGCGAACAACAACACCACCACCACCACTCTCGTGTTGTGCCAGGTGGTGAGCAACGTGCGGTATTATCGCTCGTTCTGCTTGGACAGCATCGGCCGCCCCCTTCTGCGCGGAAATCCCGCGATCACGGAAGGCTGGAACATCCCGCAGTATGTGCGCACGCACACACACACACACGCACAAATATCCCTTTATCAGACAGCTGGATCAAGCAGGCAGGACACTGCAGCCAAGTGCTAACTCAGGGGGGAGGCCCAGGACCGGTTCAGGTATTCGTCACTTAGATTGGCTGTGAGTGTGAGTCGAACTCGGTTCTCCGGGTTGGTGCCGAATCGCCCGCTTGGACACGGGCACGTTCACACACGGGGGTCCGCCTCGTAACGCGTTGACGTCATAGCGAGGGTGTGGTGTCTTGTGGACACTGCGGGCTCGGTAAAATTATTATACCGCTTGTGGGGCAGTCGACAGGGGTTGTTGTGCTATACGGGTAGACTCGCCCCCTGCTGTTGGAGCTGCAGGAAATCACCAATTTGTTGCGAAGGGCCGTTGCCTGAAACGTCACTGATTGTACCTTTTCATTTTGAAGGCCACGGCGTTATTTGACGAACGTGAGCTTTTAGTCATTCGTGCTTGTGTGCACCCACTCTAACTCAGCGGCAGCAGCGCCAAGCAATCCAACTTATTTTGTCATCGTTGAACTTGATTTTTTTATGGTTCCCCACACACTGACGCATTGCCACATCAACATCAAAACTCACGCACGCACGTGGTGTACACACACGTGGTGCGCACATGAACATGCAGGTATCAGACGATTTTCAAGCAAATCTTATCCAACGAAATCAGCGAGGGGCAGGCAAAGCCCCAGAGGTGAGTGCCGGACGTTGGCGGTGTTCACCAATGCACACCATGCACGCTCGCACGCTCGCTCGCACGCGCCGTGGTGGAGCACCCAGTTCCAATCGCACCGCACTCGATAGGATTCAGAGTAAGGCAGTGAAGGTGATTGAGGATTCGGCACTCATTCGTGTTCACTCCAGTCACTTGCCCCCTGGCAGTCCGTTGCCTCTGCTTGTCATCGCTACTGTCGTGGTTATGTATGCACGTGCGTATGTTGAACTTCCTTCGCACTGTACATTACCGTTCTCGTGACACAAGTCACACAAAGACAAAGATCCCCCGTACAGCCTTAACAGGCTGTAGGGTGCAAGTGCTGTTGGCGAGCACCTATGAAGGCCTTTGTCTCCCCGATGGCGATGTTTTACACACCGCATCGCCAGTTACTCACTTGAGGCTGAGTCAACCTAGGGCAGGCCCAGGACCGATTCGGATAACTGTCACCGGTGTTGTCCGTGAGCGGGAATCGACCTCGGGTCGACGGGTTCGTAGCACAGCGTCCTAACTGCTACACTGCCGCTCCCCACACACGCACACACACACGTGCACGTAAATGGCCACTGCGCGTGTGCCCACTTGCTAATTGCCGCCCTGTGCCGCCGCAGGCCCAAGGGGATTTGCTTTAACTGCGGCTCCGAGGATCACATCGTGCGCACCTGCCCTCAGGTGCGTTTGGGAACCCTCGTTTTCCCTTTGACCGTATTCTTCGGATTGTTTTACGGCACTCTGGAAAAGTGAGATACCGACACCCCAAAAGTCTGGGTTCGTTTTGAAAGAAAAAAAAAGGTTGTATTTTATAGTCGGGAGAATGGTCTTGCTATGGGGAGCCACCGTCTCCCAAGGGCGCCACGGTGGCTAGGAGATGTTAACTACCTCGCCTGGTATGCAAGGAGGTCGTGCGTTCGATCCTGACCCTGACGCCTGCTGTATATTTGTAGTTTGCGTGTCTCTCTCTCTCTCTCCGTGGGCATGTTGATTTTTCTCCGGGATCTCTGGTTTTTCCCAACACGTTTAGAATGAATTTGCGTTTGGAGTATTTGGCCGCTGTAAATGTCCACATAATCAGCCATTTCGTTGAGCCATCATTTGTGGCCAGGTCACTTATGAAAAGAGCTACCGAGCTCGGCGGGCTTTACCTGGTATAATAAATAAATACATGTTCATTGTTTTTTTCAAGATTGTTGGACGCTGCTTTGGATTGGTTAGAGATGTCTTGCGGGCGATGGTTTATTAACGGCTGGTAGTTTCGTCTGCTGCGACGGAGAAGTGTCTTCCGGAAGATGATTCTAATCAACCGGAGTCCTCCGACCCCTTCTTCATGGGCCTGCATGCTATGAAGTAGACCCTTTACCCAAAACATCGCCTATTACGTACTTTTTCTGGATAGGCCACTCATTGTTCTTGAAGAACATGAGTTTTTTGCTGTTACTGGCGGGAAGTACCCGGCGTTGCCCGGGGGAAAAAAATAAATTTAAAAACTTCTCAAAGCTTAAAAACATAACATATGCAAATGAAAGGGAAACTTAGATCATTACCTCATTAATAATTTAAATAAAACCCAACGCGCTGTGGAAATAAAAACTTACGCTTGCGTGCCAAGATTCGATTCTTTAAATCGAGTAAAGGAATCGAAGGTTGTAGATTTCTTTAGAATCGGCCAATCCCCCCCCCCCCCCCCCAATACAAAAGTATATTTTTAAACGTTTTCCATTGTGTACAGTATGGGAGCTAGCCACATGGCAAATGTAAAGTTTGTAGCCTGATATATTATACCCATTATTTCCCCCCACCCCCCCCCCCCGGCCGCGCATTTGTGCAGGATACAGGGCCTACGCGGAGGGTTTGGGGGGGGGGATGCGTGACGTCAGCAGGCACCACTGCGTAACGCTGCCGCATGCGGGTGACATGACAGAGATGTGACGTCACAGCTCACTTGCCGTGCAAAATATATGCATCATTGGTGTACAGTCTGGAAAGTACCCACATGCCAAATTTCAAGTTTGTTGCATGTCGGGAAGTATGCTAAACATTTTGAACAGACACACGTATTCACAAATTTCCCTTTTTTATATATATAGATTAGTTTAAGGAGGAGGGCAGGCCACCTTTATGTACGTATGTTGAACGCCTTTTGCACCGTACATAGCCAACCGCGCTAACAGGATGTGCGGGGGGGAAGAACAACAAACCAAACACAGAAAGCAGTTCTAAAGCTTTAATTCTAGATGATGATTTAAAGGTGCATAGCTCTAGTCGCTTCCTAATATCGGAAGGAAGAGCATTCCAGACGGCTGCAGAAGCGCATCTGAAAGCGTGCGAGGCAGTGACCGTCCTTGTTCAGTGGTTAGCCAAAAGCCGCTGCGACGATGGCCGGAGTTTGCGCGATGGTGGTTTATGCTCCTCGCTTGATGTTTTTATGCACCGCGCCACATGCTACTTTGTATGTGTCTTTGCGTGTGCGCTTGGCTTCCCTCCGCGCGTCGCCGTGTGCAGAAGCGAGATTTGGCAGGGATAAACCTGCGGCGCCGTCAGTTCGAATCGTTCAGCAATTCTCCGAAGTCGAGGAATCCCCAGCGATATCACAACGAGCAGGAGGAGCGTTTCGCGCACTTCAAACCCGGCGTCATCAGGTGACCACCGGCCCCCTGTCTTGATTTGGATGCGACTCGCAACCCTGAGAGTGCCTGTCTCTCTCCTCCGCCCCACGTCTGCCTGTCTGTGTGAGCCTCAAATGAGCACCTGGTGGAATGGTTTGTAATAAACATCGCCACCGGGGAGACAGTCGGCCGGGCGTGTGTGCTGGCCACCTACCCCCTCGTGTGCCACAGTGCCGGCCTTCATAGGTGCTGCTACTCGCTAGCAGCACTTGGCCCCACCAGTCTATTAAAGACTATACTGGGGGGATCTTTGTATTTTGTGCGTGTGTGTCTGTCAGTCGAGTGTGGCGTTGGCCACCCACCCCCTTCGCAACTAACAGCACTTGCCCCAACAGTCTTTGTCTTTGTGTCTGCCTGTGCGTGTCCGCCGGTGGCCCCGCGTGAAGTGAGGGTCTCCGTCTGGCCCTGGCGGTGGCGCCTGGGCAGCTGCCACCGTACATCTACCGCATGCGCCAACTGGACTACCCACCGGGCTGGCTGCGTGAGAGCTGCCAGGAGGGCTCGGGCATCACCATCCACGGGGGTATACCTGCCCCCACCGCCCGCCACATCACACGCGGGGGCGCGATGCTCGCCGCAGCAGGCACAACGACACCACTGCCCCCGCCGTCGCCACCCGTACTACTGACGTTTACAAAGAACAAGATCCCCCGTATATCCACAAGAGGTTTTTTTTTTTGGGTTAGATCGCTGCGTTACTAGTACAGCACGCACCGCGGTGTGTTGGATAGTAAACCCGCAACATTGACAATTCACTCTCCAACACACCGGTGTAGTGCTGTACTAGTAACGAATTGGTACGTTCTGTTTACATGACGAACCTTACGAATTGGCTGTGTCGGGTGGAGGCGGGCTTAACGACACATATATTTACGCGATCTAACGCAAAAAAAAAACCTCATAGATAATATTAATCGCGAAAGCCTACGTGTTAAATCCCCCGTATAGCCTGGAACAGACTGTTGGGGCAAGCGCTGTTAGCGAGTTGCACCTATGGAGGCCGGCACGGCACACGAGGGGGTGGGTGGCCAGCACCACGCCCGGCCGCCTTTGTCACCCTAGCGGCAATGTTTACACACCGTACCCTGTACTCATTTGAGGCTGAGTCGACCTAAGGGGCTCCCCACGACCTGTTCAGATGATCGTCACCGGTGTTGGCCGTGAGCGGGAATTATCGAACGCGGGTCGCCGGGTTCGTAGCGCAGCTTAACGCCGACCGTTGCACGCACACGCCCCCCCACCCAAACGCCCACGTGCACGCACAACCCACGCTTCCGTCTCTCCACCTCGTCGAGCGCCGTCGCGTAAGTCGCTGGGTCGTCCCTCGCCGTGCCTTGTGCAGACCTGAGCGACGGAGAAATCGATGAATTGGAGGAAGCGGAAATTGAGAAACAGAAGCGGAAAGCCTTCAACCCCACCAAGCTGATCTCCTACCCAGGCTTCAACGTGCCCCTGCCTCCAAACACGCTGGACGTGAGCATACAGACTCGCGTGGACAAAAGCACACCGGGACCCACGGTTAAAGACGCGGACTTTATTTCAACTGGTAACACCTATTGAGCTAAATAGCTCTTCTGCAAGGACCGCCAGCCGTCGACAGTGTCAGCATTTGCACACGCACACTCATCGCCACACACACACCCCACACTCCTCGCCAAACACACACACACCCCACACTCCTCACCACACACACACGCACACTCCTCACCACACACACACGCACACTCCTTGCCACACTCACATACACACTCCTCGCCACACTCACACCCCACACTCATCGCCACACACACACACCCCACACTCCTCACCACACACACACGCACACTCCTCGCCAAACACATACCCCACACTCCTCGCCACATACACACACACCCCACACTCCTCGCCACACACACACGCACACCTCGCCAAATACACACCCCACACTCCTCGCCACACACACACACACCCCACACTCCTCGCCACACACACACACCCCACACTCCTCGCCACACTCACACACCCCACACTCCTCGCCAAATACACACCCCACACTCCTCGCCACACACTCACACATACACTCCTCGCCAAACACACACGTACACTCCTCGCCACACTCACACGCACACTCCTCGCCACACTCACACGCACACTCCTCGCCAAATACACACACCCCACACTCCTCGCCACACACACACCCCACACTCCTCGCCACACACACACACCCCACACTCCTCGCCACACACACACGCACACTCCTCGCCACACACTCACACATACACTCCCCGCTCACTCACACACACTCCTCGCCACACACACACGCACACTCCTCGCCACATACACACCCCACACTCCTCGCCACACACGCACACTCATCGCCACACACACCCCACACTCCTCACCACACACACACATACACTCCCCGCTCACACACACTCCTTGCCACACACATGCACACTCCCCGCTCACTCACACACACTCCTCGCCACACACACACACCACACTCCTCGCCACACACACACCCCACACTCCTCGCCACACACACGCACACTCCTCGCCACATACACACCCCACACTCCTCGCCACACACGCACACTCCTCGCCACACTCGCATGCACACTCCTCGCCACACACTCACACATACCACATACACTCCCCGCTCACTCACACGCACTCCTCGCCACACACGCACACTCCTCGCCACACTCGCACGCACACTCCTCGCCACACACACACCCCACACTCCTCGCCACACACACACACTCCTCGCCACACACACACACTCCCCGCTCACTCACACACACTCCTCGCCACACACACACACTCCTCGCCACACACGCACACTTCTCGCCACACACACACCCCACACTCCTCGCCACACACACACCCCACACTCCTCGCCACACACACACACTCCTCGCCACACACACCCCACACTCCTCGCCACACACGCACACTCCTCGCCACACAGACACCCCACACTCCTCGCCACACACGCACACTCCTCGCCACACACACACCCCACACTCCTCGCCACACACACACACTCCTCCCCGCTCACTCACGCACACTCCTCGCCACACACACACACTCCTCGCCACACAAACACTCACACTCCTCGCCACACACACACACACTCCTCGCCACACACACACCCCACACTCCTCGCCACACAGACACCCCACACTCCTCGCCACACACGCACACTCCTCGCCACACACACACCCCACACTCCTCGCCACACACACACACTCCTCCCCGCTCACTCACGCACACTCCTCGCCACACACACACACTCCTCGCCACACAAACACTCACACTCCTCGCCACACACACACACTCCTCGCCACACACACACCCCACACTCCTCGCCACACACGCACACTCCTCGCCACACACACACCCCACACTCCTCGCCACACACACACACTCCTCCCCGCTCACTCACGCACACTCCTCGCCACACACACACACTCCTCGCCACACAAACACTCACACTCCTCGCCACACACACACTCACTCCTTGCCACACACACACCCCAAACTCCTCGCCACACACACACCCCACACTCCTCGCCACACACACGCACACTCCTCGCCACACACACACCCCACACTCCTCGCCACACACACACCCCACACTCCTCGCCACACACACACCCCACACTCCTCGCCACACACACACCCCACACTCCTCGCCACACACACACACACCACACTCCTCGCCACACACACACCCCACACTCCTCGCCACACACACACACACCACACTCCTTGCCACATACACACACCACACTCCTCGCCACATACACACCCCACACTCCTCGCCACACACACACACCACACTCCTCGCCACACACACACCACACTCCTCGCCACACACACACACTCCTCGCCACACAAACACTCACACTCCTCGCCACACACACACACTCCTCGCCACACACACACCCCACACTCCTCGCCACACACGCACACTCCTCGCCACACACACCCCACACTCCTCGCCACACACACACACACTCCTCCCCGCTCACTCACGCACACTCCTCGCCACACACACACACTCCTCGCCACACAAACACTCACACTCCTCGCCACACACACACTCACTCCTTGCCACACACACACCCCAAACTCCTCGCCACACACACACCCCACACTCCTCGCCACACACACGCACACTCCTCGCCACACACACACCCCACACTCCTCGCCACACACACGCACACTCCTCGCCACACACACACCCCACACTCCTCGCCACACACACACACACCACACTCCTCGCCACACACACACCCCACACTCCTCGCCACACACACACACACCACACTCCTTGCCACATACACACACCACACTCCTCGCCACATACACACCCCACACTCCTCGCCACACACACACACCACACTCCTCGCCACACACACACCACACTCCTCGCCACACACACACACTCCTCCCCACTACACACACACACTTCTCCCCACTACACACACACACTCCTCCACACTACACACACTCCTCCCCACTACACACACACTGCTCATCCCTAACAAAGAGCCAAAGATCTCCCGTCATCGCCTTAAGACTGTAGGGGCAAGTGCTATTAGCGAGCAGCACCTATGAAGGCCAGCACAGCACACGAGGGGGTGGGTGACCAGCACCACGCCCGGCCGCCTTTGTCTCCCCTGTGGTGATGTTTGACTCACCGCACCAGGTACTCATTTGAGACAGTCGACCCAGGGGAGGCCCAGCACCGTTTCATATAATCGTCACTGGTGTTAGCCCTGAGTGGGAATCGAATTCGCATACAATACAAGCTCCCCCGTATAGCCTTAACAGACTGTTGGGGCAAGTGCTGTTGGCGCGCGCGCGCGCACACACACACACGAGAGACACACCGGCATGAGCATGTGGAGACCACCGAACGTCCCGCGTGTCCGTGCGTGCCGACCGTGCGCGTGCGTATCCCCGCGTGCAGGACTGGCGCACGTTCAATTCGTGCCCCATGCAGCCGCAGCAGTTGAAGGAGGCGATGATTCTGCGATTGAAGGAGGCGAGCAAGAAGGTAACGGCGGTGGGCATTCACCCCCCACACCCCCCCACCCCCACCACACTCCTCCCCCACAAAAAGAAAATCAAAAGATTCCCCCGACCCCGTGTCGCCTACCCGCGCGGGGCCATCGGGGCAAGTTGATGTGAGCGAGCGCCTACGAAGGCCGGCATGGAACATGAAGTGTGGGGGGGGGGATGGTGTGGCCGACACCATGCACGCCCGGGTCGCCTTTGTCTCCCCGGTGGTGATGTTTTACACACCACAGCGCAGGTGCCTCGTTTTTAAGCCTTGGCGCCGGGACCGGTTGATATATTGGCCGCTTTTGTGAACTTTGATCGCGCCGGGTTTGGAGCGCAATGCGCTAACCGCCGCACTACACCCTCCCCTATGCGCGCACACACGCGCGCACACAAAGACAAAGATCCCCCATATAGCCTGTTGAGACTGTAGGGGCCAAGTGGTGTGAGCGAGCACCTATGAAGGCCGGCACGGCACACGAGGGGGTCGGTGGCCAGCACCACGCCCGACATCCTTTTTCTCCCAAGTGGAGATGTTTCCACACCACGTACTAATTTGAGGCCGAGTCTACCTAGGGGAGGCCCAGGACCGGTTCAGATAATCGTCACTGGCGTTGGCCATGAGCGGGAATCGAACTCGGGCCGCCGGCTTCGTAGCGCAGCGTAGCGCTAACCGGTTGCGCTACCGCTCCCCACACGGGCACAAATGCACAATTAACGCGTAGGTTTTGGCCGCCGGTGACGTGATTCATCGTCGTTGATTCGTTCTGACTTTCTGGGTTTGCCTTCTGGAGGCGCTGGGACGAAGCGGCCATGGCCGCCTCTCATTCCTGCTCACGTTGGGAGATCGGGGGGTCGGGGGGGGGGGTTGTCTCACGACACAAGCGTGGGTCCTTGGTCTTGTGCCATTTGTTTATTCAATTGTATTTTTTTTTTTAAAACGATGAAAAATTATGGTGGAGCTAAAATCTCGATACAGCCCAGCTCACCGCTGGACGAGAGGGCCGTGTGGTGTTTCACACTTCTCAACCCCACCGTTAAACGAAGGACACTTGACCCGTGACCAAAACTCACGATCACCAAAAGTGAACGAAACCAACGCCCCTAGCATCTACCCATTGCCAAACCCGCCGCCACCGCCGCTCATCCGTCGCTCGTCCGTCGCTCATTCCGTGACGTCGTCCCCCCCCCCCCCACCTCCGGCGCAGCAGGTGAAGCGGACAGCGCCAGCGGAACAGGGCGCCCACACCACGAAGAAACGGCGCTCGCGCGCCAGCGACGGCGTCACCTTCGACAACAGCGACATGGAGACGGACTCCGGTACCGAATCCCGCTGCTGCAGGAGTTACCGGATTACGAGATGCACATGTTGCGCCTTCTCCTTGTGGTGCTGGTGCTGGTGGTGGTGCTGGTGATGGTGTGGCAGGTGATGGTGATTGTGTCGAAAGCGGTCGCGCAGTCGTGAAGCTGATCACGTGGTGAGCGGCAGTGTGGCGATGATGGTTTGCTGTGCGGTCGTGAAGCTGACGGTGCGGTAAGCGGCAGTGCGGTGCCGAGCAGTTTCGGCGTGGGGCGCAGCGACGAAGGCGATGGCGCGGCGATGATGGTCACGGCGTGGTAAGCGGTGGTGAAGGTGCGGCGGCGAGAGCGCGGCGGTGTGTCGTGCGACGCGGTGACGGCGCCTCGAGCTGCACGGCCGTTGGCGGCTCGCGGCGGCGGCGGGGATCGGCGCTCGCGACGCTCACAAAGGCGGCGGCGGCGGCGTTGACGTTGCAGAGCCGACGTCCCGCGAGGCGCCGGCGTGGCCCCCGCTGCCGGCCTCTCCCGGGTTCCGTGCCCCTCTCCCGCCGTCGACGCCCACTGTGCCGCGCAGCAGCACGGGCGGCCCCGGCGGTTCTCCCACGGCCCCGCCGCTGCCCCCCGACGTGACGCCTCCCCCGCTGCCCAAGGACACGCCGCCCCCCTCGCCGGCCACGCCCGGTGGGTTTTTGGCGATCGTCGGGCGTACGTGCACGCGTGCGTGCGTGCGTGCGTATCGGCGCCGGGGAGACGAAGGTGGCCGGGCGCGGTGCCGCCCACGCGCCCACCCGCCTCTTGCGACGCGCAGTTACGTGCATCGGCGGTTGCGATTGTTGGTGGGCGCGTGGCCGGTGCCGAGCAGCGGCGATGAGAGCGACGGTGCGTGCCTCCTCGCAGGCGTGCGCTCTCGCGTCGAGGCCGGCGCCCCGGAGGAGGAGGAGGAGGAGGAGAAGGAGGAGGAGGAGGCGCTGTCTCTGGAGGACCTGGAGGAGCAGCAGCGCCTCATACAGGCGGCGCTGGAGCAGTCGGAGGGGGCCGCCGAGGGCGCGAACGACGCGGGCGACGTGAAGCCCGGCGGCGTCCATCCCGCCGCTCCCAGCCGGCCCTGGCGTGCGCCGGCGGGCGTACGGAGAAGTCCGCGGGTCAAGGTGGAGCGGGAGGGCGGTCCGAGCGTCCCTTGCGAACGTCGGGAAGCTCCGCGCGGACGCTCGCCTTCGGCCGCCGACGCCGAGCCGTCGGCCGAGCCGTCGCCGGAGTCGCCGGGGGAGCCGTCGGAGGAGCCGTCGCCGGGAAGCCCCGCGGTGGCGGGAGGCGAGGGCGGCGGCGGCCTGCCGGGCTCCGTCGGAAACCCGCCGAAAGCTCCCGCGCTCGACGAGGAGATGGCGATGGTGTTCGACGTCGCCGACGACGACGACGAGGCGGAGGAAAAGGCTGAAGCCGCGGGTAGCGACGACGAGGCGGAGGCGGTGCCGTGGCGCGTGAAGAACGCGCAGCGCGGCGTGCCGGACAGCTCGAAGTTTGCGGCGGGCATCACGGACTTCAGTCACCACCTGGAGGAGTCTGGACAGCCCACGGGGCTGTACGCCCGCCTCAGGAGCGTGCTGCAACGCGCGCCTCGCAAGGCGGCCAAGAAGCCGTGAGGCCGCATGCGTGCGGGGGGGGAGTGTGGGGAGGTGGGGGGAGGTGGGGGGAGGTGGGGGGGGGGGGGTAGGGGGCCCACCCGACCCAGGCCTCCGGGGCCCGCGCTTGGCACACGCGCGTTGGACCGGCGGCGCCGTGAGCCGTCAAGGCGCCGCGGTTGGGACGGCGCCACCCCCTCCGCCACCCGGCGTGGCGAGCGGCAGAGCGTTTCTCGTAGGCCGGATTCGAGCGGCGATTTCGATGTGCGGGACGTTTCGCTTGAAGCCGTGGCGAGCGTCATCCAGGACAGGATCCTGGAAGGTCCAGAATAAAAAGCAGGGGGGTGGGGTGGGTGGGGTGTTGATTCGGAAGTTGTTAGAAGCTGTCTTGATACATGTTCCTGTCGTGATTTTTTTAATCTTTATTCCCCCCCAGAATTTTCACATTCCCACACATTTGGTCCATCTGCCACAGGCATGGCTCCCCGGAAATTGCACGGGGCAACAAGACCCCCCCCCCCCCACGCTCGCCAGAAACGCCTCGCCGCAAACTCCACCGCTCGCCGAAATCGGCTGCATTGCACGAATTTGACCGCTCGGCTTCGGCAACTTCCACCGAACAACGCAGAAGTGAGCATCGGCTTGTCACTGCCGCATCGATTAATTGGCTTATCGGTGACCAGCCAAGGGTGCCTAATGCGCAAGCGGTACATAAAAAAAATGTTTTTATCCGTAGATCACAAACGTGCCCGATGGCGAGGGGGGGAGTTGGGGGGGGGGCACCATTGTAGGTAAAAAAAAAACATTTCTACATTACTAGGTGGTGCCGCTGGTGCGTCGGGCAATGCTGCACAATACACACAAGGCATTTGTCAATAACCGCACGCGTGCACGTGCGTTCCCGCGTACGTGGCCTTATAAGGGAAACATCGTTGGCTGCGTTTCGGGGAAAATATGGCGAGCGAATAAATGAATGTAAGATGAGTCGTCTACGAAGGGGCATTGCATTTGAATGGAGACTTTTCGTTTTGGAGAGATTTTGAAACGGCGGTTCCATGTGAAACGCCCAACGGGCTGTGAAAATAAAATGGTGAAAAGCGTCTGTGGTAAAAAAAAAAACGAGGGGCTTGGCGTTCGCCAAGGCCCTCTGGCCATGGTGGACACTGCCCGTGGTGGACGCTGGCAGCATTTTCCACTCTGGGCGGTACCGAGCAAGCCCCCTGGCTCGGCTCACGAGCTCGTCTGTGCGGATGATGGGGCACGGTTTGGGTTGAAGACGGTCGATTCCGTCGCCGAGCAAACTTTGTTTGGATTTCTCGTTGGGTTGTGTATTTTTGCGCGGTTTCTGTTCCTGGAAAACATTCAATAAAGTTGGCCGACCCACAGGCCTAGGTTCACACGCGCCTCCTGCTGCTGTCTCGCCAGCTCCTCCATCTCGCCAGCGCCCCCGTCTCACCAGCACCCCCGTCTCACCAGCACCCCCCGTCTCACCAGCGCCGCTGTCCAGTGCAGGGAGCGATTGCCGCGGAGTGGAGCTGGATCGCCAGTGGCCTGTAAAATTTTCGAGTCTCTCTCTCTCCCCGTGGTCGCGTGGATTTTTTCCTCCGGGTCCTCCGGCTTTTACCCCTTCCACGTTCAGGAACAACGTCGCGCGTTTAAGAGTATTTGGCGTGCCGCTACGTATTTCTACCTGATGATGATAATAATAAGCCACTTTGTTGAGCTGTCATTTGCTGCAGAAAAGGTCGCTTCTGAAAAAGAGCTATACTGCTCGGTAGGCCTCGCCTGGTTAAATAAAACATGGTTTTGGTGGCCCATCGGAGGAGGTATTCGGGGCCCGCTCCATGTACAGAGCGGGATTCTGGGCGTTTTGTGGCCCCATAATTATCTGGACTTTGACATTGCGATCATAACCCCCCCCCCTTCCACACCATCTACCCTTGTGCGAAAATGTGGCAGGGGGACCCTCTCAAGTAAGAGCCGTGAGACTTTGGGCGAGGTGAACGTGTGGAAATCGTAAATAATCATTTCTGAACATTTCTACTGGAGGAATCCGATGATCTACAAAGCTGCCTTCGTCACCTCACAGAGGTGTCCAGTCGGAGGGAGGGCGATAAACGAGAGCGGTCGTTGCCTGCCCGTGGCGGAAGAACGCATCGCGCGCAAGTAGCCACCCTGCCCATCGAGCCCTGCCGCGCTTTGCAAGTTTGGTTTCGGCCGTTTGAATGTCCCCACTCGAAAGTGCGCTCCCACCACCACCACCACCACCCCACCTCCCACGGTGGGCATTGTGTGGCTAGACTCTGTGTGTGTGGTAACGCGTGCTGGCTTGCGATAAGCTTTGGGTTGGGTTGAAAGGCGGAACGGGGATTGACAGCTGCAGGCACATGGACGGACGCGCGCGCGCGCGCGCACACACACACACGGGCATCTTTCGCAAGCACGCTCTCGCAAAAAAACTTGAGTTCCCCCGTGTCGCCTTGACTGTTGGGGCTAGTGCCGTTAGCGAGCACCTACGAAGGCCGGAACGGCACACGAGGGGGGGGGGGGGAGGGGTGACCAACACCACGCCCGACCGCCTTTGTCTCCCTAGTGGCGATGTTTACACAGCGCACGAGGTGACTCATTTGAGGCTGAGTCGGTTTAGATAATCGTCACTGGTGTTGGCCGTGAGCGGGAATCGAACCCGTGTCGGCGGGAATCGAACCCGTGTCGCCGGGTTCATAGTGCAGCGCGCTGACCGCTACACTACCGCTCCCCCCACACACACAAAGACAAAGATCCCCCATATAGCCTTAACAGACTAGGGGCAAGTGCTGTTAGCGAGCACCTATAAAGGTCGGCACGGCACACGAGGGGGTGGGTGGCCAACACCACGCCCGGCCGCCTTTGTCTCCCTCTTAGCGATGTTTACACACCGCACCAGGTACTCATTTGAGGCTGTGTCGACCTAGGGGAGGCCCAGGGCCGGTTCAGATAATCGTCACTGGTGTTGGCCGTGAATGGGAATCGAACTGGGGTCGCCGGGTTCATAGCGCAGCGCGCTGACCGCTCCACTATCGCTCCCCACACACACACAGACAGGCGCACACACAGACACCCACACACACAGACACACGCACGCACACACGGGCATCTTTCACAACGCGCGCTCGGGCACTGTGCCTCGAGGCTTCACACGCACACCCGCCAACAGCTCTTGCTACATCAGTCTGTTAAGGCTATACTGGGGCATATTTTGGTAGCCAACACCACGCCCAGCCGCCTTTGTTTCCCCAGTGCCAGTGTCTATGCTCAGCACCAGGTGCTTATTCAGCTACTGCACCAGGTACTGTACTGATTTAAGGCCGTGTCCACGTAGGGGGGAGGCTCAGATACACGCCACTGACGTTGGCCGTGAGTCCCAGGGATAACCGCGGCACCACCGCCTCCACACACCGGTGTACAGCGATGGGTACCTGGCGCCTCGAACCACACCTGACCCTCCCTTCCCCCGTACGAGGGTCATTGAACAGCGACGCGCGAGTCCCGGCCAAATTTCTCGGCCCTCAAACGAAACCCGAGAGGCCATCGGTTGCTCAACCTCCCGTTCAGCAGCCCCAAAGGCCCGCTCGCGCGAATCCCACGTTGCCTGTGACGGCGGTGAGGTCGGTTGGTTGGTCCGTACGGCAAGCCGCTGGCGTACTCTCGTCGATCGGAACCGGGGTGGACGGAAGGACGGGGGGCCCCCGAGAATCGAACCCCCTCCTCCTGATTAGGATTGGAACCTGGACACCCGATTGTGAGCCGCTGGCACAAGCCGAAGAGGCCGCCTTTGAGGAGCTGCCCGCCCCCCCCCCCCACCACCACGGCAGGAATTCGATGGGCGATGGGGTTTGAAGGACCCTTGTGGACAATTTGCCCACCCAATTGATTTTAATTGAATGGTCCTGCGTCTCGGCGGTCGGGACGATCCCAACCGCCCGTGACAATCCCAAATGACCACGATAATCCCAACCGCTCGTGACAATCCCAACCGCCCGTGACAATCCCAACCTCCCGTGACAATCCCAAATGACCACGATAATCCCAACCGCCCGTGACAATCCCAACCGCCCGTGACAATCCCAAATGACCACGTTAATCCCAACCGCCTGTGACAATCCCAACCGCCTGAGACAATCCCAACCGACTAATGACAATCCTAAATGACCACGTTAATCCCAACCGCCCGTGACAATCCCAACCGCCCGTGACAATCCCAAATGACCACGTTAATCCCAACCACTCGTGACAATCACAACCGCCCGTGACAATCCCAAATGGCCACGTTAATTCCCACCGCCCGTGACAATCCCAACCGCCTGTGACAATCCCAACCGGCTAATGACAATCCCAAATGACCACGTTAATCCCAACCGCCTGTGACAATCCCAACCGGCTATGACAATCCTAAATGACCACGTTAATCCCAACCGCCCGTGACAATCCCAAATAACCACGTTAATCCCAACCGCCCGTGACAATCACAACCACTCGTGACGATCCCAACTGGCTATGACAATCCCAAATGACCACGTTAATCCCAACCGCCCGTGACAATCCCAGCCGCCCGTGATAATCCCAAATGACCACGTTAATCCCAACCGCCCGTGATAATCCCAAATGACCACGTTAATCCCAACCGCTCGTAAAAATCCCAAATGTCCACGTCAATCCCAACCGCCCGTTACAATCCCAAATGTCCACGTCAAACTTAACCGACCGTGACAATGCCAACTGTCCGTGACTGCCCAGTTTGTGACCGGTGGCGTCTCAACCTCCCCCCCCCTTTAATTTTCCTCCGCCAAATTATCCGAAATCCACGCAGCTCATCCCGTGTCGCCACTTCCAGGAACACGCGTGTCTGTCGACACAAAGGCAAAGGTGCCCCCCCATCGTAGCCTCAATAGACCGTTGGGGCAAGTGCTGTTAGCGACGAGCGAGCGCCGTTGTGGAGGCCGCGTGGCAATGTTTACTACCACGGCACCAGCGGGTTTGAGTCGACCCAGGGGGGAGGCCCAGGACCGGTTCAGATAATCGTCACCGGTGTTTGCGGCGGCCGTGAGCGGGAATCGCAACTCGGGGCCCCCCGGGCTCGGGAGTGCAGCGCGCAGACCACTGCGCACAAAAAAACCGCTCCCCAACTCGCACGGACGCGCGCCGTTGGCTCTTATTTTGCGAAAGTGCAAATCGGGTTAAGGGCTTCGTGCAGTTGCGAAAACAAGTGTCGAGTTGGGAAAGCGGCTGGTATCGTGGTGGTGCTGGTGGTGGTGGTTTTCTTTCCACTTCTGTTGTTGTTTTCGTAGTTTTGCTTGCTGCTGTTGTTGTTGGTGTTGGTTGCCTGCTGAGGCTGCCCGCGGGTGGCGGCCGCCCCTTCCATCGTCCGGGTCGGTGCCGATGCGCTGTGTGCGAGTCGGTTCCCTGATTGATGGTCGCCAGCGATGTGTTTTTTTTATATCAGAGTCCTGTCCCTAAATGTCAGACTCCCATCGTAAGGAGGGTGTGTGCGTGTGTGTGCGTGCGTGTGTGCGTGGAGATGCAGTGGTGCTGGCCACCCACCCCCTCGTGTACCGTTCCGGCCTTCATAGGTGCTCGCTAACAGCACTTGCCCCTACAGTCTGTTAAGGCTATGTGGGGGATCTTTGTCTTTGTTTTTTGCGTGTGCGTGTGAGTCGCGGGGAGCGGTGGCGCAGCAGTTCGCGCCGCACTGCGCCACGATCCCCGGCGACCCGCGTTCCATTCCGGCTCACGGCCACCAACATCGTCGGCGAATATCCTGGCCACCACCCCCCCCCACCCCCCAGGTCGACTCAGCCTTAAATGAGCACCTGGTGCGGTGCATGAATATCAGCCCTGGGGAGACAAAGGTGGCCAGAAGAAAAAAACAGTTTGTCATAGGCTACACGGGGAGAGATGGAGAGGGGTGGGGATCCTTTGGCGAGCATTTGCCTGGGCGTGGTTGCGGTTTTCCTGGAGCCTTTTTGGTTCCCGAGCGGGACCAGTCGAGGACTCCAGACCGCTTAACCTCCTTCCTCCGTGGCAGCGGTGACGGCAGCGGCACCTTTCGGCGTGCAAACCCCCCTCTCACCCCCTCCCTCCCCGTAGTGAGAGTGCGAGCGATCAATCGTGCGATCGATCGAGCGAGGACGACGCAAGGAAGGAGGGGAGTGAAGACGATCCGTCTCCCCTCCCCGCCTGCGCGGTGTCGTTCCTGCACAGGTAAGGAGACTTCTTCGTCGTCTTCTTCTTCGGCTCCTTCCCCTCGTGCACCATGATGGCAGCAGCAGCAGAGAGAGACACGGAGAGAGTCGGCTATCGCCGTTTCTGCTTCACCGTTGACGGAGCGAAAAGCTACGGGCCACAGCGTTGGGTTGCAATGGTCAGAGTGACACTTACGGGGACTTGTGTTTGGTGCATCTCTGTGGGTCTCGATGTGTCTACGTGGGTCTCTATGGATCTCTGTTGGTTTACTGTATGGTCCCGTAGTTTGGGTTGCACGGCCACAGAGAGAGAGAGAGACGCGCAAACTCCAAATATACAGCAGCAGCAGCAGGCATCGTCAGTGTTGGGATCGAACCCACGACATCCTGCACACCGGGCGAGGTAGTTAACATCTCCTGTGCACTGTGCTATGGGTCTGGGCACTTCGAGCTCGGCGTGGTGACGCGCCCATCGCCTCCGGTGGTTGATCCCGGGCCAAAACTCTCCCGTGAGTTTGTGTCGATGGTGCGAGTCCTTCCGTGGGTGGCGTTGGGGACCCCCCCCCTGCCCCCCCCCCATCGAAGCGCATTCTTCCCGCCTCCTCTTGAACGCTCGCAGCTCGACTCAGCTGGGGTGGGGGGTGGGGGGTGGGGGTTTAGGAGACGTCCACGCTTCGGGAGCATGGAGCCGGGCATTGCGAACGACGTGGCTGGCGCAGCGCAGCTGATGTCGAATGGGCAGTCAAGTAAACCCATAGAGACCCATAGAGATGCATAGAGACCCATAGAGATGCAGAGAGACCCATAGAGATGCAGAGACCCATACAGATGTATAGAGACCCATAGAGATGCAGAGAGACACATAGAGATGCATAGAGACCCATAGAGATACAGAGACCCATACAGATGTATAGAGACCCATAGAGATACATAGAGACCCATAGAGATGCATAGATACCCATAGAGATGCATAGAGACCTATAGAGATGCATAGAGACCCATAAAGATGCAGAGACCCATACAGATGTATAGAGACCCATAGAGATGCATAGAGACCCATAGAGATGCATAGAGACCCATCGAGATGCATAGAGACCCACGGAGATGCATAGAGACCCATAGAGATGCAGAGACCCATAGAGATACAGAGACCCATTCAGATGCATAGAGACCCATAGAGATGCATAGAGACCCATCGAGATGCATAGAGACCCATAGAGATCCATAGGGAGCCTAAGGAGATACATAGAGACCCTAAGGAGATGCATAGAGACCCATCGAGATGCATAGAGACCCATAGAGATGTAGAGAGACACATAGATATGCATAAAGACCCTAAAGAGATGCATATAGTCCGATAGAGACCCTAAAGAGATCAATGTGGAGACCCATATAGATACATAGAGACCCTAAAGAGATGCATAGAGACCCATAGAGATACATAGAGACCCTAAAGAGATGCATAGAGACCCATAGAGACCCTAAAGAGATCAATGTAGAGACCCATAGAGCCGCGCGGCATTTTCCACACGGCGCGGTTTGAGGTCGGAAGCCGACCTCGCGCGTGTGGAACGCGATTGATGTAAATCACCTGGCTGGGCTTGCTCCTTCGCACGTGTTTATACCCCTCGCTCCCTCCCTCCCTCACTCGCTCCCCACCCCCGCCCTCCCCCACCGTGGCTCCCCGAGAGATGAATGAACGGAGCCTCACGCGTCCACGCCGTGGGAGGAAGGAGGTCAATCGGCATCGACCTTCAGGTTCTCGGTTGGCAACCGCGCCGAGCCAAAACACCGGCCCGTGCCGAGAATCGTTTCATAAAATTGACGACGGTGGTGGTGATGATCGTGATAGTGGTGGTGGTGGTGGTGATGATCGTGATAGTGGTGGTGGTGGTGATGATCGTGATAGTGGTGGTGGTGATGATCGTGATAGTGGTGGTAGTGGCAGTGCCCGATGAAGCGAGTTACGGAGGCCTGCAGCATTATGTTATAAAGGGGCCCTAAACATAAAAACACACGTAAATATTAAAACACACATTTTTTTTACTTGCATAGTAAAGTAATTGTATTTTTTTCATTCGCTATACAGCCAGATAATACGACAAATCGCTAACCTTAAACACCCGATCGTTCGTAAAAGTTGAAGGCGGTATAGTACTATATTAATAGAGCAAGTGCAGAATCACCGAACCGGAATTGATAGCTTGAAAGCATTTAGCGCGGGGGGGGGCCTTGAAAGTGCGGGGCCCGTAGCTACTACACGTGTAGCTACTACATCTGTAGCTACTACACGTGTAGCTACTACACGTGTAGCTATACGTGTAGTAGCTACAACACGTGTAGTAACTACACGTGTAGTAGCTATTACACGTGTAGTAGCTACTTGTGCTACGAGGATCATCCGGCGCTGGGTAGATGGTGGTGGTGATGCTAATCGTGGCGTGGCACGTTTTGCAATCGCTACGGAAGGATCTGACGCTGCTACTGCTGCTGCCACTATCGCTGCGTTTCGCAGACATGGAGCGCAGTGCTTTCATAGCGACGGCGGGTGCGGTGGTGGCTGCGAGGGGGTGGGGGGTTGTGGTGGCGACGCTGCTGCGCGTCATGTCGATTGAGAAGCGACTTCCTTTGCGGTGTGAGAATTTCAAATTTGAGCAAAAAAATTCGAGCCGTGACCGCCAGGCCCACGATGGCGCTCCCCTCGTTCCCCCGAATGACGGCACGGGGGTGGGGGGGGGGAATCTTCATCGTCCGCTGTGAGCGTAGCGGACGCCACGTGATCACGACGAGGTTTAATACACCCACACCGCGGTATTAACCAGGGCGGCCTGGCAGGTCGCAACCGTGTCACCTCTGTAGTGAGCGGCGAACACGCTACCGGTGCGCCACGGTGGCTAGGGGAGATGTTAACAACCTCGCCTGGTCTACAGGAGGTCGTGGGTTCGATCCCGACCCCTGCTGCTGTATATTTGGAGTTTGCGTCTCTCTCATCATCATCACGGTGGCTTTGAGATGTTAACTATCTCGCCTGGTATGCAGGAGGTCGTGGGTTCGATCTAGACCCTGGCGCCTGCTGCTGCTGTATATTAGAAGTTTGCGTCTCTCTCTCCGGGTCCTCCTCCACATTTAGAATCAACATCACGCGTTTAGAGCTTTTTACTGTTGCTATACATTTCCACGTCGATAAGCCATTGGGCTATCATCTGTGATAGCCAGGTCGCTTCTGAAGAAGAGCTGTAGAGTATAGCTCAGTGGGCCTTACCTTGTCAAGTAAAAATCGTTTTAGTTTAGTTTTAGGTGCCAGAGATTTGGGGCTGTAGCTGCTAGGCAGCCAGGAGATGGACGTTAAGTACAGCAGTCGAATCACTAAAACCATCTGTGCGGAAGATGGTTTACTAATTGGCTGTGTCGGGCGGTGGAGGGTTTGACGACACATCAATTCACGCGATCTAACCCAACAAAATCCCACCGCTAATTGTGGATAATATTGGTCGCGAAAGCCCGACTCAACTTAGCTCTCTTCCGTGATGCCTACCCCAGAACTTGTTTTTGCGTGAGATTCTCCCTCCCAGTCGCGTCGAGGAGTTCACGTCGCTCACCGAACTCAAAACATCCCCCACCGCTGCCCTCCTCTTTGCCGCGCTACCTGCAACGTCCTCCCCAAGTTTCAGGCCCAACATTCGTGTCTCCCTCCCTCTCTCTCTCTGTTTGATTGCTCATCGCGCGATTCCCACGGAGTTTCCGCAGCCGGCGCCGTTTGCCTCCTCGCGGAGCGGTACATCGTGTCGCTATGTCCAGTGTCTGTTCCGTGAAATGGTTCAAGATCCTTCCCTACAGAAAGAAAAAAGAAAACGAAGACGAAGAAAAATCCACGTGTTTAACTCACCCTCCTTATACGCGTGTCGGATTCCCCTGGTATCCCTCCCAATCAATGAACATCGAGAAAAAAAACCACACGAATTGTCGTGGCCTCAAGTGTGGGACATGGGTGGGTGTCAAGCGATTTGCCGCTATGGTGTGGGCTGGCACTGCTGATGTTACTCTTTGTTTTTTTCTTCCTTTTTCCGGTAAAGTCACGTAGGTAAAAAGAAATGAAGACAGCTAAATTAAATCACGACGTTTCGGAGGCAACACAAGCTTCCTTCATCATGTGCAAAAAAGGGCACAGCAAAATAACCGTAGAGAGAGAGAGCTATTTGTGGTGATAGACTTATATAGGGTAAGAGGAGGGGGAGGAGCCAGGGAGGACGGGCGCAGAATGGGGGGGGCGGAGTGTGGGTGGAGCCAGGAAGGGAAAGGTAAAGAAGAACATCGGAGCCACGGATGGGGGGGGGACGCGGGGCGGGGGAGAGTGTCGGTAGAGGTTTAACATGGTTAATCACATCTTTCCAATGATTGCTCAATTTGAATCCATCTTGTCGGTTGAAGTTATGTCTATGTTTGTATATCTGTATGGCTTCATGGACACATCTTTGGTGGGTTATCATGGTATTGTTTTCTCCGATACCAAGGTACTCTGCAAGCCGTCTGGATACCACCAAAGATGTGTCCATGAAGCCATACAGATATACAAACATAGACATAACTTTAACCGACAAGATATATTCAGATTGAGCAATCATTGGAAAGATGTGATTAACCATGTTAAACCTCTACCGATACTCTCCCCCGCCCCGCATCCCCCCCCCCCCATCCGTGGCTCCGATGTCCTTCTTTAGTTTTACCTTCCTGGCTCCACCCACACTCTCCCCCCCCCCCATACTGCGCCCGTCCTCCCTGGCTCCTCCCGCTCCTCTTACCCTATATAAGTCTATCACCACAAATAGCTCTCTCTCTCTACGGTTATTTTGCTGTGCCCTTTTTTACACCTGATGAAGGAAGCTTGTGTTGCCTCCGAAACGTCGCGATTTAATTTAGTTGTTTTCATTTATTTTATTTTTTACCTACGTGACTTTACCGAAAAAATACCAAAGAGTATGACTCCTTGCAGTCACGAAAGCTTCAAATCTAGAACTGTTGATGTTGTTTGGTTTTTGCTGCCTTGCCCCAACCTTTGTAAATCGGAGTTATATCATGAATGTTTTTGTTTCTTTGGTACATTTAGATTTTAGTCACTTGCTTACATTCTTCTCGATGTGTTGTTGTCGTTGATTGCTGTTGCACCTCCGCCGAACCCGTGGCCGGACTGGACAATCTGCGCAAAAGAGCTTCACAGCTCACCGGATTCACTCCTGCAGTCTAAATAAACATTCTGATTCTATACCCCAATGCCCTCCCCCCCGCCTCCCAACATCTTCCCCCTGCCCCCCCCCCCCCCTCCCCCCCACCCATCCCCCCCACCATCGTGGATCCGCCACTGACTCCACTCCAGCCGAGCAGCCGTTCTGGAAAAAACCTTCTGTGGTTCAGAATGGGAATCTCGATCTTGTCCTGGAGGAATCCGATGAGCTATAAAGCTATTTTTCACACGTGTCCAGTAGAGGGTGGGAGGGGGGTGTGTGTCAGCGGGTTACGATGACAAATAATAATGCAATAATTGTGGAAATAATAAACCCGATAGGAGTGCAAATTACATAAAAGGTGAGCGAGTAAAGAAGTCAATGGATAATAAAAAAATAATAAAAATATATAAGTGCAAATTGCACAAGTTCATAAACTTCCTGCCGATCTTTCAACACTCAATGCGAGCTTGGGGCAAGGCAGAAAAACAACAACAACAACAACGCAGCAAGACAACAACAACAATCCCAGACCACACCAAGACCACACCAAGACAACAACAACAGTTCCAGACCACACCAAGACAACAACAACAACAGTCCCAGACCACACCAAGACAACAACAACAGTCCCAGACCACACCAAGACAACAACAATAGTCCCTGACCATGATGATGACAGGGACGCAAACTCCAAATATACAGCAGCAGCAGGCGTCAGGGTCTAGATCGAACCCACGACCTCCTGTACACCAGGCGAGGTAGTTAACATCTCCTTGCCACCGTGATGATGATGATGATGGGGGGTGGTGGGGAGGGGGTGGTGGTGGGGTAGTGGTAGGGGAGTGGTGATGGGGGGGTGGTGGGGGGTTGGTGGTGGGGGGGTTGGTGGTGGGGGGGGGTGCTTCAGTGGAACCCACGAGTTGGAAGCTGTGGCTTTGTACACGGGACGTGGGCTCCAGACGCTTCCTCCGGAGTGACGTGAGCTCCACGCGCTCGCACCGCGGCCTCAACGCACACAGCCACACCACCGAGACAAAGATCCCCCGTGTAGCCTTAACAGGCTGTAGGGCCAAGTGCCGTCAGCGAGTAGCAGCACCATTTGTGATCGCCATGTCGCTTCCGACAAAAGCAGCCAAATAACTCAGTGGGACCTCACCTGGGAAAATAGCAATGAAACATCGTTGAGTAATAGTTCGCTTCCAACATACAGGTTTCTTTTGGGTTAGATCACGTAAATATATAAATGTGTCGTAAAGCCCGCCACCACCCAGCACAGCCAATTAGTAAGGTTTGTCACGTAAACAGAACGCAGCCATTCCGTTACTAGTACAGCACACCGGTGTGTTGGAGAGCAAATCGACAACAGTTACAACTAGCTTCATCAGGCGACAGCCAGATGGCTGTCTCCTGATGAAGCTAGTTGCCTGATGAAGCTAGTTGTAATTACTGGCGAAACTTGTTAATGGTGTGGCTTGGCTCTCCAACACACCGGTGTGCTGTACTAGTATACTACACTGTATACTACACTATACACTACACACTACACTATTCACTACACTACATACTACACTATATACTAGTGCTGTACTAGTATACTACACTATACACTACACTATACACTACACTACATACTAGTGCTGTACTAGTATACTATACTATACATTATTCACTACACTATACACTACACCATACACTACACTACATACTAGTGCTGAACTAGTACACGACACTATGCACTACACTATGCACTACACTTCATACTAGTGCTGTAGTAGTATACTACACTATACACTACACTATGCACTACACTATACACTACACTACACTATACACTACACTACATACTAGTGCTGTACTAGTATACAACACTGTATAATACACTACACACTACACTACACTATACACTACACCATATACTGGTGCTGTACTAGTGACGAATTGGCCACGTTCTGTTTACGTGACAAACCCCTTACTAGCTGGCTGTGTCGGGTGGTGGCGGGTTTTAACGACACATTTATATATTTTAACCTCTATTATGGATGATATTGGTCGCGAAAGTCTCCTGCGTGTTAAACAGTTTGCTTGTTGTGCGTGTTGCTTACCCCCCCCCCCTCCCCCCCGTGTGCTGTGCAGGTGCTGCCATGGCCATGTACCACGTGATGGTGATCTGCGGACTCCTTGCGTCCACGTCTGGGACGTCCTTGACATCGTCCGCGCCGGTGAGGCTCGCTCCACTGGGGTGGGCCCCTTGGCCTGGCCGGGGTTGCCCCCCTGGCCTGGCTGGGGTGGCCTCCCTTGCCTGGCTGGGGTTGGGGGGGGGTCGTCACGCGTCCATCCGTGTGCTCCCTTCTTTGAGGGTCGCTGCGGGTGAAACCGCACGCAGTCGGAGCAGAAACTGTTCTTTCTGTCAGGGGGTCACGGGAGGACACCTTAATCCGATAAAATAAACCACAGTCTAGGGCAGTGTTCTTCATTGCAAGGCCCGCGGGCCACTGGCGGCCCCTGGTGGCCTCTCGTGCGATCCCTGATGCACCGCACCTTGCCGCCAAGCCCCGGTGGTCTTAAACATGTGGCAGCCCTTACACTGATAATGTTGTATCGGCGAAAGTGGCCCCCCTCTTTAAATTAGTAAAGGGCCACTGCTCTACGGGATAGAGTGGCGGCAGTTTGCTGGGAAGCGGGACATGGGGTTGGCCGAGGAGTCCCAGGCGAGGGTGGGGAAAAAGGCTATAAAATTTTGACGTCGAGGGTCACCCTTCGCCTCGTTGTCAAAACAGGCGTAGGCCGGGGGCCTAGCGGTCCCCACGTCGCCGGGGAAGCCTGTCCTCCGCCGCCGAGATTACGATGCCCAATATCGGGCCTCAACCGTACGCGCCTATGTAACGGCCTCGGCATGCACCCTCCCCCCCTCCAATCACCGAGGGAAGGCCGCCAGCGTGCCTTAGCTGGGCGACATGTCCGAAGGGCCGGAGCCTCCCGGCTGTGACGGCTCGAGGATGGCGCGTCAGCAGGCGAGGGCGCGCGTCCCAAAAACGAACGAGTGTTGGGCACAAATGACGAGCGCGTGCGAGGTCCTGGGGGTATTATAGGTCCAGGAGCTTCCACGTGGCCCCGACAGATTGAGTGAACACCGCAGGAGGGTCACGATAGATATGTCCCAGGCACGGTCTTCAAGTGACGTCGCAAATCGCGCCGTAGAAGATCGCCGTTTCCGGCCGCCGCGTGTCCCGCACATTCTTAGGAATTGCCGGTGCGTGTCGGCGAATGTAACGAGGGAGGCTCTGTTGAACCGTTGTCGATAATTACTAATGGCAGGGCCGGAGGCCTTCTGTGCTCGTGGACGGAAGTGTCACCATTTCTGTTGCTCCCTGTCCTGTTTTTCCAGGTCTCCATTCCCAGCAGCCAAGTGCCCACAATGTCGCTGCCTGCGCCCATCCTGGCCAATGTCGCCCTCAGCACAGTCGCATCAACCGCAGTCGCCCCCACCACAGTCGCATCAACCAAAGTTTACCTCACCACAGTCGCCCCCACCACAGTCGTGTCAACCACAGTCGCCCCCACCACAGTCGCATCAACCACATTCGCCCCCACCACAGTCGCCCCCACCACAGTCGCATCAACCAAAGTTGACCGCACCACAGTCGTGTTAACCATAGTCGCCACAACCACAGCCGCTCACACAGCAACCACTCAAGCAGTGACATCTGCAGCTACAGACGGTGGTGGGACCTTGGCTGCCACGGCCATAGCCAATGAAACCACAGCGGCGACAGCTGCAACCGAGCTGGGCACGGCCACCCCGATCCCGGCCAATCAAACGACGGCCGCCCCGATTACAACCGCGGGCGCGGCCTCCTCCGAAGCCATGACCCACGCCGTCCCTCCGACCGCTGCCACCGCCGCTCCTCCTCCTCCAGCGACCACCACCACCGGAGGAGCATCGCACTCCCCACAGGTGACCCAGGCGATGGTGCAGGTGTAGTGACTGACTCAGAGATACTAGGAGTAGGAGGCATTCTATTTATTAACAACCTTCACAGGTTACAAAGGTAACTACAGCTCCCAGTCAGGACAGCTGCCAGACTGCCTGACTGACGACGCTGAGAAGGTGAAGACGTCGATGGCGACGAAGACTTCCAGCAGCACGACGAGGGTATCCCACATGCTCGGGGTCCCCTTTTATCCTCCCAGCGTGGCCTCGCTCCGCCCCGGCCACGCCCCCCTTCTAGAACCTACTCGCGGGTTCCCGGGCTCACCTCACGTGCCCCCCCCCCCCTCCATCACCTTTCCCTTACATCCCTCTCTCTGACTCATCACGTGACCTGCTGACAGACAGGGCTGCTGCAACTGCAGATCCCCTTCTCTGCCAGCAACCCGCGCCATGCTACATAGTGACCCATTCCGTGTCACGACACAGGCGATGGTGCAGACGTGGAAGGTCGTGGTGATCGTGATGGCCGTGCTGCTGGCGTTCGTCTGCCTCGTCATCTACGTGCGCCGCCGCAAGCGGCAGAAGTGCGGCTCGGCCAACCTGTCCGGCGCCGAGCTGCCACGGATGGGGCGGGAGAAGGGCAACAACCCCTGGGCAGGGCCCGCACCGCGGCCCAACACCTACGTCCAGGTGGACGGCGAGTTCGGCCCGGACTTGCTGCTGCAGGCCGACACGCAGGTGAACGGGGGTGGGGGGGGGGGCGATGGTGATGTAGACGCAGAGCAACGACTACAATTTTACATTCGGGTGGTCGAGCCAGACAACCGTGTCGGCGGGAGCAGTGGCAGGGTAATGGATCACCGCCGTATTTGTGGACCTCGGGGTGTTGCGCCGTCATGTACGTCGCACGCTCTCTTCTGGATGACCGCGGTGGCACGCTGCTGGAGAGTTTTTAATTTTCCATTTGTGCATCGGGTATCCGCATCTGCTGCTGCTGCTGCTGCTATGGTTTGCGCAGTGGACGATGCGATTTAGGGTCGATTTAGGGTCAGTGAATGCGTGAATGAGTGGGTGAATGCGTGAGTGAGTGGGTGAATGAGTGGATTCTCTGTGTCTGGGTGCGCGCGTGTGGTCAGGATGTCAACCACCAGGACGGAGACGCAACGGTGCACGGAGCTGCAGCGGTGAGGCACCTTTAGAAAAGCACCACGCCACAAGCTGTGCCGAGACACCGCGTTAGAGGGGTTGTGTGGGGTGGCTGGCTGTGTGTGGCTGGCTGTGTGTGGGTGGCTGTGTGTGGGTGGCAGGCTGTGTGTGGGTGGCTGTGTGTGGTGGCTGTGTTTGGCTGGCTGTGTGTGTGTGTGTGGCAAAACAACCCCCTACCTCCTCGCGGTGCCGGACGGGCAACTCTGTCGTGGACAGTGCTGTGGGGGGAGGGCCAATTCCGATTGGCCTCTCCCCTCATGGCGTCTGTGACCACCACAGTGGCTAAACGGGGGCTCTGGACGGGTGCGAGGGGCTGGAAACCCCTCCACCTTCAATTAATTACCACTAAACCACGAGTTATACTTAAATATGTAACTAATAAACTTGTGCCGGAGGCCCCAGGGGGACAGGCGTCTATGACGTCTCCTGGCCAAACCCCAATTGGCGGAGCCAGAAGATTGAATCTCTACCATCGGGGCTCCTCCAGAAACAACGAAAAGCCACTACGGATGGCCACGTGGAATGTTCAAATGCTCACTGCGGAGGAGAGGCTGCCACTCCTCTGTCGGGAGCTGGACCGGTACCGCCTGGATTTCTGTGGCATTCAGGAGGTCCGGTGGACCGGTTCTGGCTCTTGCCACCATGAGGGGTGGACAGTCCTCTACTCGGGGCAGCAGACTGCCAAACAACAGGGTGTGGCTCTTCTTTTGAACAAAAGAATGAAGGGGGCGTGGGAGCGTGGCGGTGAGGTGTGGGAAGCTGTAAGCCCCAGGCTACTTTGGGCTCGCCTTCCCATCAACCGGAGGCGAGGAGTGGTGGTCGTGGTTACTTATGCCCCCACCGAAGACGAACGTCCGTGGAGGGATGCAGGCAAAGCCGATGAGTCAGATTCCTTCTATGACCTCCTGTCACAGGTGCTGGCTAAAGTGGCCCCTCGGGATAGAGTCATCTTGTTGGGTGACTTCAATGCCCGAGTTGGTCATGATGCTGGCACCTGGTCTGGAGTGATTGGAAGGCATGGGCCAGATCAGCTCAATAACAACGGTAGAAGGCTGCTAGATTTTTGTGCAGCCCATGGGCTTGTAATTACCAACACGCTGTTCCAGCATTGGCGCATCCACACAACATCATGGATGCATGTCGGGTCCAAGCAAGAACATCTGCAGGACTACATAGTGACGGACCAGCGGATGCGAGCCCATGCTCTTGACACCAGGACCTACTGTGGAGCTGATCTGCCCTCTGACCATCGACTAGTCATCTGTAAGATGCGCCTGCCATTCTTCCACTCCGGTGGTGGGTGTACACCCAGGACCCCATTCCAACCTAAAGTGGCCTGGTCTCAGTTAGCTGATAAAAGTTGCAAGCGCGAATTTCATCATTGCTTGCGGCTGGGGTTGGCATCGTCCCCCACTCCTCCTGATGTGGAGGGTAAGTGGGCGAGGTTTAGGACTGTGACTCATACAGCTGCAATGGCTGCTTTGGGTACGCGGTCCAGACCTCCCCAGGGACCCTGGCTGACAGAGAAGGTATTCAGGATAGTTGAGAAAAAGCGACAGGCCCATTGTCATCGGCTACAGAATCCCACATCAGAGAATGAGGAGGCTTTCCGCAGCCTTCACTTGGAGGTTCGGAGAGCCGTGAGGCGCTGCAAGGATGGGTGGTGATCGCGGGTTGCTGAGGAGATGGAGTCTGCCTCAGTGGCCTGCGATCACAAATCTCTATTTAACTCCATCAAAAAAGTAACCTGCATCGCCACACCTATTACCATCATTAAGGAAAAAAAACGGTGATCCAATCTCCGACCCCCAGGAACAAGTTTGCAGATTTGCTGAGCATTTCTGTGAAGTCCTGGGGGAGGGGAAATCCCTCAGCCAGGAAAACATCGTGGCACAAAGTGGGGATGACCCTGCTGAGGCTGCGGTGCCTCAAATATTGGAAGAAGTCACCCCCTTTGAGTGGCTGGCTGAGGTGCCATATGTTGAGGAAGTACTGAAGGCGATCCGGAGTCTGAGACCAGGAAAGGCACTGGGCAGAGATGATCTCCCAAGCGAAATGCTGAGGGAGGGTGGCGTTTGTGCACAGACTGCCCTCTATGACATCATAACAACAGTCTGGACCATTGGATCGGTTCCGCAGGATTGGAAGGATGCCCTGGTGGTCCCCCTCTTTAAGAAGGGCGACCGCACAGACTGTAACAACTACAGGGGCATCTCACTCCTCAGTGTGCCGGGAAAGGTCCTGGCAAGGATTATCCAACATCGCCTTGCCAGGCACGCTGAGGGGAGGCTTGCGGAGCCCCAATAAGGTTTCAGGAAAGGGCGGTCCTGCACAGATGCCATATTTTCTGTCCATCTGCTACAGCAGAGCTGTAGGGAATTCCAACAAGACCTACATCTCTGCTTTATTGACCTGGTCAAGGCCTATGATACCATCAGTAGGCCTGGGCTCTGGGTTGTTCTTCATGCTTTTGGAGTCCCTGACCCCCTGCTCACGATCATTAAGGACCTTCATGATGGTGAGCGGGCCTGGGTAAAACTACGTGGCTGGGAGTCAGAGCCATTCCCTGTACACCTTGGGGTGCGACAGGGATGTCCTCTGGCTCCCACATTATTTAACATCTATTTTGACCACGTAGTTTGTGAAGCCTTCAATAGCTGTACCAGGGGAATCTCCATTTGGTACAGATATAATGGGAGGCTGATCGATGTCCGGGTGTGGTCAAGGGATGGCTCCCTATTGCTCAACCACGTCATGTATGCCAATGATTTGGTAATAGCTGCTCAGTCAGAGGAGGAGTTGGAGACACTGCTGCTGCGACTGGAGCGAGCCACTAAGAGATGGGGCCTTACCATCAGCCCCACCAAAACTAAGCACCTGCCTGGGTATTTTCTACCATTGGACACTCCACCCCAATTGGTGATGGGGCAGTTGTGGAGAGAGTGGAGAGTTTCCCATACCTGGGCAGTGTGCTTATGACCGGCTCCAGTTTAACAGCAGAGGTCTCACTCCGAATCAGTCGAGCGGCAATATCTTTTTATCGGTTGCGTAACGCTGTATGGAAGCTACCTGGTTTGTCGCTCCACACTAGGCTTCAGGTCTTCTCGGCCACGGTAATTCCCTCCTTTCTCTACGCTTGCGAAACGTGGACCCCCTTAATGGAACATCTTCGCCAGTTAGAAACATTTAGGTTAGCCTCCCTACGATCCATCCTGGGTTTAAACAGGCTGGATTGTGTGAGGAGCTCACAAATCCATGAAAGATCTGGGCAAGGTCCCATCGGTGAGCTCCTCCGGCGGGCAAGGCTGCGTTGGCTGGGTCATGTAGCCCGCATGCCGAGCCACCGCATGCCTAAAAAGCTTTTGTTCGGCCGGATTGAGGGGGCTAAACGGGCGCGGCACGGGCTATAGAAGAGATGGAGTGATGTGGTACAGGAGGACGTGGAGCTGAGTGGACTTGCCGATGACTGGTACCAGCGGTGTCAAGATCGGCCTCTGTGGAGGAGGCTCGTGAAAGACGCTACTTGGCAGTTGGAGGCAGTCGCCCTCCAACAACAGCGGAGGGCGGAGGAGCGACGCTCACAACAACGAGCGGAGCGCCGGGTGACTAGGGCACAGCAGGTTGGCACAGTAGGGGGCACAGGTGGTGCATCAGCCAGTCATCTGAGTTAGTCGACCCGTGGCACCTGGGTCTGCCCCGTGACCTCCTACCAGCGGGCGTTCGACACTTCACGTGGCCTCAAGGTGCACATGGCCTGGCACAAGCGTCATGGTGACGTCACCGCCACTTAGTGGCGAATGGCGGTTGTTGTGTGTGGGTGGCTGTGTGTGGGTGGCTGTGTGTGGTGGCAGGCTGTGTGGGTGGCTGTGTGTGTGTGGTGGCTGTGTGTGTGTGGCTGTGTGTGTGGCTGTGTGTGGGTGGCTGTGTGTGGTGGCTGTGTGTGGGTGGCTGTGTGTGGTGGCTGTGTGTGGCTGTGTGTGGTGGTTGTGTGTGGTGGCAGGCTGTGTGTGGTGGCAGGCTGTGTGTGGGTGGCTGTGTGTGGTGGCAGGCTCTGTGGGTGGCTGTGTGTGTGTGGTGGCTGTGTGTGTGTGGCTGTGTGTGGGTGGCTGTGTGTGGGTGGCTGTGTGTGGGTGGCTGTGTGTGGGTGGCAGGCTGTGTGTGGGTGGCTGTGTGTGGTGGTTGTGTGTGCAGCTGTGTGTGGCTGGCTGTGTGTGTGTGTGGGTGGCTGTGTGTGGGTGGCTGTGTGTGGTGGCTGTGTGTGGGTGGCTGGCTGTGTGTGGTGGCAGGCTGTGTGTGGTGGCAGGATGTGTGTGGGTGGCTGTGTGTGGTGGCTGTGTGTGGGTGGCTGGCTGTGTGTGGTGGCAGGCTGTGTGTGGGTGGCTGTGTATGGTGGCTGTGTGTGGGTGGCTGTGTGTGGGTGGCTGTGTGTGGCTGTGTGTGGTGGTTGTGTGTGGTGGCAGGCTGTGTGTGGTGGCAGGCTGTGTGTGGGTGGCTGTGTGTGAGTGGCTGTGTGGGTGGCTGTGTGGGTGGCTGTGTGTGTGGCTGTGTGTGGTGGCTGTGTGTGGGTGGCTGTGTGTGGATGGCAGGCTGTGTGTGGTGGCAGGCTGTGTGTGGTGGTTGTGTGTGTAGCTGTGTGTGGTGACTGTGTGTGTGTGGCTGTGTGTGTGTGGCTACCCTCGGGGCTACTCCAGAAACAACGAAAAGCCACTACGGGTGGCCACGTGGAATGTTCGAACGCTCACTGCAGAGGAGAGGCTGCCACTCCTCTGTCGGGAGTTGGACCGGTACCGCCTGGATCTATGCGGCATTCAGGAGGTCCGGTGGACCGGCTCTGGCTCCTGCCACCATGAGGGGTGGACAGTCCTCTACTCGGGGCAGCAGACTGCCAAACAACAGGGTGTGGGTCTTCTTTTGAACAAAAGAATGAAGGGGGCGTGGGAGCGTGGCGGTGAGGTGTGGGAAGCTGTAAGCCCCAGGCTACTTTGGGCTCGCCTTCCCATCAACCGGAGGCGAGGAATGGTGGTCGTGGTTACTTATGCCCCCACCGAAGATGAACATCCGTGGAGGGATGCAGGCAAAGCCGATGAGTCAGATGCCTTCTATGACCTCCTGTCACAGGTGCTGGCTAAAGTGGCCCCTCGGGATAGAGTCATCATGTTGGGTGACTTCAATGCCCGAGTTGGTCATGATACTGGCACCTGGTCTGAAGTGATTGGAGGGCATGGGCCAGATCAGCTCAATAACAACGGTAGGAGGCTGCTAGATTTTTGTGCAGCCCATGGGCTTGTAATTACCAACACGCTGTTCCGGCATCGGCGCATCCACACAACATCATGGATGCATGCCGGGTCCAAGCAAGAACATCTGCTGGACTACATAGTGACGGACCAGCGAATGCGAGCCCATGTCCTTGACACCAGGACCTACCGTGGAGCTGATCTGCCCTCTGACCATCGACTAGTCATCTGTAAGATGCGCCTGCCATTCTTCCACTCCGGTGGTGGGTGTACACCCAGCACCCCATTCCAACCTAAAGTGGCCTGGTCTCAGTTATCTGATGAAAGTTGCAAGCGAGAATTTCATCATCGCTTGCGGCTGGGATTGGCATCGTCCCCGACTCCTCCTGATGTCGAGGGTAAATGGGCGAGGTTTAGGACTGTGACTCATGCAGCTGCAATGGCTGCTTTGGGTACGCGGTCCAGACCTCCCCAGACACCCTGGCTGACAGAGGAGTTGTTCAGGATGGTTGAGAAAAAGCGACAGGCCCACTGTCATCGGCTACAGAATCCCACGTCAGAGAATGAGGAGGCTTACCGCAGCCTTCGCTCGGAGGTTCGGAGAGCCGTGAGGCGCTGCAAGGATGGGTGGTGGTCGCGGGTTGCTGAGGAGATGGAGTCTGCCTCAGTGGCCCGTGATCACAAATCTCTATTTAACTCCATCAAAAAAGTAACCTGCAGCGCCACACCTATTACCATCATTAGGGGAAAAAACGGTGATCCAATTTCCGACCCCCAGGAACAGGTTCGCAGATTTGCTGAGCATTTCTGTGAGGTCCTGGGGGAGGGAAAATCCCTCAGCCAGGAAAACATCGTGGCACAAAGTGAGGATGACCCTGCTGAGGCTGCGGTGCCTCAAATATTGGATGAAGTCACCCCCTGTGAGTGGCTGGCTGAGGTGCCATCTGCTGAGGAAGTATTGAAGGCGATCCGGAGTCTGAGACCAGGAAAGGCAGCGGGCAGAGATGATCTCCCAAGCGAAATGCTGAGGGAGGGTGGCGTTTGTGCACAGACTGCCCTATATGACATCATAACAACAGTCTGGACCACTGGACGGGTTCCGCAGGATTGGAAGGATGCCCTGGTGGTCCCCCTTTTTTTAAGAAGGGGGACCGCACAGACTTTAACAACTACAGGGGCATCTCACTCCTCAGTGTGCCGGGAAAGGTCCTGGCAAGGATTATTCAGCATCGCCTTGCCAGGCACGCTGAGGAGAGGCTTGCGGAGCCCCAATGCGGTTTCAGGAAAGGGCGGTCCTGCACAGATGCCATATTTTCTGTTCGTCTGCTACAGCAGAGGTGTAGGGAATTCCAACAAGACCTACATCTCTGCTGTATTGACCTGGTCAAGGCCTATGATACCATCAGTAGGCCTGGGCTCTGGGTCGTTCTTCGTGCTTTTGGAGTACCTGACCCTCTGCTCACGATCATTAAGGACCTTCATGATGGTGAGCGGGCCCGGGTAAAACTACGTGGCCGGGAGTCAGAGCCATTCCCTGTACACCTTGGGGTGCGACAGGGATGTCCTCTGGCTCCCACATTATTTAACATCTATTTTGACCACGTAGTTCGTGAAGCCTTCAATAGCTGTACCGGGGGAATCTCCATATGGTACAGATATAATGGGAGGCTAATCGATGCCCGGGTGCGGTCAAGGGATGGCTCCCTATTGCTCAACCACGTTATGTATACTGATGATTTGGTAATAGCTGCTCAGTCAGAGGAGGAGTTGGAGACGCTGCTGCTGAGACTGGAGCGTGCCACTAAGAGGTGGGGCCTTACCATCAGCCCCACCAAAACTAAGCACCTGCCTGGGTATTTTGTGCCATCGGACACTCCACCCCCACAACTCCCAATCGGTGATGGGGTAGTTGTGGAGAGAGTGGAGAGTTTCCCATACCTGGGCAGTGTGCTTATGACTGGCTCCAGTTTAACAAGAGAGGTCTCACTCCGAATCAGTCGAGCGGCAATATCTTTTCATCGGTTGCGTAACGCTGTGTGGAAGCTACCTGGTCTGTCGCTCTGCACTAAGCTTCAGGTATTCTCGGCCACGGTCATTCCCTCCCTTCTCTACGCTTGCGAAACGTGGACCCCCCTAATGGAACATCTACGCCGGTTAGAAACATTTAGGCTGGCCTGCCTACGATCCATCCTGGGTTTAACCAGACTGGATTGTGTGAGGAGCTCACAAATCCTTGAAAGATCTGGGCAGGGTCCCATCGGTGAGCTCCTCCGGCAGGCAAGGCTGCGATGGCTGGGTCATGTAGCCCGCATGCCCAGCCACCGCATGCCGAAACAGCTTTTGTTTGGCCGGATTGAGGGGGCTAAGCGGGCGCGGCACGGGCTAGAGAAGAGATGGAGTGATGTGGTACAGGAGGACGTGGAGCTGAGTGGACTTGCTGATGACTGGTACCAGCGGTGTCAAGATCGGCCTCTGTGGAGGAGGCTCGTGAAGGATGCTACTGGGCAGTTGGAGGCAGTCGTCCTCCAACAACAACGGAGGGCGGAAGAGCGACGCTCACAACAGCGAGCGGAGCGCCGGGTGGCTAAAGCACAGTAGGTTGGCACAGTAGGGGGCACAGGTGGTGCATCAGCCAGTCATCTCAGTCAGTCGACCCGTGGCACCTGGGTCTGCCCCGTGACCTCCTGCCAGCGGGCGTTCGACACTTCACGTGGCCTCAGGGTGCACATAGCCTGGCACAAGCGTCGTGGTGACGTCACTGCCACTTAGTGGCGAATGGCGGTTGTTGTTGTTGTTGTGTGGCTGTGTGTGGTGGCTGTGTGTGGTGGCAGGCTGTGTCTGGGTGGCTGCGTGTGGTGGCTGTGTGTGTGGCTGTGTGTGGTGGCTGTGTGTGGGTGGCTGTGTGTATGAGTGACTGTGTGTGAGTGGCTGTGTGTGGTGGCTGTGTGTGGGTGGCTGTGTGTGGTGGTAGGCTGTGTGGGTGGCTGTGTGTGGTGGCTGTGTGTGTGGCTGTGTGTGTGTGGCTGTGTGTGGGTGGCTGTGTGTGGGTGGCAGGCTGTGTCTGGGTGGCTGTGTGTGGTGGCTGTGTGTGGCTGTGCGTGGTGGCTGTGTGTGGTGGTTGTGTGTGTGGCTGTGTGTGGGTGGCTGTGTATGGTGGCTGTGTGTGGGTGGCTGTGTGTGGGTGGCAGGCTGTGTGTGGTGGCTGTGTGGGTGGCTGTGTGTGAGTGGCTGTGTGTGTGGCTGTCTGTGGGTGGCTGTGTGTGGTGGCTGTGTGTGTGGCTTTGTGTGTGGCTGTGTGTTTTGGCTGTGTGTGGGTGGCTCTGTGTGGGTGGCAGGCTGTGTGTGGTGGCAGGCTGTGTGTGGCTGACTGTGGGTGGTCGCTGTGTGTGGTGGCTGTGCGTGATTGTCATATGCGTACAAGGGCTGTGTTGTGAGTCTCAAGGATGAACTTCGCCACGGAGGGCGGCGGACGCCTTGCCGTGGGATTTCCAACCCAGTAATCTTTGGGGGTTACTTTTCAAATTCCGGGGGGCCCGGGACCACCGGCACGGGATAATTCCTTCCACCGTGAAGCAGACGGCGCATGCCACCTGTGATTAAACATAACACCCCCTCCACCCACGCCGTAGTATTAACCAGGGCGTGCGCGTGACCCGAACCGCGAAGCTCCGCAATAAACGGCAGACGCGGGATATCGACGCGCACGGGCATGCGCGCGCATACGCACGCTGACGTCCGTGCCGCTCTTCGGCGACAGGAGCTGCCCGCGGAGGAAGCGTCGGACTTGGCGGAGCGGGGGCAGGGTCGGGGCGCGAACGGCAAGCGCTCGTCCTTCCAGTCCTTGGTGACGTTCGCGCGGAAGAGTCGCAAGGGGGGTCAGGCGGAGGACTGCGCGGTCAGCCTCATCGCGAGCAAGGCGGGGAGCGCCGGCGACGAGGCGCCGGCCGTGGCGCCGCCACCGCCGGAGGAGGAGGGCGCCGCCGCCACCGCCGCCGCCAATGACAAAAAGGGCGCCGGTACGGGGCTGGGCGGGCCCCGTGATGACACGGCCTCCACCGACACACTCAGCTCCGTGCTCACCGCCGAGGCCTTCAGCGTCACCACGGAGCTGTGAGGCGGCCCAGCATGTCCAGCCCGGCTGCCGTGAGCCACAGCGTCACCGCCAGGCCTGGAGCGTCGTCGTCATCACCACCATCGTCACCACCGCCGGAGGGCGGCCTCACTGCTGGGCCTGCAGCATCGCCACGGAGTAACCTCACCGCCAGACGTACAGCATCGTCATCATCATCATCACCACCACCGCCGCCGCCGGAGGGCGGCCTCATTGTTGGGCCTGCAGCATCGCCACGAAGCAATCTCACCACCAGACCTACGTCCTCATCGTCAGACGTACAGCATCGTAATCACCGCTACTGCCGGAGGGCGGCCACACCACCTGGGCCTGCAGCATCGCCACGAAGTAACCTTCCCACAGACGTACAACGTCATCATCATCAACACCTTCATCACCACCACCAGACCTACGTTCTCACCAGCCAGTGTCCCCTGTCACTCAGGCCTTTGCCTACGCGAAGAGTTGTCAAGTTCAAGTTGATTTTGGTTTGTTTGAACCAGGTGGGATTTAGAGAGATCATGATACATGAGTCTCATTTGCAAGAGAGAACTGGGGCATCGGTCTGCTGCCGGTAGTCGGGGGGTGGCAATGATCGCTGCTGCTGTTGCTGTGTGTGTGTGTGTTTAATCGCCAATTGAGTAATGTGCGGTGTCATTTTCGAATTTGGCAACGGCAGCCCGACTTCTCGCGAATGGCGTCGGGGGGATCTTCCGACGTCCACCACCGTGAGCGGAGCGGTGACCACGCGCGGGATGGTTCAAGTTCATTCGCACACCGTGCTGTTCATCGATGGGCGGCCGCCGGAGCCGAGCCGTCGCCGCCTGGCGTGGAGGCATCGGAGGCTTGGCCTGGGACACCTCAAGTGTTCGTGCGATGACCGATCAAAGGAAAAGTCCCACCCAGTTATATATATTGATATGTCTTTTTTATATATATCCTGGAAAGCCACGCTGAGTCGTAGGATCTCAGTCTCAGGAAAAGCAATGCTCCATTGGGCCTTTAAGATGTTTTCAGCCAATGAATGTGTTTATTATACAGTGCGTGGCAAGAAACCGGAGCGCCTGGAGAAAAAGCGCTCGCCTTGCGCGGCGAGGGGGCAATGCTGTATCCCCATACAGATGGAAACAGATGGAGATTAGTCCACACTCTGCTGTACCGCCTTCTGCTGGCGAGCCACGGAATGGCACCTCCCCGACGCCCTCGGTTAGAAGGGAGTTTCACAACAACAACATCTGTGTGTGCGGTGATCCACTAACCCTCGCTGCTGCCTCCACAGCGGTGAATCACAAGCAATGTACGTCGTGCGTGTGATGCACGGGATGCCTTGTATTGTTACGTGAGAAGCTGTGTGGTTTTTGTTTTAATGGCGTTACGGGATTGTAAGAAATATACTGTAAGAGTACAATGCAGTGTTGGCGCGGCTGAAATGGATTTCCCTGCAGAAAGCGGCAGGCGCGTGATGGCGCGCGTTGCTCACTGGAAGGCAAAATTCAGTTAAAGTTCTACTTTTAACAGGCTTTCGCGACCAATATCATCCATAATGCAGGTTTTTTTGGGTTAGGTCGCGAAAATATGTGTCGTTAAACCCGCCACCACGCGACACAGCCAATTATTAAGGTTTGTCACGTAAATAGAACATGCCAATTCGATGCCTATACAGCAATCTGGCTGTCCGCCTGATGATGCTCGTTGTAATTACTGGCGAAACGTCGTACTCAGATTGTAAATGTTGTGGATTTGCTCTCCGACAGACCGGTGTAGTGCTGTACTAGTAATGGATTGGCCACGTTCTGTTTTACGCGACAGGTGGTGGCGGGTTTAACAGATTTACATTTACGCGATCTAACCCAAAAAAAAAGCATATCACGGCTTCTACTTTAAAGTTCTAATTTGTGTTATTGTCAGCGTGGCCGGCTTGTAACGTAGAGCAGAGCATTTGCTCGACCGCTTGCGCTCCACAGCACCACGCGGGATAAATAAAACAAACCCACACACGCACGCCCAACCTGCGCACGCACGGCCGCTGTGGGAGTTGAGGGCCGGGGGTGGAGGCTGACGGTCATCTGCTGTCGTACTGCGCATTCGCGACCAATGGTGGAGAGAGATGGGTGGGAAACGAAGGCTGGATCGGTCACTGAACGGCACGGGCGAGGGTCCGTGTGATTCGGTTGGAAGCAATCAGGCTGTGCATCTGCGCGATTGATCGATTCATTTGCGCGCGAGCAGGTGTGCATGCGTAATCAAGGTTTTTGGGTTAGATCGCTTAAGTATAAATGCGTCGTAACCCTCCACCACCCGACACAGCAAGTAAGGTTTGTCACGTAAACAAGGCACCAATTAGTTAATACTTCAGCACACCGATGTGTTGGAGAGTAAATCGACAACATTTACAACTTGAATACCGTGACCTTTCGCAGGTAATTACATCCAGCAACATCGGGGGATTTGTCAGAGTGGTGAAGCAATCCACCTGCTTCCGGTCTAAAATAGAGCAAGATGATGTCATCACTGAACCCTTCAGGTGCAGAGATCAGAGGCGGAGGGACGGGAGTATTGTAATTATATAATAGATTAGTAATCCATTAATTATTGTGCTTCCTCTATAATGAATGCAGTTGTAAGATGTATTGCTTAATAATATGCTTCCAGGCTGCACTAAGCCTGTAGCTGTCAGAGCGGTTAAAATTATTTGTAATTCTCTCAATTTCAATGGATTCTCGAATCAGTCTCGGCCAGTAATAATTAGTTTTACACAACACTTCAACGTTATCAAAATCAATTGAATGTCCTTGTTGGCAAGCATTTTCTGCAACTGCCGACAGTTGTGTTTGAGAGTATTTAATATTTCTTTGGTGCTCTTTTAGTCTTATGCTAATGGTACGTCCCCGTCTGTCCAATATAGCGTCTGGCACATAAGCAATTAATCTGATACACACCTGTTGATAACTTAGGCAATTCATCTTTGGCACAAGATACTATATTATTTGGGTCTTTCGCTAAAGTCACATAGTTAGGTTTTTTTTTTACAAAAAAACTGCGACTGCTTGTGTTGCGATCGAAACGTCATAGTTTTTTTTAAACCTATCTACATGACTTTACCGAAAGACCCAAAGAATATGAATTCCTGCAGTCACGAAAGCTTTAACGCAAGATACTAGTTGATTTAAAGCTTTCGTGACTGCAGGGATTCATATTCCTGGTTCTTACGGTAAAATCACGTAGAAGGGAAACAATAAAATAATAAAAATATAAAACAATAAAATTCTCACGACGTTTCGACTGCAACACAAGCAGTCATCATCAGGTGTGAAAACCACAGCAAGAACATTTGAAAAAAGTGTTTGTTTTATTTTATTTTATTGTTTCTCTTCTACGTGACTTTACCGAAAGAACCAAGAATACAAGATACTAGTTTTTATTTTATTTTGTGTAGCGTTCCAAACCTTACTTAAGATTTTTTTGTTTTTCCAAAACTAATTTGGCAGTTACTCCCACAATGTATGGTATTTAAATGTTTTAATAACCTAGTCGCTTTCAGCAGTATTGCTGTTCGATCTTGGTTTAGCATTCAATGCTCTGTTAATTTGAGCGTTATTTTAGCCAATTAATCGTAGCGCTTCTTTAACATGTTTAAACTCTCTCCTCAGACTTTCACCATCTGACACTGTTTTAGCTCGATGTATGAGCGTCTTGATGAGAGAGGATTTCTGTGCGGGGCGATGAATCCGAATCTGCATTCAGATGGGCATCAGTGTGCATTTCCTTTCAGCAAACGCTGTGTGTTCTTTTAACATTTAGGCCACGTCCGAGCAAAATATACAGGAATGGGAGTGTGTTATTCACCTCCATTTCCATGGTGAACTGGATGGCCGGGTTTTGCGAATTGAGATGATTGAGCAATTCATTAAGTGTATCTTTACCATGTGGTCACACAACCAAAATGTCATCCACGCAAGTAAACCAAAAAGATGGTTTTAATATACTTGAAGCAACTGCTCTTGATTCAAAGTTTCTCATGTACAGATTCGCAATAGCAGGAGACAAAGGGGAGCCCATTACTGCTCCTTCCTTTTGTTTAAAGAAATCACCTCTCCATAACATATAAGCGTTATTTAGACAATGGTTTTGGAATATCTTTTGCACGCAAACCGATCGTTCAGGCGTGCGGACCACCTGGGATTCAATGGTAATGCAACTTAAATTTCAGTGCCAGGCAGGGTGTTGGGGCAATGCCCACCAACCCATATTGTGTGTGCACAGCACGCGTGTAAATGTGTTGTCGCGGGTTGGTTCGACGCACGCCATTCATGAAACACTTCGTCTCCAGCATGTAACGGTGTCGTCGTCACGTATTATTCCAGGTGGGCTGACCCCCCCAAGTTGAAGGTCGAGAGTTCAAATCCTGGTTGGGGACGGGGGTTGACTCAGCCTGTATGTACGTGTGTTGAACTTCGTTTGCGCCACCGTACGTAGCCAACCGTGCTCATCGGAGGTGCGGGGGAAGGACAACAAACTAAAGACTAAAAGCAATTCTAAAGCAATGAGTTTCCAATATTGATTTAAAAGTTCACAGCTCCAGTGGTTTCCCCATATAGAAAGGAAGAGCGTTCCAGACGGCCGCAGAAGCGCATCCGAAAGCACGCAATGCAGTGGCCGTCCTCTGCGGTCGATAAAATCAGTACCGCTTTGTTGGAAAGTCGACAGCGGTTGTCATATTAAACCCCCCCACCTCTGCCATAGGAATGTGGAATTTCCTTTACTTGTTCTGTAAGGGCTGTAAACGGATGTGCACCAGTAAAGCCTCAATGCTCATTTGAGTCGGAACCCACAATGACTATTTTTTACACGCTTTCATTTAACTCACTCTGTTGTTGTCGTTGTATCCTCAAATCTTGTAACTAATTTTTAACCCACTTCTCAATGTGGTATCGACTGCAAACTTGGTATACTTATGTCATACTGATGACAATACTATATTCTATCATAACATTTAAAAAATATATATTTTTAAACATTCTTTTTTATATGTTATGTTTCGGCTTGGGTCTTATTGTCCACGGTCAGCTGACGTTGGCTGTAATTGGCAACGGTCCCTTACGTCGTGGCAAGCTTCGGGCCCACTTCCTGGAGTCGTGGAATTCTTCCATTACTAGTACATTTCATTAAAGCGTATTTTAAAAAAAAGTTTTTTTAAAAATGTTACTTATTACTTTTGAGTTGGTCCGATCCAAGGATAAACTGACCCAGATCAGCCAGGATCAGTCCACTGCTGGATGAAGGCTACCCCAAGCCTCCAAAAAAACATAATCAAATTACAGGGACTGTACTTACGAACATTTGATTTACGAACTTTCAGACGTGCAAACAAACCTGGTCCGTATGTCCAGTTGCCTGTGAGGACCAAAGGTCGTAAGTTCAACCGCCGCGCAAATAGATGACGGTGGTGGCATCGACATCTGCAGAACGTGAAGCACCAGTGGCATCTGCATCTACAGTAGATTATCGATACTTTAAAGCCATTCCCCTTGTTTAGTGTGCATGCCGTACAACGTGTATGGAATCGACAGGAGTAAAGTTGGACTTAAGAACGAATCGACTTACAAACAAAACCTCTGGAACCTAACTTGTTCGTAAGTAGAAGGTTCCCTCTTGCTTTGAAGCTTTCGTGGCTGCAGGGATACATACTCTTTGGTTTTTTCGGTTTAGTCACGTAGGTAGAACATAAAATGAATCACGACGTTTCGGGCGCAAACACAAGCGTCCGTCATCAGGTGGGAGAGCCATGGTCTGCTGCTGAGGCAGACTGTTTTAAAAGGTTTGAAATGGCTGGAGCCCAAGGGTCATATCTTACTAATTGCTCACGTTAACATCACTAGCCCCGGCCACTTGTTTATGACCCTTGGGCTACACCCATTTCAAACCAAAGACAAGGTTCCCTGTTTCTGATGCTGCTGCTGCTGCGTTGGCACTGATGCACAAACAATACACCACGTGTGTGTGTGTGTCTGGCTTTAATGGTTGGCACAATAACAGCTGTGTTCATCTGCCAGTCATCTCAGTCAACCCATGGCACCACCTGGGGTGTCCCCCCGTGACCTCTTGCCAGCAGCGAGCCTTCGACGTCACCCACGGGGAATCAAACCCTCTTTACTCTTTGGTTCTTTCGGTAAAGTCACGTAGTAGGTGTAAAATAAAATAAATCACGACGTTTCGATTGCAACGCAGGCAATCATCATCAGGTGGGAAAACCACAGTAAGAACATTTTTATTTTTTTGTTCACACGCCCGAAAATGTGCACGTCACGGCCGCATTCACTTTAAGATGTTTTTCTTGTTCATGTTTTTGTTTTTTTGTTTATTGCGGTTGCACCCGATTCAAGAGCCGAATGGCTCACAGGGCTATACCAAATAAATGGAACTATGAACTATGTCTCTGGCGCGATGACGTCACGGCGGTTACCCTTGCGTCATCGTCATGATCTCAGTGGCGCGCCGATGATGTCATTAAGTCGGTCCGTCGTCCCTTGGATGCGCGAGCGATGACGTTGCGCGGGGCGGGGCAGGGGCGGGGTTTTTGCCCCGCCCCCCTCGAGTGGCGGAAGTTGTCGCGGAGTCGGCCTGGGCCTCGCTTCCGTTCGGAGACAGCGGAGACGGCGGAGGTAGCGGCGGAGGCGACGCGGAACAACCAACCCCTGATCCCAGGTCCTCATTCACATACCCCCCCCCTCCTTGATCCCAGGTCCTGATCCCCCCCTTGGTCCGCACCCCCTGATCCCAGGTCCTGATTCACACCCCCCCCCCCCCTTGATCCCCACCCTCCCTTGATCCCCACCCCCTGATCTCAGGTTCTGATTTCCTCCCCCTTGATCCCAGGTCCTCATTCACACCCCCCCCCCTCCTTGATCCCAGGTCCTGATCCCTCCCCCTTGGGCCGCACCCCCTGATCCCAGGTCCTGATTCACACCCCCCCCTCGATCCCCACCCCCCCTTGATCCCCACCCCCCTTGATCCCCACCCCCTGATCTCAGGTTCTGATTTCCTCCCCCTTGATCCCAGGTCCTGATCCCCCTTTGATCCACACCCCCTGTTCCCAGGTCCTCATTCACCCCCCCTTGATCCCCACCCCCCTTGATCCCCACCCCCTGATCCCAGGTCCTGATCCCCCCCTCCCCCTCTTGATCCCCACCCCCCGTTGATCCCCACCCCCTGATCCCAGGTCCTGATTTCCTCCCACCTTGATCCCCTCCCCACCTTGATCCCCTCCCCCTTTTTGATCCCTCCGTTTTCCCACCCGGTATCTCCCAGGGCCCGATCCCTCTCTGATCCGCCCTGATTTCACTCCCGAGTCTACACCCTGATACCACGTCCCGATTCTGTTGCTCATTCGTCCCTTCCCTCCCTCCCTCCCCTCCCTCACCTCACCTCCCTCACCTCCCCTCCCCTCACCTCCCCGCACCTCCCCTCCCCTCACCTCCCCGCACCTCACCTCCCTCACCTCCCCTCACCTCCCCGCACCTCCCCTCCCCTCACCTCCCCTCCCTCCCCTCACCTCCCCTCCCTCCCCTCACCTCCCCGCACCTCCCCTCCCCTCACCTCCCCTCCCTCCCTCACCCCCCTCCCCTCCTTCCCTTCCCCTCCCTCCCCTCCCCTCCCTCCCTCCCCTCCCCTCCCTCCCTCCCTCCCTCCCTCCCTCCCCTCTCCTCCCTCCCTCCCCTCTCCTCCCTTCCTCCCCGCACCTCCCCTCCCTCACCCTCCCTCCCTCCCTCACCCTCACCTCCCTACCCTCCCCTCCCCTCACCCTCCCTCCCCTCACCTCCCTCCCCTCACCCTCCCTCCCCTCACCCTCCCTCCCCTCACCCTCCCTCCCCTCTCTCCCCTCACCTCCCCTCCCCTAACCCTCCCTCCCTCCCCTCCCCTCACCTCCCCTCCCTCCCTCCCCTCCCCTCACCTCCCCTCCCTCCCCTCCCCTCCCTCTCCGCCCCTCCCTCCCCTCCCCTCCCTCCCCTCCCCTCCCCTCACCTCCCTCCCCTCCCCTCCCCTCACCTCCCTCCCTCCCTCCCTCCCTCCCCTCCCCTCACCCATCCCTCCCTCCCCTCCCCTCCCCTCACCTCCCCTCCCTCCCCTCCCCTCACCTCCCCTCCCTCCCCTCACCTCCCTCCCTCCCCTCCCCTCACCTCCCCTCCCCTCCCCTCCCTCCCCTCCCCTCCCCTCATCTCCCTCCCCTCACCTCCCTCCCCTCCCTTCATCTCCCTCCCCTCCCCTCACCTCCCCTCCCTCCCCTCCCCTCCCCTCACCTCCCCTCCCCTCCCTCCCTCCCCTCCCCTCCCTCCCCTCCCCTCACCTCCCCTCACATCACTCCCCTCACATCCCTCCCCTCACATCACTCCCCTCCCCTCCCTCCCCTCCCCTCACCCTCCCTCCCCTCCCCTCCCCTCACCTCCCTCCCCTCCCCTCACCTCCCTCCCCTCCCTCCCCTCACCTCCCTCACCTCCCTCCCCTCACCTCCCCTCCCCTCACCTCCCTTCCCTCCCCTCCCTCCCCTCCCCTCACCCTCCCTCCCCTCCCCTCATCTCCCTCCCCTCACCTCCCTCCCCTCTCACCTCCCTCCCCTCTCCTCATCTCCCTCCCCTCACCTCCCTCCCCTCCCCTCACCTCCCTCCCCTCACCCTCCCCTCCCCTCCCCTCACCTCCCCTCCCCTCCCCTCCCTCCCCTCCCCTCCCCTCCCCTCACCTCCCTCCCCTCCCCTCCCTCCCTCCCTCCCCTCCCCCCCCCTCCCCTCACCTCCCCTCCCCTCACCGCCCCCTCCCCTCACCGCCACTTCCCCTCACCCCCACGTCCAGTTCCTCTTGCGTCCCCCTCTGCCGCTCGCAATCCTGCACCCCCCCCCCTCTATCCCCCTCTGCCCCCCCCCCCTCACGTACCCTGGAGCCCGCTCCCCCCCCCTCTCCCCTTCGCGCCGTCATCGTGGATGGATGCGCTACAGGGAGGGGGGATCTACAGAGGGGGGGGGGCTACAGAGGGGGGGGGCTACAGAGGGGGGGTTACAGCGGAGGGGGGGTTACAGCGGAGGGGGGCTACAGAGGGGGGGGGCTACAGAGGGGGGGGGCTACAGAGGGGGGGGCTATAGAGGGGGGGGCTACAGAGGTGGGGGGGCTACAGAGGGGGGGCTACAGAGGGGGGGCTACAGAAGTGGGTTGGGCTACAGAGGGGGGGGCTACAGAGGGGGGGGCTACAGAGGGGGGCTACAGAGGGGGGGCTACAGAGGGGGGGTTACAGCGGAGGGGGGGGCTACGGGGGGGGGGGCCCACTGCCTCCCTCCACCCCGGCCCTCCGACGAGAGGGCCCCGTGAGGCGCCCTCCCCCTCCCCCCCGTGAGGAAGGCCCTGGGCTGCGAGAGAGGGGGAAGGCCGAGGAGAGTTGTGGCCCCGCGGGAGTGAGGGACGCGGGGCTCAGCCTCCCTCCTTCCCTCGTCCACGCCCCTGGCCGCTCCTCGCTCGGCACCACTCCCCCACGCGCTCCATCGCCGACATTCCACACTCACCACACTAACACACTCACCACACTGTACTCCTCACCACACTCTACTCACCACACTCACCACACTCTACTCACCACACTGCGCTCACCACACTGTACTCACCGCACTGTACTCACGCTTGTCACACTGCACTCACCACACTGTACTCACACACCACACTGCACTCACCACACCGTACTCACCACACCGTACTCACCACACTGTACTCACACTCGCCCCACTGTACCCATACTGCACTCACACGCTCCCCACTACTCACACTCACCACACCGCACTCACCACACTGTACTCACCACACTGTACTCACACTTGCCACACTGTACCCATGCTGCACTCACACGCTCCCCACACTGTACCCACATATTCACCACACTCTACTCACACACTCACCACTCACACTCCAAACACTGCACTCCCACACTGTACCCACATATTCACCACACTCTACTCACACACCACTCACACTCCTACACTCCCCACACGGTACTCCCACACCCACTACACTGTACTCACACACTCCCCACACATTCTGGCGAATTGCCCGATGATGCTGGATGTAATTACCAGCGAAACGTCGTACTCAAACTGTATATGTTGTGGATTCACTCTTCAACACACCGGTGGGCTAAAGTACTGAACTATTTTGTCTTTTGTCAACGTGACACTTTTTTTCTGATTGGCCGTGTCGGGTGGTGGAGGGTTACGACACATTTATACATAACGCGATCTAACCCAAAACCTTTAATGAATAATGAATGAACTCCCCACACTGCTCACATTCGACACTTCCTACTCTCACCCCACACTCGCACCCCACATCCCTCGCACCTCGCTACATTCGCCCTACACGCAAGCTGCTTCTTTTTGCGTGCGTTTTTTAGTTTGTTGTCTTTAACCCCGCAGCTGCGATCAGCCACGCACGGGCGCGAAAGAGGTTCATCATGCGCCACCCCCCACCAACCCCCACCAAACTCCACACAACTCCCGCATTTTGGAACGCCGACGCTCCCGCGCACCGCACGCCGCTTCTGCCTCCTTAGCGGCGTGCTGTGAGTGCGGCTGCACGGTGGCCGTAGGGCGCAGAACATGAAAGCGAAACGCAAAATGAGAAGAGGGCTGGCAAAGCGCCACGGACGCGCGGTTTGGGGGTCAGGGCGAGTGCGCGGGGCTGGTGCCGTGGTTGCGGCCGTGTGGCTGCTGGTCGGGGTTAGCGAGATGGCTCCGGGGGTGCTGGTGGCTCCTTTGGCTCCTTGGTTCGAGGGGGGAGGGGGGTTTAAGAATCGAATGCGGGGCCCGTTTCTGATGTTTGTGTTGAACTTCAATTTGCGCCCACACGTAGCCAACCGTGCCAATCGGACGACCCACCGAACACAACAACAGGAAGCGGTTTTAATGTGAGGGCTTTCTCTGTTGTTGTCTGGTTTGGTCCGTGAGAGGGCGTGTGTACAAGTAGCTGGTTCTGAGTAGAGCAAACCGGCACCAGCAGCTTCAGCCGCGGCGGCATCTTGATCCGGTTAGATAGGGCTATACCGTTCGTTCTTGGCTGTTGTTGCTGCAACCCACGCGTCTCTGGTTCCCCCTTTGCAAGGCATCACCTCGTCAATCTCTGCTGTCCACAGCCCCCCATCCCCGACCCCGCTGCAAACTTGCGGAGTAGCGTGCTCCCAACTCTGTGACTCCACAGAGGTCGTCCCGCACGCCCTCAGCGATGAGGCCGTGAGCGCCGCTCATCTCCCTTCAATTACGTCAGGCGTTCTCGTCTTCGGCGGGCAACGCTCCCGTAGGCCCTGCATGACCCGGCATGTATAATCCTCGGCGGAATCCTGGCGTGCGTTTAGGCATCTGGTATGCGGAAGCCCGCAATGCCTCCCGCTCCTGCCTCTGGCGTCCCCCCAATCTCACCCCTCCCGGGCCACTCCCCCACATGCCGATCCCCATATCCCCCCGTGTCCCGCTGCACATGGCGCGTGCGAGATGTGTGTGAGCAGCGGCGGCTCCATCGCAGATGGAGGAGGCACTGTGCTCGCCAGTACCCCCAGGGCGTCCCGTGAGCCGTCCCGTGAGCCATCGCCACAAAAGTCAAACTCAAGTAATTTCCTGCCCATTGAGGCACTGGTGCTTCTCTCCTGGGCCAATGGTGGAAATTCCGCATTCCTACGGCGGGGGCGAGTCTCGCCAACAACCACTGTTGATTCCCCCCCCCCCCCCCCCAAAAAAAAAAAAAAAATCTGTACTTGTTTTTTCGACCCCGAACGGATGATGGGCTGAGTCAACCGCCCCAGGCAGGATCGCAAGTTGAGTGGCTCGCGACGTTTCAATTTCAGGCCGCTCGCCCGACCGCTGAGCCACCGGGGCTGTACAGGCTGAAGTGATCCAGGGTGGTACTGTGAAGTGATGTTACTGACGATTGATGGTGTTGGCAGCGATCGTCATGGTGAGAGTTTTATCAGTGGATGGTGATAATGAAGGTCGTGATCTGTTATGCCCTACGATTTCACTTGGCAATGTGATGAGTGTAATGATGGTTATATTGGTGATCGTACTGTATTGATGATGGTCATGGTGGTATGGTAATATTCGTTATAGTGGTGATTGTAGTGATGATGGTGATGACAGTGATGGTGGTGATGGTATTGATGGTGCTATGAGTGACGTTGGTTGCGGTAGTGACGATGGTTATAGTTATCTTGATGGTAATGGTATTGATGTTGACGAAGGTGTTATGGCGGTGATGGTCGTGACGATGTTGACCATAGCGACGGTGATGGTATCCCCCATGTCTCCAGCTCCGTGCGGAGGAGAGAGAGAGAGAGCCTCCACCCCCCCGGTCGTCATGGTGACCCGACGAGGTTTTTGCTGGAAGAGCTGACTCGGTCGTCGTTGCTGCCTCGTCCGCCCGCCTTGTCCCCGACGCGACGGCCGCCCTGCCCTGCCTCGCCCTGCCTCGCCCGTCGGCTGCTCTCTCAGCATTCCAGTCTGGCGACGCCTCCCACCGGGGGTCGCATTTTAACTCGGGACTCGGCGAGGACGCGTTCAGAGACGACAGCTCCGGTGTTCCGGGGAGCTTAGGACGAGCCGAAGATGTTTCCGAGCTTCCGCAAGGACAAGAAGGAGAAGGGAGAGAAGGGAGAGAAGGAGCGGCGCAAGCGGGGAGAATCCCAGGCGGCAGCTCCTGCCATGAGCCAGCAGGACCTGCAGAGGTGAGGCCGAGTGTACGTGTGCGCACGTGAGTGCGTATGTAGGGGGCACAGGCGGTGCGTCGGCCGGTCATCTCAGTCGACCCATGGCACCTGCTGGGTCTGTCCCGCGTCATGCCAGCGAGTGGTCGACACTTCACCTGGCCTTAGCGTGCGCATAGATTGGCACAAACCTCGTGGTGACGTCACCGCCACTTGGTGACGAATGGCGGTTGTTGTTGTGTATGTATGTTGAACTCTATACGCACGGTATGTAGCCAACCGTGCTTATCGGATGTGTGGGGAAGGACAAACTAAACACGCAAAAAAAAGTGAGGTTAGCGGTGGCCCAGCGGTTAGCAACGCCGCACTATGCACCCGGCGACCCTAGTTCAATTCGTGGTCGCGGCCACCAAGAGCCAGTGACGATTATCCGAACTGGTCCCGGGCCTCCCGGAAGTCGACGCAGCCTCAACAGAGTACCTGGTGAGATCTGTAAACATCACCACGAGAGAGACCTTCCCCAGCACCTCGCACAGGCTAAGGGGTTAACTTTGTACTTGTGCGAGTGAGTTGAGTTTTTTGCGTTTGGACGTATGTGTTTGCGTCTGCGTGCGTGCGCGCTTGCACATTCGACAAGTTTGCGTGCTCATTGTGTCGGGGAAGTTGTGGCCCACACTGCCTGCATCGACGTCCGGTCTCCCCCTCCCTCCTTTGCGGGGAGGGCGGTGCCGCCCCGGCGATGCCGTGACGACCGACGCCGTGACGACCGACGCCGCGTCCGCTGCCAAAGGAGCCAACGGCTTGGAGGAGTTTGCCGTGGACGTCCACGCTGGGATGGAATCTGTGGAAGGGGGGGGGTGCTCTTCGCTTCACACGCGGAGAGTTGGCGGCCTTGCTGCGTGTTTACTTCTCGGTCTGCGCGCCGTGCGTGCTCCCTGCGTCACCTCGCAGGCTCGAGGAAGCTGGACTGAAGAGGGGCTTCTTTAATCTGACGAGGTCGTCGCGCCGAGGGGAGAACTCCTCCTCCACCTCCTCGTCATCGTCCTCCATCTCCTCGCAGCAGCAGCCGCCGCTGCAGAACAATCGCGATTCCAAGGTGAGATCAGAATAATTATTGATACTGGAGGAATCCGATGAGCTACAAAGCTCTTCTTCACAGATGCCCAGGAGGGGCTCGGCGCCCGCGAGAGTTGCGACGATGCAGTGGTACTGCGAATGACAATAAACTAAACGATTTTATTTTACCAGGTAAAGCCCACTGAGCGATCTACATAGCTCTTTTTCGCAAGCATCCTGGCCACAGACGATAGCTCAACGAAGTGGCTAATCATGTGGAAATTTATAGCGGCAGCCAAATGTATCCATGGTCGTCGTATCGTTCGTTCGTGTGAAATATCGTCGCGCCGTGAATTTTCGTTGCCGCTTGAATATTTTTTAACTCGTGTTGTTCGTTAAACTATTTCCGCCCTTGACGTCGGCCGTCTCTTGTCATGGTTGTGCCTCTCCCCGCATCTCCGCCTCTCTCCGCACCTCTGCTCCTTTCACCCGTCACGCTTGCAGGGGTTCGAGGATTCCAACGAGGGATCTGGCAGGTACAAGCCCCACCTTTCCATGCACACCAAAAGCACCACCACAAGCACCACCACCACTACAACAACAGCAACAACCACCCTTACGAGCATTACTATATTCCTACTACTGCAACAAGCACCCTTGCTATCAATACGGTAACCACCATCGTTATAATCACCTTCACTATTACCATCACTGCCACCATCACTTTGACCGTCACTGCCACCGTCACCGCCACGATCACCATTACTACCACTGTCGCCATAACTGCTACCACCACTGTTGCCCCAGCCACGTCCTGCAGAGAGCGTCGGTGTTTGGCGTGCTGGCGCCCAAGCGCGCATCTTGGACTCGAAAGGAGGAGGCTGCTGCCCAGCCCTCGATCGGTAAAGCTCGGCCGAGCCTCCGGCGGCCGGACTCGGTCGACGCAGCCCAGGCTGACGCGGCGCCGCCCTCGGCGGCGGGTGCTAGCGGCGCAGGCTACGCCGCGCAGGGGGCGGTGACCAGGACAGACGTCCCGCTGATGGCGACGAAGCCGGGGCCGGCTCGGAAGGAAGGCCCGACTCCTGCACCGAGAGCAGGAGATGGAGCGGCCCGGCCCAGCGCTCCAGCGGAGGTGACGCGTTCGCTGGCGCACTGCAACGTTACTGCTTTCCGGACCTCCTCCACTCCCCCCCCCCCCCCCCCCCCCCCGCCGAGGGCAATTGGATTTTTGGGGGATTTCCGAGGGTGTACATGTGTTCCAATGGCAAAATGTATCTCTGCAAATAATAATAACGATAGCGATGTCGTCCGATGCCACTTGACGTCACTTCTGGAGGGCAGTGGCAGCGGCCGGCGGTTCCGTGACGGTGGGCGACGATGGTGTGTACGCCACGCAGGTGAGTTTTCCGGTGCCCGCGTGCCGGGAGAAGGAGCTGGCGCTGCCCGTGCCGGACGTGCGCATTACCCCGGCGCTGCTGCCTCCCCGGGACATCACCCTGCACCGCCGCCCGGCCGGAGACTTTGGCTTCTCGCTGCGGCGCGCGTACCTCGTGGGGGCCAACGGGGAGCGCAGCACCGTGCACTACGCCGAGCCCGGCGCGCGCGACCCGCCCGTCTCCACCGCCGCGCACCCGGCCGCCCCCGCTTCCGCGGCGAACTCTGCACCCGAAGGTGACCGCCGGCCTCGCCGCGACGTTCGCCCTGTGTTCGCCCCTTGCAGTTGAGATTCGCCAGGAACTGCCGGGTGGCTCGAGAGGTCGGAGAGACGCTGAGCCAACGCCGCTGAGATCCTGGGTTTGAATCCAGGTTTCGGCCACCTGTGATTGAGCCAGTTACCGAAGTGCAGTGATTTGATGGTCTCGGTTTGACTGTCATCCAGTAAACTTTGCTCTCATATGCAGAGCGAGTGTGAAGTGTTGCCCTCTGCCGTGTGTGTCTGTATGGACCAAAGTCGCTTGAAGGGATCTCAGAGGTACGATATGTGCTTCTGTGCGCCATTTGTTACTACAACACGAAGGTTCCTACCGTCTCTGCGAGCTGTCCGAGAGATAATACTTGGAGACGCGATGCCGGTAGCGCAACCGGGATAAAGTTTGGGAATAGTGACGACAACAACCCAAATATCAATGAAGAATCGGTAGCTAACACCACCACCACCGCCGGGGTTGCAGGTGGCGCGTGGCAAGCGTTGCTGCCAGGTGATCGGCTGTTGGCGATCGACGAGGTGAGCGTGGAGGGGCGTTCGCGCGAGGACCTGGTGGCCGTGATCCGCGCGGCTGGGACGCTCATCACGCTGCGCGTGCAGCCGGCGCCGGAGCTGTGTGAGATCGCGCGCTGCTGCCTCGACATCCCCGACAGCGCCAGCGCTCGCAGAGCGGACGAGGTGAACGCTGCGAGGGTGCGGGGAGGGGGGCGGCCGCGGTGCTGCCCGCGTGTGTGTGAGTTCGCAAGCTTTCCTCTGTGCGAGTTCACGTGCTCTTGTGCGCGTGTGTCAGTTCACGTGCTCTTGTGCGTGTATGTGAGTTCACGTGCTCTTGTGCGTGTGTCTGAGTTCACGTGCTCATGTGCGTGAGTTCACGTGCTCTTGTGCGTGTGCGTGAGTTCACGTGCTCTTGTGTGTGTGTGCTAGCTCACACTCTCCCGTGTGAGTGTGTGTGAGCTCACACACTCTCCCGTGTGTGTGTGCGAGCTCACACACAAGGAAGCCAGTGCCAGGTGCATTATGGGACGCTTGATGTGTGGTCTCACCCATAACCCATTGCTGGCCAGCCTTCGAAAATCCCTGGCTGTTTTTCCTTAGCCAGGATTCATCCTTGTTCTGCTTCACTAATTCACTTCCTGTTTGTGTTCACAGTAACGCTAGCTTTAATTTCAACTCGCCGGTGAGTCAGCCGAAACGGTAACAATTGGCGCATCGTTAAACTTTTGTTTGCGTGACTTAAGACAATTTGTTTGGCTGTGCGTCGGGTGGTGCAGGGGTTGATAATGACACAAATTTACCCGGACCATTACGTGGCCCGACCCAAAAATCTGTTCGTAATAGTAATAATAATATGGTGGTGCTTGTAAGCCAAACTGCAGCGCTTGGCATTTTAACATCTCCGATCTCGGGCACAAATCTATCGAGCGCTGAAGCCGATCGGCCGCTGGCTGTCATCTCTGCTAGACGAGCGCGAGCGGACGTGGCCTGGCTCTTGCCACGAACCGAGCCCCGGTTCCCCCCGGGACCGCAAGCAGTGCTTTAAAATCGCTTCCTCTCTCTCTCTCTCTCCCTCTTGCCTCTCCCCATCTCTTTCCTGCACTCCCTCTCATAACACGGAGGCTGCGCAGACGGGCTTCTGTCGGCTCTCTGCCGTGTGTGCTCGCGTCACTTCCTGGCTTGTAAGTGTGTGTGTGTGTGAAGGCGTGTAATGATGTCGTTACCATTTCTTCTGCACCGTCAAGGTTCCGTGTGTCCGTGCGTGCGTGCGTGCATGCATGCATGCATGCATATCCGTGCATACGTGCATGTGCGTGCGTGTGTGTGTTTTTAATAGGGGGAGCGGTGGTGCAGTGGTCTGCGCACCGCGCTACGAAACCGCAGGCCCGAGTTTGATCCCCGCTCTGTCGGTGGCGAATGTCTGATCCAGTCCTGGGCCTCGGCCTGGATCGGGCCTCAGCCTGAATTGAGTACCCGGTGCGGTGTAAAACATCAGCACTGGGGAGACAAAGGCGGCCAGTTGTGGTTCTGGCCACACCTCCCCCACGTGCACCGTGCCGGCTTTCATAGGTGCTCGCTAACAGCACTTGCCCCAACAGCCTGAAAAAGGCTACATGGGGAGGGGTCTTTGTTGTGTGTTTGTTGTTGTGTGTACGTTGACGCATGTCTGTGGCCGTGTGTGTGTGTGTGCGCGCGCAGGCTGGGGGGGAGCCCGCCTCTGGGGGAGGGGACCGCGTCTGGGTTGTTCATCAGCAAGGCTTCACCCTGGGTGAGTCTTCGTGGCATTCATGGCTGCTCTGTAACAAGCATTTTGTCCCAGAGGTCCGTTAATTGCTATTCGGGGGTCCTTTGGCTGTGCGTGTGTGTGTGTATATGTCACTGCTCTGGAGAGCAGTGAGATATAAACATACACGCTACGGACCCGGTGACCCGAGTTCACGGCCAACACCGGTGACGATTAACTGAACCAGTTCTGGGCCTCCCCTAGGTTGACTCGGCCTCAAACGAGTACCTGGTGTTGCGTGTAAACATCGACCACTGGGGAGACAAAGTAGGCCGGGCGTGGTGTTGTCCACCCACCCCTTCGTGTGCCGTGCCGGCCTTCATAGGTGCTCGCTAACAGCACTTGTCCCAACAGTGTGTTAAGGCGATACAGGAGATCTTTGTCTTTATTTATTTTTCGCTGTGTGCGCATGAGCAGCGCACATGCTGGGCCCTGCGGGCGAGGGCCGGGTCCGCGTGCGTCTCGATCACAACGGCTCCACCGTGGAGGTGGACGAAGATGATCTGGAGAAGGTGACGGGCACACGGGGGCGCAGGGACACCAGGACGCTTGGATGTGGGGAGACAGAGGGGACGCGGGTTCCTAGCGTCACCATATTAAGGGGGCGTGGTGACACGGGCGGTGGGGGAGGGGCATGAGGACATGTAGACAGTGGGACATGTGAATACGAGTGCAGTGGGACATGCGAACACGAGGGCATGGTGACAGCCACAGGAGCCACATGAACACCGGGACACTTGGATATGGGAAACGTGGGGACGTGGGGACACGGGAACATGGGAATACAGGAACAACGTGGACCGTGCGACTGCTGCGATAGTGCGTGTGTTTGTGTGGCTCTCGCCGTGTGTTTTGTAACGATTATGGCTGCTGTTTTTGCTACTGTGTGACTACTGTGGCTGTGTGCGACTGTGTGTCTGTGTGTTCATGTTTGTGCCTGTTGTGGCTCTGTGGAAACTTTTGTGGTGGTGGTGGCGGCGGCGGTGTCGACGGCGATGCAGGCGTCGCCGGAGAGCTGGGACCACTCTCAGGACGTGTCGGGCCTGCATTTCCTCAACGAGAGCTCGGTGCTGCACACGCTGCGGCAGCGCCATGGCAACGGCCTCCTCCACACGCGCGCCGGCGAGCACCTGGTGTGCGTGCACCCGGGCTCCCTCACACACACCTACTCCGACAAGGTGAGTTTTGCGCCCTGCTTTGCCAGCACACGCAAACAACCCCAGGATATATACACACACACCCCACCGGATATGTACACACACACACACACCCTACAGAATACACGCACATACACACACACCCCACCGGATATTCACACACACATCCCATCGAATACACACACACATCCCATCGAATATACACACACACATCTCACCGGATATACACACACACCCCCCATCGGATATTAATACACGCACACCCTATTGAATACACACACACACACCAGACACACATACACCACACACACACATTCACCACACACGCATACACCCTACTGGACCCACACCCCACAGGACACGCACACATCACGCCACACCCCTCACATCATCCACACACACCCCTCACATCTTCCATACACACCCCTCACATCTTCCATACACACCTCACTTCACCAACACCATTGTGACTCACTCGCACTCACCCCCACCTCAACCAAACTCGCCCACATCTCAGAGAAGCTTCGCGTGGCCACTCGCGTGCGTTGGCGGCGCTGTCAGGGGGGCCTACGACCGTCTAATCCGCTGCCTCTGTGACCCCCCGACCCCCTCCACCCCCCCCCCCACCCCTCCCCCTCGCCCCCACTGCCGCCGCTTGGTGTAGGTCATGCACCTGTTCCGCAGCCTGGGCGGCGAGGACCCCCCGCCGCACCTCTTTGCGGTAGTACGGTCCGCCTACCGCACCATGCTGGCCTCGCGCCGGGACCAGTCCATCGTGTGCATGGGGCCGGTGGGGTCGGGCAAGACGACCGCGCTGCAGCACGCGGCGCTCTGCACCATCGTGCTTGCCAGCGGCCACAGCAGCATCACAGGTGGGGCGACGGCCGCCACGCGTTGGGGGTGTGCGTGTGTGTGTATGTCCGCACGTCTCCGCGTGCCTTGAGTGTCTCTGGGTGTGTGTGTGTGTGTGTATAGTTGGCACAGTAGGGGGGCACAGGTGGTGCGTCGGCCAGTCATCTCAGTCGACCCGTGGCACCTGGGTCTGCCCGTGACCTCCTGCCGGCGGGCGTTCGACTCTTCACGTGGCCTCAACGTGCACATGGCCTGGCACAAAGCGCCGTGGTGACGTCACCGCCGCTTAGTGGCGAATGGCGGTTGTTGTTGTTGTGTGTATATGTCTGTGTGTCTCCACGTGCCCGAGTGTCTCTCTGTGTGTGTGTGTGAGTGCAGCGGAGCGTCTGCAGGCGGCCTTCACTCTGCTGGAGAGCTTTGGCCACGCGGCTGTGAGCGGCAGCCCCAACTCGTCGCGCCACTGCAACATCCTCTCCTTGGACTTCGACGCTGCCGGCGCCCTGGCCAGCGCAAGCATCCAGGTCTCACAGACGGTCGCGCGTGCACGCACGCACGCAGCACGTGCGTGTGTTTGGGGAGTGGGAGGAACGGTTGTTCAGTGGTTAGCGCGCTGCGCTATGAAGCCAGTGACCCGAGTCCGATTCCCTTTCACGACCGATAACAGTGGCGAATATCTGAACAGGTCCTGGTTGCCTCCTCTAGGTCAACCCGGTGTATGAACGTCAGCACTGGAGAGACAAAGGCGGCTAGGGTGTGGTGCCGGCCACTCGCACCTTCGTGTGCCGTGCCGGCGTTATAGGCGCTTGCCAACAGCACTTGCCCCAACATTGTCAGGCGGTGGGGTTGCACTTGGGGTCCATCAGCCAGCCATCTCGGTCAGTTTACCCAATACCGCCATGATGCGTCACCACTTCACGGGACCTGAAAGTGCCCCCTTACCTTGGCACAAGCGCTGCGGTCACGTCACCTGCCACTTAGTGGCGAGTTGCAGTTGTTGTTGTTGTCGCGGTGTCGTGCGTTGTACGCCGCGCGTCTCACCATGCCGTGCGTTGTTCCGCGTGTCGCCCGCGCAGGCCATGCTGCTGGAGCGGTCGCGCGTGACGCGGTGGCCCGCGGGAGAGGAAACCTTCAACGTGTTCCACCAGCTGCTGGCCGGCGCTGACTCGGCACTGCGGTGGGCGCACGCTCACGCGCGCTCGTTCACGCTCGTCCGCACTCGCACGCCGGGACCACTCGGGCCGGCGTTGTTTCATTAAAATCCAGAAAATTAGAAATGTAATCGATGAGAAACCGTTGGAAGTGCGGGCTGGGATACACATACATGCAATGTGGTGGTCACGTGGCATGCACGCAAGGCATGATGGGAGTTGGGCCTTCCTACTGCTGTTAGTCTAGTTTTTAGCTGCTGCATTCATACTCTGTGTATAAGCACTGTGTGTGAGTGTGTACTGCGTATGAACACTGTTTGTGAGTGCGTACTGTGTGTGAGCACTGTGAGTGCGTACTGTTTGTGAGCACTGTTTGTGAGTGCGTACTATGTGTGAGTACTGTTTGTGAGCATGTACTGTGTGTGAGTACTGTGAGTGCGTACTGTGTGTGAGTTCTGTTTGTGAGTGCGTACTGTCTGTGAGTTCTGTTTGTGAGTGCGTACTGTGTGAGCACTGTTTGTGAGTGTGTACTGTGAGTCCTGTTTGTGCGTGCGTACTGTGTGTGAGTGCTGTTTGTGAGTGTGTACTGTGTGTGAGCACTGTTTGTGAGTGTGTACTGTGCGTGAGTCCTGTTTGTGAGTGCATACTGTGTGTTAGCACTGTGTGTGAGTACGTACTGTGTGTGAGTCCTGTTTGTTAGTGTGTACTTTGTGTAAGCACTGTGTGTGAGTGCGTACTGTGTGTGAGTCCTGTTTGTGAGTGCGTACTGTGTGTGAGCACTGTTTGTGAGTGCGTAGTGGCTGCGGGTACTGCGTGTAGTACGAGTTCACTATTGAGTAGTGTTGCAGCAATTCTTGCCTTTGGCTACAAATTTCTGAAACATGGAATTTGAGCCTGTCCTGGGCCTCATCTAGGTCAACTCGACCAAAAATGAGAATCTGGTTAGGTCTGGAGACTGGCAACTGGGCATGATGTTTGCCGCATCACCCTCTTGTGGACAGACTGCTTGCCTTAATAGGTGCTCTCTAATAGCACTTGCCCCAACAGTCTGTTAAGGATATACGGGGGATCTGTGTCTTTGTGTGCATGCAATGGGGAGTGGTAGTGTAGCGGTTCGCGAGCTGCACTACGAAACCCGGCGACCCGAGCTCAATTCCCGCTCACGATCAATAAACAGCGGGCCTCCCCGAGGTTGACTTGGCCTTAAACGAGTACCTGGTATGGTGGTGTGTGAACATCAGCACTGGGGAGACAAAGGCGGCCGGGCGCGGCGCCGGCCACCCTCCCCTTCGCGTGCCGCGCCGGCCTGCGTAGGTGTTACTCGCTAACAGCGCTCGCCCGCCCCCAACGGCCTGTTCAAGGCGATGCGGGTGACCTTTGTCTCTGTACCGTGTGCGTGCGTGCGTGTCATGGCGTGTTGCAGTTCAGAGCTGAGCCTGCACACGCTGAGCGAAGACCACGCGTTCTGCATCAATCCCCCACACAAGGTACCTCTGCCCCTGCCCACCCCTCTCCCCGCCCCCCCCCGCCCCAACACCTAATAATTACCTATTTACCCCAGAAAACCAAACTAACTCTGTAGATACTTTTTTTTCCCAAGATGGCCCTCCCAGTATTGGGATGCTCGGCCAAACGCCTGTGGCAGCCGTGCATGTGTTTTAGCTTTGGTGGGGAAACCAGAGAGGCCGGAGACAACAGCGGGGGGAGCAAGGTACAGACTCCGCGCAGAACGGCTCCCGAGTCCGAGGTCGTTTAACCCAGGCCCTCCTTGCTGCGGGGCACGTGGGGTTGCCACGGTGCCACCCTGCCACGGGAGTGGGCAGAACCCGCCCTCTTTATTTCTCCCTGATTTTCCGCGTGGTTGGGGCGGTTACGTTGAAGCGGTCGTTGTGATTGAGCCGTTGCGTGCGTGCGTGCGCATGTGTGTTGAACTACTTTCGCACCGTGCGTAGTCAACCCGCGCTAATCGGAGGTGCGGCGGTTGTGGCGGTGTGGTTGTGGCGGTGCGCAGGACGAGCGGACGAGGCTGTCTCTGCAGTTCTCGCGCCTCGTCACCGCCATGAAGCTGCTGGGCTTCTCGGCCGAGGAGCAGAACGGAGTCTGGCGTGTCCTGGCGACCATCTACCACCTGGGCGCCTCGCACACCCTCAGCGGTGCGCCACCTCGCCCTCACCTCGCCTCACCTAGCGCACCTCACCTTGCACACCCTCAGCCGTGCATGGTGTCTGTGCGCCGCATGGTGTCTGTGTGTGCGTGCCGCATGGTGTGTGTGTGTGTACCGCATGGTGTGTGTGCATGCAGCAAGGTGTGTGTGTGCACCGCAAGGTGTGTGTGTGTACCGCATGGTGTGTGTGTGCACCGCAAGGTGTATGTGTACCGCATGGTGTGTGTGCACCGCAAGGTGTGTGTGTGTGTACCGCATGGTGTGTGTGTGCACCGCAAGGTGTGTGTGTGTACCGCATGGTGTGTGTGTGCATGCCGCAAGGTGTGTGTGTGTGTACCGCATGGTGTGTGTGTGCACCGCAAGGTGTGTGTGTGTGTACCGCATGGTGTGTGTGTGCACCGCAAGGTGTGTGTGTGTGCACCGCAAGGTGTGTGTGTGTGTACCGCATGGTGTGTGTGTGCACCGCAAGGTGTGTGTGTGTACCGCATGGTGTGTGTGTGCATGCCGCAAGGTGTGTGTGTGTGTACCGCATGGTGTGTGTGTGCACCGCAAGGTGTGTGTGTGCGTGCGTACTGCATGGTGTGTGTGTGTGTGCGCCACATGGTGTGTGCGTGTGTGCGCCACATGGTGTGTGCGTGTGTGCGCGCCACATGGTGTGTGTGTGTGTTGCGTATTGTGCGTGCAGAGGCTGCGTTCTCGAGCTCAGAGTCCGCTCACCGTGCTGCTGCAGCTCTGGGCTGCGCAGTTGACCAGCTCACGGAGGCCGTCTTCGATCACAGCGGTACACCCCGTGTTACGGCACACACGGCACACGCAGCCTGCAGTATACGCCGCCAGTAGTACCTACAGTACACACAGCACCTATACAAAATCACGCTTTGATACACACACACAGCATGCCCATAACGTTAAACACAGACCAACATGTACGCACACTCCACAGTGCTCAGACGTACACACGGTCTACACACACTCCGCACACACCATGTCCAACAAGAACCTCACACCGCACAGACCGCTCCGTCTCGGCGCGTACGCTGCACGCGTTAGACGCCCGCGTCGCTGTTCACACCCACGTTCGCGCACTTTCGGATGCGCTTCTGCGGCCGTCTGGAATGCTCTTCCTTTCGACATTAGGAAGCCACTGGAGCTATGCCATTTCTAAATCGTCATCTAGATCAGCGGTCCCCAACCTTTTTGGCACCATGGACCGGCTTCGTGGAAGACAATTTTTTCACGGACTGGGGGGGGGTCTTCATCATTGGGTCTTTTCCCCTTTTCAAAGAAGCTCTCCAGCGACGTTTGTTTTTTACTCATTGTGGCTACTAGGGGTTAACTTGTGGGCTTGACAACACTGTGACTGAGAGGAGTGCGCAGTGCGGGAAAGAGGCGCGGGCGGAAGTGGTAAATAATAAAATAATTGGCGGGCCACGTGCGGACTCACCGCTCTCACCTCCTGCTGCTGTGCGGCCCGGTTCCTAATAGGCCACGGACCGTTACCAGTCCGCTGCCCGGTGGTTGGGGACCCCTGCTCTAGATTAAAGACTCTTTCTTTAGAACTTCCCCCACACCTCCGATGAGTACGGTTGGCCGCGTGCGGTGCGTAAGAAGTTAAACATACGTACATGCGTTAGCCTTAAATGAGTGCCTAGTGCAGTGTGTCAACATCAGCGTTGGGGGCGACAGAGACGGCCGGGGCATGCTGCTGCCCACACCACACACCCTCGCACGCCGTGCGGGGCGTTCATAGATGCTCGCTATCCCCAACGGTCTGTTGAAGGCTACACGCGGGGGCGTCTTTATGCTACGCGGTGCGTGTTTTCGTAGGGGTGAGGCTGCCCCCGCAGGACTGCGTGGCCGGGCTTGCGTCTGCCCTCTACGGAGAGCTCTTCAACATCGTCGTCAACATCATCAACCGGTCAGTCGGCCTACACGACCATTCCCTCTCCCCCCCCCCCACCACAGCCCCCTCCTATCCCCCTCCACTTGCCTCCTTCATCTTCTTAAGCCCTTGCCCGGCTATCCGTTGTGAATTATTTGTAAAGCGCCTTATGTGAAGGCACTATATAAATTCCGTTAAGGTAAGATACCGCGTCGTGCTGGCTCGGCACGGACCCAGCACGGTTCGCATGTGCAAGTGGAAAAAGAGGAATAAATGTTGGGCCGCATTCAAATTAATGGACTATACCACAGGGCAGGGCTTAAGCTAAGAAGGTCGGGCTCTACTTGAGATGCCTGCTGTCAAAGCCTGGAATTCCTTCCACTGACCTCGTGCACTCCGCCGAATACCAGCTGGGGACGGGCTCATCTCGATCGTTCACTTCGCGTCCATCGCGGCCGTGCATGGGGGGGCTCGGTGGACGGAGCTACAAAAGCGTGTGGCGCCCCCCGCAGGTCGCTGCGATGCGCCCCCCAAAACACCGTGTCCTCCTTGATGCTCGTCGACGCCCCGGGGTGGCAGACGCCTTCCACGCCCGGCGGCTCGTCCCCCGGGCCCGCCGGCGCCCCCCCGGGCCACGCCAATCACGCGGCGGAAGCGGCGCGGTCGGCGCCGCGCGCCGCCACCTTCCAGGAGTTGTGCGTCAACTACCTGCAGGAGCGGCTGCTGGAGCTGTTCCGCGAGCGCACCGTGGACTCGCAGGTCCGCACCTACCGGCAGGTGAGAACGAGCGCTCCCCGCGCACCGCACGCACCGCACGCACCGCACACACGCGTGGCAGTTGGTACAGCTCGTTCGGTTCCAAGTCTTTAACGCTGTGCCGCCGCTAGCGCCGCCGCCGCACGGCGTTCGCTCACGCTCCGAGAGAGAGACGGAACGACCCAGAGGTGTGGGAAAGGCAGCGGCAGCAGCAGCAGCGGCTGCGGCGACGCGGTGAGCCGGCGCTTCACAACAACTGGCCAAGCTCTGCAGATTAAGGCGGTCCTCTATAGATGGAGATGTTTTCAACCAACGAATGCAATTTTTCCCCTCCGTGTTTTAAAGGAACGCGTGTGGCAATCCGGTAACTCTTGAGGTGCGTCTAACGTCCCGGAGGGTCTCAGAAACCCGGAGAATACGGCGATAGTGATGAGTGTCAGTGTAACGTGGTGTCGCGGTGTGTGGTGTGTTACAGGAGGGTGTGGAGGTGTCTGTGGAGGACCTGGACTTGTCTGCGCCAGCAGTGATCGCTGCCATTGACCAGCCGGCTAGCCAGACGCAGGTATTGGCGCGTGCTGCTGTGTGTGGTGTGCGTGGTTGGGTGAACACACGGTAGTAGTGTGTAGACACGGTGGTGGAGTGTACACGCGGCGGTGGTGGCTATGGTGGAGGTGGTGTTGGTGTGTACACGCAGTGGTGGTTGTGGAGTGTACACGTGGCAGTGGCACAGTACTGGTGGTGGTGATGGAGTGTACATGCGACAGTGGTACTGGTGGTGTGTACACGCGGTGGTGTTGGCTGTGGTTGTGATGGTGTGTACACACAGTTGTGGTTCTGGAGTGTATACGTGCTGGTGGTAGTGGTGATGGTGTGTACACGTGGTGGTGATGGTGTGTACACGTGGTGGTGGTGATGGTGTGTACACGTGGTGGTAGTGATGTTGTGTACACGTGGTGGTGATGTTGTGTACACGTGGTGGTGGTGATGGTGTGTACACGTGGTGGTGGTGATGGTGTGTACACGTGGTGGTAGTGATGGTGTGTACACGTGGTGGTGATGTTGTGTACACGTGGTGGTGGTGATGGTGTGTACACGTGGTGGTGGTGGTGATGGTGTGTACACGTGGTGATGGTGGTGGTGGTGATGGTGTGTACACGTGGTGGTGGTGGTGATGGTGTGTACACGTGGTGGTGGTGACGGTGTGTACACGTGGTGGTGGTGGTGTGTACACGTGGTGGTGGTGGTGGTGATGGTGTGTACGCGTGGTGGTGGTGGTATGTACGCGTGGTGGTGGTGGTGATGGTGTGTACGCTTGGTGGTGGTGGTGATGGTGTGTACACGTGGGGGTGATGGTGTGTACGTGTGGTGGTGGTGATGGTGTGTACGCTTGGTGGTGGTGGTGGTGGTGTGTACGTGTGGTGGTGGTGATGGTGTGTACGCTTGGTGGTGGTGGTGATGGTGTGTACACGTGGTGGTGATGGTGTGTACGTGTGGTGGTGGTGGTGATGGTGTGTACGCTTGGTGGTGGTGATGGTGTGTACGCTTGGTGGTGGTGATGGTGTGTACGCGTGGTGGTGATGGTGTGTACGCGTGGTGGTGATGGTGTGTACGCGTGGTGGTGGTGATGGTGTGTACGCGTGGTGGTGGTGATGGTGTGTACACGTGGTGGTGATGGTGTGTACATGTGGTGGTGGTGATGGTGTGTACATGTGGTGGTGGTGATGGTGTGTACATGTGGTGGTGGTGATGGTGTGTACGCGTGGTGGTGATGGTGTGTACGCGTGGTGGTGATGGTGTGTACGCGTGGTGGTGATGGTGTGTACGCGTGGTGGTGATGGTGGTGATGGTGTACGTGTGGTTTTGTTGCTGTGCAGGCACGAGGAGGAGGGGGTGGAGGAGGCCGTGCGGAGGAAGCAAAGGGACTGCTGTGGCTGCTGGACGAGGAGGCCATGATGAACACCTCGTCTGACGAGGCCGCCATGATGGAGAGGTTCTTCACGAACTTCGGCAGCGAGAAAAGAGGTGAGGACGATATCGGTGATTCACTATCATAGGCGTGCATACTCTGTGTGCGTGTGTATAGTGTGTGCGTGCTGGCTCTGTGTGTGTGTGTACAGGCGGGTGTCTGTGTGTATATAGCTGACTGTGCTGTGTGTGTGTGTGTATATAGTTGGGTGTGCTCTGTGTGTACAGGGGGGTGTGTGTCTGTGTGTGGTTTAGGGGGGAGCGTTCATGTAGCGGTCAGCGCGGTGCGCTACGAACCCGGCGGCCCGAGTTTGATTCCTGCTCACGGCAAACACCGGTGATGGTGATCTGAACCGGTCCTGGGCCTCCCCTAGGTCGACTCAGCCTCAAATGAGTACCTCAGTACCAGAGAGACAAAAGCGGCCGGGCGTGGTGTTGGCCACCCACTCCCTCGTGTGCCGTGTTGGCCTTCATAGGTGCTCGCTAACAGCACTTGCCCCAACAGTCTTTTAAGGCTACACGGGGGATCTTTATTTTCTTTGTCTTTGTATATAGCCGGGTGTACTGTGTGTGTACAGGCGTGTGTGTGTACAGGCGTGTGTGTGTATATAGCCGGGTGTACTGTGTGTGTACAGGCGTGTGTGTGTGTACAGGCGTGTGCTGTGTGTGTGTACAGGTGTGTGTGTGTATATAGCCGGGTGTGCTGTGTGTGTGTCTACAGGTGTGTGTGTGTATATAGCCAGGTGTGCTGTGTTATGTGTGTACAGGCATGTGTGTGTGTATAGCCGGGTGTGCTGTGTGTGTGTGTACAGGTGTGTGTGTGTATATATAGCCAGGTGTGCTGTGTGTGTGTACAGGCGTGTGTGTGTGTGTGTATGTGTGTACAGGCGTGTGTGTGTATATAGCCGGGTGTGCTGTGTGTGTGTGTGTACAGGCGGGTGTATATGTGTGTGTGTATAGCCGGGTGTGCTGTGTGTGTGTGTGTACAGGCGTGTGTGTGTATATAGCCGGGTGTGCTGTGTGCGTGTGTGTGTGTACAGGCGTGTGCTGTGTGTGTGTGTACAGGCGTGTGTGTGTGTGTGTATATAGCCGGGTGTGCTGTGTGTGTGTGTGTACAGGCATGTGTGTGTATATATAGCCGGGTGTGCTGTGTGTATGTGTGTACAGGCGTGTGTGTATAGCCGGGTTGTGCTGTGTGTATGTGTGTACAGGCGTGTGTGTATAGCCGGGTTGTGCTGTGTGTATGTGTGTACAGGCTTGTGTGTGTATAGCCGGGTGTGCTGTGTGTATGTGTGTACAGGCGGGTGTGTTTGTGTGTACAGGCGTGTGTATGTGTGTGTATAGCCGGGTGTGCTGTGTATATGTGTGTACAGGCGGGTGTGCGAGGCGGGTGCCCGGTCACCCCCTGCTCGTGTCTCTGGCCCACGCGGACGGGGCTCACCTGGTCACGTACGACACGAGGGGATGGATCAGCCAATCACGCGCTGCCAGCCAGTGTGGGCAGAGGGCAGGCAGCCTCCTCGCCCACACGTCGAGGTGACGCACCGCACCACCACCGCAACAACCACACCCACCGTTAGCCACGGTGTCGTCGCGGCACTCAGTGCCCTGCTAGGTCCACAACTTCACGCACACCACGGTGGGGGGCGGTGGGAGGGGGGGGGGGGAGGCGGGGGCGACCTCGCGCGGGTTTTATGCCCTTGCCGGGAGACGACGCCGGTGTGGTGCCACGTCTCGGCGCGCGCAGGAAAAGCGTCGGCGTTCTCCTGGGCGGGCGCACCGGCGGCGCCGTGCTGTCGGGCTCCGTCGCCGGCCTCGGCGGCGCCTCGCAGCCCGCGCTGCGCCGCGCCACCAGCGTCCGCAAGGCGTTCAGCACGGGGCCCGGTGCCGCCCGCAAGAAATCGGCGCCCATACAGGTCAAGCTGCAGGTGGTGAGTGGCGCACCGCACCGCCGTGCGTGCAGGCTGTGGTGGTACCGAAGGAGAGCGCGATGTTGCTACCGTGTGCGTGCGCGTGAGTTGGCACAGCTGGGTGCACAGACAACAAGACAACTCGACACGTTTTGTCAATAACACCACGTGTGTGTGTGTGTCTGGCCTTAATGGTTGGCACAGTCGGGGAGTAACAGCTGAGTTCATCTGCCAGTCATCTCAGTCAGTCAACCCATGGCACCACCTGGGTCTGTCCCCCGTGACCTCTTGCCAGTGATCCTTCGACGCTTCACTGTGACCTCAAAGTGGTAGCGCCATCGCCACTTGGTGGCGAATGGCGGTTGTTATTGCTGTTGATCCCACTTGAGTCATTTGCAGTGTAATTGTTTAAAATTTGGCAAATTTGGACCGTGACAGCTGCACACCAATGGCCTAATAGAAATTTTTGGGTTAGAGCGCGTTCAACTTGCCACCACCATCCGAGACAGCCAATTAGTAACGTTTGTCACATAAATGAAACATGGAAATTCGATGCCTTATGAATTGGCTGTTTTGAGTGGTGGGTTGCGGGTTTAAGGACACATTTACATTTACGAAATCTAACCCAAAAACCGCGCTTATGGATAATATTGGTCGCGTGAAACTGGCCAATGGCCTTCTCTTGCGAGTGAATGTCGGCTGTGAGTGGAAGCAGACGACACGTATTATTATGGTTAACAAGGGCAGTCTGAACACTGACCGCAACCTTCGCCGGAACGTCGTCGTTTTCGTCGGCCCGAGCATCAAGCCCTCTCGAACGTTTGTCGAACTCCGACCCCCGCCCGCACCGCGTACGCGGTGTTCACGTTGCGTGGGCGTGCGTCCGTTCGCGGCGTTCGTGTGGTGATCTCCGTCGTTCGTGTGTTGATCTCCGTCGTTCGTTTGGTGATCTCCGTCGTTCGTGTGGTGATCTCTGTCGTTCGTGTGGTGATCTCCGTCGTTCGTGTGGTGATCTCCGTCGTTCGTGTGGTGATCTCCGTCGTTCGTGTGGTGATCTCCGTCGGTCGTGTGGTGATCTCCGTCGTTCGTGTGGTGATCTCCGTCGTTCGTGTGGTGATCTCCGTCGTTCGTGTGGTGATCTCCGTCGTTCGTGTGGTGATCTCCGTCGTTCGTGTGGTGATCTCCGTCGTTCATGTGGTGATCTCCGCTCGCTCGTGCGTCCGCGTGTCCGCGTGGCGATGCAGGAAGCGCTGGTGGAGACGCTGCGCCGCGCGCGCTCCCACTTCATCCTGTGCCTCTCCCCGTCGCCGAGCGTCGACGCCACCGCCACACAGGTGTGTGGGCACGCACGCGCGTGAGCGGGCTGGTGTGGGGCGAGGGGTGCTGGCGTGGGGCGCGAGGGTGCCGGCGTGCTGCGCGTTGTGACGCCGTGCGCTCTGCTGCACAGGACGTGGTGGTGCCGTGTGACATCCCGCACCTTCGCACCCAGCTCCGGGCGTCCCGGCTCATGGACGCCCTGCGTCTGCACCGGCAAGGTGATCGAGCTCGCCCACACGGATACTAAGACGGAGGTGACCCCGTGTAACCTTCGTAGACCGCTGGGGCAAGTGCCGGCCGCAGGGCCCCCCCCCGCGGCGCTTGTGCCCGTGTCCTCATGGGGCACGCGCTGGTGTCGTGGTTGTGACGTGGCGCTCTGGTTGTGCCGCGCTGGTGCCAGGTTTCCCGGAGCGCGTCGACTGTGCCGAGCTGCGCCGCCGTTTCTCCGTCCTCGCCCCCCACCCCTCCGTGCCCGACGAGGGGGTCGTCACCGATGAGAAGAAGGTGATCGCTGGCGGTGTGCTGCAGTGGTGTGTTGTAATGGTGTGCTGCAGTGGTTGTGGTGTGGTGTAATGATGTGTAATTGGTGTGGTGCGGCCGGGGCGTTGTGCAGGCTGTTAAAGACTTGTTGGAGCAGTTGGAGCTGGATCGGAGCAGCTACCAACTGGGCCACACCCAGGTACAGAACCACGCAACCACTCTCGCAGCCACACTGTGTACGGTGTACTGGAGGTACGGGGTTCATGTAGATCACTGTGGTCTCTCGTACGGAGTGCCGTATAGGTCGCGTGCTCGTCTGCCTGTGCGGGATTCATATCGATCGATTGGTGCGCGCCATCTGCGTGGCGTATGGCCACGAAGATGTGTGCGCCGCGCGCGCTTGGCGCACGTGCGCTTGCCGTGAACCGCGTGCGCGTGCCGTGAACCGCGTGCAGGTGTTCATGCGGGCGGGCGTGCTGCGCCGGCTGGAGCGTGAGCGGGAGCACCGAGTTGGCCACAACATCACCCTGCTGCAGGCCGCGTGCCGCGGATACCTGGCCCGCGTCAAGCACAAGAAGCGCAAGGTGTGGGTGCCGCGCTCGCCAGTTGCGGTGCGGTGTTGTGAGTGTTGCGGTGTTGTACGTAGCGAGGGCGGTGGGGGGTGGGGGAGGCGGTTGTCTGTACGTTGTGTGGTTGCAGTTGTGACGTCGCAGCTTTGGTGTAGTTACGCGGTGTTCGGAATGTGGCCCAAAACGTGGTGGCGGTGTCGCTGTGGATTGCTGGCGGTGCTTTCACGGTAGTGCGGTTGCAGTGGTGTAGTTACAAGTTACGGTGGAGGAGTTACGGTTGTGGTGGATTGGTCACGGCTGTGGTGGTGCTGTTACGGGGGTGGCGGAGTGGTTGCGGTCGTGGTGCGGTTGTGGTTATTGTTGTGGAGCAGGTGCGGTTGTGGTGGAGCGGTGACGGTCGTGGTGGTGCGGTTGTGGTCGTGGTGGTGGTGTAGTTGTGTCAGCGGTGGCGTGGTGGTGGCTGTGAGTGCAGGTGCAGGCGGTGGCGATCCGCTGCATCCAGCGGAACGTGAGGAAGCAAGGCGCGGTGCGCGACTGGCTCTGGTGGAGGCTCTACACCTACGTGCTGCCCCTCGTGCATGTCAACATCACGGAGGAGACGCTGCGCTCGCGCGATGTGAGTGACGCGGGGAAAACAGGAAACAGAGACACGGCGGGGGACACCTGACTCGGGGAAGCATAGACGCAGGGACACGGGCACAGAGCTAGTGAAAGTGGACATCTGCGAGAGAGAGAGGGCTTCATAGCTCATCGGATTCCTCCAGGATAAGTAACTATTCTGATTCTGAAACGTGGAACACGGGCACATGGGGACACGGTCCAAAGCGGACACTGCGACACAGCAACAAGTGTCAGAGCCTGTGGCCAGGGCCGCCCAGTGGTGGCCGTAGGCCCGGGGCGGAATAAAAAAAAATATCTAAAAAGCGAGGCCCCGGGGCAACTTGCTCCCGGACACATTGACTCGTGGCGGGGATACAAGACACGAAGATTGATTCGAGAGCATGGGACAGAGAAGTAAACAACACCGAGACAACGGGGGAAAACCGGGATACAGGGACACCTGGCAAGGGCTCGAGGGAGACGCTGTGTACAGACGTAGACGCCGCGCGTGGACACTTGAGTCACGCAGTACGTGCCCCCCCCCTCCCGCCTTCCCCCTGCTACTCCCTCCCCCCCCCATGCAGGATGAGATCCAGCAGCTGAAGAGCCGCCTGGAGAAGGTGGAGAAGGAGCGGAACGAGCTCCGTGTGGTGACAGAGCGGCTGGAGGGGAAGGTGTGCGAGAACGCGGGGGCACACGGGCACATGGCGGGGGGGGGGGACAGTCAGTTTAACATGTAGTAGGCTTTCGCGACCAATATCATCCATAATACAGGTTTTTTTGGGTTAGATCACTTAAACAGAACATGTCAGTTCGTCACTCGTACAGCACACCAGTGTGCTGGAGAGCCACGCCACAACATTTACAATTTGAGTACGACGTTTCACCAGTGATTACAAATACTGTAGCTTCATCAGGCGATAGCCAAATCTGGCTTGTAATTCCTATTCTGTTTACGTGACAACCCTTACTAATTGGCTGTGTCGGGTGGTAACGGGTTTAACGACGCAGTCTAACCCACAAAAGCCTGTGTTATGGGGGAGACAGTGTTGCGAGTGGCTGGGTGTGTGAGTGAATAAGTGGCTCAGTGAGTAAGTGGGTGAGTGAGTGAGTTTGCTTCCTCGCTTTTCCCTTGCTCGGTCCATTTGAACTCCTCCTTTGAGACCACGTTCTGAGACGTTTGTGCCTTAAGGGCTCGTCGTTAATGTAAGTTGCTTCTGCTGCTGCTGCTGTTAATGCCGTCTATGCGCTGTGCCGCATGCGTGCGCTGCACGTGCACAGGTATCGGAGCTATCCGCCGATGTGTCGGACGAGCGCGGAGCCTCCGAGTCGGCCAATCAGCTGCTGGAGACGGAGACAGCTGACCGGCTGAGGATGGAGCGCGAGAACCGCGATCTGAGGGTACGTGCCTGGCTCGCACGCGGACGAGCCACGGTGCAGTGGACGGACACAAAGTGTAATTGAACACTGCCGGAAAGTGTGTGATGGTGTTTGCACGATGGTGTGCGATGGCCAGTGGTGTTGGCCACCCAGGCCGTGCTGGCCTTCATTGGTGCTCGCGAGCGACGGTGTGTTGGTGTGTGTTATCGTTGTGGGGCGTGTGTGTAGTGGTGGTGTATGTGTTTGTGTTGTGGTGGTGTACGTGTGTGTTATGGTGGTGTATGTGTGTGTTTTTTAACGTGGTGGTCATTCTGCGTGTGGTGGTGTATGTGTGTTAACGTGGTGGGATGTGTGGTGTTTGTTATCGTGGTGGTGTGTGTGTGTTATCATGGTGGTCTATGTGTGTGTGTGTGTGTTATCGTGGTGGTCTATGTGTGTGTGTTATCATGGTGGTCTATATGTGTGTGTTATCATGGTGGTATGTGTGTGTTATCGTGGTGGTGTGTGTGTGTTAACGTGGTGGTCTATGTGTGTGTGTGTGTTATCGTGGTGGTCTATATGTGTGTTATCGTGGTGGTCTATGTGTGTGTGTTATCATGGTGGTATATGTGTGTGTGTTATCGTAGTGGTGTATGTGTGTGTGTGTGTTAACGTGGTGGGATGGTGGTGTGTTTGTTATGGTGGCGGGATGTGTGGTGTATGTGTGTGTTATCATGGTGGTCTATGTGTGTGTGCGTTATCGTGGTGGTGTGTGTGTGTGTGTGTTATCGTGGTGGTGTGTGTTAACGTGGTGGTCTATGTGTGTGTGCGTTATTGTGGTGGTGTGTGTGTTAACGTGGTGGTGTGTGTGTTATCGTGGTGGTGTGTGTGTGTTAACGTGGTGGTCTATATGTGTGTTATCGTGGTGGTGTGTGTGTTATCATGGTGGTCTATGTGTGTGTGTTATCGTGGTGGTGTGTGTGTGTGTGTTAACGTGGTGGGATGTGTGGTGTGTTTGTTATGGTGGCAGGATGTGTGGTGTATGTGTGTGTTATCATGGTGGTCTATGTGTGTGTGCGTTATCATGGTGGTGTGTGTGTGTGTTATCATGGTGGTCTATGTGTGTGTGCGTTATCGTGGTGGTGTGTGTTAACGTGGTGGTGTGTGTGTTATCGTGGTGGTGTGTGTGTGTGTTAACGTGGTGGTCTATGTGTGTGTGTGTGCGTTTTCATGGTGGTGTGTGTGTTAACGTGGTGGTCTACGTGTGTGTGTTATCGTGGTGGTGTGTGTGTTATCGTGGTGGTGTGTGTGTTAACGTGGTGGTGTGTGTGTTAACGTGGTGGTGTGTGTGTTAACGTGGTGGTGTGTGTGTGTTAACGTGGTGGTCTACGTGTGTGTGTTAACGTGGTGGTGTGTGTGTTATCGTGGTGGTGTGTGTTATCGTGGTGGTGTGTGTGTTATCGTGGTGGTGTGTGTGTTATCGTGGTGGTGTGTGTGTTAACGTGGTGGCGTGTGTGTTAACGTGTTGGTGTGTGTGTTAACGTGGTGGTGTGTGTGTTAACGTGGTGGTCTACGGGTGTGTGTTATCGTGGTGGTGTGTGTGTTATCGTGGTGGTGTGTGTGTTATCGTGGTGTTGTGTGTGTTAACGTGGTGGTGTGTGTGTTATCGTGGTGGTGTGTGTGTTATCGTGGTGGTGTGTGTGTTATCGTGGTGGTGTGTGTGTTATCGTGGTGGTGTGTGTGTGTGTGTTAACGTGGTGGTGTGTGTGTTAACGTGGTGGTGTGTGTGTTAACGTGGTGGTGTGTGTGTGTTAACGTGGTGGTCTACGTGTGTGTGTTAACGTGGAGGTGTGTGTGTTATCGTGGTGGTGTGTGTGTTATCGTGGTGGTGTGTGTGTTATCGTGGTGGTGTGTGTGTGTTATCGTGGTGGTGTGTGTGTTATCGTGGTGGTGTGTGTGTTAACGTGTTGGTGTGTGTGTTAACGTGGTGGTGTGTGTGTGTGTGTGTTAACGTGGTGGTGTGTGTTATCGTGGTGGTGTGTGTGTGTTAACGTGTTGGTGTGTGTGTGTGTAGGCCCAGCTGGAGACTGTGCGCCGGCAGCTGGAGTCAGTGTCGAGTCTCCAGTCACGGCTGCTGGAGTCGGACGTCACGGGGGGAGACGAGGGCGGTGACGACGACGATGACGCGGGTACGGAGCAGGCACACGTACGCGTGCGTGCGTGCGTGCTTGCGATTGTGAATGAGAATCGGCGAGTCTCTGCGGTGTGTGGCACGGCGTGACGTGGCGTGGCGTGGCGCGGCCAGGGGTGGCGTGGAACGCGCGCCTCGCGCGCGTCAAGCGCGACGCGGAGCTGGAGCGGCGCCGCCTGCAGCAGGAGGCGGAGGAGCAGCTGCAGGCCGAGACGCAGCTCCGGCGCCAGCTCGAGCGCAAGGTGAGAGGGGGAGATGCGAGGATGGGTCGGTGGGGGGGGTGGGGCAAACGGCGGGGAGACGCAGGCCCGCTCGTCACCAGCACTCGCTTTGTCAAAAGCTTGTCGGTGGCTACACAGAGGGGGGGGGGATCTTTGTCTCTCCGTGGCCCCGCGCGCTAGATGGCGGACGTGCAGGCGGACGGCGAGGACATGGAGCGCGCCCTGCAGCAGGCGAAGCGTCGCGCCGCGCGGCTCACCGCCGAGCTGCAGGACACGAAGCTGCAGGTAGACGCGCTGGCGGCGCGCAACGCCGAGCTCGAGAAGAAGCAGCGCAGGTGCAGGGCGACCTCGGGAAATCGCTCGCAACCGCGGGAAATCACTCGCAACCGCGGGAAATCGCTCACAACCGCGGGGAATCGCACGCAAACGCGGGAAATCACTCGCAACCGCGGGAAATCGCTCACAAACGCGGGAAATCGCACGACCGCGTTCGACCGTTCGCAGCTGTGTAACTGCGTGCAACGTGCACGTGTGACCATTCGTAAACGTGCAGCCACACGAGACCACGCATAACCGTGTAGCCATGAAACCACGTGTAGCCACGTGCAACCAAGGGCAACCACGTGTCCGGATGCAACCGTTTGTAACCATTCGACCACGTGCAACCATTCATAAATGGCTTGAAAGGGCTTGCAACCACACGTCGATGTCGCGATGCCATCGCTATGCGTGTGTAGATTTTAACATGACGATGGAGTGATCTAGTGAAGTGGTGATGCCGTCGCTATGCCTGCGTAGGCTTTTGACGTGATGATGTGGTGACGGCGTCGCTGTGCGTGCGCAGGTTTGACACGGAGCTGGCCCAGGCGCAGGAGGAGGCGCGGTCGGAGAGGCAGGCCCGTGAGCGCGTGCTGCGCGACAAAGACACCGTGGCCACGGACGCCCACGGCCTCCGCACGCAGCTCCAGGTACACGCGCTATGCCGCGCGGCGTGTGCCCGTGTTCGTCTCCGTGTCTGTCCCCGTGTGTGTGTGTGTCGTCGTTTGTGTGTCTTATGTCTGTGCCTCCGCTTTTGTCCGCATGCGTGAGCCTGCCTGTCTCCATGTGCGACCCGTGCGTGTGTCCACATGTCCCCGTGTCTGCCCTTGTCTGTGTCCCGGCTCAGTCTCCTTGTGTGTTCCTCGTGTAACCCGTGCGTGTCCTTGTTTCTGTGCCCGCGTGTTTACCCGCGTCTGTACCCCGCGTGTCCCCGCGTCTGTACCTCGTGTGTCCCCCGCGTGCGTCCCCGCCGACCGCTGCCCCCACCGTGCAGGACTCGGAGCTGCAGGTGGCGTCGCTGCAGCAGAAGGTGGAGTCGCTGGAGGCGGAGCTGGAGACGGTGTCGTCCCAGGAGTCTAAGGGTGCGCCCTCGTGTGCGCGCGTGCGAGAGTCGAAATAGTGAGGCGCACAGGTGGTGGGGCGCATCTGCCAGTCCTCTCGGTCAGTTAAATAACAGCTGGGTCTGTCCCGTGACCACCAACCGACAAGCCTCCGAAAATTCACGAGGCCTCCGATGGGACGTCGCCCTCACTGAGTGGTGATTAGCGGCCGTTGTTGATGTTGTTTTTTGTCAGACCGCGATGATGTCCCAGTCTCCAGTCGTCTGCATGATGTGCCCAGTTGCAGCTGCTAGGCATGGGCCTTCTGGGTGCGCCCTGGGTCCAGAGGGAGAATTATGCCCGTCTCGCTCCGATGTTAATTCCACGTAACCAGGAGTGGGGGATCTGGCCTGGTGGCTCGGCCAGATCGAGTTCAATTCCCGGTCGGGGCGGTTGACTCGGCCATCATCATCATCGTCCCTCCAGATTAGAGGATTGTCCCGGAGATTTCCTCGCTCTTGCCCCTTGGAACGTGGAATTTCCACCACTGCAAACGAGAGTGAGCACCGATCGCTCGGTGCTCGTTTGAGCAGCATGAAATCTCATCTGACCTTGTGAGTGGACCTTCCTGGAGAGAGGACGCTGATTGTTTGCAGGCTTCGATATAGGTTCCCCGGCCAACACGGCCGCGTTGCGTGCGTCCCGAGCGCTTTCCAATTCTGCGGCCGCGTTCTCCGGCCGCCACCCCGAAGGCCCGGCCCCCGGCCCCACGCTCCTGGCCGCTGCTCGATCCCCCGTCGCTCGCGTTTTGCCGACGCGTGCGGTTGTGTGGTTGCGGTTCGTGCGGTTTGCGGTCAGACGAGGCGTCGGTGGCTCGGCTGCGGAAGACGGTGCGGGAGCTGGAGAGCAAGACCAAGGAGCAGGAGGAGGAGTTGGACGAGCAGGCGGGGACCATCCAGATCCTCGAGCAGGCACGTCGGGGGCATGTGGGGGTCACGTGGGGGTCACGTGGGGGTCACACGGGGCCACGGGACTGAGGGGTCATATGGGGGGCATGGGACCTTGGGGTCGCAGGATGCGGTTACACTGGGTCATGAGGATCAGTGTGGTGTGTGGTGAGTAATTCCTGCGTGATGTATTACACACACGTGTGCGTGATGTGTGTGAGCTGTGGTGTGCTGCGCGTGGGATGTGGGGGTCTCGCCCGGCGGCGTGGTGCGCCGCGCGGGCTGCGGTGACGGTGGCGCGGTGACGGTGGCGCGGTGACGGTGGCGCGGTGACGGTGGCGCGGTGTGTGGTGGTGCGGTGCAGGCAAAGCTGCGCAGCGAGATGGCGCTGGAAACGCTGAGGCAGTCGCATCACAAGGACCTGGAGTCTCGGGACGAGGAGGTGGAGGAGACGCGGCTCGCCTGCCAGAAGAAGGTGCCGCGTCGTGCCAGCTCCGCTCTCCGGAGCGCGAGCAAATCCCTCCGTTACACTCGTTCGCCTCGCCCTTGAGCCTGCGTGCCCACACACAACGTGTGTGTGTGTGTGCATCTGCGTGTAGGCACACGCGCACAGCAGTGCGGCGGGTAGCACCTGCGATTAGCACGGTTGGCTGCGTGCAGTGTGAAAGAAGCTCAACATAGATACATTCGTGCATATGTAATGACGACTTGACACAAGTGTCTTGAGATGGCTTCTTTATTGTTGACACGTTCACTCGAACAGCCGGAAACCCCACTGCAACAGCCCCGAGTCTCCCGCGCATCTCCGTTATACACGGTCCGAGGCCACACACCCACATTCCCGAACCTTCTCGCTGGCTCTGGACGTTCGCTCCACCAGCAGACTCCACCGTCCTCTTCCGTCACCTGGCCGCGCTCCTATTCTCGATCATTCCCGTAGCCACCAATCCCTTCATACTGCAAGCTGACTCCCCTGTCATTACCTCCCGTGGCCACTAGTCCACTCACATCGCAGGTTGACTGTACTGTCATTACACAGCGTGCTGCGCAGACGAAGTCGGTGATCAGAGTTCGATTCTAGCTCACGGCCAACACCGGTGGCGATTATCTGACCTGGTCCTGGGTCTCTCCTAGGTCGACTCGGCCTTAAATCACCACCTGGTGCAGTGTGTAAACCTCGCCACCAGGGAGACAATGGTGGCCGTGTGTGGTGCTGGCCTCCAACCCCCTCGTGTGCCGTGTCAGCTTTCACAGGAGCTCGCTGACAGCGCTTGGCCCGACGGTCTGCGTCGACTGCACGGGGTGGGGTGGGCGGGGCGGGTGGGATCTTTGTCTTTGTTTCCGGCGCGACTGCGGACGTGCGTGTGCGGTCTGTGCGTGCAGCTCAGGCAGATGGAGATGCAGATGGACGAGGAGGCGGAGGAGAAGCAGAAAATCCTGAAGGAGCGGCGGGAGCTGGAGGCCAAGCTGGCTGCAGTTGGGGAGCAGGTGCTGGCGGCACTCGCACACACACGTACACGTGCACACGCGCACACGTATACGTGCGCACACCTGCACACACACACGTGCACACGCGCACACACACATGTACACGTGCGCCACAGGTCGAGAATCCCAGCAGGGGAGGGTCTTTGGTGCCGGAGCCTGAGGCCTTTGGTCGTCGCCGCTTGCACTGTGCCCGGGTGTCGGCACGCCGGTCGCGCTCAGTGGTGACGGGAAGTTTCCTTCGGGGCCGAGCCCTACACTGGTCGTGCGAGCCATGCGCTGTTGTGCCTGCTGTGCTGTGTATGCCAGCTATGTGGGGAGCGGTGGCGCAGTGGTTAGCACATTGTGCTGCGATCGTGGCCAACATCGATGTGACGAATATACCGAAGCTGTCCTGGTCCTCCTCTTGGTCAACTCGGCCTTAAACAACGAGTACCTGGTGCGGTGTGTAAACATCAGCACTGGGGAGACAAAGGCGGCCGGGTGTGGTGCTGGCGCCACCCACTCCCCCCCCCCCCCCTCCCCTCATGGGCCCCGCCAGCCTTCGTAGGTGCTCGGGAAACGGCACTTGCCCCAAACGTCTGCCTCGGGCTATACGGGGAACTTTGTCTTTGTGACGAGGTGTGGTGCCGGCCACCCGCCTCCACCAGCAACAACGTTGCTCCAGCAGTCTGCTTTCAAGACGCCAGTTGTGCACGCGCGGCTCACGCGCGCGGCTCGCTTGCGTCGCAGGTGAACTCGCGGGACGTGGAGGCCGAGCGGACGCTGCGGCTGGAGCTGCGGCGCACGCGGGCGCTGCTCTCCGACGCGCAGACGCTGTGCGCCCACCTCTCGGAGAAGAACTCCTCCCGCAAGGAGGTGGCCACGCTCAAGAGCCAGGTGGGCAGGGGCGGCGACGGCGAGGTGGAGGCGACGGCAGGGGCTGGGACGGAGGGGTGGTGGGTGGGGAGGGGTCAAGTTGCCCACCCCCCCCCACCCCCCCCGGTGAAGTGCGTTGCGGTGCACCGATGTGTGGAGCGGAGTCACGGGACGCGTGCGGTGGGGGGGGGTGGGTTTTGGTTGGGTTGTGGTGGAGCGCGTGGTGCGTGTGGTGTGCGGTGTTTGACGAGGCAGGAAGGCGTGTGTGGATGTGTTCAGGTTTGTTTGCCATCATCTTGTTCGCCATAGTACGGAAGTGGATTAATGTCCACCTGTACGCGGATTGAGTATCACCCCCCCCGCACCTCGCGTAGTAGGTGTGTGACGATGTGCGACCGATGTGTGACGACGGTGTGTTACCACTTGCGAGTTTGTGCGAAGATGTGACTGCGTGACGTACGCGTGACGTACGCGTGACGGCGTGCAGCTGGAGGAGGCGGAGCTGGCGTGCGCGGCGGCGGTGAAGTCGAGAAAGGCGCTGGAGAGGGAGCTCGAGGAGGCGGTGACGTCGCTCGACGAGGAGAAGAGGGCTCGCCAGCAGGTACCGGCTCCCCTCCCAAACCCCCCCCCACCCCGACCCCTGACCCCACCGCCCCCGCCCCGCCGCCGCCGTCATCGTACTGCACTCCGCTGCAGCATCTATGCTCCCTACCTTCACCAACCCGGATTGCAAAAAATCGAAAGTGAACTCCGGCTCAAATGAACATTGTGGCGGTGATCATCTCCCGTTTACAGCACTGAGCCAGTGGTGTAAATTCTGCATTCATATGGCAGGTGCCGGGTATGTCCGTAGGACGACGACTGCTGGCCGCCCATCTCCTCGTGTTCGCCACCTTGGCCTACATAGGTGCCGCTCGCTAACAGCACTTGTCCCAAGAGTCTTTTAAGGCTACGGGGGGTGGGGGGGGGTGGTATCTTTATCCTGTGCGTTTTGTGTGTAGCATGGCGGTTAGCGCGCTTTCACTACGAACCCGGCGAAGCGATTTCGATTCCTGCTCACGGCCAACACCAGTGACAATTATCTGAATTGCTCCTGGGCCTCCCCTAGGTAGACCCGGCCGCTCGTGTGCAGTGCCGGCCTTCATAGGGTGCCGCTCGCTAACAGCACTTGCCCCAACAGTCTGTTATAAGGCAAACGGGGGGGGGGGGAATCTATGTCTTTGCAGGCGGAGGAGCAGCTGAGCCTCCTGCAGCGGGAGGTGAACGAGCTGCAGAACCGCGCGGAAGAGGCCGAGGAGGATTCCACGGAGACGCTGCGCAAACACAAGGCGTTCATCGCGCAGGTGGAGCACGGTGGAGGGGGCAGGATTCGGTGGGGCACTGAGCCAATTACATCTTCCTTGGTTTCTCCTAAGACTCGGTGGTGGCCACAGTCTCCGGAATCTCTTCATCATTGTCATCAGCGTCAAGCATCCGGGCATCTCCTGCCGTGGTTTGTGCAGCGGATGCGGTTTAGGGGTTGCGTGCACGAGCTTGGTTATTTGTAGTGCTTGCCGTGAAGATGGTCAGAATCGTGATCGGAATATTTATTAATAACTGCAGGAGGCACGGGGTGAGAACGTTAGAAACAACAAACGATACAAAAACACGATTGCAGTGGAAAGTACAAGAGGGGTAAAGAAATCACTTAAAAATATATATTGGAATGCAACTAAACAATTTGTATCTCACCAGGTAAAGTCCACCGAGGTATTAACTTCTTTCTCAGAAGCGACCTGGCCACAAATGACAGCCCAACAATGTCCCTTGTCACGTGGAAATTTACCGCGGTCGCTGTGGCGCGCTAATGTAGTTGCCGTGGCGATGACGCGGTGGGTGCTGCTGCTGCTGCTGCAGGCTACGCAGGACGCGCTGCGGCTGGAGGAGGTGCGGGCGGAGGTGGACGAGGTGAAGAGGGAGCGGCAAGAGTTGCAGAGCAAGGTGAGCGCGAGGGCGGGGGGACGCAGGCCACCGGGGAGGGGGTGGTGGTGGGTGGCGGCTGGGGATGGTGGCCAGCGAGGTGGCGATGCTGGCAGTCATCGTGGTGGTGGTGGTGGTGTGGTATGTTGCATTGGTGAGGATGTATAAGTATGTCGAACTTAATTCGCAACGTACGTAGCTAACCGTGCTCATCAGAGATGCGGGGAAAGGACAACAAACTAAACACAAATAGCAGTTCGAAAGAAATGAGTTTACAGTCTGGATTTACAAGTGCATAGCGCCATTGGCTTCCTTGTCCGCGCAATCGTTGGTGGGAGCGAGCGCGATCGGTGAGCGTGGCAGCGCGAGCGAGCGAGATCGGTGAGCGTGGCAGCGAGGGCGAGTGAGCGAGATCGGTGAGCGTGGCAGCGCGGGCGAGCGAGCGAGATCGGTGAGCGTGGCAGCGCGGGCGAGTGAGCGCGATTGGTGAGCGTGGCAGCGAGGGCGAGCGAGCGAGATCGGTGAGCGTGGCAGCGAGGGCGAGCGCGATAGGTGAGCGTGGCAGCGAGGGCGAGTGAGCGAGATCGGTGAGCGTGGCAGTGAGGGCGAGTGAGTGAGATCGGTGAGCGTGGCAGCGAGGGCGAGCGAGATCGGTGGGCGTGGCAGCGAGGGCGAGTGAGCGAGATCGGTGAGCGTGGCAGTGAGGGCGAGTGAGTGAGATCGGTGAGCGTGGCAGCGAGGGCGAGCGAGATCGGTGGGCGTGGCAGCGAGGGCGAGTGAGCGAGATCGGTGAGCGTGGTAGTGAGGGTGAGTGAGCGAGATCGGTGAGCGTGGCAGTGAGGGCGAGTGAGCGAGATCGGTGAGCGTGGCAGTGAGGGCGAACGAGATCGGTGAGCGTGGCAGCGAGTGCGAGCGAGCGAGATCGGTGAGCGTGGCAGCGAGGGCGAGTGAGCACGGATGGTGAGGGCAGTACCGGGTGATTGGCGGTTGGCTTGGAGAGTGGTGGAGAATGCAGGGGAGTGGAGCGGCGGGCCACGTGGTGAGGAGCTGCTGATGCTGCTGCTGCTGCTTATGCTGCTGCGTGTGCTGCTGCAGGTGTCGGGGCTGGAGGGAGCTCTGCTGGAGCTGCAGCAGTCGAGCGTGGAGCGCACCGTCGTCGGGAGGCTGGAGGCTCGAGTCCGCGAACTCACGGCAACGCTGGACCTCGAACGCTGCTCTACGCGCCGAGTCGAGGTACTACGGGGGGTGTCTTGGATTCCGTGTGTGCGTGTTGTAGTGTACCGGGGAACGGTGGTGTCGTGAGTTGTTAGCGCACTGCACAATGCAACCCGCCAGCCAGGTTTTGAATATCGCGTTCTTTCCGATTGCAAGCCGCTCACTCTACCGCTAAGTACACGCCACATCCTGGCGCAAGTCCTGCTCCGATACCACCACTGGCAGTTGGCGATTGGGGCGACGAATGTGCGTGCGTACGTGTGTGCGCGCGTGCATCAGTCCCAGCTGGCGCGTTCTCGGGAGACGGTGGAGAAGCTCACGTCGGAGAAGGAGAGCGGCCCCAACGCGGAGCTCCGCCGTGGGGACACAGCCCGGGCGGCGCAGAGGCAGCTTAGGGAGCTGCGCGAGGAGGCCGCCGTCGCGGAGGACAAGCACGCGGACGCGCTGCGCAAGCTGGCGCACGCCGTGCGTGTGCATCCACACGCCCACACGCGCGTCGTCACGTCGCTAGCTCCCTCTTGCGAAAACGAGGCTCTCATCCCGGGTCCCTCTTGGGCTCTCACCCGCGTTAAACGAAAGCGACTTGAACCATCGTCAGTTGGGTCACGCCACTGCTGGAGGAATATCTTCGATGCGAGGTTGCTGCGAATGTCCACGGCGGAGGTGGTTTACGTACCTTGTCGTCCGGCGGCGCCTGCTGGTTTGGTATTTCGATGACCTGCTCCGTCCTTTACGAACGTTGGCGGTGGCCCCTGCGATTGGTCCCGGCGTTGGCGCCCCGCGTTCGCCGCTCGTCGCTGGGGTTCACGGTGGTTCGAAGCCAGCGGCCGCCCTGGTTGTTGCCGTGGTGCGAACGTTAACCATGGTAGTAGTGATAACAGTACGTGATGTTTGCTTCGCTAAGAATGAGAATATTTATGCTGGAGGAGGAATCCGATGAGCTGTAAAGCTCTTTTTCGCAGATGTCCAGCAGGGGCACGGTACAACACCAAACAATACAAAAACCCGATGAAGGTGCAAAGTACAGGAAAGTTTTTTAAAAAATCACTATAAAATATACAAATAAAACTAAACTATTGTCATCTTCTTCTTGGTTATTTCGGTAAAAAAATAAATTTTATTTTATTATGTTTTATTATTATTATTTTATTTCCATTCTACGTGACTTTACCGAAAGAACCAAGAAGATGAATCTCTGCAGTCACGAAAGCTTTAAATCTAAATTTATTGTCATCTTACCAGGCGAATCCCACTGAGGTATTAACTTATTTTTTCAGACGCAACCTGGCCACAAATGACAGCTCAACAAAGTGGCCTTTCGTCACGTGGAAATTTACAGCAGCGAAGTAATCTAAATGATCTCAATGCAATGTCTCACCTTGGGTGGCCGAGGCTATTCGACCACAGGAGCAGGCAGGGTGTAGAGAGAGGAGAGGGCCCTTACGTGTGAGCAACTGGCAATTCTCACCACCTTTGGGGTCAAGCAAGCCTGATTTGGCTGCTGACGAGACGCTGAATGTTAAAGCCGGTCGGGCGTTTGCTTGTGTTGAACTGATGCCGCTGAAATTGCGCAGTCTCAGAAGGCCGCGTGGCCGATGAGATGTGTACACGCGGAGGCACGGGCGTCTCAAGGGAGGTGTACTGTCTGCTCGCTCATCGTGTTTGTCATTGTGCGTATGTCAGATGCCATGACCATACTCCATCATAACCTCACGGCCATTGACCAGCAGAGATCGCCACGTCTGCTGAGACTCATTAATATTGCACAGGAGGCGGAGCTGGAGCGGGTGGAGGCGGCCAATCAGAGTGCGCAAACGGAGTTGAAGCTGGCTTTCCGACGAATCACAGAGCTGCAGGCAGCGCTGGAGGCGGAGCTGGGGAGTGACGATGGAGAGAGGTGCGGCTCCCTGACCCCTCCCCCATTCCTTTGGGTCCCGAAGTGACATGGCCCTGATATCTCTTGGGGTCCCGATCTCTCTGAATTCTGTCTCTGAATTCCTGTCTCTGAATCCTGTCTCTGAATCCTGTCTCTGAATCCCTGTGTGTGAATTAGGGCTGAGCGATTAATCGATTTCAAATCGAAATCGCAATTTGAAACAATGCGATTAGCAAATCGCAAAGGCTGCGATTTGCTAATCTGTCAGAAAAATCGCAATTAGATATTTTTCCCAAATCGTTCAGCCGGAGTGTGAATGCCCCCGTGTCTCCCGGTCTCTCCCCATGTCCTCGGTTTCTCTTACTGCCCCTGACCCCGCATCTTCAAGCCACAGCCCCTACCTGCATGGTGTGTCCATGGCTTCCCCATTTTAGCCACTATGCCCCCCACATTCTGAAACTACTCCCCCCCCACTCCGCCCCAAGGCAACTTCACCTTGTCCCTTCCCTCTCTCTGCTTTCCAGCCTCTACTCAAAACCTTCCTCTTCAAATCCTGTGCCTTGTTGTTCTTGTTGTGTAGCTGGATGTGGGGTACGTGCTGAGGGCGATGAGTGGCGGGCATGTGCGCGAGCGCCGGTGTGGTGTGTGTGCTGTGTATGTGTGGTGACAGCGACGGGTACGGGATGGATTCGGATGAAGACGGAGCCGAGAATTGGATGCCACCACGACGCGCACACAACACGTAAAGATTCTCACCACAATCTTGATTTGAAGCTTTCGTGACTGCAGGAATCCATACGCTTTGGTTCTTTCGGACGCTTGTGTTGCGCCCGAAACGTCGTGATTTATTTTTATTTTATACCTACGCGACTTTACCGAAAGAACCGAAGAGGATGTTCACCACGGTTGCACAGCGCCCATCCTGACCACACGACTCACCGCGCCTCTACCAACACAGCGCCCAACCTCACCACACGACTCACCGCGCCTCTACCAACACAGCGCCCATCCTCACCACACGACTCACCGTGCCTCTACCAACACAGCGCCCATCCTCACCACACGACTCACCGCGCCTCTACCAACACAGCGCCCATCCTCACCACACGACTCACCGCGCCTCTACCAACACAGCGCCCATCCTCACCACACGACTCACCGCGCCTCTACCAACACAGCGCCCATCCTCACCACACGACTCACCGCGCCTCTACCAACACAGCGCCCATCCTCACCACACGACTCACCGTGCCTCTACCAACACAGCACCCATCCTCACCACACGACTCACCCCACCTCTACCAACACAGCGCCCATCCTCACCACACGACTCACCGCGCCTTCTACCAACACAGCGCCCATCCTCACCACACGAACTCACCGTGCCTCTACCAACACAGCGCCCATCCTCACAACACGACTCACCGCGCCTCTACCAATACAGCGCCCATCCTGACCACACGACTCACCGTGCCTCTACCAACACAGCGCCCATCCTGACCACACGACTCACCGTGCCTCTACCAACACAGCGCCCATCCTCACCACACGACTCACCGTGCCTCTACCAACACAGCGCCCATCCTCACCACACGACTCACCGTGCCTCTACCAACACAGCGCCCATCCTCACCACACGACTCACCGCGCCTCTACCAACACAGCGCCCATCCTCACCACACGACTCACCGTGCCTCTACCAACACAGCGCCCATCCTCACCACACGACTCACCATGCCTCTACCAACACAGCGCCCATCCTCACCACACGACTCACCGTGCCTCTACCAACACAGCGCCCATCCTCACCACACGACTCACCGCGCCTCTACCAACCCAGCGCCCATCCTCACCACACGACTCACCGTGCCTCTACCAACACAGCGCCCATCCTCACCACACGACTCACCGCTGCCTCTACCAACACAGCGCCCATCCTCGACCACACGACTCACCGCTGCCTCTACCAACACAGCGCCCATCCTCACCACACGACTCACCGTGCCTCTACCAACACAGCGCCCATCCTCACCACACGACTCACCGCGCCTCTACCAACACAGCGCCCATCCTCACCACACTGACTCACCGCAGCCTCTACCAACACAGCGCCCATCCTCACCACACGACTCACCACGCCTCTACCAACACAGCGCCCATCCTGACCACACGACTCACCGTGCCTCTACCAACACAGCGCCCATCCTCACCACACGACTCACCGTGCCTCTACCAACACAGCGCCCATCCTCACCACACGTCTCACCGTGCCTCTACCAACACAGCGCCCATCCTCACCACACGACTCACCCGCGCCTCTACCAACACAGCGCCCATCCTCACCACACTACTCACCGTGCCTCTACCAACACAGCGCCCATCCTCACCACACGACTCACCCCGGCCTCTACCAACACAGCGCCCATCCTCACCACACGACTCACCTGCGCCTCTACCAACACAGCGCCCATCCTCACCACACGACTCACCGTGCCTCTACCAACACAGCGCCCATCCTCACCACACGACTCACCGCGCCTCTACCAACACAGCGCCCATCCTCACCACACGACTCACCGAGCCTCTACCAACACAGCGCCCATCCTCACCACACGGCTCACCCCGCCTCTGCCAACACAGCGCCCATCCTCACCACACGACTCACCGTGCCTCTACCAACACAGCGCCCATCCTCACCACACGACTCACCCCGCCGCTACAACACAGCGCCCATCCTCACCACACGACTCACCGCGCCTCTACCAACACAGCGCCCCTCCTCACCACATGACTTACCGTGCCTCTACCAACACAGCGCCCATCCTCACCACACGACTCACCGCACCTCTACCAACCACAGCGCCCATCCTCACCAAACGACTCACCGCACCTCTACCAACACAGCGCCCATCCTCACCACACGGACTCACCGCACCTCTACCAACACAGCGCCCATCCTCACCACACGACTCACCCCGCATCTACCAACACAGCGCCCATCCTCACCACACGACTCACCGCGCCTCTACCAACACAGCGCCCATCCTCACCACACGACTCACCGTGCCTCTACCAACACAGCGCCCATCCTCACCACACGACTCACCGCGCCTCTACCAACACAGCGCCCATCCTCACCACACGACTCACCGCGCCTCTACCAACACAGCGCCCACGCGCCTCTACCAACACAGCGCCCATCCTCACCACACGACTCACCGCGCCTCTACCAACACAGCGCCCATCCTCACCACACGACTCACCCCGCCTCTACCAACACAGCGCCCATCCTCACCACACGACTCACCGCGCCTCTACCAACACAGCGCCCATCCTGACCACACGACTCACCGTGCCTCTACCAACACAGCGCCCATCCTGACCACACGACTCACCGTGCCTCTACCAACACAGCGCCCATCCTCACCACACGTCTCACCGTGCCTCTACCAACACAGCGCCCATCCTCACCACACGACTCACCCCGCCGCTACCAACACAGCGCCCATCCTCACCACGTAACTCACCGTGCCTCTACCAACACAGCGCCCATCCTCACCACACGACTCACCCCGCATCTACCAACACAGCGCCCATCCTCACCACACGACTCACCGCGCCTCTACCAACACAGCGCCCATCCTCACCACACGACTCACCGTGCCTCTACCAACACAGCGCCCATCCTCACCACACGTCTCACCGTGCCTCTACCAAAACAGCGGCCATCCTCACCACACGACTCACCCCGCCTCTGCCAACACAGCGCCTTTCCTCACCACACGACTCACCGTGCCTCTACCAACACAGCGCCCATCCTCACCACACGACTCACCCCGCCGCTACCAACACAGCGCCCATCCTCACCACACGACTCACCGCGCCTCTACCAACACAGCGCCCATCCTCACCACATGACTTACCGTGCCTCTACCAACACAGCGCCCATCCTCACCACACGACCTCACCGCACCTCTACCAACACAGCGCCCATCCTCACCATACGACTCACCGCACCTCTACCAACACAGCGCCCAATCCTCACCACACGACTCACCGCACCTCTACCAACACAGCGCCCATCCTCACCACACGACTCACCCGCATCTACCAACACAGCGCCCATCCTCACCACACGACTCACCGCGCCTCTACCAACACAGCGCCCATCCTCACCACACGACTCACCGTGCCTCTACCAACACAGCGCCCATCCTCACAACACGACTCACCGCGCCTCTACCACACAGCGCCCATCCTCACCACACGACTCACCGCGCCTCTACCAACACAGCGCCCATCCTCACCACACGACTCACCGTGCCTCTACCAACACAGCGCCCATCCTCACCACACGACTCACCGCGCCTCTACCAACACAGCGCCCATCCTCACCACACGACTCACCGCGCCTCTACCAACACAGCGCCCATCCTCACCACACGACTCACCGCGCCTCTACCAACACAGCGCCCATCCTCACCACACGACTCACCGTGCCTCTACCAACACAGCGCCCATCTTCACCACACGACTCACCCCGCCTCTACCAACACAGCGCCCATCCTCACCACACAACACGCCGCAATACACCGCACCTCTACCAACACCTCACCCAACTTTTAACGGGTTACAACAATAAATATGCAGAGGCAAGGCCGCAGAGGATTGCTAAGTCTGGTGGAGTCGATTGCCAAACCAGTGGAAAACCACCCGTGCCACGAGTCCCCTGCGCTCTGCTCGGCCTGCTTGTACCACGCATGGGGCAGAGTTGGGAAGCTTTGCTGGCAGCAGCGTGGCATACAGTGAGGGAAAAAAGTATTTGATCCCCTGCTGATTTTGAACGTTTGCCCACTGACAAAGAAATGATCAGTCTATCATTTTAATGTTAGGTTTATTTGAACAGTGAGTGACAGAATAACAACAACAAAAATCCAGAAAAACGCATGTCAGAAGCACATTAAGGTCCTGGAGTGGCCTAGCCAGTCTCCAGACCTTAATCCCATAGAAAATCTGTGGAGGGAGCTGAAGGTTCGAGTTGCCAAACGTCAGCCTCGAAACCTTAATGACTTGGAGAAGATCTGCAAAGAGGAGTGGGACAAAATCCCTCCTGAGATGTGTGCAAACCTGGTGGCCAACTACAAGAAACGTCTGACCTCTGTGATTGCCAACAAGGCTTTTGCCACCAAGTACTAAGTCATGTTTTGCAGAGGGATCAAATACTTATTCCCCTCATTAAAATGCAAATCAATTTATAGCATTTTTGACATGCGTTTTTCTGGATTTTTGTTGTTGTTATTCTGTCTCTCACTGTTCAAATAAACCTACCATTAAAATGATAGACTGATCATTTCTTTGTCAGTAGGCAAACGTACAAAATCAGCAGGGGATCAAATACTTTTTTTCCCTCGCTGTAGCTGAGTGAGCACGGTCGAGGTGATGAGCGCCGTGGCGTTCGGTCTCGTGAGGCCTCCTTTGCACGGCTCAGTCCCGGCAAATGGTCGGTGGAAAACCAGCTGTCCCTTGCGCTGGCTCGGCTCGGTATGTGGCAGTGGAAAAAGGGCTATATCTGGAGGTCCCTCGCCCGCTGCACGGCTGGCCGTGATATTCCTTTGAGCGCTCTCGTGGGCACTGGGAATGGGTGCCGTGTGCGCGTGATGCCCGCTTGCCGCTTGTGCCGACGAGCAGAGGTGGTGCTGCTGGCGTGACGGTGCTCTGCGTGTGCCCCCGTGTGCCCGCGTGTGCAGGCTCGCTGCGGGCAGCTCCGACGACGATGACGACGCGGCCTAGCGGTGGGGGGGGGGGGGGGTGTACGGGGGACTGCTTGGCGCCGCGACACGTGGCCGGCGGGATGAGGATTTTTGTGTCCTTGTGGCGGCCGTTGCCAAAAGGTCTCAACTGGCAACCCAAACGGGGACTGAAACCACTACGGGGGACGACCCTTCCAAACGGCCCACGCCGTCCAATCAACTGGAAGCGTTCCTGGAACTGGAATGACACCGCGAAGGAAGCCAGTTGCGAAGCCGGAGCTTCATCGGGAATGGCAGCAGCGCATCTGGAACTATAACTGGAATTGTTAAAATCCAGAACTGGAACCCACCGTCGGACCCAGAGTGGAATCGGACGGTGGTCTGGATGTTGGGATTAAATCGTGAACGGGGGGGGGGGGGGGCACTGCGTTTGAATCCGCGGGTGTGTGTGGATTTCCCACCGGTAATGGGGTCCCCGCGTGTTTCGCCGTCGGCTGTTAGATTTGCTAATGGCTGGGTAAGGACTTAGAACCGCGCCGCATTTGCGGAGATGCTGAAAGTTGCAGGGGTGACCCCGGGGCGGGCCCGGCGGCGGGTTTGGGTGCGGCCGCGCTCCCGGCTACTTGTATCTCTTAATCAGACTTATCCTTGAACTTAACTTTGCTTGTGTAACTGGAGACCCCGCCCGGGTTTATATTTTTTGTTAATGAGATGGGCGGCCGATTCCTCGCCCTCCTCCCCCCCTCCGCACGTTAATTCGCGTATCGGTAACGCTGCCCTCGTTTACGGGAGAGGGGGAAGCGGCGGCGGCGGCGGCGGCATCACAGGGTGCTCTCCTCGCTCTGCACGGGGGTAGGTGTCGTCACAGCGGGGCTAAATACGTCTTAGCCGTGCAGCCCGGCCTGGCAGCTACTACAGCGAGAGTACAATACCTGCGAACGCTGTTGCCCGTGAGTGCCTGGGGGGGGGGGATGGGGGACACGCTGCCTGTGTCCTGCAGCTGTCTCTGAATCTTGCTTAGACCTACGCTGCACGGAAGTTGCCACCGGCTCCTGCGGGGCAACATTAGTGCTGCTTTCTTGAAAGCAAGTCCCGCTTCGGAGCGCGCCGAGCTCCGATACGGCCGTGCAAGCTCCGTCCGGAGCTGTGGCCACGGGGCGGAATTTTTGCCGAGTGACTTGGGGCCTCTCCGCCACCTTCTTGGGATGGGCGGCCACGTTACGCCAGCCGCGAGGTCGTTTCGGTAAGAATGGGCACGCAGTATCGCCGGGCAGCCGGGGTCGTGCTGGGTCGAGGACAGCCCTGCTGGACGATACAATGGGGGGGGGGGCGAGTCCAGCGTAGAGGTGTCAGGTCTGACCAGTCGGCCTTGACGCGCGCGGAGAGCAGACGCATGCACGGCTTGCACGCAACTCGCCAAGGAGCACTACCCCCTGACCACTGCCACGGATCGGATGGCAGCTGTTAAGTTCCGCGAGACATATCCACACCGTGGCCCAAGCGTCGATGCAGATGGTGCACCGAGGGCCCCCACGGCCTTTTGTCCACGAGACGCGCGCGCCGCGCTACGTACACTGCCACTGCTGCGCGGCATGGGGCACATGCATCATCGCGGCACACCGTCCCCGTAGATCATCGCGCGCCGTACGCCACACCACCACCACATCGTACCGCGCCAAGCGCACGATCACGGCACACAGCGCACCAGACAAATCGCCACACGGCACGCTGGCGAGCGGCGCGCCACGACGCAACAGCAACAGCACAACAATAACAACACCACCACAACGACAGGCCAGGGACGCCAGCAGACATCGTGAAACACGCAGCGTGGATGTGCCGTGCCGGGCCGGGATGTTACAATCATGAATGCTTTTACACGCACACACACAAAAAAAAGTATTTTATTTTAAAATATCAACTTTTATCGTGTAATTATCTCCAGTCTCTCTATATCTGGTGTTGGTGGCTATCAGTGATATCTACAATAAATTGTTTATCAAAGCATCTGCCGTCGTGATTGAGAGAGGGGGACCGCTCAGGTGGCTGTCACTCGGCCTGTGTCACTTCTGACTTTGACAAGATTCTTTGTCACGCTGTAGTGTCACTCAAGACACGAGCACAGTCAGACTACATCACCTGGTACCACGTGTCACTCGGTGGGTGTCAAGACTCCCGACAAGATGCTGTGTCACGCTGTAGTGTCACTCAAGACACGAGCACAGTCAGACTACATCACCTGGTACCACGTGTCACTCGGTGGGTGTCAAGACTCCCGACAAGATGCTGTGTCACGCTGTAGTGTCACTCAAGACACGAGCACAGTCAGACTACATCACCTGGTACCACGTGTCACTCGGCCTGTGTCAAGACTCCCGACAAGATGCTGAGTCACGCTGTAGTGTCACTCAAGACACGAACACTGTCAGACTACATCACCTGGTACCACGTGTCACTCTGATGCCAGAACCCAGTGGCCACTGCGGGTGGTGGTGCATGGTGCCCTCCCTCATCACCCTCCACCCTCAGTGGCCCCTCCCTCAGTGGCCCCTCCCTCATCACCCTCCACCCTCAGTTCCCCCTCCCTCAGTGGCCCCTCCCTCAGTGGCCCCTCCCTCATCACCCTCCACCCTCACCTGCCCCCTCCCTCAGTGGCCCCCTCATCACCCTCCACCCTCACCTGCCCCCTCCCTCAGTGGGCCCCTCCCTCATCACCCTCCACCCTCAGTGGCCCCTCCCTCATTATTTTCCACCCTCAGTGGCCCCTCCCTCAGTGGCCCCTCCCTCATCACCCTCCACCCTCAGTGGCCCCTCCCTCAGTGGCCCCTCCCTCAGTGGCCCCTCCCTCAGTGGCCCCTCCCTCATCACCCTCCACCCTCAGTGCCCCTCCCTCAGTGGCCCCTCCCTCAGTGGCCCCTCCCTCATTTCCTCAGTTCCCCCCTCCCTCAGTGGCCCCTCCCTCAGTGCCCCTGACCGCCACCAGGGGTCGCCACTGAGTCTCGCCGCTGGCGGTGAGGAACGCCGCTTCGCTCCAGGACGAGGTGGACGAGGTGGATGAGGTGAAGGCCTCTCTCGCTCCCTCTGTGTCTCTGTCTCCCCCCTGTGTCTCTGTCTCCCCCTTGTGTCTCTGTCCCCCCGCTGTGTCTCTGTCCCCCCCCCCGTGTCCGCGCCTCGCCACGAGTCGCCTCTCGGGGTGAGGAGGCCGAGGAGGCGGAGGAGGCCGAGGAGGCGGAGGAGGCCGAGGAGGCGGAGGAGGCCCTGGGCGACTCGCCTGGGCCTAGAACCCCGCTAGGGCCGCGCGTTCTCTTCGTTATTTTTGGTTTTGTTTGTTAAGCCAGGTTAATAAAACCCTCAGTATCCACCAACACCACCGCCGTATCGCTTCACCGCCGCGTACACCACTGCCTGCCAACACATTCATGCACCAAGCGAGGTAGTTAACGTCTCCTAACCACCGTGGGTATCCCAGCACATGCTCCACCACCGACTACACCAACTCCACCACCACTTTCACCACCACCAACTCCACCACCACCAACTCCACCACCACTTTCACCAACTCCACCACCACCACCAACTCCACCCCCATTACCAACTGCACCACCTCCACCAACGCCACCACCACCAACGCCACCACCACCAACTCCACCTTCACCAACTCCACCTCCATTACCAGCTCCACCACCAACAACACCACCAACTCCACCATTACGAACTCCACCTCCATTTCCAACTCCACCACCACCAACAACTCCACCAACTCCACCATTACCAACTCCACCACTACCAACTCCACCATTACCAACTCCACCTCCATTACCACCTCCACCACCAACTCCACCTCCATTACCAACTGCACCAACTCCACCACCACCAACGCCACCACCACCAACTCCACCTTCACCAACTCCACCTCCATTACCAAATGCACCAACTCCACCACCACCATCTCCTTCATCACGGCTGCCTCCCAACGTATTTACCATCGTCACTTTAGAGAGTTGTTTATCTCTGCTTGTGTTTCTGTCTGTGTGTCTCTGTGTTGTCTCTCTCTGTGTCTCTCTGTTGTCTCTCTCTGCTTGTGTGTCTCTGTGCTGTCTCTCTCTGCTTGTGTGTCTGTCTGTGTGTCTCTGTGTTGTCTCTCTGATTGTGTATCTGTCTGTGTCTCTGTGTTGTCTTTGTGTGTCTGTCTGTGTGTCTCTCTCTGCTTGTGTGTCTGTGTTGTCTCTGTGTTGTCTATCTCTGCTTGTGTGTCTGTGTCTCCGTGTCTGTGTTGTTTCTCTCTGCTTGTGTGTCTCCGTGTCTGTGTTGTCTCTCTCTGATTGTGTGTCTGTGTGTCTCTGTGTTTTCTCTCTCTGCTTGTGTGTCTGTGTTGTTTCTCTCTGCTTGTGTGTCTGTGTGTCTCTGTGTTGTCTCTCTCTGCTTGTGTGTCTGTGTGTCTCTGTGTTGTCTCTCTCTGCTTGTGTGTCTGTCTGTGTGTCTCTGTGTTATCTCTCTCTGCTTGTGTCTGTCTGTGTGTCTCTGTGTTGTCTCTCTCTGCTTGTGTGTCTGTCTTTGTTATCTCTCTCTGCTTGTGTGTCTGTCTGTGTGTCTCTGTGTTGTCTCTCTCTGTTGTTGTCTGTCTGTGTTGTCTCTCTCTGTGTGTCTCTGTGTTGTCTCTCTCTGCTTGTGTGTCTGTGTGTCTCTCTCTGATTGTGTGTCTGTCTGTGTGTCTCTGTGTTGTCTCTCTCTGCTTGTGTGTCTGTCTGTGTGTCTGTGTTGTTTCTCTCTGCTTGTGTGTCTGTCTGTGTGTCTCTGTGTTGTCTCTCTCTGCTTGTGTGTCTGTGTGTCTCCGTGTCTGTGTTGTCTCTCTCTGCTTGTGTGTCTGTGTCTCTGTGTTGTCTCTCTCTGTTTGTGTGTCTGTCTGTGTTGGTCTCTTTCTGCTTGCGTGTATGTCTGTGTTGTCTCTCTCTGCTTGTGTGTCTGTCTGTGTGTCTCTGTGTTGTCTCTCTCTGTGTGTCTGTCTGTGTTGTCTCTCTCTGTGTGTCTCTGTGTTGTCTCTCTCTGCTTGTGTGTCTGTCTGTGTGTCTCTGTGTTGTCTCTCTCTGTGTGTCTCTGTGTTGTCTCTCTCTGCTTGTGTGTCTGTGTCTCTGTGTTGTCTCTCTCTGCTTGTGTTTCTGTCTGTGTGTCTCTGTGTTGTCTCTCTCTGTGTGTCTCTGTGTTGTCTCTCTCTGCTTGTGTGTCTGTTGTCTCTGTGTTGTCTCTCTCTGCTTGTGTTTCTGTCTGTGTGTCTCTGTGTTGTCTCTCTCTAATTGTGTATCTGTCTATGTGTCTCTGTGTTGTCTTTGTCTGTGTGTCTGTGTCTCTGTGTGTGTGTCTCTCTGCTTGTGTGTCTGTGTTGTCTCTGTGTTGTCTCTCTCTGCTTGTGTGTCTGTGTCTCCAGTGTCTGTGTTGTCTCTCTCTGATTGTGTCTGTCTGCTGTGTCTCTGTGTTGTCTCTCTCTGCTTGTGTGTCTGTGTTGTTCTCTCTGCTTGTGTGTCTTCTCTCTGCTGTGTTGTCTCGCTCTGCTTGTGTCTGTCTCTGTGTTATCTCTCTCTGCTTTGTGTGTCTGTCTGTGTGTCTCTGTGTTGTCTCTCTCTGCTTGTGTGTCTGTCTGTGTTGTCTCTCTCTGCTTGTGTGTCTGTCTGTGTGTCTCTGTGTTGTCTCTCTCTGTTGAGTGTCTGTCTGTGTTGTCTCTCTCTGTGTGTCTCTAGTGTTGTCTCTCTCTGCTTGTGTGTCTGTCTGTGTGTCTCTGTGTGTTTCTCTCTGCTTGTGTGTCTGTGTGTCTCGTGTCTGTGTTGTCTCTCTCTGCTTGTGTGTCTGGTCTCTGTGTTGTCTCTCTCTGCTTGTGTGTATGTCTGTGTGTCGTCTGTGTTGTCTCTCTCTGCTTGTGTGTCTCTGTGTGTCTCTCTCTGCTTGTGTGTCTGTGTGTCTCCTGTGTCTGGTTGTCTCTCTGCTTGTGTGTCTGTGTCTCTGTGTTGTCTCTGTCTGCTTGTGTGTCTGTCTGTGGTCTCTGTGTTATCTCTCTCTGCTTGTGTGTCTGTCTGTGTATCTCTGTGTTATCTCTCTCTGATTGTGTATCTGTCTATGTGTCTCTGTGTTGTCTTTGTCTGTGTGTCTGTCTGTGTGTCTCTGTGTGTGTGTCTCTCTGCTTGTGTGTCTGTGTTGTCTCTGTGTTGTCTCTCTCTGCTTGTGTGTCTGTGTCTCCGTGTCTGTGTTGTCTCTCTCTGATTGTGTGTCTGTCTGTGTGTCTCTGTGTTGTCTCTCTCTGCTTGTGTGTCTGTGTGTCTCTGTGTTGTCTCTCTCTGCTTGTGTCTGTCTGTGTGTCTCTGTGTTGTTTCTCTCTGCTTGTGTGTCTGTCTGTGTGTCTCTGTGTTGTCTCTCTCTGCTTGTGTGTCTGTCTGTGTTGTCTCTCTCTGCTTGTGTGTCTGTCTGTGTGTCTCTGTGTTGTCTCTCTCTGTTTGTGTGTCTGTCTGTGTGTCTCTGTGTTGTCTCTCTCTGCTTGTGTGTCTGTCTGTGTGTCTCTGTGTTGTTTTCTCTCTGCTTGTGTGTCTGTGTGTCTCCGTTGTTCTGTGTTGTCTCTCTCTGCTTGTGTGTCTGTGTCTCTGTTGTCTCTCTCTGCTTGTGTGTCTGTCTGTGTGTGTCTGTGTTGTCTCTCTCTGCTTGTGTGTCTCTGTGTTGTCTCTCTCTGCTTGTGTGTCTGTCTGTGTGTCTCCGTGTCTGTGTTGTCTCTCTGCTTGTGTGTCTGTGTCTCTGTGTTGTCTCTGTCTGCTTGTGTGTCTGTCTGTGTGTCTCTGTGTTATCTCTCTCTGCTTGTGTGTTGTCTGGTATCTCTGTGTTATCTCTCTCTGCTTGTGTGTCTGTCTGTGTGTCTCTGTGTTGTCTCTCTCTGCTTGTGTATCTGTCTGTGTGTCTCTGTGTTGTCTCTCTCTGCTTGTGGTCTGTGTGTCTCCGTGTCTGTGTTGTCTCTCTCTGCTTGTGTGTCTGTGTCTCTGTGTTGTCTCTCTTGCTTGTGTGTCTGTCTGTGTGTGTCTGTGTTGTCTCCTCTCGCTGTGGTCTCTCTGTGTTGTCTCTCTCTGCTTGTGTGTCTGTGTGTCTCCGTGTCTGTGTTGTCTCTGTCTGCTTGTGTGTCTGTCTATGTGTCTCTGTGTTGTCTCTCTCTGCTTGTGTGTCTGTCTGTGTGTCTCTGTGTGTGTCTGTCTGTGTGTCTCTGTGTTGTCTCTCTCTGCTTGTGTGTCTGTCTGTGTGTCTCTGTGTTGTCTCTCTCTGCTTGTGTGTCTGTCTGTGTGTCTCTGTGTTGTCTCTCTCTGTTTGTGTGTCTGTCTGTGTTGTCTCTCTCTGTGTGTCTCTGTGTTGTCTCTCTCTGCTTGTGTGTCTGTCTGTGTGTCTCTGTGTTGTCTCTCTCTGTGTGTCTCTGTGTTGTCTCTCTCTGCTTGTGTCTGTCTGTGTGTCTCTGTGTTGTCTCTCTCTGTGTGTCTCTGTGTTGTCTCTCTCTGCTTGTGTGTCTGTGTTGTCTCTCTCTGCTTATGTGTCTGTCTGTGTGTCTGTGTTGTTTCTCTCTGCTTGTGTGTCTGTGTGTCTCTGTGTTGTCTCTCTCTGCTTGTTTGTCTGTGTGTCTCCGTGTCTGTGTTGTCTCTCTCTGCTTGTGTGTCTGTGTCTCTGTGTTGTCTCTCTCTGCTTGTGTGTCTGTCTATGTGTCTCTGTGTTGTCTCTCTCTGCTTGTGTGTCTGTCTGTGTGTCTCTGTGTTATCTCTCTGCTTGTGTGTCTGTCTGTGTGTGTCTGTGTTGTCTCTTTCTGCTTGCTTGTCTGTCTGTGTTGTCTCTCTCTGCTTGTGTGTCTGTCTGTGTGTCTCTGTGTTGTCTCTCTCTGTGTGTCTCCATGTTGTTTCTCTCTGCTTGTGTGTCTGTGTGTCTGTGTTGTCTCTCTCTGATTGTGTGTCTGTCTGTGTGTCTCTGTGTTGTCTCTCTCTGCTTGTGTGTCTGTGTTGTTTCTCTCTGCTTGTGTGTCTGTGTGTCTCTGTGTTGTCTCTCTCTGCTTGTGTGTCTGTGTGTCTCCGTGTCTGTGTTGTCTCTCTCTGCTTGTGTGTCTGTGTCTCTGTGTTGTCTCTCTCTGCTTGTGTTTCTGTCTGTGTGTCTCTGTGTTGTCTCTCTCTGATTGTGTATCTGTCTATGTGTCTCTGTGTTGTCTTTGTCTGTGTGTCTGTATGTGTGTCTCTGTGTGTGTCTCTCTCTGCTTGTGTGTCTGTGTTGTCTCTGTGTTGTCTCTCTCTGCTTGTGTGTCTGTCTCCGTGTCTGTGTTGTCTCTCTCTGATTGTGTGTCTGTCTGTGTGTCTCTGTGTTGTCTCTCTCTGCTTGTGTGTCTGTGTGTGTGTTGTCTCTCTCTGCTTGTGTGTCTGTGTGTCTCTGTGTTGTCTCTCTCTGCTTGTGTGTCTGTGTCTCTGTGTTGTCTCTCTCTGCTTGTGTGTCTGTCTGTGTGTCTCTGTGTTGTCTCTCTCTGCTTGTGTGTCTGTCTGTGTTGTCTCTCTCTGCTTGTGTGTCTGTCTGTGTGTCTCTGTGTTGTCTCTCTCTGTTTGTGTGTCTGTCTGTGTTGTCTCTCTCTGTGTGTCTCTGTGTTGTCTCTCTCTGCTTGTGTGTCTGTCTATGTGTCTCTGTGTTGTCTCTCTCTGCTTGTGTGTCTGTGTTGTCTCTCTGCTGTGTGTCTGTGTTGTCTCTCTTGATGTGTGTCTGTCTGTGTGTCTCTGTGTTGTCTCTCTCTGCTTGTGTGTCTGTCTGTGTGTCTGTGTTGTTTCTCTCTGCTTGTGTGTCTGTGTGTCTGTGTTGTCTCTCTCTGATTGTGTGTCTGTCTGTGTGTCTCTGTGTTGTCTCTCTCTGCTTGTGTGTCTGTCTGTGTGTCTGTGTTGTCTCTCTCTGCTTGTGTGTCTCTGTGTTGTCTCTCTCTGCTTGTGTGTCTGTGTGTCTCCGTGTCTGTGTTGTCTCTCTCTGCTTGTGTGTCTGTGTCTCTGTGTTGTCTCTGTCTGCTTGTGTGTCTGTCTGTGTGTCTCTGTGTTGTCTCTCTCTGCTTGTGTGTCTGTCTGTGTGTCTCTGTGTTATCTCTCTCTGCTTGTGTGTCTGTCTGTGTGTCTCTGTGTTGTCTCTCTCTGCTTGTGTGTCTGTGTCTCTGTGTTGTCTCTCTCTGCTTGTGTGTCTGTCTGTGTGTCTCTGTGTTGTCTCTCTCTGCTTGTGTGTCTGTCTGTGTTGTCTCTCTCTGCTTGTGTGTCTGTCTGTGTGTCTCTGTGTTGTCTCTCTCTGCTGTGTGTCTGTCTGTGTGTCTCTGTGTTGTCTCTCTCTGCTTGTGTGTCTGTCTGTGTCTTTGTGTTGTCTCTCTCTGCTTGTGTGGCTGTGTGTCTCTGTGTTGTCTCTCTCTCTGCTTGTGTGTGTCTACGTGTCTGTGTTGTCTCTCTCTGCATGTGTGTCTGTCTGTGTCTCTGTATTGTCTCTCTCTGCTTGTGTGTATGTCTGTGTGTCTCTGTGTTGTCTCTCTCTGTGTGTCGCTGTGTTGTCTCTCTCTGCTTGTGTGTCTGTCTGTGTTGTTTCTGTGTTGTCTCTCTCTGTGTGTCTCTGTGTTGTCTCTCTCTGCTGTGTGTCTCTGTGTTGTCTCTCTCTGCTTGTGTCTGTCTGTGTGTCTTGTGTGTCTCTCTTCTGTTTGTGTGTCTGTCGGTGTTGTCTCTCTCTGTGTGTCTCTGTGTTGTCTCTCTCTGCTTGTGTGTCTGTGTGTCTGTGTTGTCTCTCTCTGATTGTGTGTCTGTCTGTGTGTCTCTGTGTTGTTCTCTCTGCTTGTGTGTCTGTGTGTCTCTGTGTTGTCTCTCTCTGATTGTTTGTCTGTGTCTCTGTGTTGTCTCTCTCTGCTTGTGTGTCTGTCTGTGTGTCTCTGTGTTGTCTCTCTCTGCTTGTGTGTCTGTGTGTCTGTGTTGTCTCTCTCTCCTTGTGTGTCTGTGTGTCTCCGTGTCTGTGTTGTCTCTTTCTGCTTGTGTGTCTGTGTCTCTGTGTTGTCTCTGTCTGCTTGTGTGTCTGTCTGTGTGTCTCTGTGTTGTCTCTCTCTGCTTGTGTGTCTGTGTGTCTGTGTTGTCTCTCTCTGCTTGTGTGTCTGTCTGTGTGTCTCTGTGTTGTCTCTCTCTGCTTGTGTATCTGTCTGTGTCTCTGTGTTGTCTCTCTCTGCTTGTGTGTCTGTCTGTGTGTCTCTGTGTTGTCTCTCTCTGCTTGTGTATCTGTCTGTGTGTCTCTGTGTTATCTCTCTCTGCTTGTGTGTCTGTCTGTGTGTCTCTGTGTTGTCTCTCTCTGCTTGTGTGTCTGTCTGTGTGTCTCTGTGTTGTTCTCTCTGCTTGTGTTGTCTGTGTCTTTGTGTTGTCTCTCTCTGCTTGTGTGGCTGTGTGTCTCTGTGTTGTCTCTCTCTCTGCTTGTGTGTGTCTACGTGTCTGTGTTGTCTCTCTCTGCATGTGTGTCTGTCTGTGTCTCTGTATTGTCTCTCTGCTTGTGTGTCTGTCTGTGTGTCTCTGTGTTGTCTCTCTCTGTGTGTCTCTGTGTTGTCTCTCTCTGCTTGTGTGTCTGTCTGTGTTGTCTCTGTGTTGTCTCTCTCTGTGTGTCGCTGTGTTGTCTCTCTCTGCTTGTGTGTCTCTGTGTTGTCTCTCTCTGCTTGTGTGTCTGTCTGTGTGTCTCTGTGTTGTCTCTCTCTGTGTGTCTCTGTGTTGTCTCTCTCTGCTTGTGTGTCTGTCTGTCTGTCTGTGTTGTCACTCTCTGCTTGTGTGTCTGTCTGTGTGTCTCTGTGTTGTCTCTCTGTGTGTCTGTTAGTGTGTCACCGTGTCTGTTTTGTCTCTCTCAAATTAAGTTCTACCTGATGATGATTGCTTGTGTTGCAATCGAAACGTGATAATTTTATTGTTTCATTTGTATTTTATTATTTCCCTTCTACGTGACTTTACCGAAAGAACCAAGTATATGAATCCCTGCAGTCATGAAAGCTTTACATCGAAATTATCACTTTAACTTTTCTGTACGTGATGACTATAAGTTTTTCACGCACATTATGGCCGTAATTATGGGAATTTTGGGGAGTATTTCTTAACAATGCTAACCTGTCAACCCACACGGTTTAGCCATATTCTTGTACAGGGAAATTGAGTTTTCAGAATCCATACGGCGTACAGCTGTTTCAATACGGGCAACAAAAAAATGTGTGTTTCTCCATTGTGATGGGACTTTTTAGGATGAACGTTGAGATTTATAAGGGCACGCGGTGACCAATAACATCTGATTTGGTCTGCAATAAGAAAGGCACTGACATGGGGTTGACAGGTATGAAAATATTCTTGGTTCTTTCGGTAAAGTCACGTAGAAGGGAAACAAAAAAATAAAATAATACAAATATTATACAAGAAAATTATCACGATGTTTCGACTGCAACACAAGCAATCATCATCACGTGTGAAAACCACAGCAAGAAAATTTGAAAAAAGTGGCGGTTATTCTTAACGTTAGCACCACGGTGAGCGATTTGACAGTTTGTTTAGATGGACGAGTCCATCTATGTTCGGAAAAGAGGAGGGGGGAGATGAAAATAATGGATGCGGTCTGAAAGCCACCGTAAGCGTGAACAATTAAGACCCGAAATGGTTTATAAAATCCTTCCAATGATTGCTAAGCCAGAATCCATCTTCTCGGTTGAAATTGTCTCTGAGTTTGTATATGTATGTATGTATGATAGGTATGATAATGTGCGTCATTCATGAACATTTTTATTGTAGCCTATGATGGCAATATGGTTCAGGTGCAAAATGCCGAAACAGGAGGAGGATTTCTCCACAACTCTGTGGCTGTCGCCTGACGATGCCGGTTGTAACTACCGGCAAAATGTCACGGTACTCGAATTGTAAATGTTGCAGTGGGTTTGCTCTCCACCGGTGTGTGCTGAACTAGTAACGAATTGTCACGTTTTGTTTACGTGACAACCCTTTACTAATCGGCCGTGTCTGGGCGGTGGTAGCGGGGGTTTCATGACACAACATCTATATTTACCCGATCTAACCCCAGCGAAAAACCCGTCTATTATGGATAATATTTGTCGCGAAAGCCCTACTACGCGCTAAATTGGCACGTTGGACAAACCCCTTACTAATCGACTGTCCGGGCGGTGATGGTGGGTTTAACGACGCATATTTACGCGATGTCACCCAGCAAAAAAATATCTCCCCTCTGTTATGGCTATACACCGTACCGTTACATTGTTATGCTTTTAACAGTTCGAGAAGGGGCGATTAAAACGCTTCGACCGCTTTCCTTTAAATTTCAGCGTCAGGCGGCCCGCAGAAATGGAGGCGAGAGACTCGGTGGAGGAAACAGACTCGTCCTCCCCGGATGCCGGCCGGCGGAGGAATTCTTGCAACTCCTCCTCGCCCGACTCCAAGTGCGCCATCTGCCTGGACCGCATGGACAACCGCGCCCTGGCAAGCTCCTGCATGCACAGCTTCTGCTTCCTGTGCATCCTCGAGTGGGCCAAGAACAAGGCGGACTGCCCGCTGTGCAAGCAGCCCTTCCGCTCCATCATCTACAACGTGAGGAGCAACTCGAGCTTCGACGAGTACTGGCTCACGCCCGAGGAGAACGGCTCGTTCTCGAGCCCCGACGGCCGGCGCTTCCGCTACCGCTCGACGCTCACGCACGAGCGCCTGCGCGCCGAGCGGCGGGAGGAGTCGGGGGTCCTCTTCGAGGCGGCGTCGCGGCGCCAGCCGCCCTCGCGTGTCGACGCGCACATCCAGCGGATGCTGCAGCAGCTGCGCGAGCGCCGGCGTGCCCGCCTCAACAACCGCAGCCTGCGCTGCCTCAAGGAGGAGGAGGTGATGGCGTTCCGCAGGGCGTTGTACCGGCGGGGCGTGCGGGTGCGGCGCGTGGAAGACGGCGGGCGCCACCGCACCGTCAGCCCCGACTTCTTCCTGCAGAACCCGGCGACGCTGCACCGCCTGGTGCCGTGGCTCAAGCGCGAGCTGACGGTGTTGTTCGGGCGCAGGGAGTCGATCGTGAGCTTCGTGCTCCACCGCATCCTGGAGAACATCACGCGCTTCCACCTGGAGAGCGACGCCTTCCTGCAGGACCTGAAGCCCACGCTGCAATACCGCACGGAGCACTTCCTCCACGAGTTCGCCAGCTTCGCCCGCTCGCCCTTCAACATGGAGGCGTACGACGAGCGCGCCTTCTACGACGCGGTCGTGCCGGGCGACGGCGACGGCGCCGAGAGCAGCGAGTCTTCCGTCATCGCCATCTCGCCAGACCCCGCGGACGATCCGCCGAGCGTGCGCACGCTGTGCCTCCTCAAGTCCCCCTCGTCGCTGCCGTCTCCCCCGGGGCTCTCCGAGTGGGACGACGAGACCCCGGGGCCGTCCTACGCGAGCCGGGAGGAGGCGGTTCCGGACGGCAGCCCGGAAACCCCGGAACGGAGGTGCTGGAGCAGGCGCGGCGTCGCGGGGACGTACGCCTCGGCGACGCCCAGCTCGTCCGCGCGCAGCAGGGAGAGCGACGAGGATGGAAACGTCACCCCCTTCGTCGCCGTCACCGCCGCGGCCTCCCAAGAGGTCCTCCCCGATGTGAAGATGCAGAAGCCGTGCCCGCCACCAGACAGCGGCGACAGCGACTTGGACGACTGCGTGATTGTCGGCTACGTGAAGCCCCTGGCCGAGCGGACGCCCGAGCTCGTCATGCTGTCGTCCGACTCCGGCGACGATGAGGAGGCCGCCGCCCCCGGCACGTCCGGGATGGACGATCCCGGCGGCGCCGCCGCCGCTGTTGCAAAGGAAGCGCCGACGTCGCGCCCTCTGGACCGCAAATATCCGCCGGCGCCGCCTTCCATTTCTCTGTGCGAAACCGAGGTGGACAGGGACAGCGACAGGACGCAGTGGCTCTCGGACAGCTCCGTCAGCAGCCGTCGGAGGACGACGACGACGAGGAGCAGGAGGAGGAGGAGGCGGTCGGCGGAGAAGCCCAAGTGCGGGACGTCGAGCAGGAGCGACGCGGCGCAACCCAGGGAGGTCTCTTCCCGGAGAGAGAACTCCCGTAGCGGGAGCAGGGAGCCGAGGTCGTCCAGGAGGAGCAAACAGAAACACAGGCAGTCGAGAGAGGTGAGCGTTGACATCTTTGAGGACTGGGACAGGAACGTATCTCACTCCCGGAAGTCGAGAGACGAGGACGATCGCCGGGATTGGGATCGATCCAGGGGATACAGGGATAGATCCCGCAGCAGAGATAAAGCGCACGGCAGGTTGTACGGCAGCGACTGGTCGAGTGACAGCGAGCGATCGGTGGGCAGAGGCAGGTTCAGCGAGCAGGGGAGGAGCAGGAATCAGAGGGAAAGGTCTCGGGACCGCCACAGGGATAAGACGCACAAGAGAGGCCAGGAGAGCTCCTGGGCGAGCGAGAGGCACAGGGGCCACAGGGCTTCGGCGGCCAGGGAGAGGTCGTGGAGCGACGAGAGGACCCGCGCTCGGGAAGACAGGGCGGCCGAGGATCATCGCCACCACGGCGGGCGGTCGGAGAAGCCGGGCGGGAAGAGGAAGTGCAAGACGCACCACATCGAGCACGCGTACTACCTGTCCTACTCGAGCGGCGCCCGCGAGCACAGGGAGCCGGCGTCCGCCAGCCACTCGCCGGAGCGCTACCGGGGCCACTACCGCAACGCCCCCTCCCAGGCGCTGGAGCTGGCGCCGGGCCCGTCGCACCACAAAGCGTGCGCCGTGCCGCACGGCCGCGTCAAGCGCAGCCGCAGCTCCAGCGTGGAGATCGTGTTCGAGGGGAAGTTGACCATCGACGCCGAGCACTTCCGCAAGTCGCGGAGGAAGAGGAAGAAGTCGAAGCACAAGCGAAGGCACTAGCAGGGCCCCAACTCGGACGTGGTTCCTGTAGGCCTGGGCCAGAATGCCACGTGGGCACCCCCCCCCCGCCACGCTAATTTCTCGGTCTGATTTTGTACGAGGCCCCGGGGTGAATTGCCTCGTTTCCTCCCCGACCACCAACTACGGCGACCGCTATGGCCGCTCAATTAGCGGCCGCACGTTCAGTTCCCTCCCTCCCTGTGAAAGCGTTCCATGTCGACGCTGCCTTCGCCTGCGGTTGGAGTTTGTGACCGCTGCTAGAGAGAGCGCCGAAGCCTCGGGGTGCGTGCGCGTTGCGGTTTGGCGCGTGCACGCAACACCGGGCTGCGTTTGAGAGAGGCCATCTTCCGCCCGGGCCTGACCCACGGCCCCGCAAAACCTCATACTCGTGACCGGGGCGGGTGGCGGGCATGTGGTGGCTTAGGTCGGCCACAAGGGGGCCCCCCAAATCAACAAATAAACAAGTCACATTTTTTTCTTTGTTTAAGAAAATGTGTCCCATAATGTTTTTTTTCTTCCAACAATTAACCATCAATGCCCAAAAAAAAACCTTTTGACAGATGAAATATTTTTTTTCAATAAAAATACACAAAGCGTAAAATCTAGTATCGCTACTGCTGTTTGTCACTGAACATCGGCTTTTTATTTTGTTCACTGACTTGCGCATGGAAAGCAAGACTCATGATTACTTAATAGCGAGTATTGTTACCTTAAAATATTTATTTTATTATTAACTGCCACCGTAAGACTGTCTTCCTCTAAAGCCCAATGCACGGTGCAGCTAAAGTAATCCGTAGACGACATTTTATTGTGTACGGGTTAAAAATCATCCGTAGCAACTTCGGGAAAATTGAGTCGTGAGAAAGGAGGGGAGCCCACAAACATATCTCGCATAGCCCCCACACATTCAAGAGCTCTCCCCCAACAGAGCGCCCGTCGCACACAGCGCCTCGTCTTCTCGGGGCTTAGCTCTTTGCTTGTAATATCTCGACACCTGTTGCTACTGCTGCTATGATTAAAAATATTTTGCTTTGCTTCGGAACTCGATGGCATGGTTTTAATGCCACCGTGAACGACCGGTGATTGGGTGTGGTGGTGGCGGCGGCGGTGACACGGCCGAGAGGTTCCCCACCTCTCACCTTGGCTTTGGGGCGGGGGGGAGGTGGTGGGTGAGGGCTCGTGCTGGCGAGAAACAGACCCTGGCACACGACCGCGAGAATGCGTCGAAACTCGGCACGGGGAAAAAATAAAAAATAAAGAAACAGCATTGGCGATTTTCCAACCGCTTGTATCGTTTAATTGAACCTCTTTCCAAATCCCGGCGCATCTCGGGCTGATCGTAACGAGGGTCAGTGATTAACCCGTCGAATCGTTAAGCTGATTTATCCCCCATTACATTACAGGCGCATGAGCAGCGTGGGTTGGTTCTCTCGATCGGCAGCTCAACCAACGCTACTCCCACTAGGACGTGCTGCTCAAGTAACTCACCCTGGCCCCCTCCCTCACCCCTGCCCCCCCCCCCCCCATGCTCCCCCAAGTCCAGCTACCATCCGGCCGGTGTCATCATGACGCAGGCATTGCATTTTTGGTCATTGTGTGGGTAACCCGGACGTCGGCAAACCTCGTGGCCGGGTTCTCGCTGCCGAGGGTCTCCGCGTCCACCACGGTGGCCGTGTGTGCCAGCGGCGGCCGGTGGTGCGGCCGCTGGCCTCGGTGGTGGTTGCTTGGTCGCCGGTGCCGTGGGTTTGACACCGTGTGTGTGCGCGCGCGAATCTCGCGAGTTACGGGGGTTGGTGGGGGGAAGAGACGCAACCAGTCCCGTGTAATTTCACATGCGCGCGGGCTTTGGCGTGCAACATCACGGTTGCTAATTGAGTTTTTTTTTTGGGGTCAGATAGCAGAAATAAAACGTGTGTCCATAATCGAATGTTTTGGGTTAGATGTCGTGAATACAAATGTGCCGTTAAAAACCACCGCGACCCGACACAGCCAATCGGTAAGGTTTGCTGTGTAAACAAAACCTGCCAATTCGTTAGTCGTACAGCACACCGTGTGTGTTTGGAGAGTAAATCCGCAACATTTACAATTCGAGTACCGCAACGTTTCGCCCAGTAATTACAACCAGCATCGTAAGGCGACAGTTGTGGAGACATACTCTTTGGTTGTTTCGGTGAAGTCAACGTAGGTGAAAATAATAAAATAAAATATTGAAATAAATAAATAACGACGTTTCGATTGCAACACAAGCAATCATCATCAGGTGTGACAACCACAGCATTTTGACTTCAGTAACAAAAAATACTTCAGTAAAGTAACATTTTTTTCCTTGCTGTGGTTGTCACACCTGATGATGATTGCTTGTGTAGCAATCGAAACGTCGTGATTTTGTTATTATTTTTTATTATTATTATTTTATTTTTATTATGAAATGTTTTCACCCACCTGACTTTACCGAAAGAAACAAAGGGTATATGGATCCTTGTAGTCACGAAAACCTCAAATCAAGAATGTGGAGACATAATCCTCCTGTGTCGGTCTTAAATTTAAATTTGACACGTTCTGTTTACGTGACTAACCTTACTAATTGGCCGTGTCGGACTGCAGCGGAATTAACGACACATTTATATTTACGCGACCTTACCACAAAAATCGCTCTTATGGATGATATTGGCCGTGAAAGCCTCTTACATGTTAAAAACTACGCCGTGTGCTCCCTCCTTGAACACCGACCCAGCCGTGCTGCTGCAGTTGCCACCGGTGTTGTTGCAAGAGCAATCTCACGACATCTAAATGGGGGTGCGGTCGTTTAGCTCAGCGGTCCCCAACCTTTTTGGCACCAGGGACCGGTTTCGTGGATGACAATTTTTTCACGGACCGGCTGGGGGTGTTCATCATTGAGTCTTTTCCCCTTTTCAAAGAAGCTCTCCAGCGACGTTTGTTTATTACTCATTGTGGTTACTAGGGGTTAGAGCTTGTGGGCTTACTCATTGTGGCTACTAGGGGTTAGAGCTTGTGGGCTTACTCCTTGTGGCTACTAGGGGTTAGAGCTTGTGGGCTTACTCATTGTGGTTACTAGGGGTTAGCTTGTGGGCTTACTAATTGTGGCTACTAGGGGTTAGCTTGTGGGCTTACTCCTTGTGGCTACTAGGGGTTAGAGCTTGTGGGCTTACTCCTTGTGGCTACTAGGGGTTAGAGCTTGTGGGCTTATTCCTTGTGGCTACTAGGGGTTGGAGCTTGTGGGCTTACTCCTTGTGGATACTAGGGGATTAGAGCTTGTGGGCTTACTCCTTGTGGCTACTAGGGGTTAGAGCTTATGGGCTTACTCCTTGTGGCTACTAGGGGTTTGAGCTTGTGGGCTTACTCATTGTGGCTACTAGGGGTTAGCGCTTGTGGGCTTACTCCTTGTGGCTACTAGGGGTTAGAGCTTGTGGGCTTACTCCTTGTGGCTACTAGGGGTTAGAGCTTGTGGGCTTACTCATTGTGGCTACTAGGAGTTAGCTTGTGAGCTTACTCCTTGTGGCTACTAGGGGTTAGCTTGTGGGCTTACTCATTGTGGCTACTAGGGGTTAGAGCTTGTGGGCTTACTCATTGTGGCTACTAGGGGTTAGAGCTTGTGGGCTTACTCATTGTGGCTACTAGGGGTTAGAGCTTGTGGGCTTACTCCTTGTGGCTACTAGGGGTGAGCTTGTGGGCTTACTCCTTGTGGCTACTAGGGGTTAGCTTGTGGGCTTACTCCTTGTGGCTACTATGGGTTAGAGCTTGTGGGCTTACCAACACTGTGACTGAGAGAAGTGCCCAGTGCGGGTAAGAGTCGCGGACGGAAGTGGTAAATAATAAAATAATGGGGGCGGGCCACGTGCGGACTCGCAGCTCGCCTCCTGCTGCTGTGCGGCCCGGTTCCTAACAGGTCACGGACCGGTACCGGAAACAAAGTCAATTGTACTTAAGTGCCCCTTGCTTAATTTTAGTTTCGATGATTTACCTTGGGAAAAAAAAAATCTGGCCATGTCTCGCACCCCCCGAAAGGGCGTGTCACACCCCCCCCAGGGCGTGCGTGCACCCCCAGGTTAAGAATAACTAATGATCCTGGGTTAATAAATTTGCATAAATTATTTCATCTGTCCCAACGATTTCAACGTTAAGTTCGTATCGCTACGCTGCGCTGAGATGTTGACCAAGCCGACGTAATCTGATTTTTTTGATTTGAGAATAAATATGCATCGCACATTTTTTCTCTCACATTCTGTTAACAGTTCTTTGGTTGTGCAGATTTGTACGTGGGGTCGTGAGTGACGTTCTGGTTTTGGGGTGTTTGTCTTGGGCTCCCTCTGGTGGGTAACCCAGTGCCGCTAACTAAAGCTCCACACTGACCCCTGACCCTCCCACCGGCGCCTGCGATTGCGCGTGTGTGTACATCCGTGTGATGTGGAGGAGGCTCATGAAGGACGCTGCTGGGGAGTTGGAGGCATTCGCCCTCGGGAGGAGCGAGGCTCGGAGCAACAAGCGGAGCGCCGGGCAGCTAAAACGCGGAAAATTGGTGTATTTGGTTGCAGGGGTGGTGCATCTGCCATTCAGTCAACCCAAGGCATCCTGGGTCTGTTCCGTGACCTCTCAGCAGCCGCCACGTAGTGGCGAATGGCGGCAGCTGTTGTAATAGGTGCTCGCTAACAGCACTTGCCCCAAAAGTTGAAGGCTACACGGGGGGTCATTGTATTTTGTGGGGAGCTGTAGCAATGGTTGGCGCACTGAACTAGGAGCTCGGCAACCCGAGATGGATTCCCGCTAAGGGGCCAACGTCGTCGGTGATTATCTGAACCAGTCCTGGGCTTCCCCTAGATCGACTCGACCTCAAAAATGAGAACCTGGTGCGGTGTGTAAACGTCAGCACGAGTGGAATTTTTTTTTGACCCAACCACAGGAGTGGAGCCCATGCACCTTCTGTGGAAACCACACCGCGGTCCGAATACCAGAAAGCTGGAAAAACGGAGACCTGCCTGGGCAAAGGCCATCAGTAGTCAAGAGACCTTGACGAGTGGAAAAACTCGGCATTGAAAGAGATACGGGTCGCAGCCAACGGCCAGCGGTGTGCGGAAGCAGTGTGTGAACCTATCCAAGGCCCTGACCAACCAGGGCAAGAGTTAACATCTCGCCACGGTGGCTAGGCGATGTTAACTCCCTCGCCTGGTATGCAGGAGGGTCCTGGGTTCGATCCCGACCCTGACGCCTGCATGTTTGGCGGTTGCGTGTGTGTCTCTCTCCCTGGTCGCGTGGATTTTCCCCCAGATCATCCGGGTTTCCCCTTCCGCATTTCGAATCAACATCACGCATTTTAGACTATTTTGCTGCTCTCAATTCACACACGATGATGACAAGCCACTTCGTTGAGCTATCACTCGTGATGACCAGGTCGCTTGTGGAGAAAAAAACGAGCTACGTAGCTCAGTGGGCCTCACCTGGTCAAATAGAAAAAAAGGTTCGTTTAGTTCTACAGTGTAATCACCACCGAGCAAGGGCCAATCCATTTCTGGATGAAGGCCTCCTTAACCCAAGCCGCCACCCGTTGATACGGGTGCGCTAGGAGCCTCTGCTCAAACACGACCTTCCTTCCCCGTGGCCCTGTCTTGTCGAGTGGCCCTGTCTTGTGGCCCTGCGTGGCGCCTTTCTGGCAAGAAAAAAAAATCTGCCACTCGGAGCGCCATCACGTCTACGGTACGCTGAACTTCTTTCGCACCGCGCATAGCCAACCGAGCTGATCGGAGGTGCGGGAGGAGAGGCAACAACTTAACACTCGGCATAACAACGGAACATTCCTGCATGCAATGAGAAACTAAAAATATACGTACTATGTACAGTTCTTTTAAAATATACAAATTATAAGCGAGTTGTGGCTGTGAGTTATTGTGTCTAGGGTGGACCGTGAACTTCGTTTGATCTTCCACGAAGCTAAGCCGCGTCAATCATTGCGCAAACCATGGCAGCAGCAGCAGATGCGGGTGATAGCTGATGATGCACAAATGGAAAATGCGATACTCATCCGGAACA